TATCTCCCACGAAAGGCATCATGTAGCAATATTGCTGCTTACTCAACACCTCACCTTATACTATAACGATGACTACTTCCATCCATATTTCTGCCAAGGTAGACATAGTCAACATTGACACTGAGCACTGTTTCACAACTTCTAATTGGGCATTCTTGAGTTCTAATTCTTTTTTGTCTTGTTAAAATAGGAAGCAGCATCCAATCTTATTAGAAATCTGCAACGTGGTAAACCCCAAACGTTCTCACCTTTTGGATGCAAAGAAGTATGTACACTACTTATTCCAGTAGTAGTACATGCCCTTTTCTCAATGCATCCAATAAAAATCTGAGGATAAGTTTGCTTTGGATTGTAAGTGGTGCAATGCAAGAGTCGCTGTGCTTGGAAAGTACATGTAACTAAAGCTGCATACTCGAGATAGGTGTGGAAGCACCCAACTGTCCAGGAACCTACTGTGTCCATCGGAAACATTGACATGGCCAAGGAAGGAAGACAGAGCACAGCAGGGAGTACAAAAGCCACAAACGACTCACGCAACAGTACCGGATTCAAACTATACGAACCTCAAACTCATAGGACGAGTGGTCACAGTGGTCGTTCAAAAGTGAAACCAAGTCACGAACAATTATATGATAGGTACCACTCCAAAATATCTGGAGGGGATCTCAAAGAGTGTGAGTTGATAAAATCGTCACGTTTTCCATACCTCTGCTTATAAAGACAATATATACACAAGATCTGAAGTTTTCCTTTGGTTCAACCAAGCTTGAATATCTTGAGAAAAGCGAAGATAGCATTGTTATACAGCCAAGGCGCCGTAAGTAATCCATGGTAATCAGCATCATACACTAAACCAGTGCCCTTATGCTGTCCAGATTGGCAAGGCTGTATAATTGATCCTGATTGTACAGAGTTAGCTGGATGCCGCAGGCCGAAGGGAAAAGGAACTACCGAGGACAAAGCAAAGCTTGACTTGTTATACGATATTCTAGTAGTGTACAAACTGCATTTTAACAAGACCCACGACAATGGAGAGGTTCGTTCAGATGATTGGCAAGAACTTTTGATAGATCTACTTAGTAATAAGAAAAGGGAGATGGAGAAAGGAAAGGTGGTGAACCCTGACGATCATCTATGGGAGCTAAAAGAACCCTCCAGTAAAAAAAGTAGTCCCAACGAGTAGTATGGTCACCGTGACGGTGCAGAAACACTACACTTTCCCCATGAAATGAGATCCTGTTAATAGATATCAAACGCCTCTAATATCGTGAGAGTGTACAACTTAGGTATGTAGTAAAGGAATAGCTGGTAGTTTGTACCTTTATTAGCCATAAGAATGAAGTATGCTATGTTCACTATTATCCAGCAGAGGAACCGAGGTGGAGAGCCGCCAACAGTCGCAGGACCATATCAAACTATACGCTCTAGGCCTGCTTCCAAAGCAAAATGGGCCTTATTGTATATTTTCCACCTGCAAGAACCGGAGAAATTCCATCGCCCATACCATTTTCGGCCACCCAAACGCGAAAAATAACTAATATTACACATAGTAAATTGCGTCTCAAAACAAGGGTGAGGAAGCGAAGCAGAGAAGAAGCAATAAAGCAAAAGATAGTAGAAGAAAGAGAGGAAGAAAATAGTGTTACAGTTCCACGACAAGGTATCCATGAATGAAAATTGCTTAGGGGGTAAGTAAGTAAAGAAGCCAACTGTCGACTATTTTCGATGATAGACAAAGGAAAAAACGAAGGCGAAAGATCAGAATGATTATCAAAGGAGTAAACCAACCAGCATAAAGTGAGCGAGATGGAGGATATCGGGAGAGAATCACCAAAAAAACTGACAAACAAAAAACAAAGGAGAGGAACGAGAACAACAAAAAAAACCGTAAAGGTAAAACAAATTAGTTGCCGCTACATATATCGTCTACAAGAATCCACTCTCTTGTAACAACCTCGCCATCTTCTCATCCTCACGTTCTCTCGGCTCCCTCTCCAGACTAAGGTTCCAAAAGTGTTCGCCCCAATCGACAGACTCGTTAAACGCACTGAGACTTTCCTCGATGAACGTTAATATCGGGGTGAGCGGTGCGAGGTTAAAGTCTTTCGATTGCCATCGCTGGATCTCACGGATGATCTCCGCGGCACGTTGCCGTTTACCGAAGTTAATCAGGTTCCCAGGAAGGATGTCCTTGCTCCCGTCGTTGATGAATGTTAGAGTCGTCAAATAAACACCTGGCAAGAAAAGTTGAGTGCATTGAACGAATATCTCAGAAGACAGAAGACCTAACGCACCAATGAACGGAATACCAGGTGGATTGGTCTGAGCAAGGGTAGCTTTATAGTTCGTGAAATTCTTGGTAGAATCCAGAGTCATTTCACAGCTGCCCAACTGCGACATGAATCTCCCGCTGACTTGCTCCCAAGTCCGCTTCAAACGGCGAATCGGTGGCGAGTTCAAGCCAGAGATGATAGCCGCCATGCTTGAGAAATTATGAAGATTTCTACAGCGCTGTGGATAGTCCGACATCAATATCAATATCAGTGAAATTAAGCATTCGAGAATGATGAACACGTACGTCGGCAACGCCAATGAACTGTTTCACCAGGGCAGCTCGCTTGCGCGAATCCTCCTTACTAAGGACAGTGGCGTTCACCCAGTTCGCAATCTACAAAAATAACACAATCAGCATTACAACCAACAACATTAGGAGATGTACCAAACGAACGAACCTTGTTAGTCATCTGGATTACGTCCGTGATATGGTCCTTATGTTCGCCAACCTTCTGCTCTCTCGACCGCTGCAAACACTCAATCGCTTTGATCGTGCGGTACAGCGCAAACTCCATAATCGTCAGTTGACGAGCAAGTTCTAGCGGATCGATGTCAAGAAGCTTGAGTTTGCCCTTATTCATGCCCTTCGGGATGATCGGCGGAGGTGGGAAGGACGTTGGAGGTGTGAGAGCGAGTGGCTTAATTCCTCCTTGCTTCTAGCAACCCGCTTGTGAGCTCATGCATGACATAAATGACATGACGGAACTTACTTTGCGCTCAATAATGTTTAATAATGTCTTCGAAGCGGGAGAAACGGACACTTCAGGGTGTAGAAGGAACTCTTTGATGCGGTCCAAGATATACATATCGTCCTCAACGAGCACTTGGTCGTCCGTCACCATAGTCTTGAAAGTGTTCAATACTCTGCGAATATGTTAGCGATTGCGACACAGACAGATGTGAACAAAACTTAACGCACCGAGATCGGATAATGTGCTGCTTGAGCTTCGTCCATTCTTCCAAATCATTAGGCTTCAAACCATCCGGTGGTTGAATCCAATATCGTTGTACAAGCAAATCAAACAGCTCGTCCAACGTAGTGAACGACTTGTACGTCATCAAGAACGTTCGGATGAATACAGCATCTGAAACAGAATTTAGTTTCAAAGTCCCCAACGTATCTTAATCAATGTGACTTTACCTCCATATTCGTGAGTAGTTAGCCGTTCAATCAGCGCTGGTAATGTCCCCGCACGTATCCCTCCATCCGGAGTGAACATAATCTCCTCCTTTTTGTGGTCAGCACGCAAGTACCAAGGCTTTGAGTCGGCGTTAGCATTCTCGATCCACCTCTCCGGAGCATCATCACCCAAAATCTGTCTAATCTTCGTCCCGCGTGGTTCTAGCAAATACAATGAGCAAACTGCGATAATCATCAGTACCAAACAGAACGTACTCTTCTCAACGACATCCTCATCCTCTAGACCTAGAAGGTCTGGGTCTAGCGGCAAGTCTTTCGAAATAGATAGTGACTTCTTATGTCCGCTTGCTTTATCAGAAACCGAAAGCGTCTCTTGTCGTGGCGGCGGTGAGCTTGCAGATTCCGCGGTCTCCGGAACGAAGGCGTCAACGCCAGTCATTGCGGGCCTTGCAGCGCTCTTTTGGAACGCGAAGCCCATGTCCACGATATCCTCATCATCGTTCCCAGCATCCGGCATGGGACCAAAGAAATGTGACAACCGACGATTTCCATCCATAATGCTCATCCTCGATATTCGTAATGCAACTGACTCCCTGAAGCGTCCCTCCGATGCAATCTGCTCCCGGGCAATAGCAAGTAACTTCTCAAGGAACTCGACGGCCATCTTCGTTCCTGTCATCAAAACTTTCGCAGATCCGTAAAGACTGGATATTGGCCCCTGTCGGTCAATTGTGTCTGTTACGTTACCAGTAGTCGGCCATTTGAATGGTATTGTCTGAACAAATGCGAAGAGTATTGCTCCGTCATCAAACAGGCTCTGAGTAATTGCCTCGAATTTGCGTAGTAATGATCGGGCTTCAGCGACTGCACGCATATACGGATCCTCAGACTGAGGCGATGCTTGATCTCCACGCAAGCCACCTACGTCGACGTCTTGACAAATGTTAACGTCAATTACGACGCTGACGAAAGCCGAAATATCAGCCAAAAGTGCTTGAGTGTGGTTCAACAGTTCATCTAAGGACAGGAAAAGCTAAGAAAAATGTATTGAACAAGCAAGCTTTGCTTACCGCTTGTTGTTCCAGCATCTTGCACCAATTCTACAAGCGCAGCAAGTTTTCCATCTAAGGTTTCTTGCATATTCTTTACTTCCGTCACAGTTTCCTCGTTTAAGGAACGCTTCGGCAACCCAAGACCGTCATCGACATTGATGAAACCGAAACCTTTCCACGCTCCGGCAACTCCAGCGCCTGGAAGCCCCAGCCCAATGTGTTGAAGATCAAAAACACCTCGGAGCCGCTTTTTCCCTATCCGCTGATGAAGTTGCTTAATCACCGTGCGAGCATGTTGTTTCTTTACTTCCGAAACAAAGTTGTCAACCGCACGTTGCAGATCTGCAGCGTCCTGTTCCACGCGTATCATCATTTCCGAGGATAAGGCTTCCCGTTTGTATCGCGCAGCACGGGCAGAAAGTACAAGCTTCGACAGTGTGGCCGTGACCTTCCGTTGCGAGCTCTTCAACTGCGCCTGAAGTTGTTGTACGACGGCCGTAGCAGCCGGATCACCGGAATCACGTTCGCCGTGTACACTCGGAAGAGGACCAGCCAATGCACAGGACACATAAAGCAAATTCCGTACAGCAACAACAACAGAACCAACGTTTTGTTCCACTTCTTTGTCGTGATCGGCGCCTTTCGGCAGGCCATTGTCGTCCACAGAAGCCATGACAACGATGATAGCATCACGCGTTTGGTCTGCCAAAGTGTCTATTGATTCTGGCTCAGGAGGAGCAAGCGCACTCTGAAGCATGAAAGCAGATCGCTCCGCAGGTGTAAGTCCGGGATCGTTCGCCGGCGCAACGCCACCGTTCAGCGGACGCACGGGGCGATCATGAGCATCACCTTCTCGGGGATGAACGTCGGAATCATCAGAGTAGACACTATCTCGTTTGGAGCTCTGATTATTGCTTGTCACTGAGTCCGCACGTAACCGGGCTTCCGTAAACATAGTCTCATTAGTGCTTGCATAACCCGATGTTGTCGAGGAGGGACCTGCAACATATTGTCGACCATTCTGATGTGCATCGTTCGGATAGGTAACATTCGTAGTGGTATCGATGCGCGGAATCGTCGCAGACGCATTGATTACAGCTCCGTTCTCGGGTACTGGTCGCGTCCATTGGATTTGACCAGTGATCTTGTTGAAGTAATAATAAGTCAAGCCGTCATCTACAAGTCGCTTTGTCCAAGGTTCAGGAGTCCCGCTCCGCTTCGCAAGTCCAAACCCAGCAGCACGAAAACTGGCAGAGGGGGCGCCACCTATGGCATTTCCGTTAACAAGCCCCGAGAACTGGTTATGGATATCGTTACGACCCGCCGTGCGTAAATTAGCAGCGGGTTGTTGCCCTCCCAAGCTATTGTCATTAATTTCTGGGCCCATTTCAGCGGGGAGATCCCGAGAGCGTTCGCCAGTCTGAGTGTTAACATAGAATATCTATCCGGGCGGTTTCAGAAACCTTGCATGTAAGAAAGTAGTGCAGCACATACCTGCCCGGTCGCATCGACCTCAGGCAGCCAGTAATCCTGATGAGATAGATTCTGCCCGGCCATCGCTCCGTTAGCGAGATCTTGGAACCCGTTCCTTGACCGTGCATAGTCAATCTCCTCCTGCATCCAATCATGATCTGAGGTAGCACCCCGCACACGTTGGCTAACGTCAATAGCAGAATCATGCACCTCGTTAACCCGCACGGGCTCCTGTGGGCCGAGCTCTGCCTCTGCCTCCGCCTCCGATATCGGTTGTACGTAGTTTGAAGGGAACCATCCACGTTCCTCGCCTAAGAGACCATCCCACCACCCCGACTCAAGCTGTGTCAAGACCTCGATAATATCTCCACGATAAAACGAGAGTGATGAGTTGTCCGTCGACTGATAGTCATAGAGAGCACGGCAGTAGAAAGTGGAGAGCATTTGGTCATCGCCGGCCTGCGCATCGTCTTCGTGCGTGTTATTTGCTGCTTGGTGATCGCCAGCGGGGTACAACATTGTTGCCGCCGCGGACATTGTGGATGGAAGCGAAGAAGAATTAAGCGAGGTGTGGTAAGATATGGCCGCCCGCTGAGTACGGCGGATGCGGCGTGGGTGGATGCGGCGAGCACGGAGAGCGGTAGCGACGAAGAGCCAAGGCTGAGTGCGAGGAGACGTGCGTGCTGCCTAGTCAGTACAGTCAGTCAGTTCCCAAGTTGTGCATCCGTGGGAATATCCGCTTCACTGCAAATAACTACGCCACTTCCGACTCGGTACATCGACTCCTTATTTCTGCACAGATAATACATTCATCTCTAAGTATGTAACTAGTATACACAAATAGGCCATGAAAACTGCCACATGAAATTTTATCTCTTCAGCGTGCGTTGCTTCTCTGCAAATTCTACAATCTTTCGGTCCACGAACAGGCCCTTGCGTTCCCTTACCCGATCCATGTACCCCTTCGCTATATTCTCTCGGTCGGCCTTCTCACCAAGATCTTCTAGCTCCTCCTCCGTCGTCGGCACCCAGAACGGATCCTGGTCCAGCATCTCATACCTGGGGTTTTCCATTCAGCAAAACCTCTCTTAAAGTTTCTCAGGGCCTAGGGTGCACTTACCCACTAAAGATCAGCTGAGGGCTCGCCGCTCCTGATGTACGTTTCCGTATCTCTGCGAAGTTGATTAGCAGTCCACTCGGCACACCCTGTAAACTGTTGATGATGCGATCTTACCGTCAGCAAATCCGAAACTCTCGACAACTGGCAGGAGTGCCCTGACAGTGAAAAACGTCGTGCCTTCCTTCATTTCCTCGGACACAATTCGTCCGCGTCGCTTTGCTACCACCCCATACATCTTTCCCAGAACATCGGCTGCACACACCAATTCAGCGAATACGAATAGAAATGTGGAGTAGAACAGAACACCAACGTACTGGAAGCTTGAATATCACAAGTATACATAGCAAGCATCAGCCTCGGACTCCAGTCTAGCAACCCTGACCGGCAGGCGTCCTGGACGGCAGATATCAATGATCCAATCACTTGAGCTACAAGTCAAAGAAAAAAGTTCAGTCTCACGACAAGGGGTAATCAAAAGAAGCACATACGGTTCTCGTACTCTATTGCCTGGGAATCGATTTGCAGGCTTTCAACAAAGTATGCAATGCCTTCAACAGGTTCGGCACACAGAGGGCCTCTAAAGGTAGCGATCTGAAACCCAGTCTCCACGCTACTCTCAGCATCCTGGAGCAATCTACTTCTCCCGGCGACGGGCTCGGTAGTTTGTGTGCGTTGTAAACGTCTCCTTAAACTGCTCGGCTGCGATTAGCAGTGAACAATTAAACAAGTTCCGAAAGTACTCACGAAGTAGCTGGGCTGTCTTTGCGTGAGTCAATCAAAACACATCCGCCAGCTGTCTGAGGGCCAAATGCCCAGATATTGTCTACAATATTTTGCCACTCGGAACCGACTTTCTTGCACACAGCTTCAAGAGCGGTCCAAAACTGGTCAGGTTTGACTGTCGGCCTCCGGAACACATCACCATGAATATTTACACCCTCAGCCAGGTCATCATCATTATCCTCCGGTAAGAAACTAGAATCCACCAACGCAGCTTGTTCCTTCAACTTCCTTTCACGGAGTATCTTCCTCAACACAAGCAAGTTATCCTGAATAAACTCAAGTATCGGTTTCGGAAGAGGGACAGCGCGTATCTTGAACTTGACCACAGAGTGTGCGCTAGAGCCCTGAATAGTCCCGCGGGGCACATCTGGGGTTTTCATACTTGTCATATCCGGAGCTCTTACAGCCGTTTCCCTGAAAGGCACAATAGGCTCTGACGGCTGGATATCAACCTTCGCAAATCGTTCGCGCAGATCCTTCAGGCACCGCTGCGGGGAAGAAAGAACCAATATCAACCAATCAACATATATCTTTTAATTTATTTCATTAAGAAAAAATGCCGCAAACCTCAAGATGAAGTTCTCCTGCTGTCAGGATAACGTGCTCCCCCGTTTGTTGCTGGAAAGTCTCGACAGCAGGGTCAGCTTGGTTGAGTATTCTTAACCCCTCAACAAGCTTAGGGAGATTCGCTGCAATGCTAGTCAGGTACGAATAAGACACGCAATCAAGCTTGTACTTACCTGGTTCCGTAGGTTCTAAAGCGACCCGGACGATCGGAGAGGTCTGCCTATCATAAGCGTCGAGACTAAATGAACAAGTTCCTGACTTACCTGCCGAACAATACCGCCAAGATTGATAAGACAAGCTCTATCAACTGCAAAGTCATCTGTAGGAGGGGTTTCTGCGTTGGGAGCGCATAATGTCGCATGTCGCCAGACCTTTCCCTCTAATCCTCGCAGCGCAAAGACGTTGCCGGCCCTAACAGCATCTACTATCTCTAGTTCTCTCCCCATCATGATGTAAAGAGCCTCAACCTTGGCCTTCAGGATATGATTGACATTCCTCGGATGGGATGGACCCAAGCTTTCGTTATATTTCGGTAACACGCAGTATATCGATGAGCCGGTACGTAGGAGACCTGAGTATAGACGTGCAAATCCGAGCAGGACAGATCGCTCTTCTCCAGCTGGCCCCGGTGATGCGGAAGGCTGCTCTGAAAGTTGCATATCCGCAAGTGCCTGTCCGTTCTCTACATCTCCATTGCCAAGTGCACTTTCCGAAGTATCCTTGCCGTGTCTAAGCTCTCGACCCCTCTGACGCATTTCCTCCGCAGTGAGCGGTTTCCGCCTATTCTCCGGCAAGTCCTTCGCAGTCACTGCAAACATCTTGCTAACATATGCCACGATAGCTGCGTCTGGGTTCGAGCTGCACGAGAAGAGGTCACGTTCAAGTTTGTTCTTCGGTTCTACAGTTGGTTGATGCAAATCTGGGTACAGCATCTTCGGCATGCGAGTGGTCTGCGCTTGTGATGGAGCCGGAATAATATCAATGACGGTTTGGATGGTACACGTCGAAAGAGAGAGCCATTGGTTAAAGATAAGGGAAAGCAGATATCGAGGGTCTTTTGATTTCAAATCCCGGGGCGGGATTTTTAGATTCAAAGCAGTGATAATTTTGGAGACCTTTTCCGGATTCCTATCGGACAATCAAAAAATCAATGGTAATGAATTTAGATCAGCAGACAAGACATACGGGTTGCGAACTACTCCTTCATAAACAGCCCAAATATTCTCCAACACAAATTGCACGAAGAGTGGCTTCAACGCACGCCCCTTGAGATGCTTATGTCCAATAACCCTCTTCGTCTTTGGGTCTAAATAATAATCACCCCAGAGTACTCGTCTCAGATTTGCCTCCTTCATTCCTAATTTCGCAGCATATAGCTGAGCGAATTTGCCAATTCGGAAACCCCATCCGTCAATCGCAGATGCAAACACGACGTTTCCTCGTTCAGGTGCAAAATAAATATCCTCGTCGTCCTTCTCTTGAAATTCCGCGTTTGCACCATCCATACTTTCTGCGTCCACCGAACCAGCATCAGCATGATTCGCTTGATTGTCTCTCCGCTGTGCAAGACGCTTCTCACGTTCCTCACGCCATCGTAAGTCGTCCTCCATGCGCTCGCCGGCGAAAAGTGAGCCCATGACCGCGTTAACTTGCTCGATCACTTGACTGAGATGGTGGTATGCTTCTACTGGAGTATGCTTTAGCTCGGTTATTAGTCTATCGCATTTGTTCAATACAAGTATAGGTCGGACTCTGTCTAGCCATGCTTGACGAAGTACGGATATTGTCTAACAATTTTCCGATACATAAACTAAGTGGCATACGCATAATACTGCCGTGGAAATAACTAGCGCACCTGAGTACAAACACCTTCGACGACATCAACCAAGAGAAGTGCACCATCGCACAATCTCGACGCAGTTGATACTTCACTCGAAAAGTCGACATGTCCAGGCGTGTCAATCAAGTTAATAACATAAGTCTTCTGAACGCTTTCTAGTGCCATTAGTCTGTTCGTCTCAGATTCATTGCAACGATTGTTTCGTGCTTACCGCCCTCTTCCGTCTTCTCTGCTACCTTGAATCTAAGTGATACAGCACTACTCTCCATAGTTATCCCGCGCTGCTGTTCGTCTTCTCTACTGTCTAGATATCTAATCTTTCCCGCCATTCGTGATGATATTATGTTGTTCGCAGCAAGGAGGTAGTCAACAAACGTGGTCTTGCCATGATCGACATGACCGATAGTCGTTATTACACGCACGTCTTCAGCAAGTGCTGAAGACATCGTGTTTTCCTATGCGGATTGGGAGGGAAGAGGGAGAGAGTAGGAGTCAAGATGCTTTTCAGTGTATGAATTTTGTAACCGGGTCCGAGATGATCGACGCGTGAATTATGACGCATATATGGTCAAGCCGCGTATTTTGTCCATCCGTCCAAAGTATAAAAGAATGACCTACGATTTCACAATCTACACATATTCAAACTAACTAGACAAAACAATCGTTCCAACACATGTACAAAACAATGAATATTACAAATCTGATACTATGTAACAATGAGAATAACTTGGCTGATCTATGTGTTCAGTCAGAAGAAAGCACACTAGGGATAAATCCCAGAACCCCTCACCCCCTCTTGTCCTTAAAGCTGGCCTCTGTTGTCCTCTGTCTTGTATACTGCAAGTCTGAAATCTTCATTTCTATCATTTGTTTGTACCAGAGTGTGTGAGATGAAGAGGATAACTTGTAAGAAATGGCCAAACACCCAATTCCACAACAGACTCCTCAATGGATGCCTTGTCTCAAGCCTTAGGTTCAATGTTTAGGTTGAGAGCAAGAGGTAATAACTTATTCAGTCAAGCTGTGAACACGTGTATGCTGACGCTGTGATAATAGTTTGACGTTGAGACAAGATTGACTAGTTGACAAACTGGGCAACATTCTGACACTGTATACAAAACGAGCCTTTATTATCAAGGAGCAAGACAATGAAAATTTCTGAAAACTGGTCATCAGAAACCAGCCATCTCTTTTGACTTGACTCAAGTGAGAGATAATTTATGCAAAAATTGTCTGCTGGATTTCAGTTAACTTCTCCTTAGTCAACCGATCTTGTCTTGCATTGGAGGCGACTTCCAGAATAGGGTGACCAGAGAATTTGGTGAGGCATTGTCATTGAATATGTAAGGCCGATTCAAAGAGAGCTTGAGTAATCTGTAGAAATTAGTAGTTACTTCTCCTAATTTGGAAGCAACTTTGGGGTACAAACGTATTAAGTAGCTATGGCGAAAGAAAGGTACGATAGAATAGTGACCTGCCAAAATGTGGTATCAGCGACTTCTTTGTTGTGTGATTAGTTAGGTAACAAGTTGTGTTTGCCATCTATGTCAACCCCAAAACTGTCGACAAGCTATCTTTCACTCTACTATCTAATCCTTTTCCAATGAAGACTAGCTTTCCCTCTTCCGGTACGCCCATACTTGAGCCTTCCTCCACCTTCGTAATCTCGTACAAGCTCCTCACACCTTGCAACACATACTGTTCACCACTCTGCGAGGCAAACGTCCCCTTGCAGCGTAGAACTTCAAGCTCATGCTTCTCGTCTTTCGGAGAGTCCTCCGGAAGTCTACCCTCCCATAACACGGTACGGATCCATTCGTCGAGTCTCTGGATTTGCACAGATGACAGGTGAGAACAGCGAACTTGCATGCTCGTAATATCCTGGTGGTGTGCCTGGGAATGGCCATGACCATCTTCACAGTTCTCATCATGGGTATGTGTTTCCGGGATATCGTTCGCCAAGGAGGGCGGTTTCGCAGAATAAGCACCAATCCCAATGACGTATTTGAGGTCTATCTGAGCAAGCACAGTGTGGTAGACTGCCGCGGTGGGGTTTATACTGCGTATTCTGTTGTCTAACCGAGTGACGACGTCCCTTTCAGCAATATCTGTTTTGTTTAACAGTACGACGTCTGCAGCGGCGATCTGACTGAATATTAATTAGGAAATTGAAACGGGAAGTCTGAAAAGATCAGGAGCAAACCGCAGGCTAGTTCCATTGTTGTCCGATGACTCGTCCTCGTCAATTTGCTGTTGCATCATTCAGATCCAGAAACTAAACTCTCTGCGCGTAGGTCTAGCAGGCTTACCTTCTCTCCAAAGACCGCGTCTACGACGCATACGACGCCATCCAAGTAAATATCACGACCGAGATCAGACACGTATTCTTCGTTTAGCCAAAACATAGCAGCGATTGGACCTATTACCGACGTGCCAAGTCAATCAGTAAGCAAGCCGTCAAACCATGCCTTTTTATACATTCTAAGGTCTAGTTACCTGGGTCAGCCAAACCAGTCGTCTCCAACAAGATGTAATCAAATGCACCCTTCTTCTCCATGAGTTTCTCAATAGCCGCAAGTCCTGTATCTTTGATGCTACAGCATAAACACCCATTCGGTAATTCAAGGAATTCTTCTGATAAGTCTCCTGGACTCCCTTGTGATGAGATATTAATTGCTCTAGCTAAAATATGCAGTTAGTCACTCGGCCAAAGAAAAAGAAGAAAGAAGAAAGCAAAGGGATGAAGTACATTCTATATCCTTGAATAACGTTTCAGACAATATTTCAAAGTAGAAAGAAGACCAAGATGGAGACGCATACAGCAGTGTCCGCAAACTCGTTCATAATAACAGCTATTCGGTATCCATGACGTTCTGTCAGGATTCTCCTGCACACTCGTTATGATTCATCTCACTTTACGAGGTAGGGATGCTTACTTGAGTAGCGTACTCTTCCCTGCTCCAAGGAAGCCCGAAATCAGTGTACATGGCACACGTCCGTCTTCTCGCTTGGAATTACTATTTGTGCCGAAATGAGACGAACACATGAACATGTAGACGAGCATCATCCAGACTTACTCCTCTGAATGGTCGAGAAGAGTCCTAATTAATGAACTATTAGCATATACATCACTTGACCACCGTAAAATAACCTACGGGATATCCTCGTCATCAGACATGGTTCTATATCAATCGGAGGGCGGATACGTAATTGTTTATGCACTTGAAGTTCTGCAGAAGTAGAATTTATGCGAATAAAAGGGTTATAGCCTTTCTCTCAAATCTATGTTACTCGACTCAATGTCTTGAGTGTTGTTTCAATGTTCGTCTGAAGTCTAAGTCTTGTGCTTGGTGGATGAGGTCAGTGGCGGAGGAGCAACTATCGAAGGCACGTGCGTCAAATTGAGTGTGCTTACCAGCTTCCGCTGTAGTAGTCAAATCAAATATCTACCCAACAATTCTTCATATCGCTCCTTAACTACAAACCACCCTGTCCTTCATTCGTTTTCTTTATTCTGGCGTGATGGCGTCCTTCACACGCCCACTCGTCATCTCAGGTCCAAGCGGTGCAGGCAAAAGCACCCTGCTCAACCGTCTCTTCACCGACCATAAAGACAAATTCGGGTTCAGCGTTTCCCGTAAGTACGCACGGATACCATATTCTCACTTGCACAATCATTAAACTTGTCTCATTTTCTTATGTTCTACATGCAATTTAAAAGATACAACTCGAAAACCACGCGTCGGCGAAGAAGACGGCAAAGCATACCACTTCGTAGACAAAGAAGCCTTCCTAAAACTACGTAGCGAAAATGGCTTCATCGAAACTGCCGAGTTCGCCGGTAACTACTATGGGACGAGCAAGCTTGCTGTGAAGACTGTTCACGATGAAGGACGAAGATGTATCCTCGATATTGAAGCTCAAGTGAATTTCTTTCGTGAACTAGAATTAAAAAAACTGAATGCTCATTCTTTCTATGTACGAAATATTTCTCTGTTCGTCTAGGGCGTCCGACAAGTAAAAAACACAGACCTCAACCCCGTATACTTATTCATCTCCCCACCAAACATGATAACCCTCCAAAGCCGACTCGCAGGACGAAACACAGACACTCCCGAAGCCATCCAAAAACGCTTGAAAACAGCCATCGAGGAAATCGAATACGCGAAAACCGGTGCTCATGATATAATTATTGTCAATGATAACCTTGAAGAAGCATATAACAAGTTCGAGAGGGTTGCACTTGGCGAGGAGGTCGAGTCGGACGTTTTACCGGATATGATAATCGAAGAGAGCGAGCCTGAAGTTAACAACGTGGAATTGAACGGAGTATCCTCGATACCCAACCAAATTGAAGAAACTCGTGTCTTATGATACATGCTTTTCCGTGGAACAGGTGATGAGTTGCGACATTAGAGGGACATGGCACGTGGATCCGGTATTTCGTGCAATTGATGTATGGGTAAAAGCTGCAGAATGTCTAGAACGCGAAAAAAGAGGAATACAGGATACAGACTATAAGATGCATTAATGAGCGATGGTCTCTCTTGCGGCTGGCACGAATTCCTGTTCGTATTCGACTTCCACACGCGGTCCGCCTGCGAAAGAATACTGCATTAAGTAACGGGAAAATGAGTTGAGAAATTGAAATCCGCACGTTTGGGTTTCTTCCCTGGTCTCTTTGAAACTTTCGGTACCTTGGGCGGTGCTTTTCGTTTCCCCTTTGCGCTTGGACCAGAAGTCTCGTCGTCGGAACCAATCTCATTGTCCTCATCCTCTGATACGTCTTCCAAATCCTCCAAATCGCTCAACCCATCCTCCTCACTCTCATCTCCACTCAAATCACTCACAAACTCCCTCTCGCCCCACTCCCCCTCCTCCTCTTCCATCTCTTCTTCCAATTCCTCTTCATCCTCTTCCTCCGTCTCGTCATCCTCCATGTCTTCCAGCCCTTCCACAGCCGCTTCCATATCCGCCTTCCCTCGAGATTGGTCAAGAACGGCTTGCCAGACTTCTTCATTCACATTAAGTGGTGCATCTCCGTATGCTTTTGATTTTAATCTCTCGATAAGCTCTTTTTCGATTGATTTTTCGAGGTGGGCGGCGGAGAGGGCTTTACGTTCGCGTGTTGTTTCGCGGCGTTCGAGTTTCTTCTTCACACCCACAAGTTTCGTCCTATTGAAATCAGTGCCAATGCCTGTGAGAGAAAGGTACCTTGAAGAAAGATCAGGAAGACATACTGCTGCCGTAACTTCATACGTCGCATTTTGATGAGGTATTGGGTGATTTTGGTGACTCGTTGCTTGCATTTGTGTATTAAGAAATTCGGCCAGTAGATTAGCTCTTTGTCAATCTGCGGTTACGAAAAGTAAATTTCTTCCGGTATTAGTTGCAAGAAAGCGGATTGAACCGAGACTCACCTGTTGCAGTGCCGCTGAGTAATTATTTGAAAGCTTTATCTTCTCCCACATATGTTTTGGACTGTGTGCTCGTTCGATGGTCTTAACATACAAGTATAAGATACCTAACACAAGCCAAGCACATTGTCAGACAACACCCAATGAGACAAACAGGACAGATCACTGCATACCCTCTTTCTCGCGCACAGTAGCATATCTCGAGTTAGCAAGAGGACACGACTGTCGATTACAGAAACCCGTGACATTGTACTCGTTTCTGCAAAAGTTTTGTGTTGCAGTCCTTTCAAGGTAAAAGACGTGAGACAAGAGAAGGACGGATAAGAACTGAATGTACGAACTTGACTTTGTATGAACAGAACTGTTGGTTTATCACCGACCAGATGACTTCGTCACTCTGCATTTTTTAGAGAAGAGAGAGGGGAGAGATGGAGTGAAAGCTGAACTGAAGATGGCACGAATATTTACTGATGAGATCTGCGTTGCCTTTTTAGTCCGATATGGGAAAGCCATGCTCAACGTCGATCACGGAGGGCTTCGACTCGACTCGAAGTTCACGCCTCTTTCTCATACTACATCAATTTCTAACTAGTGACCAGAGTCTCTGTCAAGTAAGAAACGAAAGACAGGCGCTCTTTCGTCGCATGAACTCATGGCAGAACTCGAACGATACATTAGCGACAATGCACTTCGGGTAAGTAACCTGTTCACACTCATCTAAGTACGATGCTAATAAGCACACCACTTTAGATTTTCGGCCTGTCAGACAAGACAATCGTCAACTACATTATAGCATCAGGTACGCGCCTATTCTATTATTATTCTTGCTATACCGTGTTGACAATGTGGCTTGGCTCAGCTTCGTCCGCAAAGTCCCCTCAAGCTCTCTTCACCTCACTCAATGCATACGGACTCCCGGATACAGCAGACGCACAGACGTTCGTCAGTGAAGTCTACTCTCGTGTCCCTCGTAAGAGCAAACACAAAAGCGCAGCAGAAGCAGCGCGAAAGCAAGCCGAGAAGGACGCGAAAGCTCTCAGAGCGCAAAAGTATTCGTTCGTTGAGGATGACGATGCCGTGGACACCAGCGTAACAGTATCCAAAAGGGATAAATCAAAAGTCAAAGATAAAGAGTCGAGAACGAAGGACAAGAAAGAGCGTCATGTACGAAAACGAGAGACGGACGGACGTGACTGGGAAAGTGACGAAGAGGAAGTCGCGCGGAAACGATTACGCGGTGAAGACGACGGACTTCGAGGTCAGGATGACGAACGTCCCGAAGACGAAGTTATGGAAACGCCAGAACAAGAAGCAGAGAGAAGGGAGCGCGAACGATTAAGAGACTTGGAAGAGCGAGACGCATTCGCTGAACGAATGCGAGAGCGCGACAAAGACCGCACGAAGAAAGTGGTTGAGGACAGGTCTTCGTCATCAAAGGGCGCAGCTGTAGAAGCAGCTCAACGTCGAATGCTAGCTGATGATGCAGCTGCGCGAGTCGCTGCAATGCCCTCCCTTCGTGAACGATCCCGACAGGACTATCTGTCAAAACGTGAACTGCAGCAGATCGAGCTGCTACGACGAGAAATCGCGGACGATGAAGCTCTTTTCAAGGGAATGAAAGTCTCAAAGAAGGAGAAGCGAGATCTAGAGTACAAGAAGGAGGTTCTCCGCCTAGCGGAAGAGCGCATGAAGATCGACGACCGGTATGAAGGCTATCAATTGCCTGAAGATTACATTACCGAACAGGGGAAGATAGACCGCAAGAAGAAAGAATCCGTACTCTACCAGCGCTATGAGGAAGCAAAACTGAAGGAAGACCAATTCGTAACGGACGTCGACCAATGGGAAGCAAGTCAGACGAGGCATAGTACGTTCAAGACTGGTGCTATGGATAAATCGGAAATCGTGGAAGACTATGAGTACGTTTTTGACGAAAGTCAGACTATTCAATTCGTACTTGGGCATACTATAGACGAAGATTCAAAACTGTCTCCTGCTGACCGGCTTTTGAAACAACAGATGGTAGAAGCAGAGAAGCACGGTGAGTCAAATACTTACCCTCTAACCGGGCTCGCAATACTAATCATCACAATTAAACAGCTCAAAGTATCGATGAAACCCGAAAATCCCTACCTATCTACGCGTACCGCGAACAGTTACTCGAAGCAATAAAAGAACACCAAGTCCTAATCGTAGTCGCAGAAACCGGTTCCGGAAAGACAACTCAACTCCCCCAATACCTCCACGAAGCAGGATACACAGTAAACGGTATGAAAGTCGGTTGTACGCAACCCCGACGAGTAGCAGCTATGAGCGTCGCAGCACGTGTTGCAGACGAGATGGGCACGAAAGTCGGGTACGAAGTTGGCTATTCAATTCGTTTCGAGGATTGCACCAGCGATAAGACCGTTTTGAAGTACATGACAGACGGCATGCTTCTTCGTGAATTCCTCACTGAACCAGACCTTGCTGGCTACTCAGCTCTGATCATCGACGAAGCGCACGAAAGGACTCTGAGTACGGATATTTTGTTTGCGCTTGTCAAGGTGAGCTGACTTCATCATTTCTTCCTCATTGGTTGGTTAGCGAAGTGGCTAAATGTCTAAATATGTGATAAAATAAGGATATAGCACGATTTAGACCTGAACTTCGGTTACTTATCTCAAGTGCTACTTTGGCGGCAGAGAAATTCAGCGAATATTTCGACAATGCACCTGTCTTCTACGGTAAGTGAACGATAAACTGTCTGACAAATAAGGCTTGAAACTAATTCCCCTTATCTTTTAGTTCCTGGCCGACGATATCCGGTCGATATCCATTATACTCCGCAGCCGGAAGCTAACTACCTTCACGCCGCTATCACGACCGTCTTCCAAATTCACACAACACAACCAAAAGGCGATATCCTCGTATTCCTAACGGTCAGTCCATCGCCCAGACCTATTTTCTCTTAACGAACTGATCTCTTGCCTTGCACTTAGGGCCAAGACGAAATCGAAGCAGCACAAGAAAACTTACAAGAAACAGCTCGCGCACTAGGGAACAAAGTCGCCGAACTCATCATCTGTCCGATTTACGCAAACCTTCCGAGTGAGATGCAAGCGAAGATTTTCGAACCGACACCTGAGGGAGCGAGGAAGGTGGTACTCGCGACGAATATTGCTGAGACGTCTATTACGATTGATGGAGTGGTGTTTGTTATCGACCCAGGATTCGTGAAGCAGAACTCGTATAATCCGAGGACGGGGATGTCTTCGTTGGTGGTCGTACCGGTGAGTAATTGGACTTACGATTCTCAAAGACTTGGCTAACTTCTTCCTCCATAGTGTTCAAGAGCTTCAGCCAACCAACGAGCAGGCCGAGCCGGACGCGTAGGCCCCGGCAAAGCATTCCGCCTCTACACCAAATGGGCCTTCAACAACGAACTCGAAGAAAACACCGTCCCCGAAATCCAACGCACCAACCTCGGAATGATCGTCCTCCTCCTCAAATCCCTCGGTATTAACGACCTTATCGGGTTCGAATTCATGGACCCTCCACCAGGGGAGACTCTCATGCGCGCTTTGGAGTTGCTTTATGCATTGGGTGCCTTAAATGACCGAGGAGAACTAACGAAACTCGGTCGACGTATGGCTGAGTTCCCAGTCGATCCGATGTTATCCAAAGCCATCATCGCGAGCGAGGATTACTCATGTACAGACGAAGTCCTAACTATCATCGCTATGCTCTCCGAGTCCGGATCCATCTTCTACCGTCCAAAAGACAAGAAGCTCCACGCAGACCAGGCAAGGCAGAACTTCGTTCGAAATGGTGGAGATCATTTCACGCTTTTGAATGTATGGGAACAGTGGGCGGATACGAATTATTCGCAGCAGTTTTGTTATGAGCAGTTCTTGCAGTTTAAGAGCTTGAGTAGGGCGAGGGATATTAGGGATCAACTTGCGGGGTTGTGCGAGCGTGTGGAGATTGTTATTCAGTCGAGTCCGAATACGAATGATATCACGCCGGTTCAGAAGGCGTTGACGTCTGGGTATTTCTATAATACCGTAAGTCTCTTCATATTTACTCTCATCGGATTGAGAACAGCTTTACTGATGGATGCTTTATGTTTGAAGGCCCGACTTCAAAAGAGCGGAGACTCCTACCGAACACTCAAAACCAACCAAACCGTATACATCCACCCATCATCAAGTCTCTTCCAACACCAGCCTCCAGTGAAGTTCGTATTATACTACGAACTAGTCATGACATCCAAATCGTATTTGCGGCAAGTGATGGAGATCAAACCTTCATGGTTGCTAGAAGGTGCGTTCCCTTCATTTCGTTTCCTTCGATTGAAGTTAGTTGTGCTAAATATTCTTTTTTGTTTTTGTTTTTGTATACAGTCGCACCACACTTCTTCAAGCCGGCGGATTTAGAACAACTTGCGGTTGGTGACAAAAAGATGCCGAAGGCTGTTGGTGCTTCATCATCATCGACACCAGCATAGCATCGAATTCAATAATAAATAATGAAACGTTATTCCTGTTCCTGTTCATTGTCACTGTCTACGGGCATCTGTTATACATATTGTACATATTTCACAGAGTTCATGCTACACGATGCGTTGCAATGATTATTCTGTAATTTGCACTTTATTCTGCAAAAGTTTGTCAACAATAAATATGGCCTAGATTCATCTGAGCTCGTCAGTAAATTGGACTCACCTTGTAAAAAGCGATGTATCCTTCAATATTCTTCGCCTTTTCCTTCGTGGCTGGGTAGAACCTAGAAAGTTGCATGGTTATGAGTGACTATGTGTTCGGATGTATAATATGACGTACCAAGCAACGTCCTGAATGTTCCTACCATTAATATTCACACTATAGTAGGACGCCGTTCTAAGGACGACGGATACTCAGCGCATGTTTTACTTAAGGCAGGGTATATGTTATATGCTTACCCCTTCCACGGACAAACCGTGCTACACCAAACATAATAATGTTTAGACTACCTGAGTGTGCCACTCTAAGTGAAGCAACTTACGTTGTGTCCGAAGGAAAGAAGAGTGCAAGCTTCACATCAGCAGGAGGAAAGTAATGATTACCCTCGACTACGACAGTGTTCTCAGATTCGGCGAGGACGATATCGTCGACGGATACTCTGACCATGATGATGACTGTTACAATGTTAGTTACAAATGCTCGACTCTGAGACTCAGTAAGAGGGATGATGTCAGATGTCGGAACCGAAAGCGTCGATCGTTTCGCGCGTCAGTAATTAGAGGCACGTGATCGACACGTAGAGGGACGCGCTGGCACAACTTACTCGACCTCTACTGAGTCTATATCTACAGAATAAATTGCGCTTCACTCTGCCATCCGTCTCGTCCCGTAGTGGCGTTCGTCCCCCCCCCTCGTTTCCACCCCGTTCATTCTTAGATAGGTCGACTTAGAGGAATGGCTCTGCTAAGGTGTGTATAGCGCTGTTCTTGTATGTTTTCGGTACCGGAAAGGCCAATACACTTTGATTGATTGATAGACTGGGCATATGCGTCGTTGGCGTATACTCAATGTTTCTCGTACGTCTACCAAGTATCTAGAAATGACTTCAAGCTAACTCTGCCTTCAGTTATGGGCCATAGCCCAAGAACGACGTAAGCTCTCCGGATCCAGATCCACCGCAAATCAAAAGCTTACCTCCAACGTGTTTAGTATCAGTTCCGTTCGCCAACGTAGACGGGACTAAATCAGAGAAATTCCGTTCCGCGCTAGTGATGAGCATCTGCCAAAGCGCGTTCAGCGTCGTCTCATCTTTCATTTACATCCTCCTGCGACGAAAACCTGGAGAATCCTTAAGCGTTGCGATTGGTCTCGAACCAACGCTCGTCAAATCCAAGTCCGTAGCACCTTACAAGTCCTCAAAGTCCCGACCAAACGGAAACGGATCCGCGAATGGGACTAGCAACGGAAACGCACATCCCTCCACCAATCCTTCACCCGTCTCAACATCTATTATCCGCCGAGCTCTCCTAGTCCGATACCTCCAGTGCGCACTCCTCATAACCGCCGCCGGACCCTTCGGCTTCGCCGCCCTCGCACACATCTCCTACCCCGCAATGGTCCTCGGCAAATCCTGCAAACTCGTCCCCGTCATGCTAATGAACGTCCTCCTCTACCGCCGTCGTTTCGCTCCTCATAAATACCTCGTCGTCGCACTCGTCACTCTCGGTATCACCATGTTCATGTATTTCGGCGGTGATCACTCATCCAAGAAGCATTCTGGTAATGAATTGGTGGAGAAAGGCTCAAGTCTAATAGGCCTAACCTACCTCCTTATCAACCTCGCCATCGATGGGGCTACCAACTCCACCCAAGACGAGATCTTCGACAAATACACCGTCACAGGCCAACAAATGATGTTCTGGATCAACATCATGTCTTTCCTCGTCACAACCATCCTCGCACTCCTTCCATTACCTTACATACCCGTCTTACACCCCTCCGCAGGATGGAGCTCCGAACTCTCAAACGTCCTCCAGTTCATGCGCGAACACCCAGGTGTCGCTTGGCCACTTTTGCAATTCGCGTTTACTGGATCACTGGGTCAACTTTTCATATTTGAGACGTTGCAGCATTTTGGAAGCTTGACTCTTGTGTTTGTATTAATCCACTGCTTCGTGTTGTTGAAGTTGTCTGCTGACAATGAGTGAACGTACAGGACAATAACCCTAACCCGAAAACTCTTCACGATGATCCTCTCCGTCATAATCTACAACCACAAACTCACACGCGGACAATGGTCCGGCGCAGCAGTCGTCTTCGCCGGTATCTCAGTCGAAGCATGGATCAAACGTCGAGGTACGTCCTGCCTTCATCTTCCTTATCCTTCCCATTCTTCCCACCCTTTCCATCCTTGCTATCTTGCTATCTACGCAAAATTCATGTAAATTGCTTTATTGATGATAACTCCACTATCTCCTAAAACCTAGATGTACATGCAAAGCGAGTGATGCAGGAAAAGGAAAAAGCAGAGCTCAAGACTCTATGATTGATAGACATAACTTTATTCATGGATGGACGATGGATGATGGACGACTCCCTACGTGTGATGGAAGCTTTATAGATTAAATATTAGAAGATAGGATAATACAGAGGCGTGGCGAGAGACCAGGTGAAATTGGTCCGAATTGGCGTATCAGAGAAGAGTGAACAACAACGGCAAAACCACAAGGATGACGTTCAACGAATGACGAATAATACCGGAAGACAGAAAGAAGAATAACGAAAACCACAAAGAGCGCGAACAAACGGTCCGGAGTTGAAATTAAACCTGAAAGTGTCAGGTCTCCATAGCATCAGGATCGCGCTCTAATTCATTCGATGACGGAGTCCAAGATGTCGGAGACGCCATAGGCATATCCGTAGTCCCGTTTAACGGCCGGATCGCTCGCTTTCGACTCTCCTCTCTGCATTGTATAATTCATTCAATCAGTTGATCCTATGCTGAATGTTTTGAGTCCACACCTTAAATCTTCGTCATCGTCGCTCTCCTCTTCTCTTTTCCTCCTTGTCGGCGGACTCGCTATCCGACTTGGGTTCGACATCACAGCAATGTTCGCTTTGTATATCGATTCATACTCCTATGAAACACAAAATAACGAAGTTTCAGTTAGCATATATGTATGCATTTCAAAATGCGTCGTCAATGGGGATGATGACACAGGAACATAACAGCACAGGAACATAACAGCACAGGAACATAAAACGCATTGCACATACCTTTATTTGAGTAAGGAACCCTCCGTTGGGGGAGATACAATACCTCCGATTTTGTACCGTGTGTAACGCATCTTCCCAATTCATTTGGTAGTGCTGCATGACGTACATGACGACGAACGCAGGTGAGAGGCTGATTCCACCGTTACAATGCACGAGGGTTCGTCCGCCATTCTGAAGGGCTTCATCGATGAACTTCTTCGCTCTAGATGCATATACGCATAACACAAAGAATGAAGAATGGAGCGTCAGAATGAGTTTATCTGAATCATAGCAGAAATCATAGATATACACAAGCAATGAAAGATTGAAGATCCGTACTTTGGAAATAGGCTAATCAGGTTCTGCTCCTCGTTATCCTGTACATCTAGCGTAAGGTATACGAACCGATCCGGAAATCGTGGCTTCACAGAGAATGCCTCCTTCGCATCGCGAATGCATACTCTGCATATACATCGTATAAGAAGTCCAACGAGCAGTGAAGAAGAGCATCCGCGGTCAGTAACTTCAATCCGATCGAATAGAGGCTTAGACGTACATATGCGTAATACCTAATCGCTGCAACGTTTCCAGAGATTTCGACGCTTGGAACGGACCAAGAAGGACATTGGGTAAGATCTCTTGACATTCTCTTCGCATCTCATATCTACAACACACCCAACGCAACATCCAAGCAACTAATCAGTAACACTACTCCATAACACCAGAATCGAAATGTACAGACCGCCACTCGACGTCCGAAGGGCCCTGTATAATCTCCTTAAGCTGCTCTTCCGTGGGTGGTGGCATCGTCAGCGACATAATATGTCGGGATGTCTAGTTCGTCGATGTCAAAGGTAGAGAGTGCACAGTGCAGAGGAGGTCAGGTGCAGAGTAGATGTACAGGGCGCGGCGAGCAGCTGCAGCTGGAAGGTCAAGAGCAAAGTAGCATTCTATTGTAAGTAACCGTCTCATATGATGACATAATACACTATTACTTTATCAATCACTATAATGCGGATCCTGATCAGGCAACGTTAACAAAACAATGAATAGCTCCGTCCTCTGGCCGTTTACTTTGCTCTTTTGCTTTTTGCATCTTCTCGTTCTGCATTAGCACTTCCACCCTTCTTAGTGTGTGACGCACCTTGATAGACGCTGTGAAACACTCGAGAATGGCGCATATACATACTCTCGGATGGGACTGTTGTATGAAGAAATTGAGAAATGCTTTTTGGCCTGACTTGGACTTGTCCCATCGCGACAGAAAATACGGGCATCTACCCACTAGGGTCTTTCAAAGCAAAGTGGTACTGCTGCCAAGGACGAGTTCTATAAATACAATAAACTTATCGTTTCGACTACCCTCTCTGGAAATCTGCTTTGTGGTACTGCCCTTGCTAGCTCGAACCTCTTGCCTCTTTGTCTCTAGACGATGCGACTCTGCTGTGCTTGTAGACGGAGTGTATCAACTTGTATTCGCCGCGGTACCATTGAACTCAACCTACATAACCGGGTCATGAAGCAAATCAAAGCAAATAGGACATCCATAATATGAAAAAAATATAATGACAATGTATTCTACAAAGCTTTCCGACGAGAGTCTAAAATCCGTATATGCAAAATAATACAGTCATAGAGCCAAGATAAATCAAGTCTGCTCCTTCCTAAATCTCTCCGGGAAGATCATTAAGCACCCTCCAAACAGCTTCCCGATTCTTCTCCCATAGCTCCTCCTTAAACCTTTCGAACCCACTGGACGATCTTCGCCAACCACCTTCAATCATCTCTTGTACGTCGTCCTCGTATTTTTTGTACCCGTCTGTCTGCGTGCTTACGACTGCGTTGCTTTGCGAGAGCTTCCATTTTACTCCTCGTAGTGCACCTAGTGCGTGTACCTCACGCAGAGCCTGTGGGCGGACGATAGTAACTCGGTCGTCGTCGATGTATCCATACGCGTTTCGCATGCGTCGTGAAGCCAATATCGGGACCTGCATGAACATGATCGTTTAGGAATACTGACAGAGAGAACAAAACAACACGGGAGGCTTACGTTACATTGGACAGCCATTGCTACGGTCGAGCTCGCTTGGTAGTCATAATCTGCCAAAAAAAATCAGACGCTCAGTAGATCGTCCGTGTATTCGAGAAACAGCAAGAGGCACGTACAATCCTTATTCACAAACGCCGGGACAACCACGTCCATACTCTGCATCAACGCATAGAAGTCCACATAATCCAATCCATTATGTATAAAAACGATATTCGACAACGCTTTCGGAATATCCAGTTGTCCATCTCCAAGTAAATGGAGTTCGAACGGTTCATTGGGAGAATCAAACAGCGGCTCATACACATCCCTATCGTATCCTAAGGGCCGGTACCCCCAAGTCTGTGAATCATCTAAAATCACGATACGTCAGAAACAAAACTCAATCATCCCGGACACACTCGCTGATGTACAAACGCACGTTTCAACACCTCAAGCAAATCTGCAAAGATATGCGGATAATCCCTCCTATCGATCTGGAAATTCCCCTGAATTACGGCACGCGAAAGCTTCGTAGATTCTCTCCGTTGTCCATACTCAGGTAAATCCAATACAGGCGCATGTACGTCGATATCAATATACTCGTACAGCGCGCTGTAGATATCCGGCTCGGGACTATCGGCTAACTCTTGGAAGTACGTTCGGAAGGCACGGCCAACACTAATGAACGTAAATTTCAAAAATCAGTGATGTTCTCGACAATACAATTCAATAGGTCTTATCTGAAGACCGTAATGTATACAGATAGATGAGAATATACTGACTGGTATCCAATAGGAAGAAGCCGAATGGCGCCTCTCGCCGCCCAGGGTGTGATGTGTTTCTGCCATCTTGTATCTCGAAAATGATGCACAGTACAGACGACTTTGAATTTCTGGTCTGCTGGTCGAGCGTCCCAAATTGCAAGCAACTCGTCTGACCACCGGGGCATACTACCGACAAAACAGTAAAACGAAACGAGGGGGATCAGCGGGATGAAACTGATGAAATGCATGGAAGAGAGGGCTTACTCTACTTCGCAAGTCCCGAAAAGCACTAAATCAATCATTCCGTCGCCAAGTCCATTCCCATCTTCAGACGTCGCATTCATTGCCCTTATGAAGTCATCCGGATCCCGTATAGGTTGGTCATACAAGTCAAGAGCATCAACAACGTCCTGAAACCCGTGGCGCAGCGGTGTACGCGCAAATACTTGCAAACTTCCTCGATCCCCCAATACTTGACGAATTGTATGCGCAGTTGCAAGATGGACGTCGAAATGCTGCGAGAACTCGCTCGCAACGACGACATTCCGCCTCTTAGGCATACCACCACCCTTCATCCCTCCAGTCCCATTCATCCGGAATCGTGAAGTCAAGTCATGTTTTGAGCTAGCTAACACCACTAAGAGGAAAGCGCATATGGCCACAAGGAGCAAATAAGTTATGCGTCGACGCTGGAAATGTGATATTCTCGAGGATTTCTCGAGAGGTGAGTACATCGCGAAGCACGAGCACCAGAGAATCAAGATATGCAGCTGAGAGAGGAGGGGGAGCCAAGCTAGAGGTGTCAAGGTGTCATGCTATGGGAGAGGGGAGCGGGCGGGGTCAGTCGGGATATATGTATGTATGCTAGCATGCCGCCCATGGCATGGCATAAGTAGACCCTGATACAAGCACAGACGGCTCGGCCAAGTGTCGCCTCCATTGAATGATTTGAATCATCATTGAATTGCAGTGCTCGGTCAAGTAACCGATCGAATATCGAAATAAGGGGGTGTCACTGGATCATTGAATCTGGATAAGACAATCCCGACCTCTCTGTCTCCGCTCCGAACGTCTAACACAAATGGATTCGCGTACGTTCCCGAGATGATTCCAGTGCTGGCGCGGATAAACAAACAAAGAAGAGTGTTTGTCTCGGTGTGTCGGATACTTGATAAGGTAATTCGGCACCGACGTATTTAGTAAGGTCTACTCTACCAAAGTCAAAGGAAATTTTGATTGTGGGGAACACTTTTCCTTGGCATACACAGCATAACAGGTCCCACACTCAATTTAACAGTCGACTAGAGCAAGCGGTCTACACTGACCATTACTCCATAAAACAGCCATACAAACAAACATCTCGTCAAATTGTGCCTGGCAGTATCGAAATACCAGGATATCACCGTCAACAAACGGCTTCCCGCGCACGTCCATGCGGACCACGAGCGTCAGAAGTCAGAAGGATTGACGTGTCGTTGATATGACGGACTTAAGTCTAGGTACCGTACGCTCTATGCGCGACATCAACAAAGGATCGAAATGCATCAAGAATATCCTTGGATTCGGATAAGACACTCACGTACATGGTAACACACAGCATAATTTTGACATGCAACTAGCCTTAATGAAGTCTTAGATAAAGTATATTAGATAGCCATTCAGTTGAACAAAGAGTAGTGTCTCGCAAGGATTTACAATTCTGCGACAATGAAAGCAATTAACCAAGACGATGTTCCTGTCGTCGATTATCTAATCTCCTTCTAAATTAGGAAGCTATCTACTGCGTCGATCCTAATCTGACGTCGATGTAAAAAAAATCATTCTCGTCTTGCACGCGAACTCTGCGAAAGCAAAAGCAATGGCAGCTGCATCAATCAACCCTCCTAACCCTCGCAAACGCACTAGAAAACGTCGCAAAAGGCGTAACGTCTCCTCTTCCTCTTCTTCCTCCGAAATATCCGATTCTTCGTCCTCTTCGTCAGACTCGGAGAACGAAAACGAAAACGAACCCTCAACAGTGAAGATACCGCAGAAACCACCTGCAAAAGCAGTCGTAGCTTCAAAAGAGTCCTCATCAAGCTCGGAATCGTCAGCAGACTCGGATTCAGATTCAGACTCGTCAATTCCATTCCGCAAACCTCCCGCTGCAACAGAAACCCAATCAACATTAGCAGAACCAGACGGAGAAACGGCAGCTCCTCACGTCCCTCCCGTATCCTCTTCCACAACCACGCAAAAACACACTCGAGCTCTCTCACCCCCGCCTCTCAAGAACGTACCCGAGCCAAGTATCCTCGATGGTGACAAAGCACACGAAGAAGCCCTCCGCGCACGGTTCCGTCAATTCTGGCTTGGCAGCGTCGCAGACGCCTTTGCGGATGATTTGAACGAAATTCGGAAGGTGTGTATCTATTTCTAGCATCCTGTCTCTCTCTTTGTTTTCTTTCCTGGCGGAATTTTAGCCTTCTGTCTTTCTTTACTTTCCGTTGTTTTGATATATGGTCATGTGATAACGAACAATGACTAACGCATTCCCTATTCTGATAACAGGAACCAAACTTAACACCCGCCCGTCTCTCCCTCCTCATCGACTCCCTCGCAGCGGGTGCAGACATCTACACTAGCTCTAGCAACTCGCCAAAGACAAATTCAAAATCAAACCCAACTTCAAACGAAAAAGGGAAAGCCCAAATAAACGAAATGGAAGTCATCCTCGGCGAAAGCGAGTAAACGAAACAGACTTTTCACCTTCAATCTACAGTACATCTAGCGGTACGCAATATCCGTTCTGGACGGTGGTGGACCCGCGCTTGTTTTTTTATCTTTTCTCTTCGGGTGCACATGCATTTGTACATGCATAACGACAGGTAGATAGACGCCCTGATCCATGATCTGCATCCGACATTCTCGTATCGTCATGTCCACTCCGCGCGCGCAACAATCCGTTCACGTCGTACCTTCGTGCCTTGAACGATCCGATCCGTCGCCGTCGAACTATACAGATACCGCCCAACTTATCTATCTAGCCGCCCAACTCACTTTCCAGACCATAACATGTATTGCTATTTTCTTTTTTCGTGCTTTCTCAGGATGCCTTCCATCGACTCGAGGTTCCCGTCCTTCCCACCTAATCAACCATCTACACCCTAATTCTATAAATCACACAAGAATGCTTTATCCATGTGGTCTACTCGTCATACTAGTATCACTATCCTTACACTTATATATATCCTTACACACACTACACACACTACACTGTCTCACAATTAGCTCTACACACATGTTTTACATGTGTAATTGTACCATCTTCCCGAGTACCTCCCACATGTATCTAATGCTACTTAAATTTACAAACCGCACGTCCCTGTCATTGTCAACCGCTCACACGCAACGACAATATCCAACAATCAAAGTTAAATGTAATTACTATTTCAAACATGTAGAAACATGTAGGAGAGGGTGGTGCAACACAGTAGCAGTAGTAGAGATAGAAAAAGAAGAAAAAAGAAAAAAGAAAAGGCACAAAAGCGGTAGGAGAAAAGAGGAAGAGGAAGACCAAGGGTGAGAGACTTAGAGGAGAGAGGTGGGAGAAAGGAGATGGGAGGAGGTTGGGTATCGGGACGTAAGATAAATGTATAAAGTGATAAAACCACTACCATATATGCGCCCTCGCGCCATAGAAAATAACGCGTCGTCATTTGGCGGCTAATGGCTAATGGCTTCACAACGTTCCAAAATTATGAACTGAACATAGCGATTCCTCGGCAGGCGGACAAACTGCGGTCCTTTCAAGAATGCAGAGCAGGAGTGCGATATGCACGGCACGTAGAACTCCATCGAAACCGAGTTAATATCGAGCTCCACAACGGTGACGCTCCCCAGGACAGGCATCCAGGAATAGACCATCGGTACGCAATAGGTTCCGAGTGGGGGCGTTACCACTCAATTCGTCGAGGCATGCGCAACTCGGAAGCACCGAAGCCATAAGCAGCAAATTTGTCCTAGCAGGGGTAGGGCGCTACCAATCACAACGCAGGCGCAAATAATGTTCACTGCTCAAGCGCTTCACCGAAAAATGCACAAAAAAAGAAAGAAGAAAAAAAAATCAACTTGCAAATGGAATAAAGCAAAGGAAGAAAGTAGTGGGCGGGAATAAACATAAGCCAGAATAACGTTGAGTGTAGACACAGAAGAGGTTGAACGTGAGACGTGAAGCAGTTGTAGGAATGATGTAAGAGAAGAGCAATAAGTAAATGTAAAGAACGACGCGCGGTGGGGAGATGTGCTCTGATGAGAGAGCGGGTAAGTTGCAAGTCGTATACAAGTCCAAGGTAGATAGGTAGGCGGATAGGTGGGGAATGGAGGGAGGGAAGGAAGGAAATTTCGGGGTGAGGAACAAGGTGGGAAGACGGAGTGCGTAAGAGGTGAAGAGTCTGGGAAGAGAGGAAAGGGTGTGCAGAAGAAGATGGACGATTATCACGGCCAGGGCAAGTTGACGGGGCTTGATGAGGTACACAGTAGTTGCCGCTAGAAGGCCAGACCACAGAACAATACGTCACAAAGCATACCAATGATCGAGAAATTGCGAGGAGTGAGAGCTGTGAATCAAGAGTGAACACTGCAACAGCGTAGGACAGCACGAACGAACGGATGGAAAAGGCGGAGAAAACAACCAGAAACCCCATACAAGTAAAAGGAAATTTGAACGGACAGTTGTTAATTGGGCGACAACTTCAACATCACCCTGTACTGTTCCGTGGTGTGCTGTGCCTTGTTGCAGTCGCAGTGTCGGCACCATCATCGCTTAGCGTCTCAACACGAACGCCCCGTGAAGAACCCACACTCCGGATATCCCGCCCTTCCTCAGCTAGTTCTCGACTAAGCAGCTCTGGATGATCCGATATCGCCTCAGGACTTTCACCTTCCTCCACTGTCTGGTCGGCGAACTCGGGTTTTCTCAATGCCTTACGGAACGCCTCAGCCATCACTGCCGCATCCGCACCTGAGAACAAATTTTCACTCGTTGACGAGGCTCCGTCGTTTTCAGGCGCAACCGAAGAAGCCGCTCTCCCTGCCACCGCACCACCCAAAATTCCCGCACCTAATGCCTGTCCGGTTTCACCAGTTTCCATCTGAGGGGAAAGAGGTCCGGTTTGCTGAGCGTTTGCCATATTCGCCATCATCGGAGATTGTGAACCCATTGAACCCCGACGCGAAGGGTCATATCGTCTCCGGCGGGCACGGGCAATGACCAGGAAAATAAGAGCTACGAGCGCGGCAAGTGCGAGAAACCCAAGAATCACGATGACGGCGATTGCCCATCGTGGGAATGGCGAGTTATTGCTTGCATCCTGGACATTCCCCCCAGACGTCGAGCTTGTCAGACCATCACTCGTCTGCGTCGAATGGAGTGACGAAGAAGCAGCTGCGGCCGACGAAGACGCTGCGGCGACGGAGGCAGATGACATCGATGCGATGACTGAAGCTGGGAAGGTCGTTTCTATTGCCCGTAATCAGCTTTCGGAAGCAAACAAAAAAGGTAGAGGTACTTACGGACTGCAGTAAACGTCGACTGCGGCTGGCCTGAAATAACCGGTGTACCACTCGCAACGACGGCAAAATAGAAAGGGAATGGCGTGGGTGACCCGTCCCATGAAGGGCCTTGCGACCCCCACCACTCGTCTTCCGTAGTAATGGGAAGGCTCCCAGCTCTATTCGAAGGATTTGTCGTGTCGTTCCATTGTCGCACGATCTGGCCCGTATCTGCACGAAACAAGGCTATGTCAACCAGATTAAACTGCGTGAATGAAGGTAATCTGCTGTTCCCTGTTGAGTCCAGTGAGAGTCCAGTGAGAAACACGCCGAGAAAACTAAGTGATATCGGAAAGACGTACATATAAACGCAGAGGAATCATTCTGTTCAATGACAGTCGCGTTTGTCGGCCAACATGACACGACGGAATTATCGGAGTCAAAACATTCATTCATTGCCTCCTCTACACAGAAAAAACCAACAGACGACACGAAAATCGGATAGCACGAGGTTAACTCCAATGCTTCAACACGATGCAGGGATGTCCGTACCTATCTGTGTCTGATTTGCTATAGTAGCGCGGGCCATCTTGGGTGTGCGAGCGTGCACCTCCATCCCAGAGCGTTTCCTCTTGCCGGGATGCAAAGGCGGAGTCAACGGAGTCTGGGCGGGCCATGGCGCTGCCGAAGAGCGCGAGGATGACATTTACGGGAAGAAAGACAGCTATGAAGAGCGAATATGAAAGGGCAAGTAAGAGTAGAAGAGGGAAGAGAGGGAAAGAACGATGAAGTGATGGTGACGAAGGTGCAAGCTAAGAGTGTGGAGCTATGCAACCATAATCAGACAACTCGAACAACCAAGGGCACCGGGCGCGGCAGGCAACGCACAGTTATGCGAGGACAGCTGCAAGAGGCCGATGGCGACGCTGGAAAGGTCGCACACTTGAACGTTGAGCGCCGGGGAGAGCGTGGACGATATGGACAACGATGGCGGCAGGAGTCGAGCAGACGGGAGGCCTCGCGTGTAGCCCTAGGCGGCTGCGAATCTATTTCCTCATTCGGTTATTCGGCCATGGGTTCTGGACCCACATCGCAATAATTTTTTTGCTGGATCATCAGTGTCATCTGCATCTCCATTGTTCCATATCATAACGCTCATTATGCATCTCTGCGACCCATCAGGCTCAATATTTTGTGATTACAGGAGATACACAGACAGTTCGCATTGAGGAAACAAATGCTTAAAATTGGACACGGGGGAACAACTCGCCGGCAGTGGGAACCCGTCTAGCGTCCCACGGCTATTTTATTGCTCTCTAGGGACAAGACGGGATTTTGTCCCGCAAACACGGCGCCCCTCAGAGAACCAGGAGACAACAAATTTACAAAACGGATCTCGTCTTTTCTCGTCCTTTTCGTCCTTTGCCTCATCCCCATCCCCATTAGCACCATGGCCCAGACCCTTCCGTCTGCAAGGGGCAAAGCTCGCGTGATCTCAGACGCGTTCCGTCCCTCTCCTGAAATTATCCAGTTCCTATCCCGTGTTGTCTCTCCTCTCCAGGTCTCCTGCCAACCCGCCCTCATCTCGTTTCATCTAACGCGTGGGTGATTGTCGACTCGTCGAGCACGCGATCATCTCCTTTCACGGTCAACTCTTACTGGTCCCGATCTATAAAACTACCAGCGCGGGCTTTGCGCCGAAGCGCTCAATTTCCACCGCGATTATTCAATATCACTTCTCTTGCTGCTACGTAATTGCCGCGCTTGCTGCAGACACTTTTGTCGTGAGTTTCGCATTGCCCGATTGAGTTGTGAGGGTGTTTGTGCGCATGTTCCTCGAGATCAGCACTGATCAGCGGCGAAATCCCGGTGATCGGATGTCCTCGGTCCGCTCTCGGTCTCTATTCCCCGTTCCTGTCATATATTTATATTATATTCCACCTCCTCTCCTCCACTAATCCTCATTGCACCTCAGCACTTTCTCTCAACCCGCTCAATCAAGCCAAACGGCCAACGGGCAATCGGCAACACCAACATCCTTTTAGACCTTGGCACTTTCTCAAATTACTCCAACGAAACTGACCTCGTGAACACACTTGCCACACCAAAAGCAGCTTTCTTATGAGCTAGAAGATCGCTTTCTGATCCATATGTAGCTTCGCGCTCGGCGAAGCGACGAAGATCTTCCGCTTTAGTAATAGAATCCAAAACTTTCCAAAGAATAATTACTTCACGAAAAAGGATATCGTGCTTTTCCATCCAGAGAAATTACTAGGTTCTTCCGTTCGGGAAATACGTAAGCCGCCTTCATAAAGAAGATCGCTTCACTCATTTCTGTTTCGTAGCCTTTCGCTTGTGTTTGAAACTTGCTTGCTTTTTTGTCTTTCGCGCTTGTGGAGGTTATTTGACGTGAACAGAATTCTCTTGCATTTAAAGCTGTATTTCGGAACAAAGGACGTACAGGAATGAAACTAACTTACAGTCGTCCCACGACCAACAATTTTACATGCATCTTCACTCAAGGTTGGCACTAGTATGCCGACCGCAGAGCTAGTACAGCTAGTGATGCAATTTCTGACGATAACAGGACGCTCCCGGCGGGAAAAAGAAGAGTTCTATAAACAACTCTATTTGACCATCTTCTGCCTCTGGAAATTCCATGATTCTACAGATTCGCTACACTCTTCCCTGTAGACTTTGTTTCTCAGCTGGATTATGGATCTAGGTCGCTCTACTACGTGCTTTTGTACCAATGCTCAGGTTTTTCTTACACGAGACACGCTTGCAAGATCTATTGCGGAGATAAAAGATTTACATCTTTCACGTACGATTCAATCCGACTCCGAACCCGACTCCGAGTGCGGCTGGGTTACAAATGCATACATCCTATGGTTTCTTCTTCCGTACTGTCGTCTTCTCTTCTATTAGAAAGCCTGACTGTATGCATCTGGAATGCTGCGTTTTCGGTCTTCAAATAAATACATATCTAGCAAGAAACGTCCACACTCTTTCCTTCTGATGGGAGGTGGAGGGATCTTGGAATTAACCGACTGCCAAATCCCTGTGTTTGTTTATATAGCTGCTGTTTATTCAACTACTGGCTTTTTGTTGGCAGTCTAGTCTTCCAATTTCTCATATCCTCTCCTCTCCTTTTCCCTTGGAGTCCTATCAGGTACAACTCCTTATTCCTTACCTGCCCTTTCTTCCTTCAATATTACTATCGAGTGACAGCCACAGGAGGTTTCTACCTGGATTCTGATGGAAAGAAAGGCCACAGTTGCAGATTAACCGACTTCACACCCGTTTAATCTCCTATGTAGGACTTTCCATCATATATACGAGTCGTCTGTTGTTTCTAAATAGCCCTCAAGTTTCCCCTTTCTCGAGTCATTTTCCTAAAAAGTTTTATGTATCTCCATTCACAATTTTTGCACAAATACAAGGTTGATGCAAGTATACAATCAAAGAAGTCTAGTCAATTAGTCACAGAGCGCCTAAGTGCATGCTCCGACCAGCCTTTACGAAATCGTTTATTTTTAATTATTACTCCAGGTAAACTACAGCCTACGTATGAATGACAATACTAATTTCCCACCTACTATCAGTACTTCGCTTTCAGTTTTACCCCTTCCCAATCATCCCCGTCCAATCAAACTTATCATACTTCTTCCTAAACTTCTCAACTCGTTCCCTATTATATCGGAAATCAACACGTTTCGGTCTTCGCCACCGACGAGGCTCGAGGTCAAGCATGTTTCCTATGATCTCGGCTGCAAAGTACCTAAAGTGGTATTAAGGTTGAAAGAAAAAAACAGTCGGTCAATGTTAATGAACCGCAGTTTGCAACAAATAATTGAGGGGGGAGACGGGAGAAGACAAGGAGACGTACTTAGGAAACTCCCCTCCTCCCTTCTCGCCCTCATCAATAGCCCCATCACCCTCACCCTCACCCGCCGCCTCCCCAGTCCCCTCAATAACATGCCCATACCCCTTCTCCCCCTTATAATCAAACTGTACCATAAAATACGGTAAATTCGGTACCATAGCCCTCCTAAACCCACCAGGCCTTGCAGAAAAATCAATCAACTTCTTATGTTGCGTCCATTCCGTCTCACTCGCCAATATACTCTCCCGGAAATAGGCGGGAGCGTCTTCGAATTGCGCCCAGGGTAAGGGGACACATTCGATTACTGTGTGGGCTTGATGTTTGAGGTTGAGGACTGTTTCGTAGAAGAGGACGCCTCTGTCTTGGGAGGCGAACATCCGCATGAGGCATTTCATGAAATTCTATACACAAAATTTTAGAGTTAATTACTGTGTGAGATGTACCTTGTGGAACATACGTACCCGTACTTCGTCCCATAAATCGTCGTCGCCTTCGAGCATGTTTAGGAGATGCGGAATTGGTACAATAAGACAGTGGCCTTCGACTAATTCTTGAGTGAGCGTGCATGATAAGAAACAGCGCGTCGCCATTGCTATAACGGGTGCCTTGGGAGGCGAATCGTCTTCGCCATAACAGTACGGACACGATGCCAGAACTTTCTGCGTTTTCTTGTAATCTAAAAACGCACCATCAACATATGCAGAAGACAAGAACCAAAAGGACAATTGCAAGCGTACCATTAATAGCAAACTGTCGCCTCATCGCATCCGTCCGCATCTTCTTCCGTCCAAGTCGCTCAGCATTATCATCCATATAATCAAGATCATTAACGAAACCCCCATCGCGCGTAATAGCAGCAGCGAACTCCGCATCCAAATTCTTCTGGTCTGCAGCACCCGCACCAAACCGTTCTTGACGAAGCATCTCCCCAAGTGTCAAGTCATCATCGTCCGCATTGTAGCGTACGATCTCGCCCGTCTTTGGGTCGCGAGTCTCGACTTTGTCTAATTTCCTCTTCTTGCTTCGATTACCGGGTAAAGGTCCTTCATCTTCTCTGCCCGCACCGACGTCGTATAGCCGCCCACGCGCGTCAAGTGTCGGAAGAACTTCCAGTCGTGTTTTAGTCTTCTTCCCAGCGCCGCCATCTTCATCGTCGTCGTTATCCCCGCCTCGTTCTACAATATAACTACCAGATGCACGTCGTTGCTCTTCTTCATATTCTTTTTCGAGCTTCTCGGCGTCCGGTGCACCCATGAGCTTTGCGCGCAACACGCGAGCTTGTAAGCGATTTAGCTCCTCAGTTGTCAGTATTTTCTTGCCTGACGTGGAAGCAAGTGAGGGCGGGGTCATCACGGTCGGAACAGGTGTATGCGACATAGACAGTGGACTGCCTTTAGGCGGCATCCGAAGTGATTCAACGCGTTTATTTGGTACGGGTGGTCCACCACTCGGTGCTGGTGAAGGGGTCGATGGAGCACTTTCACCAGGGCGACGGAAGGATGAAGAACGAGATGAAGATGCCGAGGCTCCTACTTCCGTGAACATCCAGCGTTGTTCACGACCACGTTCTCCATCTTGTTCATTACGCTCGCGACCACGTTCATTCTCGCGTCTGCCATCCCTACGAGAGCCACGTCTGCCTTCTCGTTCATCTAGAATGCGTCTCTCTTCCTTCGCTTCCTCAAAAGCCTCCAGTGTACCGAACCTCTCAAGTGCGACTTCCTCCACAGGTTTACCTTCATCTTCTGCAGCCTCATAGACACGTCTGAGTTTCATCATACGCCAGTTAGAACCAGGACCGCCAGGCGTTGCCGCTTTTGGAGCTGAGTGTGGGTACTGGTCAAGAGGGATCCCCTGGACCAAGTTTGCATTTAATTCTCTCGAGCTGACTTTTTGCTGTAATCATGACGGGTTGAATATAAAACGTGAACACGAGTAATACTGAAAACAAAGAGTTATCATATATACCTTTTCCGGATCTGGTCTGTCCTCCTTCTGCTTCCTCTTACGTTCCGTACCCAAGTTCGAGAAGAAATCGACACCACCTCCAAGTGTCCGCCCATTCTCAACTGGTTCTCCATAGTCCTCAGTAAGTGATTCGTTTCCCGTTGGAATTTGGATTCTAGATGAGCCTGCTGCTGGAGTAGGTACGCTCACAGAAGACGGAGGGAGTAACATCCATTCGTCACGAATAAGCTTTGTCTCTGCAGGTCGAGTGGAGGGCAAAGGTGGATCGTCTGGAGAGGCTGTTGCATGAGATTTGAGTTTGAGACTCTCTGCTGTTGGTATATCGGTAGCCACAGGCTATAATAATTCATGCATTAGATAAAGGGCACGTCATTGAGAGAAAGCACTCACATTCTCGCCATCCATGTCAATGTTCTTCTCAACCCACATGTCTTCGTCAGGATCATCGTCAATGACCTTGACTTTCTTCTCGTGTCGTCTCTTATGTTTATCCTCCTTATCGTGTTTATGTCTTTTTTTGCCCCTCTTCTCTCCTCCATCGTCATGCTCGTGGTGTCGTCTATGCTTTGAAGACCGTTGTTTCTTTTCGTCTTCCATGATGGTTGAATTGAATGACTGCAAGCTACTTAGTTCACGTGCGTCATGCATGGATGGAAGAGACGCGTCGATCACTGCCGATCGTTAACAATTGATAAATACGCACATGATTGAGCAATGTTTATGTTACTGTAGCCGGATATCTCTTGCTGCAACTACGAGGACACAGGCATAATGCTATTTGCAAGGGCTACTTATGTTGCTTCAATAATAAGGCGCAGAAGCCTTCCATTTATCCAGCAAGTCCGAAATGTCAGTCAATCCAGTGAATTTAAGGATCTCGATGGCGACCGTCCTCGACGCTCCTACCTATACGGTGAGTACTAAACGGTAAACTTACACAAATACTTCTACAATCAACTCAATATGTTCCTCGGCAGTCCCATGCTCATCAGAGCGCATGCTAAATAAATCACTCGAAACACCGTCAGACGTGATAATCTACGACCTCGAAGATAGCGTCGCCCCCGATGCCAAGGCAGGTGCTCGTACGGCCTTGGGCAAATTCTTCAATGTTAGCACACAGTTCTATCTATTCCAACCCCGAAAGCTTAAAATTAGAAATCCCATACGATCGGATCGAATCGAATCGACGCCGGAATAGACTCGACATGAACCGCCATTACCACTTTCTTCCCGCGTAGCCGTCAGATTGAACGCAGTCGACACGCCTTATTTCGAAGAGGACGTTCGTGCAGCGGTAAGCAAGTGTCATTAACAACCCTCTATATCTCCGTCAACACTAATACTCGATTATTCACATATGGTTACTATTATCTTATTTAAAAAAAAACAGGTTTCAATCCCACACGTCCGCACACTCGTCCTCCCCAAAATCCACTCCGCCGAGCACCTCGACGACGTAGCCGAACTCGTTTCCTGGGCGTCCAGCTCTGCAACACCGCAGCCTCGAACACAACCACTGCGTTTGGTCGCCAGTATCGAGAGTGCTCGTGGATTATGGAATATCGGACATATTGCCGAGTGGAAATCGCATAATGGACCTACGGGAGGCGTGCTTAGAGCTTTACTTGTACGTATCTCTGCTATGTTCCTCTCTGGTATACATTATTTCCTGGGTCTTACATTTATTGTTTTATTATTCGTACATGTAGTTTGCAGCAGAAGACTGTACGTCTTCCCCCTCCTCGTCCTACCCCTCCACTAACCCACTAACCATCCCACCCACCACAGTCTGCGCAGACACATCCATTATCCGCACACCCTCCCGCCTCGAACTCCTCCACACCCGCTCCCAAATAGTCCTCGCCGCAAAAGCCTTCCAACTCGAAGCAATCGACATGGTCTGCGTAAACTATAAAGACCCCTCCTACCTCCTCGACGAATGTCAAGACGGTCGTCGACTAGGCTTCACTGGTAAACAAGCTATTCATCCTGCTCAGGTGGAGACTATTCAGAAGACGTTCGTGCCTACTGAGAAGGGTTCGTTTTTTTTCGATCCGTTCAACGTCTTCGTTCACTGAAAATTATCTTTCTTGCTTCTCGCCTTTAACTAATTAATTTACTGTTTTTCTTTTACTGTTATTTGAACCAGAGATCCTCCGCGCAGCACGTATAGTCTCAGCAATGCAAGCCTCCCACCTCGAAGGCCGCGGCGCCTTCGGCCTCGACCTCTCAGACGGTTCAGGCAGTCGAGAAATGATCGATGCACCCATGTTGAAACAGGTCAGTTCTCTTTCTACCAAGCCAAGTTAAACCCAAGATGACTTCAGACACAATCCCTTTTTTACCATGTCTTTTATTCACGAGTGATTGACTGATTATTTGTCTTGTTTCGTATTGTTTTGTAGGCTGAAAATGTGCTTCGGGTAGCAAAAGCCGCTGGTCTGGAAATCCCTGAGGTTTAACGGAACGAACGAAAATGAAGATGGGATGGAATGTAAGATTGTATTTTTCTTCAAATCACAGAAATTGTATAGCAGCAAGCCCTCTCTGCCTACAAGCATGCAAAGCCACTGGACCTAAAGAATATTAATCAAAAGGGACATCCGTCTCTAGTCACCTCTCACTAAAAGTTTGGCAAAGCAAAAACACTTAACACAAGCATATGATTACTGCCCAACTAACCAACTTTCCATACCAAACAGTAAGAAAACACTGCAACCCAACTCAGATCGAGAGCAGGAAGCAGAGACTGCCATGTTCCACATTCATTACCATACCATACACATCAGTACCCAGCACTCAGACCACTGCTTAAGAGAGAAAAGGAAAAGGAAAAGAAGGAATAATACAACGCATCTGGATTCAAGATTCTAAAGTCATCATCAAACTTGTTGAGAGGTTAAAATGAGTTGATATAAAATCAAAGACACAGAACAAGATAACCAAAGGAGGAAGGAAAAGAAAAGAAGAGCGGGAGAAAAAAATGTATGCGCGAGAGCTCAGTCAATCAAAACAGGCTATGTACTTGCAGCTGAAACCGTGGGCGGTGAACGATGAGCGATGACATACAGAAGATTGCGGTGAACAGCAGGGGCTCCGGAGAACGAACTGGTATAGAAGTCTGACGCGGAGCTTAGCGGGGTTATGACTGAGTCCGTCTGGAGAGCTGTCTCATCAACATCTCATACCTAATTACACAAACGCAACCAAGAAGAAAAGATCAGTACACAATTACACAGAGAGAAAAACATAGCGAAAGAAACTCACGTCAACAGCGTAACAGCACTATTAGGCACGGTCCTAATCAAATTCACCGATAACCCCTTATACAATCCTCTCCACCCTTCCTTCCTAATAATCTTCTTCGTCGTATGCACCACCCCACCTCTCTGCGACTGCTGTATCCTCCGCACATCCTCCGCACTACCGACGTCCGGCCCCGGAGGCTGTGTCTTCGGAAGCTGCTCCGCGAGTAGCCGACGTTGAGTTTGCAAGCGCGTACGTACGACTTCGTGTGGGTAGGTTGCGAGTGAAGCGCACATCTTGGCTGTACCGGAACATCCTAGGATTTGAGTGCTTGTTAAGGGAGTATCGGACCTTCCTTCTGTGAACCAGATTGACATTAGTAAATATGTATGGAAACATTTAATGCGAGAGTCACTTACGCGCCCATTCCTTAAGTTTCTCGTATAGCGGGAACTGCACAGCGACATGTGTAATACCAAGCAAGCTAGGGAAAAGACCTCTGTAGAACGCAGCTACACCTTCAGTCCGGTAAATCGTAAGGAATGCATCTAGAGTATGTCGGTATCTCCCTTCCGATGGAGGTTGAGTCTGCAACAAGCACACTTCTTCATGAGCATTTCCCAACAAAGCACGTTATTTAAAGGACAGCGATACAAACTCACCATGAAGCGAGTCTTGATAACCCATAACGGATTCGTCACAATCGTACTACACGCCCCCGCGCTCATCGCAGATAACAAATGCAAACCCCACGGATGCTCGCGAACGAGTGGCTGATAGCCCTTTGCCTGCGCTGCGGGATATATCTGTGGTTTCGTCCTACCTCCCTCTCTACGCGGAGCCTCACTTTGTCGTACTGTCGCACCAAGCGGCAACTCGCCGAAATACGTCTTCACGCCATCGTAAACAGCAAAGTAGATCGCCCAAGTTGGGAGATACCCAAGGATCGTCGGCCCAAGTCCACGGTATAGACCGCGCACACCGTCTGTGTATAAGATATGCTTGGCCGTACCTTTTGTAGTAGGTTATTGCAAGTACAAATAAGCGCACGAGGTAAACAAAAAGAGGACGAGAACGCTCACCGAAGACACCTTTATACGCCCTATCGCCATGTCGAACTCTTTGCGCCTGGAGCTTCGTCTTAATCACGTCAAGTGGACAAGTCGCAACGCTAGCAACCAAACCACCACCTGCACCGGCTGTAGTACAGTGATTGAGTCACCGCGCATTAACGACGACGACCAACGTCATAGTCAGCAGCCAATGCTTGCGGAAAGGCTGGGTGGGCTCACCAATCATGCTGTTGTTCGCCGTCCATCTTCGGTCACCCCGCATGTCTCTCCCCAGCGGGGCGTAGATGAGCAAGGGTCGTCGTCGTTGCGGACGTCGTGCGGCGAAGAAGCCTTGGTTGTGGCAGAGAGAGGGAGAACAAGATAGATTGAATCCAAAGGGAGATGGGTTGGCGCGGAGTAAGCAGCGATGATATTCTTTGATCGATCATCGCATCACGTAATAACGGTCCTTGTCCCCAATAACTCAACTGGCATAAAGTACATCTCAATTATATTACATATAAACCCATATCCTACATCAAATTACGCCATAAATACAGTACACAGTCTACGATATATTCATGCCCAGTTTCTCCGCTAGGGTCTCCATATATACCTCTATTAATCGGGAAAGTATATTTAGCTCAACAAAGTGTGGCACACGATCGATCTTACCGGTTTGATGCCGTAGCCTCCAGTACTCGCTCAGTAACTCGCCGAGTTCGGCCTCGTTCTTCCGTAAATGCTCTTTCATCTGTAGTGCAGCGTCAGTACCGATTTATTCGTTTGAGAAGGAATCCAGAAGACCTTTCGCTCAACCGCGTCAGCCTCCTGCTTCGTCTCCTCCACAAGCTTGTCATTCTCCTTGCGTTCCTCCGCCATCTCGCTGTAGTCACGCCGTAACCGTTCAAGTTCTTCCACCGAACGCACTCGCCGCTCTTCTGCATGTTGTTGTGCTCGCGCGAACTTCTCCAAAGCATTATTAAGCTGTCTTTTCGCTCGCTACGATGAAGGTCAAAGACAACTTCGGAAGAAAATACAAGGATATGGCGTACATCAGCACGCCCAAGCAACTGCTCGCGCATAATGATTTTTCGATCAAGCTCCTCTCGGTACGACTGGAGTCTGTGCTGAATCGTCATGGCTTGGTTGTGATCGGCTTGGATGGAACGCAAGTCATCGACGAGTTTCTTCATATCCTATATTATTCGGCGCAACTCAGCAAAACCTAGCATATCTCGCGAATCGATACACACCTGCTCAAAAACACTTAATGCATCCAGTTTGATTTTCAATTCACGCGTCTTTGATTCGGTACCAGCAATAAGAGCGCGTTCATTCTGTGCCAGTATAGCCATCTCGCTGATATGTTTCCTTATACGATCCGGTGATTGAACTATACGCCCACGCGCTGAGTTGATCGCGCTGGTTACGAGTTCAACTTCGCGGATAATGCCCTCCTGTTTAAGTATCGTGAGCTAAATCAGCATTCTACGTACAAGTCTTCAAAGTCACTTACTCTCTGACGATTTAGCACGCTCTTCTCTTTCTTTCGCATATCTACTTCACGAGCCACCTCATGCTTTGCGAGAACGACTGCCTCTATCACCTTCTCCAACTGCTCGTTTTCTTGTTTCAGAGCTTTGAACCGTGGCTCGTCCTTTTCTCGTTGTTTTCTATACGACAAAACAGTGAATATAGGGCGCGTTAAATTTGCGATTAGATCAAATACTCACTGTATTTCATCAATTTTCTGTTTAAGTTCTGCCACCCTCTGCGCCGTGCGTTCCTTCTCTGACAAAGCCGAAACAGACCGGTCACGCAGTTTCTTCAGAAACGGAGCGCGTTCCTCCGCGAACTTGATGAAGTTGATAATAGCGGATAGGATATTCCGAGTGCGCTCAGGTTCGGGGAAGACAAGGTCGCGCATGGAGAAGTCTTGAACACGCGCCATATGTGCTAATCGTTGGCTGAGGATGTAAATCACTGTTAAGACTTGCAAGTGAAATTGCAGAGGAAGATACGCACACGTGGTGCAGGACGAGGTTTAGATTCAAGCTATTGGCATATAGCTCAGGGAATTCCTCGACTGATGCGAGGGCTCTGCTGGTAGGCTCTTCAAGCATCTCCGGAGTAATACCAGTGACTTGCTGGACGAAAAGGAGATAGATAGCTTGGACGACATCGGTTGTTGGTCGTTGAAGTTGGTCTTCGGAAATGCGTAGCCCCCACTCGTCCAAAGCGCGAGAAATCTCGCTGACTTTCATGGACGGAAACCAGAATCCTGTCTGTGCGTTCATTGTGGCAGTTGCGGGGGAGTATATGACGATGAGAAAAGGCGAGAACGGAGAGAGTCTAAGACGGAGGTTTGTTTGCAGGACGCGACGCGACGCGTTACGGTAACGTGACAAAAACCAGGCTATGCACGTGATGCAATTGACTGTCTCGAATCACATGCTCGATAGGCGCCCTTGGTCCCTTGAGGAATTACCATGGCTCTCCAAGTTGCTGTCGACAGAGGCTACCTCAACTTATTGGCACAGTTGCGCCAGTCTAGTCCGTCCGTTTCAACAGAGACACTGCAAGCTGCAATATGCCACTACCTCGTTCATCTGCCATCAACTCAGCCGACTCCGACACCACTGACAGCATCCATTCTCGCTTCTCCAGTCTGGCATCCGCTCTCGCTTGCTAGTTGCCTCTCATTAGGAAATACTTTCAGAGTGGCGATTCGACAAAACTACATTGAGCTCAAAAAGAAAAAGAGAGGGTTCTTCGATCCATCCGTGACACGCGATCTTGCGACTTGGATCCGCGGAATCCTAAATGGATTGAACAACGGAGATGCATTACTGCGTTTAGCCATATCTGGCGGTCTGTTTCTCGGTATAAAAGACCTTCGTGATGATAAAGTGGAACAGCGACTGTCTCGAATTGTCGAAGAAGTGATAGTCCTTGCATTTGCGGATTTAACGGAAGGAACCGCTGCTGCTAAAGATCCGTGGACGAGTGAATTCAAGCAAAATGACGCCCACTCATCAGGTATTTCGTCTTCCAACTTTCTTACATATATGCCTTGTTTAAATATTATGATAAACATAACCAGAACTTCCTGTACTTCTCGCATCTCAATATTTTAACTGGATCTCAACGGAAGCGCTTTCTGCACTCAACTTGATCGTACGTTCCTTGTAACCATCTCCCATTGTCCAGAGGCTTAACTTCTACAAGAACCTCGCCTCATCCTGCCTTGCAGCGATTGAGAAGGCATTCATGTCGGGAACTTATCTTCTCTCCTCTCTCGACAGCCTGATTCGCGACGACTCAGGCTCAATAATCCTTTCCGTAGGTGTTATCGAACTATTCACGCTATACCTCGCTGGAATATATGATCCCACAGGAAGGGTCGAATTTGGAGCGCGACATTGATGCACTACTGATATCAGAAAGCTTTACTTGCGTAGCGTACTTATGCAGGCTCGTCGCCCGCGTAATAATGATCTTGTCCGACACACTATTCCGCACGCGCAAGAAAAGAGAATTATGGGACCTCCTCAACGGCATCACTCAAAGATTACAGGATATGGCATGTCGCGTCGAGGAAGACTGGCGGTCCAGTCTGCTGGCTCAGGTGCAAGCGAAGAATGACTTAGGTGCATCGTGAATCTCCGCCGACTAACTTGTTTGTACTCAGCTGGATCTATTTTATTCTTTTTCCAGGCAATAAGGTACCCAAGTTGACAGAGAAAATATGGAACGCACTCAAAACACAGCTCTTCTCGACTCTCATGCTTCAACAAGCCGTCCTCGACACCATTCTCTTCCACCCTCCGCCTCCTTCCCCTTCAACGGCATCCAATACATATTCACCCTCTCACCTCACTTCAACGATACTCAACACCCTTTCCTCCCTTTCTTTCATCATCGCTTCCTTTGGTGGAGTAACTGCGGGATCGTCAACTGGAGCCAAAGGACCTACGTTTCCAGAGCTGAAGAAAGTGTTTTACATATCTATTGATATCCTGTCTACCAACGTGTTAGAGAGCGAATCGTTTGTTCGCAACTTGGTTCGAGACACCAACGTATCCTGTGGCGGTGGTAAGTCGATAACAATCCTTGCGATACTACTCCTCTTTTGATTATGATAATAATTTTATGTTTCCTGACTAGACTCTATTTCAGGAGGCGGCCCATTCGCCAATGCAAAACGCTCCTTCACCCTCGCTTGTATCGAACAATTCATCCCGGTCCTAGACGATCATTGTATCGAAGAAGTCATTTTACCATTTTGCGAGCCGTATGTCCTTTTTTTTTCATCCCACACTGACCCAACATGCCGTAACTAAAAAATTATTTATGTGATATTTAGTCACCTAGGAGACCCATCCGAACGCCAGACATACGAATCCGCGCATTCGGTTATGCTCTCTATCTTTGCTGCGCACGCAGATAAGAGTGCAGACACGTCATCTTCTGCGGAACATGAGCAGAGTCGGAGGGAAAAGGGTACGGTGGATTTGAAGGGTAAGACACCCGCTGAAAAGGTCGGTCTTGCAAGGCGGTTAGTCCCTGGGTATGCTCAGTGTTTACTCGAGGTACGTTAACCTCCCTTTAATCTTTTTATGATAATTTATTGAGCAATGGGCAATGAATGGGCGTATAGAACGCAAAAGAAGGCGGACTAACGACTCCCCAACTCCGACTTGCGTACGCAGCACTCGTTCGGAGCGCAAGCACAGGTCGACATTCACATCCTACCAGTCCTAGTCCTCACAATTTCACTCGGACAAGCACGGACGAGAGACCGACTTGGGGTGTTCAAAGCGCTTGGCAGTGGCTACGAGGCAGTCCCGATAGAAGAGAAGAAGACTTTGCGTTTGCGGGCGACCCAGCACTCGCCTGGCTCTGCATCGAACAACTCTTACAAGCTCTCTCGCTTGCCGCTCCCAATCCGGACCAACACTTTGCACTCTCTCTAACCTTAATCTCCCTCATCTCCTCTACACACCCCGCCCCCCTCCCACGCCTTCTCAAAGAAATTCAACAACTCATAGATACTTCTTATGGTGATGATCAAACGGATGGAGAGCGGAGACGAGTGTTAATTGAGAGTGTGTTTGAAGAGGTGATGGAGAAAGTTGGGGATGCGGAGAGGGAGGTTGTTATGCAGTGGTGGTTTGAGTGTTCGAGGAAATGGGGAGAAGAGGGTATGAGTGCGAGTGCGAGTGCGAGTAGGAATCGAGTGGAGGATGGCCGAGAGTCAAAGCAACGATCCATGTTGTAGGATACTACGGTCGATAATATGTAATCATGTTTAACCAGTCCGAGTATTACCAGTCAATCCAAGTACATAAATAGATTTCTACATCCATTATCCATTATACCCCAAAAATAAATATTAATATTAAATGTACTAGTTACACATATTCAAATTAAATCAACAACACAACTCATCCGCAACCTCACTAACCAACATCCTAACATCCTTCTTCCCTACTCCCTTCTCTCCACACCCGCCAAGCCCGCCTTTCAACTTGGCTTTTAAGACGTCCCTTGCTTGTAAGACTTCCAAAAGTGGCTTGAGTTGTGTCTCGTAAGACGGTGAGAGGTGTAGGAAGAAAGCGAGGGAAGCCGTTAAGCGGTGGACTATACGCATACACAAAGTCAATCAAAATTCACACACAGGTAATAAGATAAGAGCGAGAATTGCAAAACGATCAACTCACCAACATCCTCACTCCCAACCTCAGTCCTCAATGCCTCCACAACAGCACTAACAACTTCCACTTCCCACTCCCCATCGCTCTCTCCCTCTCCCTCTTCTTCACCTCGTCTCCCAGACCTAGCAGCTTCAACGCGTGGTTTTTGGTAAAATAGCGAGACGTTGAAAGCTAAACTTGCTGCTGCGGTGCGAACAGCTGAGTCTTCGTGCAGAAGACTTGATACCAAGAGAATCGTTAGCATTTGTCGTGCTGATAATGAACTAGAGCTGGAACTTGGGCTTGATGGATTCAGGAGTGTACGTGCGAGCGTGACGTTCGCAAACGCGTTAGACAACATCCGTAGAGTCGTCAGAATAACAGGTTTAGGCAACGTAGACATATCACCAGAAGCTGCGTTACTCAAAAGCAACAACACCGGATTCTTCATCATCCCTTGAACGTCCACGGTAGTAGACGCACACCAACTCGAAATAGAATTATCCAACAACCCAATCCTCCAAAGGTCAACAAGCGGGAACAACTGAGCCTGCGGAAGAGCTTTGACCAACCCAGTCGAAATCGTCGTCCAATCTTCACAGACTTTCTTCGTCGAAGCCAAAGACGGTACAGAGTTCTTCAACTTCGCGTCGGTTCTTGTTTTCAAGAATGGGATAACTGAGCTGGAGAGGACTTTCTTCGCTCGCTCTTTCTCAGTATCGCTGAAAGTTGTATTGGAGGTCCCGTCTATGAAGGACAAGAGCTTGGACTGGACCGTGTCCAGTGCTGGAACCTGCGTGAAGAGAATTGGCTCAAGGGAAATGGCCCGAATCGCAGGCAGTTTCTTGATCGCATGTGGATGCGCTAACAAAACGTCAATAACCGTATTTAACGAAAAACACAAAAAATGAACTCACGAGGAAAGGCTTGGAAGATAAGAAGATCAACTTGACTCTTCAACTCCGGTACGTTCGCTCCCTTAAGCTCATGTACCTTCTTCCCATCCAAAAAGAACAAGAAAGTCGGAGTAGCAGTAACACCATAAGCACCCGCTACCTGCCCTCCAAACATCGCGCTCAAATCAATCTTAACGAAAGCCACGCCCTTAGATGATTTTTCCGCTGCGAGGTCCTCGAAGACAGGTTCTACGATCCTACAAGGCGGACACGTCCTCGACGTGAAGAACGCCGAAACAGCACGATGAGACGACAGTATATTTCGGAAATGCTGTAAATTCGAGCATATTTGCAGTGGAGCAGCTACAGTTGCTGCTGCAGGCTGCGGTGATGGAGTAGCAGCCGGAGTCGGTAAGTAATTTCTTGGAGCAGCAGAAGGTCCTGATGCTTGCGCGGCGACAGATTGGAGTAGTGAGGACGCCATAGGCTGACTGTACGGTTGCGGAGATACAGCTCCAGGAGTGGGTCTGCGGAACATTGAGTCTATCGTAGGGCGGAGGGCAGCACCAAACGGAGTTGAAAGGAAATCAGCAGGAAGATCTAAGGTGTAGACTTTAGTACGTGAGTTACGTGGATTGTATGCATATGTGCGCACCTCTTATCCATGACGGGATTGACCCCCCAGTCAAGAAGCCGATACAATCGTTCGTAAATGAGTTGCAGTTGAAATCTTTGACATATTATAAGCACCCTCAAACCTGCACATCAAATCAACAGTAAAGCCTACCGAGAAGGTGGTACTGCACCGTGTATAGTCAATCTCTAATCTTCGTTACGAGTAGTGAATGACGCACTTTATCCGCTGTATAAATCGAATTCATCTCTTGGATATAATCATTAAACGTCTCCTCATCTAAAGCAGTTTCTCCCATGTCAATCACTTGCAAAGGTTGACCATGCTATTAAAAGGATTAAGCCATGAGCCGTCACTAAGAAGGGGTGCCATCAACAATGAGCGTACGTGAGACTGTCCCGGCATCGTCGTGCAAATTCCTTGGCCATAGAAGATCTCTTTACCAAACACCACAACAGACGTATGCCTATCAATCACATAAATAAGCATAAACACCCATTCAGACTTGCAGGAAGAGAATCAAGGCGCTCACCAAATCCCGTCTATCTGCCTACCAGTCAACTGCATAGAAAGCTGCTTCGCAAGCCCATTGCTAAGATCATATACGTATAACTTGACAGAGTTCCCCATAATCACTAGAATAACTTTATTTTTGGAAAATGTTATAAGTGTATGAAATAGATAATAAAAGTTAGAGGACAGAGATGGGAGTACGTAGCAAAGGAACTTTCGAGAGTGGAGACGCGTCCTTGCGTCCTCCACGGCTCCGATGATCGACGTGATCGACGCAGATGCGCTCAATGATTATTAGGGAATGTTTTCCCGAGTTTCCTATGTCTACCGATCGTAACAGTCATTCGAGACCACATACGAAGCAGATCCGTTAAAGTTTATTCCATTCTGATATAAACATATGAAAGCGTATGACAAAGAGTATAATATTGTTCTGTTCTGTCGCAAATACAAATACTAAGGCAATACAAGAAACCCTAAAGAGATAGTACAAGCAAGTAAAAATCAGACATAGGCCCAGCGATGAACAAAAAAAGAAAAGAACAAACAAACCAGAGATCATACATAAGAAATCCACAAACGCAGAATTCCAAAGTCATCTCCAAAGTCATCAAACTCATGAACACTCAAATCCAACCAAGATCCACCACTCCCCAAACCAACATCCCCAAATATCCCTAATCTTCCCCTCTCTTGTCTTTTTCTTCACCAGCTTCAGTCATCAATCTCACATTCAGTGCCTAACACCACGCATCCCTCTCCAACCGAGACTCCTCGCTCTATACGACTATGGAGGATCGGCTTCTGATTGGATCTGCGGTATATCCAGTTTATTATAGGCCGAAGGACAGCCCCAAGCCAAGTTGAAAGGAAGTCAGCAGGAAGATCTATAGGGCTTTAGATTAGCATGCAAATTACGTGGATTTAAAATGCATATAAGTAGGTACACCTGTAATCCACGACGGGATTGTACCTCCTGTTAAGAAGCCAATCCAATCATTTGTCAATGAGTTACAGTTGAAATCTTTGACAAATAACAGTAAGCACTGTTAAGACCTGCACATTAAGACAACAGGAAGGCGCACAGAGAAGGTGATACTGCACCGTTCACAGTCAATACTCAATACCCTATACCTGTACCCGCTACAGATGACTTACTCTATCTGCTGTATAAATCGAATTCATTTCTTTGATATAATCATTAAACGTCTCCTCATCGATAGTGGTCTCTCCCATATCAATCACTTGCACAAGCTGGCCATCCTGCATAAATACAAAATTAAATAAAATAAGATCCATTCAGAAGGAAAGCCGTGTACAGTGGCGTACCTGAGTTTGTCCTGGCCTGAAGATGCAAATCACCTGACCATAAGGACCATAACCTATCTCTTTATCAAACACAACAACCGACGTATGCCTAGAAATCGAAGAAATAAGCATAGTAGTCCATGCAAGTGTGCACAACGAGTAGAAACAAGAGACTCACCAAATTCCATCTATCTGCCTCCCTGTCAAGGGCATCGACAGATACTTTGCAAGCCCATAGCTCTGATCATACACGTATAACTTAACAGGATTTCCCATTATAGCCGAGGTAGTATGTCTACTTAGAAAAATATATCTGGATGTACTTACGAATGTATCATGAAAAGAATAAAATCTGAACAGACAGAGATGAGAGTAGGTAGCAAAGGAGCATTCGACCGTGACTGGACTGAAGAGCGGAAACGCGTCCTCTGCAAGGTTCTGCTGATCGACGCGATCGACGCAACACGCTCAAAACGGCAGGAGTGCTTTTCCGTCTGTCATTCCACAGTTTCTTGTCTTGTCAAGCATCCAAGATCTTAGCAGTTGACCATGTTCTCCCTCATCCGCTCAGCACTCCGAATACCCTCTTTAATCCGCGGGTCTCAATATGCATCCACCTCACTCACACTCTCCAACATCCTCCACCCACCACCCTCTCTAAGCTCTTCCCTCTCCCTCCCGCACCTCTCGCACCAACAGACCCGCTGGCTAACCCTCAACCAAGCAACCCGCCGCAAACCCAAACGCAAATCCTCCCAATCCGTCTCCGTAGCCCTCGAAAACAACTACCAAAAAAAGGGCGTCTGCACTCAAATCTACACCATGAAACCCAAAAAACCAAACTCCGCCAACCGCAAAGTCGCTAGAGTCAAACTCTCCAATGGGAAGTCTATCGTCGCGTATATACAGGGTGAAGGACACAATTTACAAGAACATAGTGTTGTGCTTGTTAGAGGTGGGAGGGCACAGGATTTGCCGGGTGTTAGGTGTGTGTTCGATTTTTTATCTCCATGTTTCGCTGTTGTGAAGAGAGAAACGAGTATTGATGAAGGATGACAGGTATAAGATTGTTAGGGGAGCGTATGACCTTGGAGGCGTTGTAAACAGGATGACGGCTCGAAGTAAATACGGAGGTCAGTGCTCGTGTCCTCCACCTTCCGTTATGTTTTCTAATAGTGTTTTACAGCTAAAAAGCCGAAGTCAAAGAAGTGAAGACCTTTTTTAATATTTATCCTTACTAGTTGCAACAGTCACCCGAAACCACACACGAAGCGGATGCACTACAGTATATTCCATTTCAATTAGACGAATGAGAGCATATGAGAGACTATAGTACTGTACAGATCCGTTGCAAATGCGAAAACTAATGCAATACAAGAAAGCGAAGACCGAGAGAAATTGTACAGGCAGGAATCGAAAAAAAATGCAACGAGAATCACGAAAGCAGAATTCACATAAAAATCCATAAATACAGAAGAATTCCTCAAAGTCGAAAAAAGGTCATAAGAAAAGGTCATCAAAAGAATCATAAACACACAAAAGCGAAGACTCCAATCCACAATTTACACTCCCCAAAGCTCAAACCGGCATCCCCAAATTCCTAATCCTCCCCTCTCTCACCTTCGTCCTCCTCACAATCTTCTCAATCTCACAATTCAGCGCCCAACACCACGCATCCCTCTCCAACCGACTCCTCGCCCTAAAAAACATCACCCTCTTCTTTCCATGCAACTCCGGTACCGCAATCATATTCATATTCATATCCCCCTTCGCGTCCGCGTAATTAATATTACTAGTATCATGCGGACGGTACCATAACATGAACAGTGTATCTTCTGCGCGGTCTCGAGTTTCCAGCCCATCTGGGAAGAGCTTTGCGATGGGTGGGGCGTTAGGGTCCCATTCTTCTTGAGGGAGGGCGAGAGCGGCGTAGTACCCTGAACAAACGTATGCGTCGATGAGGTTGATACGGCTGATTTGGTGGTTGTGGAGGCTGAAGTCGTTGGTTACTTTGAAGATGACTAGCGTGCCTCGGATGAGAATTAGGTGAGCGTGTCTGCGTAGACGTCATTCATCAGTCTTCCATGGCAAAACAAGAGCATTGAAAGAGAAACAGAAAGGAAAAAGAGACAGGAAATCAACGCACTTATACTGCGCGCGAAACTTCGTCTTCATATACACCCTCCCACTCTTCACAATCTGCCTACACCCCTCAAGCACACACCAATTCCAATACTCATCCATATAAAGCGAAGCATTCTCCACGTCCGGCGTAGGCGTCGGATGTCCATACCCATTCTTACAATACCGCTTGCTAACAGTGACTTTCTCTTCACCAAGACTTTGCCGGATGTTCATCTCTGTCACTGCGTCGTCTCGATATCGTTTCGTCCAGTATTTGACTAGTGCGCGGAGGTGTGTTACCCATTCGATGGCTACTTTCGTCGAGTGAGTCTATAGCAGAAGGGAATATAGATACAGTATGTGTCAGGTTCAAAAAGTCCTTGGAAGAATGACTCTCACGTACCTCAAACCGAAGAATCCTCCCGTTCTTCAACACAACCTCAAACGACCGATGCATCTTCAACCTTCCCTTATCCTTAGCAGAATTAAGCCCGTCTTCTCCACCCTCGTCCCCAACATCACTCTCCGACCTCCTCAGCTCAGCCTCCTCATTCCACATACTCGCAATTCTTGTCGCCAATTCACCATTTTGTTCCCCATCCGGCTCACTAGTCGGATTCCTCGCATGCTTCGCAATACTCTCATCCTTAATTACCGGAATAACAACCACCGCCCTTCTCACAAGCAACACACTCCTCAAATCCCAAAACAATCTCGCGTTCATAACCTGCGTACGTAACCTCGTATGTTCATCCTCCCGAAACTCGTCTTCACTTTTCGCGAAGCTCTTCAGATCTGTAGGTGTCGGCGGTGGCACGACTTTCTCAGCTTGAATAGAGCATAGGTAGCCGTCGTGCGTTGCTAGGTAGTATTGTACTCGAGTTTGTGTTTTTCGCTTGTACGTGTGTACGAAACCTTCGATTGAAGGAGGTTCTTCGAGATGCTTCCCGTCGTCTAGTAGGACTTGGCTTGGGTAGTGGCTTGAGAGATGTAATTCCAGCTGGGTCGGAGCGCCGAGCTATCAAACAGTCCGGTCAGCCAAAAAAAATCCAATAAAGCTCACGACGGAGAACGTACGAAATTCATGACCATCCCAAACAACACCTCCCAAGCCCGTTCATTCCCATCAACATCACTCCTCAACCAAACCCAATCCAGCCTCGCACCAGCCCGCCAACACAACTCGACTTTCCTTCCACTCAAAACAGGCAAGTGAATGACAGTCTGCCATGCAAAGGAGCCTTCCATAGCTTGGTCGCACTCGTCGACGATATAATCCCGAGTGAAGACATGCCAGTCATTGTCACCCTCTGGAATCGGGATGCGTACGCGCGAATGCACGAGGGGACAGCTGACTTCGATATAATCCGGGAGTTGTCCGCCAAGTTCCATCCTACACGAGGTTAAAAGAAATTCATGGTATACAACCCATTAAGATTCTCACCATATGTTCCAAACCCAATCCAAAGCTCTCGACCTACTCTTCGGCTTCAACACAAACACATTCAAACCATGCGGAGACCGATGAAAAATCGACCGATGACTCCAGCGACTACTAGACTTCGTCGGTGTCGGAGGACAAATTAGACAAAACGATAAATCAACGGGTGAATATAAAGATAATTTGGTCTCCGTAGAAGATAATGGAATAACAAAAGCGAGATGTTTATGACCTAAGATTCGTTCTTTGCATGGAGCCCGCTATATGTCCATTCCATGCATATGTTAATTTTTATTATATGCGTGTGTATGTGGTAACGTACGTAGTCCTCGTAGAGTTCAATTCGGCGATTCCTCCAAATCACTAGGAACTCATCCCACTCTTTACTGTCTAGACCGCGAGTCATCCGGCATTCCTGTTCATTGAAAGGGAATTTCAGGCCTTCGTGGTCGCATCTAAACACACGAACAAGCATCCGGTCTGTAGACATGTAATCAGCATATTTGCATTACAGCACTGCAAAAATGTAAGCCTACCTCTCATAACGGCCGCCGTCCTGTCTTCGTCTTCGTCATCTTCCCCATTTGCTTCCGACAGCTCTGCCTCAGCGGAAGCAGCAGCACTTGAAACTTCTACCTCTGTTGGTTCACGTCCGAGAACTTCTTCCGGCGGAGCCGGACTCCGGCTGCCACTGGGAGTCCCTTTAACAGGAGTCTCAGCATACCTCACAGCTTTCCCCTTCCCTTTATCCTTCGTAGGGCTGGTAGTTAGGATAGACCGTAAACCGGGCCTCGTCTTTGGTAGATCACCTTCGCTTTTCGCGCCTCGGAGGTTTGATGCTTGCACAGGCTCTGCGTCGGAGAACAAACGCGTCTTCGAAGAGGTACTCCCGTCTATATCGTTCCTCTCATCTTGTGTCTCGTCTGAATTCTCACTGACTTGACGAGCAGCAGAAATGGTCTGAGGTACTTGGAACGACGAGTAGCCTGGGCTTTCAGGATCCGAGAAATTCGTCCGAGCAGTAACAAAGGACATCTTGCCAGTTTCATCCTCACGCACAGGACCAGTACTCGAGAACGACCTGCTGCGCGATTCATCCCAGTGGACCATAGTAGCACTCTTTGCTTTCCGAATAGTACGATCACTCCTCCATTGTGTATCTGGAACCAAACTGGTATTACTCCTGACCTCAGGCTCAGGGGTAGCAAGCATATTGACGCTCACACCCGCAACCTTTCCAATCTCAAACGTGTCGCCTCTCCACTCAACAGTCGGCATATGCATACCCTTCTTCTTTTTCCTTTTACCCTTCCCAGGGGCATGGTCAAGTACAGTATGCCACGCGGCGCTCTCCAAAATCCGTTCTTTCAGTCTTTCCTTGTACTCCTTCGCTTTTGCTTCCGTCCACTCTTCAATACGGCCGCCTTGCTGAAGAAATATACGTAATCCATGCTTGCTCACGAAATCAGATGCTTCATTATCAGCATGTCCGGTGTTATTGATCCTGTATGGCAAGGGGCCGAGAAAGATGCGCCGTGATGACGCTTTAGCATGGTCAGCCGGAGGAGACGAAGCAGAGACCGAAGCAACGGGTAGTCCGGGAGTGGTGGCGAGTGCATCGTGATGCATGTGTGTGGTAGAGGAGTGAGACAGAGAGCAAAGGACGAGAGGGCCACTGGGCAGAGCCCGTTGGGCGTCGGCTGAGACTTTGACGCGCTCTTGGGAGGCTCTGGCACTAGCATCGAAGCGCGTCATTGCCCTTTCTGTCTGTGGCGTACTGCGTTGTGAAACACAGCCAGAAATTCTTAAATTGAGCCTTCGTTTCTGCCAAGTCCTCAGCTCAAACACGTCGTACGCAAGGCAATATTCATTGCATCTCTCCCTTAAATTAATTTACTGGTTGTGACGCTTGTTAGTGACACGACCATGCTTGTACTCAAAGCTGGCACGTGCACTTGAATCAATCGGAGATTTTGGCAGAAGCCGTGCTTAGTGGCGCGCGTCACTTTTTTTCTTCCCCCTTCCTTGCACACGCATCATCTGTCGTTTTCTCTATCTCTTTCTCATCCGGCGGGGATCGTGTCGTCTCGGGCTCAGTTGATCGCGCGATTCGTATTTGGGATGCTAAAATGCTGAAATCAGCATCCCAAATACGAATAAGTGGGAGGCAGCGCAGGCCTGTCTGTAGGACATACAGACGACATCACATCTGCCATTTTTTTCTTTATCGATGCGTACCCAAAGCAATATTCACCGCATATCTTAACCAAAGTTATAAATCCTTGTTGTCATGCACGCGCATGTACTCGAGACTGATATGTAGTATTCTGGGCATTTGGTAGAGGTCGTGTTTGTGTGGCGCGTAAGCGTGTCTCATTTTTTTTTCTTACCCTTCCACACGCATCTGTCGCTTTCTCATCCGACGAGAAGTGTGTTGTCCCGGGTTCAGTCGATCTCACAATTCGTATTTGGGATGCTAAACGCTGAAATCAGCGTCCCAGATACGGATAAATGGGAGGCTGCTGCAGGCCCGTTTGGAGGACGCAGACCACGTCACATCTGTTGTTGTTTTTTCGTGTACTTATCGATACGTCTCTTCCTGTAACAAACATGACTCTCAATTTTAATGCATTGTTATTTCTGTCGCTCCAAAATAAGTACCAAGCCATGAATATTGCCCTGATAAGCTTGATGTAAAATACTTATCTGTAACTTTTTCTACCTTTGCGGATGAGCATTTATAGCATATTGTCAATTTCAAGAACTATCCCTCAGTGAACTCCCACAGCTATAAGTGCTGCTTCTCTTTGAACCTTCCGATGACCTTTTAATCTCGGACATTGAGTCCCTCCTTTCTGACTTTGACTTTTCCTGATCTTGGTCAAAATGTTTTTCCTTCCATAGCCTTCCCGGCGTCCCGAGGGCTTCTCCAAATTCCTTCCGTCTTGAGTTTACATCGCTCATCATCTGACGAGTCTTTTTGTCATTTTTTCTCCAACTGGGATTCTAAGCCGTGCAATGCGTCTGTGTCTCCAGAAGCATCGTGAACATCCTCCAACTTCTTGAGCTTCCTGGAGGCGTACTTATTTTCACGGATGGGTTTTTCTACTCATTTAAGTAGGTCGACGCCATTTCTAGGTGTCTGAACATCTCGTCGGCGAAACTAGGTCTCACAGTTACCCAAAGCATTCTATTCTTTATATCTTCTCGATACGTACATATGACATACATTCGTGTTTTCTTCGTCGGATGTCCATTAGGCAATGCTGGTGCAGCTATTCTAGATTTCTCTGATAGAGAATCCTCCTGTGCACTGCTTCTCCGACTTGAGCCATCTTTCAAGTGATTGCGATGATGGAGCATATCGGTTGATGAGCAACTGTCTTCAGTTTGCCACAAGGTAACAAAAGGGACAGTGGGTTCAGGGAGATGAATTCCTTATACATAGACATGCTGGTGATGTGCATTGCTCTTAGTGGTTGTGAAGTTACAGTATATCGAAAGTCGTTTCCAGTGATCTGATTACTGTAAGCATCGATCACAAGAACTGTACCTCCCATCATATGAGAGAATGCAAAGTGCATGGGAATGAGGGATTGGTTCCAAACCAGAAGAGACGTTGCTATGTCAAGGATACATATCTATGCAATGAGCGGTGGAGTATTCTAACAGGATAGGGACTTGGAATATCAGTCTGACTCCGGACTCTGGACTCTGTAAAGTTATAAACATCATGAACATGAAATACTATAAAGCAGGAAAGTAAACTAGTAGCATCTAGCCAGATGGCTTACGCCGGGTGTTGCGATTTGCTATTCTGTAAGGCCGTGATGCTCAAGGTGCCAGTGTATAGCCGCTCCTTGAAGCCTTCCACAGCGGATGACGTTAATCTTGGAGATCGTGAGAAAGAATAATACCATTTTCGGCCATAGAGTCTCGGGGGTTTCTCACTTTGTCTCACTCAAATGATCTCGACACATTGCTGAATTGTCTCACTCAAATGATCTCGACACATTGCTGAAAAAGTACCAACACGTAAACATCGCCATGGTAAACACACTTCATAATACACACCTACAGCTATTTCTACCTTCGTAGACGAAAAATATAGCATATTGACACTTTCAAGAACTATCTCTTTATGGACTCTCTGAGCTGGTGCTTCGCTTGTTGGAATTGTCTGAGAGCCTTTTAATCTTGGACATTATCTCCCCCGTCACTAACTTCGACTTTTTCTGGTATTGGTCAGGATGATTTTCCTTCCATAGCCTTCTTGGTGTCTTGAGAGCTTCTTCAAGTTCTCCATACCTTGAGTTTACTTCCGTCCTCAACTGAAGGGCCTCTCTGTCAATCTGTTCCAACTCGGACTCTATGCCATGCAATTGGTCCATGTTCCCAGAAGCACTGTTGACAGCCTGCATTTTCTTTTCGAGCTCCTTCAATTTCCGACTGAGTGCATGTCCATTTTCAACTCGAGAACGGGCAGCACTGCACATTGCTTTCTGAACTTCACAAGCCCTTCTTAGCTCTGCATCCGCTTTTCCCAACGCAGGAAGGTGCTCGGCCTCCACCAAGAAGTAGTACGTGCATTTAAAAAATTGCTTGAGCAAACGCGCCTCGGGGCCCTCCGGAACATTCAACGTATGCTGTCTTTCAAATTCATTCATGTATTGTATTGTATGGTATAGTATACCGTCTTGGCATGCCTTCTGTAACGCAGCCCTTAACCCCCTCAAGTCTCGATCAACAAATAGACCTCCGTCGATCATCGTCACTACATCTGTCATTAAATCGTTTTGCAACTTGTAGGAAAAGCAGCTCGTCAGCGAAACTAGGCCTGTCAGCCACCCAAGCTATATTCTTCTCTACTTCATTTCTATATGGATATATTACATACTTCCATTCTTTCTTCGTTGCATGTCCAATAGCCAATGTCGGTATAGCCTTTCTATATTTCTCCAATGGAGATTCGTGTTGTGTACTGCTTCTCCGACTCCGATCTGAGCCATGTGTCGAGCGGTTGTGATGATGGGGCATATTGAAATGTCTCCACGACGCTACGAGCTAACAAAGGGGACAGCAGGTACAGAAATTTGTCTTCCTTATTTATAGGGCTGTGAGTGTGCATTGCTCTGAATGGACCTCAAATTACGGCATTCAAAATCCTCGCTTGATTCGAATGCGGTAAGCATAGATCACAAGAATTGTACATTCCGTCGTATGAAACAATGCAAAATGCATCGGAATCAGCTCAAAATCAGAAGACACATTGCTATGCCAATATTGGATACAATGTAACTGCCAAAGATATACTATACAATGACAGTCTACTTTACTAAGTAATGAGCGGTGGATTATTCTAATACGATATGGACTTAGAATACTAGCCTGTAAAGTAATAAACATCATAAACATGAAATGATATAAAGTAGGAAGGTAAACTAAGTAGTGCCTAGCTAGATAGCTCACGTCGGGTGTTGCGACTTGCTATTTTCATCGACGGGTCGACAGTCAAGATGCTCAAAGTGCCAGTGTATGGAGCACCTTCTACTTATACACAGAACGTCAATCTAAGAGATCGTGAGAAGGAATAATCACTTTCGGCTATAGAGGCGCGGGTATCTCACTTCGTCTCAAACGATCTCGCACGTCGCTGGAAAGTACCAATGCGTAAACATCACCATAGTAGACGCATTACAGAATACACATCTACAACTATTTCTACCTTCGTGGACAAAAAGTATCGCGTATTGACACTTTCAAGATCTACCTCTCAGTGAATTCGTAGACCTCGTATGAGTGCTTTCCTTTGAACAGCCTGAGAGCCTTTTAATCGTGGACACTAAAGCCTTGCTCCTTGACTTCGACTTCTTCTGGTCTTGGACGGGATGATTTTCCTTCCATAGCCTTCCCGGTGTCCCGAGGGCTTCTCCAAGTTCCTTCTGTTTTGAGTTTACTTCGCTCTGCACCTGAATGGCCTCTCTGTCAATCTGTTCCAACTGAGACTCTAAGCCATACAATGCGTCCATATCCCCATTAGCATTGTTGACGTCATCCATCTCCTTCTTAAGCTGACGCAGCTTTCGGAAGAGTTCCTCAGCGACCTGTGATCGGGAATGACAAGCATTTCGTATTGACTTTTGGATGTCGCAAGCAACTTTCAGTGCAGCAGTCGCTTTCTTCGCAGCATCCGAGTCGATCTGTCTGTCTCCCAACAACTTGTAAGTATATTCATAGAATTGCCTGAGCCACTCCGCCTCGGGTCCCCTCTGATCACTCAACGTATGCCGTCCAAATCCATATAGTACACCATCTTTCAGGTTGTTATCATGGTATGCCGCGCGTACCTCAGCTATCGCCGCCCTCAAGTTCATGTCCGCAATGTCAAATGCTTGCTGAACATTGTCACGATCTCCACTGTCCTTGCCATCCTCAGCCTTTTCCTTGAATTCCTCGAGTTTCTTAGAAGCAGATTCATATTCCTCAACAATCGTCTTTACTTTTTCCATTAAGTCGACTCCAGTTTGTAGGAGCTTGAGCAGCTCGTCGGCGCAACTAGGCCTTTCAGCCACCCAAGCTATATTCTTCTGTACTACGTCTTTATATGGGTTTATGACATTATTCCACTCAATATCCTTCTTGTGTCCGAAACGTGGTGCATTCCTTCTGATTTTTTCCAATGAAGAACCCCCCTGTGAGCTACTTCTCCGATTTGAGCCATCATTTGAGTGATTGCGATGGTGGAGCATTCTGAAAATCGTTTGTGAAGCCGGTTAATGCTGAGGACTCTGGATGTATTCAATACGCCACAAGCTAACAAGAGGGAAAGTAAGTTCAAAGGCATGCATTTCTTATTTATAGGTATGTGAGATGTGCATTGCACTGTGGTCGTGAAGTTACGAGGTTCAAAGCTGTTTGCTTGATTTGATCAGATCTAGATCAAGAAAGTCGTAATTTACGCTGTATGTGTCAGAGCAAAGTACACATGTGGAAGACACTTTCGTCATGGTCCATACTAAACAGAGATTGCAGCAAAACTCAACATCGAATGCAAAGGAACTACTAAGCATATGCACTACTATACAATGAGTGGGGATTATTCTATCAGGATATGGACTTGAAACACAAGCCCGTAATGTAACAGACGCCAAGATCGTAAAATGGTATAAATCAAAGCAGAAAAGCGAACAAGCAGCACCTCATTAGATGGCTTACGCCGAGGGTTGCGACTTCTCCTCCGCAAGGAGTTTTTGCGATTCTTGTACATATTTTTCAGCTTCATCTCGTTCAAATCTGCAAAGACATTCAGTAACATAACCTCACCAGCAGGAACAACGAAACACATACCCATATTTGACACCCTTGACGGTCATATCTGGCTCACGATAAGCAAACGGATTAACATCGCCCTTCTTGAGGTTCGCAAGTGAGTGATTCACGAAGCGATGCGTCACTTCATCTGATCGAATAGCATAAATCATGTCGAGAAGCGTCGCATTGTCGCGGAGACGCCAATAATCTTTGGCGATTGGCGGTGCGGGCTTGTTTTCCCACTCAGGGAAACGTCCGTTCTCCAAGTCAGCAATCAGCGCAGTGCTACATACGGAAGGTGAGTAGATTTATTCCGAAATGAAAGAGAAGGAACCTACTAAGTCTTTACTGCTTCCTCTTCAAGGTATCCTACGAAGCGATGGCAGACACGTGGTGCCATGAGGTAGGAGAAGACTTGAAGGATGGATAAGTAATTTCCCCGAGAGAAGTAACACTGTTACCTACAGAAGACGTTGTAGAAAACTCCTTGAGCACCAAGGATCAGACCGCGCATGAATATGCCTGGTTTTCGAATGGCAAGGAAGCTCATAAGATGCATGCGTTCATTCTCTGCTTCCTCAAGGAGGGTGTGAATCCAGCCAGCGTCACGTCTCTGGCAGAAGAGGGGATGAGCAATGGAACTAGATAATTTATAAGCCGTACTTACCAAGAGGCGCAGGCTGTGGAGATGGCGAATAGTCGCAGCCGCCATTCCAGGTATTCCAGCAATCGTTTCAAGGAAGAGGCATCGCTATATGACTCGTTAGGAAATGCCCTAAATTAATCGTGTCATACCCACATTCATCCATCCCGTTTCCGTCATGATATATCCCTGTTCTCGCAACTCCTTTACTGACAAGTTTGTCTTTTCTGGCATGTCTTTATGTTTGTACCCAGAAACAACGTCAAATGCCTTTCTGGAGTAAACATAAGTGCTAACAGCGCAAGTTATTTTTAGATAGATACACGTACCGGAAGAAGCGGACTAGTCCATTCGCGAACTTGTCCGACAGTTTCTCTTCATTACGATGCACGGTGGGCTGTTGACAATATCGACCCCATGAGTCTTTCTGCAACGCGTTATTATGGACTGAGCCTTACCAGAACAGATTTCAGTTCTTCTTTTGAGTAGACGGGGTGGAAGAGCACCCAGTCGCCAGTCACTTGAACATCAGAGCGATGCTGCTGGTCATGTTCCTTAACGGCAGTGGCGTCAGCGTAGTGTAAGCCCTCTGCACCCTTAGAGGCGTTCTCGTCAACGCGCTTGCTAGCCAGGGAGTTCTGACTTGTAGTCGTAGTTGTTAGAGTCCTCCGAGAGGCAATGATTGTCGTAGAGAGTGCGTAGCGTGAAGCACAAGACGAGCGGGCAGAGAGGGCGAGTGTGCGAGCAAGAGGAGTAGCGGCCGAGCGAATCATTTTGATTGAGGGAGCAAAGGAGAGAGCTACGTGCAGCAGTAGACTGTGAAGCGTTCTTGGTACAGCTAAGTTACATTGCGCAGACTCTGCGCCTATATGCCTTGAACTTTCCGGGCGGCCCCGAACGGCCTACATACATCACCACCGCGCTAACCATGATACAGAAAATGAATCACGCTTTCGGGGCGAGTCGCTGATGCGAGTCACTTCATTGGACAGCACTGGTTTGGCGAATTGGAAGGTCAGTGTAGGTCCGATCCACTTCGATCCGATCAAATTTGTCTTTGTAACCAATCACGTGAGGTAACGTGCCCTTTTGCGGAACTGAATAAGGCGTCAAGTACGCCCCATTTAGACTTCCGCTGAATGTATACTTTGAGTCTAGGACTGCATGGCATACCGAAGTCTAACGGCAAAACCTAGCTTCTTAATCTAGGCCCTGACAACACAATCCGTGAGAACTACCAGTACGTAGGATTATGGACTCATCTCACGGTTGCGACTGTGGTGTAGTCAAGCCCTTGGAACAGTGCACCTTGTCTTCGGTTAGAAAGGCTCAGAGTCCGCGCAATCAATCCGTCAAAGTTTTATGGAAGTTCTTCTGCATCGAGCATGTTCTCCTCTTCTTATGTGAACACCCCGGTGTCAAAACACTGAAGCTGTAGCGTCGCTGGCCAGATGACCGCAGGGACTTGTTCGTCCTCTCCGGCGGGCAGCATTTACTCACGCCCACTGCGAATCCATGGCCCTGATTCTCCCGTATTCCCACTTCTTTAGTTCCTGACAAACCCCAATAAGGATCAAATCTCCCCTTTCTAAGTAAACGTGCGTTCGGCCGCAGGCAACTGGACAAGTGCTGTGAACAACTAGTCGGACTATAAACGGAGTTGCCCGACAGACTTTAAAATAGATGATGTTCTTGTCTAAAGAGACTCATGACCAATAAGCTCTGGCCTTGGGACCTCTGTTTCACATGCTAATGGCGACAATGATGATCCATGTTGCGCAAGTGGATACGTACTAGAACGAGATGATATCGACATATAAGTGAGACCTACAGGACCAATTTACTGTACATTCATAAGCAAATTCGATCCAATAAAAACCCTTCTTTTCCCACTGAAGGAACAATTGCATTTTTAAGCGGAAGTGAGGGGAGGGATGCATGTCAAGAAGAAGGCGAAAAGATATCATGCCACAACAACTACGATTCACCACAAAGCGGTCCCTACACTGAGCATTTCTCCAGGTCCCAGATGCTGCACGTGTAATCCATCGATTCAGCCTGGTTTTGGGCTAGTAGATCGTTTGCAAATTGGTGCGCGTCATAGCGGTGTGCCGCACTTGGCTCCATTCCGCCCTGGGACGACAACGATGAACCACTGTCATAGAAGTTCTTAAGCAGGTAGTCCAGCGCAGCCATAGTATCGTCTGTGGACGAATAGGAGCCATACGTCGTCGCAACAGGACTGCTCGGTTGTACTTCGGCGTGAAAGCGACTTGAACTATGTGGATTGCCAGGCCCCTGTGTCGCAGAGGGGGGTATCGATGAAGTTGCCTGTGACGTAGTATTGTAGCCCTGCATGTGAATACCAGTTAGTCTACATCGCACCCCGCCTGTACGTCCAATAAAAGGCATACGTTGTATTGTGTTTGCTGTGAGTCCATAAGCTGAGCCGCAGAGCTCAGAATGAGTGCCTCCAAGGGAGAGGGTATAGATTGTTCGTCGTCCCCTAGCTTGGGCGACTCAGTCTCAGCCATGTCACTCGTGTACGACGCTTCGGATCGTGGGTTAAGCTGCGATCTCTCGGGACCATAAAGCTCAAGCTGCTTCTTGATGAGGAGCAGGTCCTCTCTAAGCAGTGGATGGGGTAGATCGGACGAGGGCGAGCCGACGTTCGAGCATCGAGCGTGTTCTTCCGACTTCTGCTTCAGAGCTTCTTCCAGCTCTTTGATGCGATCTGACATGCGAATAATCTTCTCATGAAGTTGCTCGGTGTTTGCTAAAATGTAGCTGCAGTAGCTAATGAGCGTATTTCCCCACTTATTTGAAGATCGGCATACCGACTGCCCCTCCCGGAAACTAATGACCCTATGATTATGGCATTTAGTACAATATTCATACCTCTTAGAAGTTCATGAAGCTCTTACCTTCCGGGCAAATGCCTTCGCATCCTCTTTTCAAACAAGATTGGCAGGGGAATACCTGGAGAAGAGATGTTGGTAATTTCAGACGACGAAGAGCCCGAGAAGACGCACTCGATCGCACTTCAACTTCAATCTAATGACGGCCATGAGTCGCATTCGCAGTGAAGAGGTCATGTAGAACTCACCTTCTGCATTCTCCGCAAGTTTTTGGGATCCTCTTGCGATTTGGCTTTGAGGATTGACTATGTGACGCTGAAGACATACTGATACTGGAGCTCGCCATCGAAAGAAGATGTACTAAATCCCCTGATCACAGAGTGGGTGGGCAGGCCATAGTTCGGACATCCAGGACATATTTATAAAAGAGCCTTCATTTAGGAAGGCCGAGGAAGGATGCAGAGCGGTGAGAGATTCCATTATACAGATTCTTTCGTAAGTCAGCTTTGCATACGATTCGTGCACACGGACGGAAGGCCCCAGAACAGAAGACGGAACCCCTAGCGCAGTAGAAGCACATGAACTATGTCGGCTTCTATTAATTCTGGTTTGAACATCCCCGCGTTTCGATCGTTTTGTCGAGATGCGACACAAGCTTGTATTTCGGCGTTGCCAAAACGTGCAATGCAGTGCGTGTGCTCATGTACTTCTTCCAATATTAATATTTATAACGACGAGTTTCATGCTGGACTGCTGCAAAAACAATTTTGGTCCATTTTCGCTCGGGTTTGCGTGTCTGAAGGCGGCGCTTATTCCCAGAAAGACGGTGGAGCATTCCGCCGGCGTATCCACAGAGAATGTCTGGGCGTGGATGGTTGTCAGACAGCGAGAATGCAGTGTAGATCCATGCCTCTTTGGTGATCCGGCAACACGTTCTGTTGTACTTCCGTTTGCCGTCCGGGGTCTCGCGCTTCGAAAATATGCTTTGTCAGAAGTTCTGAGCTGCTTCAGGCTGGTGGCCGCCACGCTCTGCAGCATCTGCATCCTCGTTCAAGGAGTTCTTCCGCTGAAGACAAGGGCCTCAAACGGGAGCAGCATAATCGACTTACTTTATCCGGTTTGTCATCCCTAGATTTGGCAGTTTGAAATCGGACGTAATCGCATTTGCTGGATATGCGAATTTGTGTGACACCAATTCCGACAAACGACCATTCACACAGAGAAACCGAGCCATCGTTCAATGCTGTGGATTAGTCTCCCATGTCCTCCTTTTCGAAATATCGAACTAGCCCCTGATGCATTGTCCGTTGTCCGTCTTGATAATCCTGCTGGTGTTATAACACCGCCCGTTGATTCGTAAATGAATTGTACTGAACAAGAGGACTGAGCGGCCACCTAACCAACTGCCACTCACGAAGTCGGCCGTTTACCTATAGAATTTAGTCGGGAGGAGATAGTATGGCAGATTGTTTGCATGCAGATTTTGAGTATTAACCGGAAACATCCAGGGAAGCGCGGATCACGAGTCTTTCTTTGCGTACATATTTTAAACCGCGTGCCGCCACCGTATCTGGGACCGCGGCGAACGTGCAAAGCACATTTGTCGAAAGCTGAAATAGATCAAGATTGATGGACTCTACAAGTCTAGTAAAGAAGTAGCTCAAAGTACGGAAGAAGCTCACTCGCACATGGAAGGGACAGATCTAATCGATCTGACAGTCGGGACTTATAGCTTAGGCATCCCGTCCCCACCAGGCACATTTGCTTTTTCTTCTAGGCCGGCACGTTCCATCATCTTCCGCGTCTCCGTGGCAGCCTCAGCGAGGTAGTGACGAAGCGCAGCCGCATGTCGCTTCAAATCCGACTGACTCGTAATTGTCCAACGAATGTAGTCGTCTCCAATGGAATACGACAAGCCGTATCCATTTGGTACAACTGACACAAAACGGGTTAGAGAACGAGGAACTATTAGTAACATGTGCCGAAAGAAGGGAACATACCCTCTCCATAACCCCAACCATCAAGGAAAGGACTGCTCAACTGGCTAGTTGATAATTCCCAATGACTTGTGAGCGAGTACGCGGGATCAGAGAAGATCTCCGGTAATGGTTCGTCCTCGCGGAGCATCTTCTTCAGTCCGAAGAGGTGGCGGTCAACTCCTTGTCCATCCGCGGCCCATGTTGAATATTGCAGATGCCGAGCGATCGCACGCTTAAAGAGCTGAGAGCGGTAGGCATCCTGCAGCGTGGGAAACAAAAAGGCAATGAGTGACAGAAAAATACATGGTCAGCCGTACACAGAATGCGCAGAACAAAGACTGTAAACGAACCGTCCTGTTGGGATCTAGCATTGCCTCTACCCACGCTTTACTTTCATTGCTGGCAGACCGAATTACCTCTGTACGACCTAGCTGGAATTTGCGTGTCTGCGAGGACTCATAGCATACACCTGGACGACCTTCAAGCTTATGGAATGCCAATTGTTTGACCATCTGTGCCCAGGCATCGGGCGATGCGCGTTGCGTTTTTATGAAGTTTTTCCCGTAACCTTCATAATGCAAAACCTACGTCAACGATTCAGGGTGCGTATACTTTTAGCTCATTCCCAGCTTAGACTTCCATGAAAAGAACCCACAAGAAGCTCATGTCGCCCAACCAATTCGTCAAATTGCTTTTCTCCACTTTTAATGTATCTTATCGACTTCTGGTCTTGTTCAAAGTTGATTTCCTTTGGTTGCGTCAAGTTCTCTCGGACCCCAGACTTGTTACGATCCACTTTACCGGCCGCAAGGGACGCGAGCATGTATTCGTTCAGTCGCAAAGTTGGGGTTCCATCCTAACAGAGAAGAATGCCTGTAAGCTTCGTATGTCCTAACAGCAGGGTCAAGTGAAAATTACCATGCATGAGTGCTCGCCAAGGAACCCGGAACGGCCGTTGTCGAAGACAATGACTAGATTGGTTGTCATATGAGAAACAGTTCACACCCGAGGATCAAGAAGATTGACTGGCTCCATAGATATTATATTTAGGATAGAAAATGCGGGACTTCTGCGAGAACAAAACAAACACCGGAAAATAGGAGCATTTGTCTGTTCAAGCAAAGTATTCTCACGTACGTGCAACCTTGCACCAATCCTTTGAAGCCAGTAGTCACCTATGAGCTCCTATTTGATCCACCTTCCCGCATGGTGCAACGGCTCTACTGCGGAGGACTCTCCACTTAAGAAATTGGCAAACGGTCCAGATATTGCCGACGCCAGTGGCAATGACGAAACAAAACAACGATCCATTGCACCCAAGGTTCCCACAGGACGTGAGTGAGTGCCTCGGATCGGATACTTGGCAGTGAAGGATGGTTCAACGGGAAGTACCCATGAACACACCAGCAAGAATTAAAAGAGTTTTCAAACGGAAAGATACTCACACTGATGCTTGTCGTACCAACGATTCCTTCCATCACCTGTCCAACATGCCCAGCTAAGTTCTTCACGTGTGACGGGCTTCGATTCATCTAGGCAGAAAATAACCACGGCTTTTTCGATGCGTTCGAATGCAATCGCGTTCTCTGGTGTTAAGGCAAGATGTTCCCGGGCTTCGGCCCACGTGTCACGGTTTTCGGATGTAAGTACGCCGACGGGATAGTTGTCAGGCTTGTAGGACATGCAAGAAGCAATGATGCTCTTTATTTGCTGTTCCAACTCCGCAACGGTCAACTCTCGACCGTCCTGCTCCAGTGCAACTTCAAAGAAGCGACCCCTTCGAATAAAAACTATATAATTGTTATGACCTGGTGGGTATTTGTATGCTGTATCAGACGGTTTTGATGGGTAGCGGCAAGCGTTGAAGAGCCATCTATATGAGTCCATACACAGTGGTATTCCACGTACACGCTCTGGTTCAAGCCGTCGGGTCTCGACGAGCTCTCTAAAAGGCAGCATCGCCTTGATGAGTCGGGCTGCACGTTCTGCTGCGGATCCCATCTTTCCGATTTCCTGGTGTACGTAGAAATAACTGACGTTCACAACGACTGGATCTCTATATGCCATGTAGGCAAAATCGTTCCACCAGTCTGCAAGCCAATTCTTCATGCCGGGTTCGACACGTCGAGCTTCCAAACGCTTCTGCAATTCTGCACCAATAGGCGACTCCGCAAATGACCTAACGGCTGCTTGAGTGTGGGCAAATTCTTCGGGCGTCAGGTGCGGCTGTACTGTCTCGAGATACTTGTGGAGCGTTGATGAAAGAGGAGGGACGGGTAAGCGGGGCAATGACTGCTGGAAACGGAGCATTGGGCCAGCGCTCTCGTCCACAGAGTAGCCTGGTGGTACATCGTCCTTTTGAGACTTGCGAGACGTCGAAGACAGGCTACGTTGAACCATCCTCGAGACAGAACGCTAGGAGTAAAAGCAAGGGGCTTGGTACTTGAACAAAACACAAGAAAAGCGCCACTCACGTTCACCAACGGAGTCTTCGGGATACGGGCAGGTGAAGGCAGCCGGAAAATCATGAGCACAGGCGTATGCGATGATCACTGCGTGTCGGGGTTATCTGTAACCGGCCTAGCGCGCACAAGCGACAAAGTATCGCACAGTACGACCGTCGACGGGCCTACGAGGGGATTCTTGAAGACGACACGCTCGTTGAGCCCGTTAACGCGTCAACTTGTAGGCCAGGAGCTGAATTATTGTCGGGGCATACCGGTACTGTACGCCGCTGCGCGTGATATCTCGCCGTCCTGGAGGCCCATCTGATCCGACGTGATTGTGTAAGCATCAATTCAACCTTGTCCAATGCACATTGCAAACCAAGCCATCTTGGAACTTTGAACGCCGCAGTCAAAATGATTGAGAGGGCGGAATGCAACGCATAGCGGCGAACAGAACGTGCCGAATCAGAGTTGTCCAGAAACACTAGCGACGGTACTCACCATTTAGTTCCGACCTTCTTTTGGGTCTCACGCTCCGTGTTGCCCGAACGCATTTCGTGGCAATGTGATGCAGTGGTGTCTGATGTGCACTAAGTATCAGTTACCCCCATCCGGTGGCTACTTAACTGAGACGGACTCTCTCTTTCAGACTTAAGTCTGGATACTGCCCTGAGCTATCTGTTCTGAGGACTACTGCATCACGACTGTCACTGTGCTCTTTATAAGAATGCCCAACTAAAGCAACGCCTGATTTCTGGATACTCGGGTCATCTACTCTAGCCTTGCTGCTGCTACAAGCTATGGATTGCTGCGAACAGCTCGGCAATATCTTGTTCTGGGATGAGTATGATGTCCATGTATGGCTCTCCAGCCTCGGATTATCTCAATATGAGGTCCAAGTACGCGGTGAGCACAATGATTGTGCTTTGATTCCCTTCTGTGAACTTACTCGCCATTATAACGCTTAGAACATCATATTACTGGAGACATCCTCATCCAGTTAGACGCTGAAGCACTTAAAGAAGTAGGAATTGCAACAGTGGGGCAACGGCTTCTTATTTTGAAGGCTGTTTACCAACTCAAGATTGCTCAAGGCGTGGAATTGGAACCAGGCCATTACATTCCTCCTTGTACGCTCTTGCTCTTGCTAGAGAATGGTCTTTCTATTGACAACTCCTTCGATGGTAGCCGAAATTGACGCAGCTCCTCTTCAGACGGCTCAGTCTGAATACGGTGCGTTCCAGTGGTATGCTACACACCACTTCAATCTGAAACTGATGTATTGCGTTCAGACATTTTCCAAACTCTACATTCTAGTCTCACTCATACCAGCCCCCCATTGTATGAGATACAAGACCATATCGAGAATCGGGACAGCGCATTTGCAGAGTCGGGCGCAGAATGTACACGTGTGGTTGTTTTACCCTCATCGATCAATACTAGACCCTTGATGGCATCGCGGCGGAAAACAGATCCTAGCCAGTTCAGCCACTGTGAATCCACTTGCTCCGGTCTCCACTCTGATACCCTTGCACGCGACAGCAAAGATCAGGCTCACGCGGATGACCCTGTAAGGAAAGTTCTCCCTGTGGCGCTGAAGAAATATGGTATTACAGACGACTGGCGGAACTATGTTTTACTAGTTTGCTATGGGACAACAGGTACGTGTGTTTGAAAATCCCCTTGAGGGAGCGCGCTAATCTTTTATTTTGTGCGCCACCGTTGTCAGAATTAAGATTGGCAGACGAGGATAAGCCTCGGCGGATTTTCCAGAAACTCCAGGAAGAGAAGAAAAATCCGGTTTTTGTGCTGAAACACGTATCCGAAATTCGTAGAGACAGTAACGCAAGGACTTGCGTACCTTCTAGAGACCAGGGATCGCAGCGTGGACAAACATATGCAGTGGCCATCCATCCTTACAGAACCGGGACAGGCGCACCATTCGATGCCTTCCCGTACGCTCGTTTCCTATTAATTGTGTACCTGAAATGTCGACTTATTTTAGTGATCTCCAGTGGCGATGCCTTCATCGTTATATCCAAGAAGCAAAGTCAGTGGCTAGTGCAACGAGACCCTTCGGGCACTGGCTTAATCAGCAAAACTCTGGAGCAAGTCAGGATACCATCGGGTTGCTTGCTAGAAACGGACCTTCCTATTGCCTTTGCCTCAGCTGCGGCTTTCGCTGCCAGAGTTTCACCGGGACCCCAGTCCCCGCGCTCATCTGCAACATCCAATAGCCCCATTTTACCGAGAAATATTGTGTCAATGGGGTATCCGAGTACCTCGCTCATGAGCCACAAGAAATCAGATGAAGAAAGCCTCGATCTATCACGCGGAGAGATTATCTACGTGTACAAACGTTATAAACACTTATCATACGTATGCACACCATCCCAATTCGTTTTTGGCAAAAAGCTGATCGTTTCATTCATCTGTAGCTCGTCAAGGAGAACGGGGATCGAGGATGGGTTCCGGTCAGATTATCATCTCCAATTTCACCTCAGTCGATCCTGCTCACGGATACTCCATTAGATTTGGCTAGTAAACAAGAACAGATGAACAACACCACATGCATACGCCACTGACATCTCAATATTGACTTCCCGGCTTTGTCCGACCTTCAAGTCCCGCTATTCGAAGATGCACAGATTTTGTATCTATGCCGACTTATCGAGACCCATCATTGTACAGGAGGATTGCCGGATAATCCACAATCTACTATATCCTCCAGATTGCAGACACCATCGCGGACGGACCAGCTTCTGCTTCTCTTCTTTCATTATGATTATGCACTCGGATCTTCGTATGGACGGAGACGTTCATGAACGAGGTAGATGCCCAATTAGAAGGTCTTTGGATTGACTCTAGACTTTCGCGTACATCCGAGGCCTTCGGTATATACGTGTACTTTTGCTTGTTGAATTAAATTAAGGAGATGGTTGGATATTTTGAGACGGAAGCGAGAGGCTCGGCAACAAAAGAACTCATGTGGTCATACTGCAGATTCAAATTTCTAGAAATTTAATTTTTAATGCTACAGCGTGGTGGGTCTGCCAGCTGTGCTCGGCCATCAGCTATGGCGATCATAAGCCCTTTTTCCACATGTTGCAGTGATCAATCTCGGCTTCCAGTCCATACGAATCAGCAAGAGGTCATTATGCAAACGTAGATCTACGGATAAACTAGCTATTGTACTACTACATTCTTTCTTCATTTACTCTCAAACTCTTTGGATAAACTGGATAATAAACAGCGTTGTATATGTTAAGCCTTGAAGCACAGAAATAGATGAAAAAATGAGGCTAAGTCAGGGGAAGAATTAGGCTCTTTCGAAGAAGTTCAAGTCCGCGGAGTAGCAATGAAGAGTGAAAGATAGCGAACAGATGTGTAGCACGTTAATCAGAAAGGCGCTTCTGCACATCTAAATTGACTACTGCGTGGACGACCACTGTTTATCCGCCCAAGTTCGAATTCCTCGAGGTCGTAGAACCCATCGGCATGCTCTTCATTATCATCAGACCGGAATGTAATTGAGACCCCGCTTCCGTCCATATCTACGTCCTTTTGAATCGCGGAAAATTGAAGCAAATTAGGGCCTGGTGGGAAATGAAAGAAAAATGTGGAGAAGACTTACTGGTGCCACTTCAAAAGAAGTCTGCTGCAGGCTCGTTACTTCGGAAAGTTCCATCTCTGAGTTGTCAATCTCCATGGGTGGCTCAGAACTAGGCTCAGCGTCGAGGGCGGCCGCTTCGTCTTCATCCATCCATTTCCCTATGTGGAGTATGCACTCGTGATCTGCATCTACTTCGCGGGAACAAGCGCAAACATATGCGACATTTTTGCCACGTGAAAGAGAGTGTAGGACTAGACGTTCGTAGTCACTCGACATGCGCTGCAATGGTGGGGCATTTCGCAGGAGCCTCGACCTGAGTCCGCTTGAAGCCGGACTGTCGAGATCAACGAGAGAATCTGATTCGTATCCATCAGAAAAATCCGTTTTATCTCTCTCCCTGCGTTGTCGGTGAACTGGGGAAGCATCCTCAAGAGAGCCGGTCTGTACTGTTAACATGTCGAGAGGAAAACTTTGGTTGGCTGGTAAAGACTGACTAAGTCTGGAGTAAGCATCGTAATGGCCCATTTCGCGAGAAACGGCACAAATTTAGACAAGGTAGATGATGAACGTAACGACTGAAAGCACCAATAGTGCAAAGGGGAAGCCTTAACAATAATTTCAACATGGTGGTTTTGCCTTCGTACGTGACGTCGCGTTCCGTTGTCTTACTACCTCATCATATGCTGCGGAATCGGAGGACAGAGACACAACAGTAAGGCATTGACGTGTGTCTCGGACGAAGGGGATCTAGAGCATACGTTGTATCCTTTATTGATGATACGAGAGGTAGGTCGTGCCAAGAACACAGGGCGAGCTAGTCGAAGACATTGCTCTTGTGAAATTAATAGCACCCGGTTCCTAGTATTGAATGACGTCCTATACAGAGATAGCGACGACGAGCAGAACGAAACTTGTGAACCGCTCAAATCGGTCTCAGAATACAAGTCTGTTGTCAATATATTTCGAAACAAAGTGGGGCCATTAAGTTCGCCCACTCGTCTTTATTGCAAACCAATGCCATGCTCGTCGGTGGATGCAATCGTATTAACGTTGAAGTTTTGCGAAGCCGTTAATGGGGTCCTGGTATGTAAAAATAGAAACATGAAACAAACACCTTTACATCCGAGACGCAAGATATATATTTCTTTGTATCACGTTCGCGATCATATTCGCATACCAAGCAAGAAAAGGAGAAGAAGCGCTGCATAGCAACACTGAAAAAAATTAAATTTCTTCTCTAGAGGTCTGGATAAGACGCACGATTGCAAGACAACAAGCAAAACGGAAAGAGTTGATTAAAGACTTACCACCGTCATCCATTGGCCAATACCGGATGAACCAAGCAACGTGTCGATAGTAATTGCTTAGGCTGTAATTTGGGAGGAAGCACCCTTTGATCTTGACTAGCTGTACGAGTTGAAGTACTAAGAGACCAGAACATGCGGGCAAATATACTTCACCCTGTTTCGTCGTAAGGCAATGTTTTGCAAGGCTGCGCAGCCAATGCAGACATGAATATTTCGGCAAGGGAGCGGTACACATCCTGGAATGGATATGATAATAAAGCAGGACTGCAAGAAATGACTAAAACCATATCCGATGAAACGAGTTATCGGAGTACCGAAGCAATAGGAAAGCGAGCTGTAATCAGTTATTCCATTCTTTAGCATGTTGTTCCTCTCCTGACGAGATACCACAGAAAGTGCATAGCAGCCCCGTGATGAACCCAGAAAATGCACAACACCACGTCCCGTACATCAAGTTTTGGAAAGGTAGCTTTAGTGACACTGTGACATTCCGCATCGGTGAGGATGACGAAAGGAGGATTTGACGAGATTGGCGTATTACCGAGAATGGTTCGTTTGTCAGCACAAATGACGTGTTTGGACCTTGAAGTTAGGCCCCGCTCGCTCCTCAAACCGTCAGCCCACAATAAGAATGGTGCGCCGCAGCAACAGCATCGCTCTTTCATTTCAGCGTTTCTTATAGCTTGGCCCTTTTTGAGGTGTGGTCAACTCACAAGTCTCTGCTACTCTCAACTCTCAGCTTTTGCCTGGTCAAGCAGCAACTGCATCTAGTCCTAGCGAACCCGGTCGAGAATCTGTCCTTTCCTGTCTAACTGTCGAATAAAAGAAACATAACGCGATGGCACCGTTCACATTCGCAAGCATTTCGGAAACAATCATGCTGCTAATGAACACCCCTCTCGTTCCTCTGGACTCTACCAAAGTAACGCGGGACGTACCGCTCACAGAGCTGCCAACTTCAACTCGAGAGACGAGAGAAAGCCGGAGACAGGTATGTAGTCTTTCGGTCTACATCATTTTTTCCTGATGCCTAGATACTGACAAATTTAATCTAGTCGAGTGGTTCCACTTCCACAACAAGTTTACGGGGCTCCAGGTTTTCGTCTGATTCTAACGACGAGAACTGTAATTATTCTCGAGTGAGCTAGAAACTCCTTTGGTTTTTTGTTTAGAAATATATGCTTATTTATAAGTCGTCGTAGGCATCGCGCACTCCTTCACCGCCCTTGGTGACTTCGAAAGACCTACCCCCTCTACCCTCGGGCGCTCGTCACCAAGCGCGTGTACGCTTTGCTGATGAAATCGATGTGGAGTTATGAATTTTTGATGTTAATTACGACTTACCATCAATATCTATCTTGGCATCGTGTCATATCAGTGTTATGGCACTCCTGTATCGATATATATCTCATCTGGGCTCGCGCAATTCAGCTATGGCACTTATCCTGTATTTCGCTTCATGTAATATGTATTCTCATGTCACTATGTAATCCTCTTTACACTGTTCCCATCAAGGTTCACACGAGTATGGTTACCTTAATTAGAAATTATATTGGTGCACGCTTTCACTACAACGTCCAATGCAATACGCAATACAACGTGTACTGTCTAATCATCCCTACTATGTATTCCGAAATGAGACACAAGGTTAATTCGGCACAAAGTAGATTCTACTGCCACGCCGAGGTGGAGCCTGATCTATTCGAAGTTGATGGGCCATCACCGTCATCTTCAATCCAATATCGCGACAAATCTCAACCGACAATACATCACCGTCCACCTTCCATTCGCATCCCTACTATCAATAGTACACATATCCTGTACTTCACGCATAACTTCCTCCGCATCCGCGTCGTTGAGAGTCGCAAAGATCGTCTTCCGACAGAACGTACGCTGCCAGTCTATGATGTCTGAAGAAAGTGGTGTGATACGTGGATTGAGTGAGATGTGTGTAACCCGGAAGCCTGCACTTTCAAGGACCTTATGAAAATTAGTTAAGTCAAGTCTATTGCAAGCCGAACGATAGAAGTTAGGAGTTCAGATGAATACCTTCCTGTATTCATCCGTGGAAGGGAAGTACCACGGGTCGAGCGATTCTGGATCAAGACCTCGTTTGCGCAATACAGCATGCATAGAGGATCTCAGACCTTAACGCACACGCATCAATCATAAGAGCTTCATATAATAAAGGATAGAAACCAACGAACCGACAGTATTCAAATATCCACCCATTTCTCCAACAAAACGTCCACCTTTTCGTAGGACCTTCGCAACGGCCCGTACAACCGCGTATGGATCTCTCTTACACCAATGCAACACCGCATTCGAGAAGACTGCATCGAATTTATAGTCAAACCCCTCTGGAAGTGCATCAGCAACTTCCTTATCTATAGGCGTTGCAGGCGGCAACTGTAGATCCTGGGCGTCGGCAACGAACGAAGCAGTGACGCCATTCTGTCTCGCTTTCTTGACCTATAATAACACATTGTTCCCAATAATGCATAAGCGAAAGTACTTCACCATTTCATTAACTTTACCATGTTTTCACTTGCGTCTACACCAAGCACAACTCCGGTCTCACCAACAGTTCGTTTCAACACAAGCGTCAAGTCTCCACTACCACAACCAAGATCAAGAATTCGCTCTCCAGGCCGAGCATTAAGGAGGCCTAATACCGGCGTCGTAAACTCCTTTGAATATACAAAGGACGCAACAGCGTTGTACGTATCAGCATTCCATGCATCACCATTTGGAGAAGCTTGTGAGGTGGCAGTAACAGAGTCGGAGGAAGACATTCTACGTTTCTACCGGCGCTAAAGGATGAAGTACTGTTTAAGTATGCTCCAGGTCTGCTCGCTTTTATGCACTTTCAGGCGCATATAAGCACTTTACGTCTCTGGATAACAAATTAAAGTAGAACGACTCCTCGGCCGATGGATCCGAATTATAAATATAAATTTACGATTTTTGGGGATTTACTGAGACACTGATGTCTAGTAAGAGTAGAGCGTCGGCCGACGTGGAAGCGATTGCGAAAGTTTTAATCGCATGCTGGGAATGGCCAAGTTGTTAGGTCACTGATACAACGTGCCATACTTGTAAAGTTACCGTCGTATATTGCTACCATCACAATAAGATAATATACACAGTGAATAACGATTTTCAGTAAACTACGGACACAGTCCATATCACCCAGTCATCCCTTGTAATCTCTTGCTCCCACGACGTCCTACGCAGCCGGAGCCTGGGATGGAAGAGTGGACGTGTCAGTCGATTCAGTCGCTGCGGGAGGGGCAGCAGGTGCAGGGACTGGCTGCTCTGCTGCGACACCAGTAGTTGTTCCCGGTGCAGGCTTGTGACTATCCGCGATGTGGCGTGCTTCTTCATGTATGTCCTTGAGTTGCTTGTTCGTAGTCATATAGAAGGATTTGACCCTCTGGCCAATCGGAGAATTTACTGCTTTGGCATAGTACTGCTTAAGTTCGTAATCAGAGCCTAACAGACTGAATAACTAGATGACCAGTGAACATACGTCATGCAGACTCGTTGAGATCCCTTTCTGCTCGTCAATTGCGCGGGCACGTTCCGTCGCACTTGTCAGCGTCTCCTGTACCTTTCCAGATACTGTCTTTTCAGGCCCAAGAGTCTTGGCGCCAATCGTGCTATCAAGGCTTTGGAAGTAAGACAGGAAGCGCTTGGATATACCCCTTTCCTCTAGAGCACAACTCAGAAACGAGTATTATGAAGACAGACATAGTGAAACTCACGGTCTAATTTGATGGCACGATCTAGTATTTGGTCCGATAGTGTATAACCCTTTGCAAGATATTCGGCGGCGACTACCTCGCCGAAAAGATAATGAGCCATACATGAAATAATGCTTCAAGGACGACTCACTTCCCGCTCTGGGCTTATCTTCCTGCGCAATCGGCTCTCCTTCAGCTTGTGGAGATTCATGGTCCTCATCCGGATGCTCCTGATCGGCTGTGACTAAGAGCTTAGCACCATCCAGCGTGCCATCGTTGAGCATCAACGCGGTGGATACTGCGGAGGGCTTCTCAAAATAGACCGTAGAGTCGCCATTCTTGTTGAAATCGATGCTTTCAATCCTTCAAATCACATCAATCAACTATAATTCGAATGTGGCGATGAATTGTTGGCATACTTTCCGCAAAACCTGTTGCAAACACACGAAGAAACATGAATGAGAAACTGATTAAGGGGCTCAAATGTAAAACATACGCAAAGAAATCGCGCAGCTCCGGCTCTTCAGTTTTCTCAGAGAGATTTGCGACTTTGACGTAGTAGTTTGAAGCCATTTTGTTGGAGGCTCGGTTGCGTATGATAGTGGCACAAAGTGAAGAATAGGGATGGCTCGTCGCTGTGCATATATGCTTGTATCTGACGTCACGAGCACATGCTTGCAGGCGATTCCCACGCTAATCAAAGACAATCCAACCTTAATCTTGTAAATGAATTGATGATGATGTCGTACGTACATATTGAAGACAACAAGTTCTAGTAGTAATAATGCACAGAAGGGACCAGACGCAAGAATAGGAGGAAACTGCGTAATCATCATAATACACAGTTGAGCCTAGTTTTTGTATTCTGCTTTACTAGGTTGAAACGAAGGATGTCGAGAGAGCATAGCAGGCTCAACAATGGAGACACCGCGAGCATATATTTCTTTCGTGTAGAGCTGTGTCGGATTGTCAGTAAGAATAATGCGCATTCGTCTGACTAAAACGTACGGGCTGGTCATACATGATCGCGACCGGTCTACGATCAGACAAAACCGAACCTGGATGTATCCGAACTTTCATTGTCTATGAATAGTGAATAAACATTAAGGATCGTTAGGCCAAAGCCAGAGCGAAGAATACGTACAGAGTTACTCAGAATTTGTTTGTACGCCTTTATCTCAGAGCGATATACCGCTGTATTCTGTGCCAGACCAAACAGAAGTGCATTCAAAACCGATTCTGTGGCAGCACCCGCACTCGTACGCCAGTCAACCTTCTCCCTCTCGCATATGTTGCGTAGCTGATTCTGGATGTCGACCGCTTCGCTCAACGTGCGCTCATTCACAAAATGTTCTTGGCACCACTGGCGGCGCGCGCTCTTCACGGCACCACCCTTGACAAGCTCTTCATATGCGCGAAACGTGTTCAACGCTGTAAGATGATCTCCACTTGCATGACGGAAACGTGCACGGGACTCAGCCGCGGATTCGCGCTGCTCCACAGAATCAAAGAACAGTTTCGCCGACGCAGATAGTACAGAAACGATGCCGATTATCTCGTATGTGCACCCGAACTCCTGTGCGGCAAGTAGTGCACGCGCAAGAGGTGGATCAAGAGGAAATTTGTTCATCATACGGCCAATACGAGTCACCTCTTTCCTCTTGTCCAATGCACCAAGGATGAGAAGAGTAGCATACGCGGCCTTGACTAGACAACAGTAAGTATTACGATGGACACCGTCATCTACACGTCGCAGCTCACCGGTATCGTTGTCCGGCTGATCCATAAACTCGAGTGATTGGATGTCCTGACCGAGACATTTCAATTGTAATACACTAGACACCAGATTGGTGCGCAGAATTTCTGGCAGATATGTATCTTCCATCTTCCGAAAGTTGCTTTCAGTATATAATCGGAAGCACAGCCCAGGACCCTATGCATAAGCTGGTCATAAGCAAGGTAAAACTGCCTAGAAATGAGGACGTACTTCACGGCCCGCTCGACCTGCTCTTTGCATTGCAGAGGACTTGGAAATGTCTTGTGTCATTAGCGAATCCAATCCTAGAACTTTTGCTCAGCATCTAACGCCCCGAAGTCAATATTGACGACTCACCACCACCGGCATACTCGTAGTGGCGCTTTTCATTGTGCTTGCCCGAGTCGATAACATACTGCACCCCAGGTATGGTAATGGACGTTTCAGCAATGTTGGTTGCAAGAATACATTTCCGCGTCCCTTCGGGCGTATGCCGGAACACCTGAGTTTGCATGTTTTGCGGCAGCTGTGCATACATTGGACATGTTAACACCTGCAATAACACTTGAGTTAATGAGCTCGACATCACTGAAATCAGTAGGACATGGCTGATGATGACTTACGCTCATCTGGCCTAGCGGAAGTTGATTGGCATAGGATTTAATCATCTGCTGAACTGTCTCAATATCCTCTTGGCCTGTACAAAGTCAGGTCATGCAATAAAGAGTTATCATAATCTAACAGCTTACCTGGTAGAAATATCAATACATCGCCTGGCTCATGGTCAACATGTATCTGAAAAAACGTCCGGACTGCAGCGTCCGCGTAGTCGGGCTGGCTGTTCAAAGTGTAGAATATCCGAACGGGATGTTGACGACCCTTCACGTAAAGAACCTTGGCGCTATAGACGAAGTTATGAGGTATTGAAAACAATTGAAAGTACTGGTAGAACACACTCGTTGAAAAATCGGCTGAACTTGTCCGCGTCCAGAGTTGCGCTCATGACGACAATTCTTAACCGATATCCCTCGTCCCTGGCCTTCTCCTTCCCTTTCACTGTCGCTAGTGACGTCTCGGGAGTAGCATACCTCTTCTTTCTCTCCTTTTGGATATTCTTGAGATTGGCTAGTAAGATATCCGTGTTGAGGGTGCGTTCGTGAGCTTCATCAATGATGATAACGCTATAACGCGATAGCATAGGATCTGCGAGAAGCTCTCGAGAAAGCATACCATCCGTCAGATACTTTATCTTCGTACTGGGCTCGTGGCGTTCGTTAAAACGCACGGCATAACCAACGCGAGTTCCTAGCACAACTCCCTGCTCTTCTGCGACTCGTGCGGCGAGTGAAGTTGCAGCAACGCGTCGAGGTTGCGTAACGGCGACCTGGCCATCACCACATAGGCCCGCCTCAAGAATGTATTGTGGAACCTCTGAGGAAGAGGTCAGGCAAGAAATAAATAACGTGAAGAAACTTACGAGTAGTTTTTCCAGAACCAGTCTCTCCAACAAGTACAACTGTGTCATTTTCGCGGAATTCTCGAATGAGAGCCTCTTTCCCTGAAGCGTGTGAATACGATGGTTAGCTAGCTTTATCGAACGCGAAAGAGAGATGTGTACTGACCTTTCGTGATAGGCAACTGTCGTCGCTGGTCCTGCAAATCGTGAAACTTCTTCGATGCTTTCGCATGCCCAGCTTTTCCATTGACCTTCTCGCTCGTGGTTGTCGTATGGCCGTTGACTATAAGCCTCTCGCCATGATCTTCATTCTCTTCCATATACACAATCTTCCTTTTCTTGTAAGGACTGGCATCTCCATTAACGCCGTTCGGCTTGGTTTGGTTTGGTGTCTTGCTTGATGAACTGGAGCCATTGACAAATCCATTCAACCGCTTTTTGGGAGTGGAGCTAGCCAACGGAGGTGGTAATTTGCTTGTGCTCGAATTTGTACTGAGGGATGGGGTACCCAAGCCAAAGCCAGCCATTCGTCGAGGCCCGGAATAAGGAGTGGAGAATGCGCCAAACAGGCCGAAGTCAACCAAACGACCTTGAGAAATTCGAGGTAAATTTTGAACTATTTGATTATGTAAAGTGTCATTTCCTTATGCCACTTTCACCTTCGGCCTGCAACTTTGGCTCCAACCATGTTCCCAAATACTCAGTCTCTAGTTTATGGAAATCTGAATATTAGCATCTTGAGCTCTTTCTTATTCTTTTTCTGTTTGCTTCGATTTTATAGTACTGTAAAATTTATGCCGCAAAAGTTCTCTGAACTCGCATATTTCTCCTCGCATGACAGTTCAATTACATTCAAGTATAGGCTTGGATATTAATCGCGCCTAGAGCTATCAGGTCATAAGAAACTCCAAAGCCTTTACGTGTAAAAGCTACAGATGGGTATGAGTCCATCTGATGTATACATATACTCACGTCATGCTTTTCCCTCTTCATTTGCAGTTTCAACTTCTCGGGATGGCCATTTTCCAACTTTATCTATAAATTCTTTAATAATATGTCCACTGCAATTCTCTCTGTGTAAGAACATGCTATATACTCCTTAGGCACTTCATTATGTCCGAGGATCCTGTTGAGTCCAACCCGACTATATTAAATTTCAAGGAAGGAAAACAATGTAAAATTCAGGTGCCTTGCGCCGAAAGCCTGCTGAAGCTTCATATCACATTAATCGCTGTACGGTGAATACTACTGTACAAATGAGTATCTAAGCTGATGCTGTCTTTTCCACAATGTCTTATAAGTATCAAAAACTCTACGAAAACAACAATGCACAAGAATACAATTGGAATGGCTGATCAAACCTCTTCTTCAGATTCAGCCAACAAGAAACCCAACATTCCTCCCGTTAAATTGTTGGAACAGTACCATTCGGCACAGTCGACTCAACAGGAACAGTTTCATGCTTCATGTTTCCGTTTACGACAGGTTGCTCTGAATCAGACGCAATAGTAGTTGACGGAGTCAACGGAGCACTCTCAGCCGCATTGTGCTGGACTTCACTTCCTGCATACTCTTTGGGACGCTTGACGTTCCCGTCCTCGAAGATCCATGGGCCTTTCGGGAGGTGACCAATTACCTGACGGGCTTCGTCATCAAGCGAAGGCTCATCAAAGAAGTCCCAGTCAAGCTCGCCACCATAGGCTCGAGGAATGTTGGATGGTGATATGATGGACGTAAGCTCCTTGCTGCTCGCGCTTTCCGCACCCGCAAGGCTGCCAAGGACGTGAATCTTTTCTCGTGTATTTTCATCAAACCAGCCCTGTATATGAGAGAGCAATTTGTTTTATAAGCGTATATCAGTATCATAAAGAAATGTCTCGCCTTAATCCAACCCCAAACAGTTGAAAAGAATCCCGGCGCATTTACGACGACGACTGTGCCGAGTGTTTCTGGATAGTTAGCATTTGCGAGTTCTGATGCTTCCTGTAAGTGACTGCGCAGAGACCACATCTGGCGTGCAGACACTCCAGCGAGGTCAATGATTGTCGTCACTGCGGCGATCGGGGTTGGTTCTATTGAGTGAGGAAGATAGGTGCATAGCGGTGAAACAAAGCGTATCATTACTTCGTACAAAACGACACTGTATCACAGGTGTCAGAAGTGAAACTAATAACTGTGATATATGCGTGCTGGTTTACGTACATTCGTTCGTAACGTCGCTGTGGCGGTACTGAGGTAATTTCTTCTTGTATCGAATTGGACAGTGCACTCAGTTTGTACACATACAGAGGAAGTCCCTCCTGCAAAACTCGCAGTCGGCGAATATACTAAATATTAAGAAACTGGAATACACACCCTGTCTCGTCGTCCTGTCCATCTAGGATAGTACCGTCGCGAGCTCTCAAATTCGTCTGCAGGGAAATTGGCGAATAAATTATGGACATCGTGTTTCTTCTCCCATGCAATTCTGTCCGAAAATTGTTTCTGGGCTTTGGCCGGGTCAAATCTGCGTGCTCTCAAGAAGCGTCTGTTTGGAGCAAAATATGCTCATCGTTAGATATAACAACGAGCACGAGACACTGTGCACATACAGAAGTGTTGCGTCGTCATGAGACGCCTTTGTCGCCTCTGTCGGGGGTGTGTAAAGACCGGCTTTCTCTAAATTGGCCTTGAACGTAACAAATGCCTTCTCCTGTTCTGGAGTGAGGCGGCCAAGATGACCCTTGAAGCTCCTTTGGATTCCTGAACCTTTGATAGACGAAGAACCAGCCATTATGCAATAAGGATGAAAACTAAAGTCATCCAAAGGCGTGGGCGTAGGAGGGGAAAGGCAGCGTGGCACGCAAGAGAGGCAAGAGGGTGATGCAGCGAGGATATGACAAATTGAACATGGCTATGGTGATGGCACTGGCAGCGCCGATTTCGGCGAGTCGCATTCGTCATGACGCATCACCCCGCATTCGCCGGATCCGCACTCGATCGGCGCTCTGCCATTAGCTCCGTAAGCTTCTTTGTGTAATCATCATTACTTATTCTTTCACTCTCACAAATAACGACAGCCATGGAATGAACGAAGGAAGGAAGGATATACTCATTGAATAATTGTAGTTACACGACCATTAGACGTGTCGAAACCCGCCACCGAACATCGGACCAAAGAAATTCTCTTGAAACATCCGGGAAGCTTCGATCAATTCCCTATCTTCCGCATTCAGAGCATCGAGTCTAAATGCTTTCTCTCCAAAGATGCTACTCTCTGTCTCACAGACAGTGCCATACTCCGGAAGCGTGCCGTTGATGAAGTATTTACGGATTGCTTTGAACGTGCATAAAGAAGCGGCCGAGATCGAACAATGCTACATTTACAAATAAGGTAATATATCAACCGAGTATCAGTATGCGAAACGTAAAACTCACTCCTGAAGAGTTCTGTGTTAGGACGACAGAGTCTTTGAAACTCTTCGACATCTTGTGGGCACTGTATAGAGCATGAGCACCAAGAATTAAACCTCAGGCTGACGGTCTTACTTCCACAGTGGGGTAACATTATCTTAAACGAGAAAGATATTAGAATGAGCAATAAGATTCATAGATGTTACTGGGAATGTTCCCCTTACCCGCGGTATTACTAATAAGTAACAATGGATGGCTTGTCGTCTTGGGCTCAATCGTACCTGGATTTTCATGCGTTTAAATAACGATCCGATTAATGACGATTCATCGCACCATTGAACTGTTCCTTAGCACGTAGTTTCCATGCTCTGAAAGTGAACACTTAATGTATCGTTCAGAATTGTCGTGTACATATCACTCACGAGCAGAAGACACGAGGTGGCCAAGTAAACGCAAAGCTTGTATTCTTAGCCATCTCTTCGTATGCTTTTCGCGTATCTTCCAGGTCCTCGTTACGTTCTATTGCATCTCCACACGAAATTGCATACGTAGTCTCGTATTCTCCTTGGAATCGAATAGGTGTCTCTCCGGGCTTCAAGGGACAGTCACAACGTAGATAACTGTTGTATAGAAATTTTCGTGAGAGCTGGTAAATCTGGGATGTATTTCCCCGTTCCAGAGCAGCTAGTGCATGTGCAAGGGTGGCTCCAGCACTATGCGTTTTATAAAGGACATTGAAAATAGCTTCCCTCACTAGTCCGTGACTGATAACCTCAAAGTCGCTGCCGAGTGGAGAGGATGTATCATCATGGAAAGCCAAGGGAACCCGTTGTAGCTTGTCCAATAGACGATCAATTCGTTCCTGGATCAAGGAGGTAGTGTTCTCATATATGGGACATTTCGAGGGTCCTGCTGTTACACAGGCTTGATAGAAGTCCATGAGTGCAGCGTCAGTGTCTCTGAGATTGTTTGCCCATAGGCCTGTAGACGATAAGCAATGAAGAAAATACTTTGTTTAAAGGGATTGATATACTGACCACTATAGTAATCTTCCGTGTCCACAACACCATCGATGACGACTCGTCCGACTTGGTCCTGAAGTTAATAGGATTAATTAACACATGGGTACAGAAGCAGCTATGAAACCTCAGATACCGGAAACATTGCTGCAAATCTGGATAAACGCAAATGAATATGATTGTCAGTAAACAAAAAATAGATTTGCTCACGTTGCACCAAGAATAGTACCATATCTAAATATATGAGGTCCATATGCATACAAGGTAAATATAACAGAAGGACGTACGAAAATCCCCAATATTGGAGCTTTTCCTGCCCGAATGCATTAACGATGCCAAGCATATCCCGAGCAACGATCGGAGTAGACATCCGCTCTGCGACGAATCGCGCACGGTCGGCTACGAGATTGCTGAGGATACGTGCTCTGGCATATGCTTCTCCCAATGTTGACGCTGAAGCATTGAGGTCCAATGTGAATTGTGAATAATACTTGCCGGCCTCGACTTGATCCTCAAAAACGTTTAATCCTGGAGTTGTGAAGCCAACACCTTGATGACACGTAAAGAACAAATAAATCGGACTACTAGGAACGTTGGACTTATCATTCTTACCTCTTGGATCAAAGCTGACCAGATCAAAGGCATCGAACAGAACCGCTCGCAAAGCCTTCTCGAATAATATCAAAAACCCAATACCGGAGCCTCCTGGACCGCCTAGAATGAAACAAGTGCACATTGTAGCGGATAACTAAATATAGAAAGATGCATAACACACTTACCAGGATTGAAGAGAATCGGTCCGCGGTAGTTCGTATGACCTGGTGGATACCTTGACGGAGACATGATTAGAGCAATTGCAGCTTCCTCTCCAGATGGATCCGAGTATTCTAAAGGTACCTGGCAGATATAAACGAAGAGCGGACGTGTCATGCAAGGAACAGAACAAGCGTTCTTAATAGGGCATCTCACTGTCAGTCTGGCACATCGAAATCCATTATAACAATCTGTCCAATTCAGTGCTTTTGAAGGCGAGTGCTAAAACGGCGTCAGCATCCAACACACGAAGTTGCATGTAATACTGACAGCAGTCCAGTTGAAATTACCAAGGCCGTCGATAGCGACCCCAGCCTTCGGATTGTTGAGGGCGGGTCGAGCGTGTAACAAAAACAACCCAGACAAGTGCCAGTGTTGAAAATAGAGTTGATAAATGGAGACAAGCAGAACAAAAGAGACAGCGAAATGACGAAGATAATTCTTTTGTCTGCACGTCTCATATTGCATATTAGATGCACTAACATTGGTTACTGTAATCGTGCATGGTTTGAGTTCGAGGCGCTTTTCATGCTTTCGACCAGAGGCTTAGAGAACATTGCAGGGTTATAGATGATGGTGGAACTATGGAACGATTTATAGCCCAAAGCAACACCAATTATTCCCAGGAGAGAGCGCCCGAAGACGGCTGCGAGATCGCAGCAAGGACCAAGACCAATTTGAAGCGGCATCGGAGACACAACCACTACATGTCATAAAAGCAAAAGGTGACCTTGAATCCCCTTGAATCCTGGGTGTAGTCGCAGTATAAATAGCACCGTGATAGTCGTAGTTCACCGACAAATCATGTCGATATTAACTCAAAATTTATTATGTAAGTAAACTGGGGTATTTGGAATATTTTTCTTATTTTATTTTATTTTAAACAAGCATTATAACTCTATACTAGCGAAACAAAAATTGGTATGCTGTCAGGTTTCGTGCAATCAGTGTACATGTCCTCTAATTGTACTGCTGGTCCCTAAAAAGCAACCTTTGCTACAGTCTCATAAAACGTCTTGCCCTGAATGTGTGCGACCTCAAGCTCGAGTGCAGTCGGCTGTCGCGACCCGTCAGGGCCAGCCAACGTACCAGCTCCCCATGGAGAACCACCATGTACTTCCGAAATGTTGGTAAGTTGTGCGAACGCGTTCTTATAACCCATAGGGACGAAGATAATGCCGTGGTGTGTCAGAGTTGAGATTGCGTTTGCGGCTGTTGTCTCCTGTCCGCCTCCCGAGCTGGCGGTAGAGACGAAGATGCCAGCGTATTTCCCGTACAATGCACCGCTTGACCAGAGTGGCCCGGTTGCGTCCCAGAACGCCTAAGGACATGCATGATTAGAAAGAGGCTTAGGTGGCATGTACGACGACCGAGTAAATACCTTCCACTGTCCCGGGAAGTTCCCGTATCGTGTCGGGATACCGAGGAGGAATGCATCGTAGTTCCTCAAGTCATCAGGAGCGAGCACTGGATATGACGGCTTGGGCGGCGCTTTTAATAATTTGAGTATATCTTCCGACAATGTCTCCGGTATTCTACAGGAACGATAGTAAGCACTGATCTACAATTAAAGGAAGGTGGATCATACTGTAAGATAGTCACGGTGCCACCAGCCGACTCAACGCCAGCTTTGACGGACTCTGCCACTACGCATGCACACCGAGTTAGCAGGATGACATGCCGAAGACAAGAAGAACCACGAACTTTTGGCGATATGTCCGTACATCGAGTAAATAATAATCGCGACTTTGGGAGCCATCCTTTCTGATTTGTTGTTTTGAGGAGCGGCGGTATTGGCAGGAGCAAAAGAAGACGCAGTGGGAGCGGGAGTTCTATTGGAGGACTTGGATGAAGCATCCGCCGCCTTTATATCCTGCGGCGAGTCATCCGGATCGGAAAACTTCTCCTTCGTTCTCTTTGAAGGGAAACACATCTCAAGGGTACGACGTGGTTGTCGGGCCAATGACACAACAGACGGCGCCGGTTATATGCATTTTGCTTGCAACACTTTACCCTCATATCCCTCATGGAAAGAAAAACCTAGAAATCATCGACCGGGTGCCTGGTGGCGTAGTCCGGGCGGCAACAAATGGCTAGGAGCCATTGCGTAGATGAAGATAATGTGGCGCATTTGGATGCTTTTTCTCGTGAGCTCTGATCGCTTCCGGCGGAGTAGTTTATCCAGGCGAAGTGTGACTCGTTATCGCAGGGTTGAAGGTGAGTTACTTGTCATACTAACCCCTGAAATGCCTAGAAGCTTCACCGATGTCGGGATGCTTATTGAGTGGCATAAAAAGTTTGATAATGGTAGGGTGCAACCTTCTACGGCCAACGGAGACGGACTTATCAATCCGATCGACATTCGGGATCGACGATCAGCGGAATAATTATTCAATTTATTGTATCAATAAATACTCCGCTGTTGCCTTTCACCTGATATCCAGAGAATGGAAACAAAATAAAACATGGTCTAAATTGATAACGATAAAACATAAGAGGAGCTAGTAGTAGTACTATATGTTGCGAAAAGAGGTTATAAGGCTTCTCCAATAGATTACGGATGCTATGATAGTTTAACAACACTCATGAGAGTTTCATACCCTTTATGTCGATATGGCCTTCAAGAAGCGCTCGATAACAGATTTCCCTCGGCGCAGGTTATCCAAGGAAATACGCTCATTATTTAGATGGGCTCGATCCTGCGAGGAAGCAATTAACGTCAGAAAATCCATTTCCTATATCGGAAGACACCATACGGTACTCTGGCCAAGCGGGAGGTGCAACGCTTGGCATTTGAACTCCTTCTCGAGATACGGAACGGAGGGAATAGACTGGAAACGACAATATTTAGTATCCTGAGTGTCTTGGCACATCATTTAGCAAATGAGAACGTACGCCGCCTTCACGGATCCGAAGTGGTGTGACACCCCATTCATCCTTGATTGCCTTCTCCAGCGCTTTGAACCAGTCTCCTTCAACATCGCCAAGCCACCAATCCGTAGCATTGTCGATGTTTACCTGGAATTCTGTATTTCAGTCCTATTATACTATACGCAGTACAAGCGGCACACCTTAATCTTATTGGGTGATTTGACGGCTTCGAATGAACTTAGTAGGTGTTCTCGAAGTAAAGAAGCAATTGTATCCAAGTGCTGATTGGGAACAATGCGCAATGAGATTTTGGCCTTCACCTTCGCAGGAATGACGGTGGGATCTATACAAGGTAAGTATAAATGATTGAAGTAGTCAGGAGGACCGGGTTGGCTCACTTCCGGGACCAGACACCTCCAGACTATGTATGCTTAGCGACGGTTCTCTCCATTTTGCAGTAAACGAAGATGCTGCTTCCCCGGTTACTGTAGAGAGCAGCTTGTAAAGGTCAAACTCCTTTTCGGTCCTTGGCTGGACGGCATCGTCTATCAAGAACTCAGCAAGACGAAAGTTAAATAAACGCTATGCTTACAGAATCCGGGAATAAGAACATGCTGTCCCTCCGAAAGCCTAGACAGGAGTCCGATCATGTCAAACATAGGTTCCCTTACAGCGCCTCCATCCACACCGGAATGAAGGTCAGGTAGTCCACTCGAAATCTGTAGACGAATTAGAAATGCCATCCGAAGGAACAAGCACGAACACACGCACTTCAATGCTGCAATGAACTACACCACGCATGCCGTACGTGATACATGGTCGATCCTCGCTTATCCAAGTCGAATTACTAACAAGTATTGCATCGATACGACCAAACTTCTCCTTGTTTCGCCTCACAGCAGCATCAAATCCAACACTGCCCGCTTCCTCTTCCCCTTCAATGAGGAACACGATATCGCACCCAAGTGCACGATGTGATAATAACTCTGACGCAGCGCATGCAGCCGCAAGAATCGGACCCTTGTTGTCGGTCGCACCACGACCATAATAGTAACCATCTCGACCAGTCAAGATAAATGGGTCAGTGTTCCAACCGTCAGAGGGAGCAGCCATAATATCGTAATGTCCGTAAAAGAGAATGCGGGGTCGATCCTGTTTGCTTTGAGAACCATGGAATGTTGCTAGCACAAGAGGATTGCACCCCTCTTCCGTCGGTAGCTGCATACTTCGGGTAAATATAAACTAAGAATGAATAGAAGTGGCACACTCACTAGAGACGATTCAGCACCGAGCTGCGTGAGACATTTCTTCAGCCAAATTGCCGCCTGACGGCAGTCTTCGCGATGTTTACGCTCGCTGCTAACGCTAGGTATTGAGATAAACTTGGAAAGGGCATGTAACATCGTATCTTTTTGAATAAATCTGATTAGCTACATTTTCAAGTCGCTGATTACCCTACGTTACCTTGCATGCTGAGCCAGCCAATGGAGTTATGCAGGCCATTTTGATTATCTACTGAAATATCTTGTCGCAACTTCGGTCTTTCAATGTGCCAAAGCTAACGCAAGTGAAGTCATTCTATTAGGTCCAACAACTAATCTGCGACTTTGCAAGGGACAAACCTTAATACAATTATCATTTCCACCAGTGACTAGGCGCCAAGAATCACTTTTGACACTGCGGGTGATGACGGACGACAATAAGATCCCATCATGTGCGTGCCAGGATGCAGTACAATCAAAGCTTGCCGACCACCTCTGAATTTGTCCGTTTGCCGAGCAGCTGTATAAGTCCGTGTCGATCATTGATAACGAAAGTATGTCTACACCCTGTGTAATCTCATTCAGTACGAAGCCTTGCATATGGTCTTAAACGCACCTCTTGCGCAATAAGTGTCCTCACAAGTGTCTTCGTACCCAAATCGAAAACCTTGACGTGACCATCCTGGCACCCAGCAAAAACTGTCTCGTACCGGGCTACGAGAGACAAGACAGCTCCAGCATCCGCTTCGAATGTATGAACCAATTCGGGTCCAGAACGGGTGCATTGCCATAGCTGTCATAGAGCGAGTATGAGAAGCGCAAGAGCCACCGAAGGAATAACTAATGCCTACTTTGACAGTCTCATCACCGCTACCGGTGATCAGAAGTACTTGATCCATGACCTTGTCTTCTCTTTCGGCATTACTCTCTAGCGGTGACGGTAACAGAGCCATGGAGTACACATATCCATAATGAGCGGAATCAATCACATTTGAGCTCCGCACTTGGAATACAGCCTTTGGTTTCGGTACGCCCTTATCACACAGCGGAGTTGGTGTTGCCTGTCCACTCGCGATGCCATCTGCGAAGAATTTGTTCCTCTTGGATCCGGGACGGATATCGGACTCCCGTAAAATTAAGGGGCCATTGAAACCATCAGGGCCATCAGAACACGGGCACGCCGATTGTTCAGTCGCAAGGGAGGTGAAGTCAAACCATTGTAAAGAAGTGTTTTGGCAACCAAAGTAGACTGTCTGCAAGCTCGGCGCATAACAAAGGCAGAAAATGTCGCCCGAATCCGACTCCAGGTACGGGTTCAATATGTACAACGGTGCCAACTGTGACGTACACCAGACCTATGAGAAAGAAAGGTTGTTATTAGATGCAGTTGCCAATACTAGAATACGCCAGCGCAGCGCACTCTGACGGTACTGTCACCTAAAAGGGGAAAAGGTGGATATCGATGAGCTCTAATTCTAGTTCAAGACTGAGTGGATGTGCTCCTACCCGACGAGCTAATTAACCATCCCTTGTCCTTTGCGAGTTCCAGAGCCAGTACGCTACCGGTATGACCACGTAAAGTCGTCTTCATAGCTAGTGTTCGTCTGTCCCACACCTTCACGTCTCATCATTCGTACGCATTAAACTTAATGACCAGGACACCAACTCACGTATATATCATAGCCCTGGCTCCCGCTGAAGAAGTAATTCTCGTCTGCTGTGACGCTTAGCACAGAACTCGTCTCGGACCGGAGCGTATGCATAAGTGCTGGAATTAGAGCTTCCCGAGGCAGGGCAAGACTGAGTGACGCTGATGTTGCAGTGGATGAGGGAGAGGCAGGGAGGGATACGAGAGTCAACGCATGCTCAGCCAGTACGCAAGGCATAGGTGCGTACGATCTGGAGCCGACGTTGGTGAAGATTGCTGCCCGTCGGGTACTTGTATTTGCTGCTGCATGGTTAGTGCCTTTATACGTAATTAAAGCGAAGATCGCTGGATGTAGAAATGAATGGAAGTGATAGATGCGAAAATAGCGAGGGCTGCAAAGTCGGGAAAGTGCCAGCAGTCAACAGTAATTATTACCAGGGACGATGGCAGTGAGCAGGACAGAGCGTCCGTTGCCCACCCAGATGAGAGCCAGACGCGCTCACAGCTTCGCGTTCATTGCTGCAAATGACGCGATTTGATCGACGCTTCCCTTCAATCGGCATGTGCCGACCTCGTCGATCGCCCGTCACAAATTTCCTTTCTCAAATTCTCTCAGTCAGAATTTCTGCACTCAACAGTGATTTGTCTATCCGCCACTTGTCCGCCGTTGCGTCAGTATGTCACTGTCAACAAAGGCACAGAAGGCCAAAGAGAAGGTGCGACCAGCCCTAACTGTACATGTCCATCGACGCCTTTACTTGACCTATTGAGCAGGGCAACGCAGCCTTCAAGGCTGGGAACTTTCCAGAAGCCGTTGGCCACTATACTGAAGCTATGGTTGCTGATGGATCAGACCCGACATTCCCTTTGAATCGAGCCGCTGCGTATCTCAAGCTAGGCAAGTACGTGTCCGCATCATCGGGACGAGTCACAATTATAAACGCCCTGTCATCAATATAGACATGTTGATGCCGAACGGGACTGCACGACAGTTTTAAGACTAAGTCCTGGGCATGTCAAAGCATTATACAGACGCGCACAGTCTCGAATTGAGCTCCACAACTTGAATGAAGCTAAGATCGGTGGGTTCCATACCGTGCGATTCGGCTATGTTCGATCAAGTTGTAATGACTAACCTTCGATCCTAGACCTACTTGAAGCACTGAAGAGAGAACCAGGTAATTCCGCTGTAGAAGGTGAACTGCAGCGAGTAGACAACCTTCTGTCAAAACCGTCAACTGCAAGAACTGCACCACTGGTACGCACAAAAGACTGTTCCATTAGGGCCTTGTTTAATCATTAACCGTACAGGATGTAAATCAGAATGCACATCCACAACGTCGCAGAATACCTATAGAAATAGTTGAAGCAGATTCGTCACCGCTTTCATCTGCTCGATCGACGGATCTTCTGACACCCGTCTCTTCTCGTCAACTTCATCCGAAGCCCGAAGATGCGTTACCTACTCCACTACCCTCACCCTCTCAGGCCCCGTCGCGCACACTAGATCCTGCTCCCAAAGCGACGAAGTCACAGTCACCAGCAAAGCCAACCAGTACCAGAGGCGGCATCTTCCGCGCTTCAGGAAAACACACGCTGTTCCGTACGCCAGAACCATCAAGTCCATCTCCAAAATCAACCACACTTCCACCAAAACCTACTACAATCACAAAAGAAGATGTCGTACTTCAGCCGGCCCCACTCTCACTGTTTGAATTTTCTCGTGCTTGGGAACTAGCGTCACCTACTGAACGATGGGATCTCCTATGTGTAAGGCCTCGTTTCTTCCGAAGTAATCTTCTCCTAATGGTTTCAAAAAACAGAAAATTCCTCCACCGTCTCTCCCAACGCTGTTCAAAACCTCACTCGAAGCGCCATTACTCGTTCAAATTCTCGAAGTTTGTTCTCTCGCTGTGGACTCTACAGGGGACTCTACAATTAAAGCCCGTGTACGCGAGTATTTACACTGGTTCCAGCGAGTGCCACGATTCTCGACTGTCGTACTGTTTTTGAGCAAGAAAGAGAAGGAATTGGGAAGATCCTTGGCGGATGCTATTGCGTTCCCGGATTGGAAGATGTGATGTTTGATGGTAGAGAAGCTGTCTGCTTGGTGTTTTGCTCGGACAATTGCATTGTCTCTCAGCCTGTTGTTATCTATAGAAACTATAGGCACGTTTATGTGAGGCACTCCACCAACAGATCTTGCATGATGCTCACCATATCTGCCAGGAGTACCTCTTAAGGTGGGACTCCAGCATCTTGAGTAGGTGTTAAGCTTAGCCAAGTCTTATTTTGGTAGCATGTGCTAGATTTTATTATGTTCATTACCATGTTAATGTAAATCCTTGTGTTCACACACTTTGTACAGTAGCCAAGCTGTACCTAAAAATAAGGGTGATCTGCAAGTGTATAGTTCACTCATTGTTTGCTGTAAGTCTCAGCCACAATTGTCAATAGATGTTTCTCCTACTTATTCAGCATGCTTCAATACACTTTTCCAGGAAGTGTCCGTTTTATAATTCGAATCCAAGAAATTGCAACGATAACAATTTAACAATTTCCGGAACTTTGGCTGAAGCGACTTCCCTTCACCGGTTATCTTGTTCTTTACTCCTTTTACAGATACTATGTCACCTCTGTACTTGTACGCAGCGAATACCTTTGGGGACTTAGGACGAGGCACGGGTAAGTGCAGTAGTAAAACATGACGTGGTACTTTTTCATTACAATGTCTTACACACCTTCTAATACACACCATTTAATAGTGATCCTCTTTACCAGATGCCTGGTATGAGACGGGAAGGAACCCTCTTCTTGTATGCTATATATTCAGGACCGAGGTTTCTGTCTGACTCAATAAGTCTCTCCTATAAATCGTCGATTACTCTGCGTCAATTTCGTAGCTCCCAGAGCAATGAATGTGAGACACATACTTCAATCGGGATTTTAATCGCAAACACGACGGCGCCAAAAGCAAAACAACACAACGGCATGTAATTCTAAAACGTTACTGAGAGTCCAAGCAGCGTAGACAAAATAGATCTGTTACCGATGTTCACCGAGAAATATTAGCTATGTAAGTGAAATAACAAAATAACAAAGGCGCAACTCACGTATATATGGGGTGTCGCACAACACTATAGAGTCCACTGGTGGCGAGGATTCGAGAATTTTCTCTCACCTAAATTAAAAGGATCGTTAGTATTGTCTTTATATGCTTATTCGTATGACCTACCCCGATGCAGCCGAAGGAATGACTTAGCAGATCACTACTACCTTAATGGCCTTATACGAGATAGGCAGACAGACGCATGCTGCCAACCGTATCAGATAATGGTCTCTTTCTTGAGTCCGAAGTCCGGAAGAGCGAAACGTGCGATAAATTCAGGTTGTACACTTTTATTCGACGGGATGGCCACAAGGTATGCTGATATGGGTAAAAAGAGATTGCGGAGCCGTGCAAAATTGTGAGGAAGTTACCCACGCGAGTCGAGAAATTCGTTTTGATCGGACCTCCTTTGACTTTAGCAGTATCGGACACCTTGTTTATGCCGCGTATCAATGCGACGGAGTATAGGAAGAGTGACGATGTAATGTTGCTTTCAGTAGCAAGGTCAGAAGCAGGCCCAGGGACATGTATACCAGCAATGTACATAGTGTCACTTCGAGGAAGGTATTGACCAGAGAAACGAAGATGGGACGGTAGGAGTGACTCAGGATGTCTTCATCATAGACTTCCTGATATTCGATTTTTTAGTTTCTTTGGTGCTTATGGAGAATGGTGGCACGCCCCAGTTTAGACAAAACATCGGCGATTCTCACGGCTGAAAATTGAAGTCAGTCATTTGGCGATGGAGGCCGCCTTGAAACTTGATAGGCGCAAAGAGCTAGCGGAGTTGGGCAAAGCAAGCGGTGGTGTTATCCCTGGTGGATCGAGTAAGTCCGGATGGAGCGCTGTAAATGGCACCTACATAATCAGAATGCTCTCAACTCTGAGTTGAGAGTATCCAACAAAGGCTCGCCATGCATATGCACTTCAGGCTCTACTCCGGCGTGATATATGCAATTCATCTAGATGCAGGAAACGTCTGCTTGATAACTTCGATCCGACCTTGTGATTTGTTCTTCGAATGCACAGCGATCCAACATACTCGTGGAGATGAATAACTTTATATTTCCTTTCAAACCGGTACACAAATCGCATATTCTGTATATGGCATGGCTTTCTGCACGTTAATCTTATTTCACAGGGGTACAATATCGTTGTTGGTTTAATATGATGACGGGTGTCTCAACAACGTCTATTGCAACATTAGCAATCAATATTGACGGGTAGAGACAAGCCGATTACTCACTCCGCCGTCAATTAGGACAGTCTCTCCGTTGACATACCAGTTAGCAACAAGGAAAAGTGCAAGTGTTCCCATATCACGGTTCGTCCCACCCATCACAGGGACTCCCGTCCCAGGCGCTTGACGAGTCGGTATATCAAAGATAGGCAGCTTATCTGCAGGGATATTCGCAGTCTCATTTGGATCAATATGCGAAATTCCCGCTGCGTCAATAGTACCAGGGGCAGTCATATCCGTGATAAACCAACCCGGTGCGATTCCATTCACTCGAATTTCCAAAGGAAGTAAATCATGCGCGAGGGTACTCGTAAAATGTCCAATAGCACTCTTGCTCATTGCGTAAGGGACGGATAAGCCGGCCGTAGAGAGGTCCTTCGTCCAGCCATTCATGCTGGACGTCATGATGATTTGAGGTGCGAACTTCTTCCCGCCTGGGCTAGTTTTCCATGCTTCGAGAAGAGGGAGGAAAGCTGCGGAAATCCAGTAGGCTGAAAACGCGTTTGTGCGTAGAGTGTTGTCGAATTGGTCTGGAGTAACTTCCCAGTAACGGTTGAGATATTCGGCTGCTGACGTTGGCTTCGAGGCTGGCTCGAGAGAGGAGTTTGGGGCTGAGTCGGCGGGTGGACGAGAAAGTCTGCCTTCGAGGATCCTGAAATATATGGTATTCAATATTGAATGGTAAACGAACGTCATGGATACTCGTACCCAGCGTTATTGAAGAGGACAGTAACATGAGACTCTCGTCTGCCTACCTCATCTGCCAAACGCTTTGCTTCTTCCTACAATACGGATATATGTGCATGCGTCGAGATTACATGTGATTAAAAAAAAGTGTGAAGATACCTTAAGTCGTATGTCACCTTGCAGCCCGACAAGCTTGCCTCTTCCAGACTGTCCTTGCACGGTATCATTATAGACCTTAGATATTCTACAGCGTAATCGCAATGAACACTCATGTATACCTGGAATTAAATTCTTCCACTCACGCGTCGAGCTGCTCCTGCTTAGGGCCAATGATATAAACTGTGGCTCCATTTGCCATCAGCGTCGTGCTTATCATGAGACCTATTCCCTAATCCACAAATAGTTATTCATAGTTTACTGCGTGATATAACATGCCAGTGAGAAACCACTCACCGTTCCACCACCAGTGATAACAGCAACGACACCCCGAAGGTCGAAGATGTTGCTCGCAGTAAGTTTATCGAGAATTGCGTTTGGAGTAGACATGGCTAAAACAAAGAAAGGACTTTGAGCTGCTTTGCAGAAATCCGGTTTACCCTTTATAATACAGCTGTCTGAGAAAATTGCTGAGGCAAGCAACTGACGTCAGAGAAGAAGCGCCTGCTTCTATGAATTTAGTCTGGTCAGAACTTCATCCGGGACCGACTGAGTCACATAATCAAGAGAAACAATTGTACGATGCTTGACTGAGAGGATGTATCAGCAACAACTACAGCTCTTAGTGGGTCAGAGTTGGTGTGAAGGTCTTTCGACAATAGGGTAGCATCAATACTCAGCATCCACCGTCAGATAGTTCCTTGCAGAGCTATTCAGCAATATGATAAGCAAAAATTTAGTGAGGGAAATTGTAAAATGAGAACACGGAATACTTATCCTGAACTTACTCCAGATCCAGGATATGGCAGTCAGGGAAGAATGAATGCGTGTATATGACAATTTCCTCAGTCCCATCAAGTCACGTGCCTATAGTCTGACAAATTTGCCCGAAGTGCAGGCTTCTCAAAAGGATTGGTATACTTAGCAACTTCAAAGTGCTGTTGCACTACTTTATTTTGCGTATTATTGAAGTTGCTAATCATCCAGAAACTGAGGTAAATGGCTGTGAAGTGTTGATCGATTCTGTCGCCTGCATCATACAAATGTAAATGAAACTGTATAGACACACAAATGGTACACAAGCTTCTCTATTACCACTTTGAGGAGCAATTACCAGGCTTTCTCTTACAAGTTGAGAGTTTACTGGACAAGTGCTCAATATGAAGACGGATGCCTCAACAGAGTCTAAGATAATAGTCAGAATGCAATTCGCGCAAAGAACATGGAATGAACACTTACGCCTCCATCAATCAAGACAGTCTCTCCATTTACAAACCAGTTAGCGACAAGGAAAAGCGCAAGCGTTCCCATGTCGCGGTTCGTGCCGCCTAGCAAAGGAACTCCGGTTCCCGGAGCTTGACGCGTCGGAATATCAAACGGAGGAAGCTTGTCCGCTGGGATCGTCACTGTCTCGTTCGCATCAAGATGTGAGATTCCCGCCGCATCCATCGTGCCGGGAGCAGTCATATCTGTAATGAAATAACCGGGTGCAATCGCATTCACGCGAATGCCGAGTGGAAGGAGGTCGTGAGCGAGAATAGTTGTGAAGTGGCCGACTGCTGCTTTGCTCATCATGTACGGAACACTGAAACCTGAAGTGGCAGGATCCTTCGTCCAGGCGTTCATGCTGGCAGTCATGACTATCTGAGGTGCAAATTTCTTTCCACCTGAGCTATTCTTCCATGCCTCTAGGAGTGGAAGGAACGCTGCAGAGAACCAGTACGCGCCAACTGCGTTTGTACGCAGAGAATTATCGAACTGATCAGGAGTAACAGCCCAATAACGATTGAAATATTCGGTTGCTGAAGTAGACCTCGAAGCAGGGTCGAGAGATGAGTTAGGCGCCAAATCGGCAGGAGGAAGGGTAAGTCCACCGTCAAAAATTCTTATGAACCGCTGTCAGTATATGTCTGAAGGAGAAGTAAAGTGTGTACCCAGCGTTATTGAAGAGAACAGTGACATGGCCTTCGCGTTGACCTATTTCCGTCGCCAAACGCTTTGCTTCTTCCTGCAAGGACTGCATGAGGAGGATCACGTAAAGACACGATTTGGTGTAGACTACCTTGACTCTAATGTCGCCTTGCAATCCAACAAGCTTCCCTTTCCTGTCGCGGCTTAGCCCAGCTTCATTGTAGCTCTTAGCTATCCTATGATTGAAATGAGTATCAAGCTATTCGTATAAACGAGGTATAGCCATTCACTTGTCGAGTTGCACCTGATCAGGACCGATGATGTAGACGGTTGCTCCATTTGCCATCAACGTTGTGCTTATCATCAGGCCAATGCCCTCAACAAGAAAAATAATATCAATTAGTGCATAACACCTTGGGCAGAGAATGCTTACGGTTCCACCTCCAGTGATGACAGCGACAACATCCCGAAGATCAAAGATATTTTTTGCTGTGAGCCTCTCGAGGACGGCGTCTGGTGTTGTAGTCATGGTAGTGACGGAATGGAGGACACAATGATAGGGAGCCTTGTTATATGAATGGTCCAACAAAAGAAGACCGCCAGTACGTCAGAGACATCCGCCGATTCAACAAGCCATGTAATGGAAGTAATTTACTTCCGTCAATATACATATACAGGATCGGTTCATCGATAAAGAATACGCGAAGAAGGCCTCGTGTTGCAGCCTTAGAAGCCTTTACGGGTCCAAGGATACATGACTTTTAAATAATAGTTTCACAAGCGGGATCAATCATGTGGCGTAGTCTTGTCAGGCAGATGACCTCAACAAATGAAGGATGTGGGTGAAACAATAACCCCGAGCAACTTTTTGTTGTGTTGCTACCTCTAGTGAATAATAGGGTAAAAGAAGAGCATTTCCGTCGTTCAAAATCACTCTCTGGCAAATCACGTACTCACCGGCCCTAAACACCATTGTAAGCGCGCATCGTCTTTACGCGTCTGCACCAAATCACCTTGCCTTGTTGTTCTATGCCAAGGCTCACTGCGTAATATGCCTGCCATTTCCCGCGGAAGCGGTACGCGATCTCGAAGACGTCAGCCTTCGGAAGATAACATAGAAGACGGAGATCCCACCCAACGCTCGCGGACTGAGGACGTTGAAGACGCCGAAGATGCACGACCTACGCGTGCGTCGAGAACGGGCTCAAAGGCATCCAAGTCCGACAGGACAAGGGGAGGAAGGACGAAGAGCAACCGTTCCAAAGACGGAAATGATGATGCATCCGACGATGAGGATCAAAAGCCTGAGTTGGGTCTGGGTATTGACATCAACAACTTCCAAGACCAGCCGCTTTCCAAGGCAGATGCGCGGAAGGTAGCCGCCCTTGCGCAAGACTGGGAACAAATAAAAAGAAATATGAGATCTGCTACCCTTCCTCTCGTCGAATCAGTTGCTGTAGCTATGGCAGAAGCAGGCGAAAACAAAGATGGAGAAGAGGTCAGATTTACTCGCTGATAGCTTTACTGCTACTGTTTATGCTCATAATCCCTTTATGCAGGCTCTTAAAGAACTAGAAGACACCGAGACGCTCATGCGAGAGCTCCTCGACCTGCAGGCGGAGCTTTTAGCCCACGAAGATACGCTGAATACACTCTCGAACAGCATTGCTCGCGGCGAGGCAATTGTGTGTCATAATTTCCTACATTGCCTTACAGCTGTGAGCCTGAACTAATCTGGATTTTATATTTTCAGGATAATATACAGCAACGGTACACAGATGGTGTTGATAACGCAAAGGAGTCATGGCAGAACAGAACGACAAGACAGAAATATGCGAGAGACGAAGATTACATCAGATTCAAGTCAAGTATCTTCGTGAGTCGCAGTACCCGTCCTCCATCATCCTGGCTTACTTTCCATTGTTCGTTGCGCGTCAAATGTATATTATAACTGACTTTGTCAATTGCAGGAGGTTCAACATCCCGATCAGGGCATGCCCCCTTTGACCGACTTCATTCCAAGCGGTGCGTTTAACATGACACAAATTGCCACATGTTGTACCTCCAACTAAAGTTGACGCGAATTAGAGGAGGGTGATGAGTCTGACGATGATGACGTCGCCGTCGGTGGTGTCTCGCAAGTGTATACCTGCCCACTAAGTCTAAGGGTCTTGGAAAACCCTATGTCCTCGTATGCTTCTTTGCTCCCATTACATTGATCGTCTATGTCACTGACTTGCTCAACTTTTCCGTATTTGTAGGAAAATATGCAAGCATAGTTTCTCCAAGGATTCAATTGTGGAATACTACAGTTCAAACCGGTCGTTAAAGAAGAAATGCCCTGCAGCTGGTTGTAGCGAGCTGCAAGGGTTGTCTGATTTTGTGGTAAGTTTAATTCTCTTTTTATTTTTATGATATTTGTTGCGATGCTCCATGTGCCCTTATGATTGATATTGCGGTTGATTGCTGATAACTGTGTATTCAACGCCAGCCTAATCTTGACCTTGAGCGGAAGGTCAAGGCACACGTCCGAAGAGAACAGCGACGACAAGCGGAGGCAGATAGCGAGGAAGAGCAAGTGGAGGAAATTATCGACTGAGCATACAGTCGTGATTAGCTCTTATTGCTGCATGGTCCCTTTCTGTCCAACTTTTTTGCGCATTATCGTAGCATGTACTTTCCAAGAGGTCCAGAGTGGGACTCCTTAATATAATCTTAAGGAAATGATAGTAATAAACAATAAAATTTGTTATTCTATCTCAAATTACTTGCTATTAGTCGAGATAGTGGGACTGACACCAACACAATTGTATAAAAATTATTTTTAGTGGGACTTGGAAGGTTCTGTCGGAGTCTGAATATAAGAACGCGGTCTCCTCAGGCATCACGTGCATCGCGACTTCAAACTTCGATGGCATGGCCAAGTCGTAACTCTACTCTGCACTGATGGCATGGCGAGCGTCACTCTGGTTCCGTCTCTAAAGGGTGCTGGCCCTTCCGCACCGCCAGTTACACCAGCCAGTCCTGCATTGAACTCAATTAGGTCCCGTTCGAATTCCCCAGTTTCCCCTCTTACTTCGACGGACCATGTTACTTATGGGTCTACGCGGAAAGATGCATGCGAGCGGAACACCCGCGATGTACCAATAGGAGACGACTCCAATCGATTAGCAGACGATCTTCAGAGTGATCAGACTCAAAAAGGAGAAAAGAGGCGGATGCTAAAACTCCTGAGTAGTCATTATTCTCCGTATTTACTGCTGGAAAACTCCGGCAGTGTTGCCCGAGATCACCTTGCGTCAGAACGCACGTTTCTTGCGTACGTGCGAACGAGCCTTGCTATTGCTTCGGCGGGTGTAGGTAAGTAGTCTGGACGCCCGTTGAGTAGAACTTGACGTGAAGAGACTAATCTATACCTGCAGCTCTCGTTCAACTATTTTCTGTCTCTTCATCATCGAGGTCATCGGACCGAATTAAGGAAAATTTACTGCGATTTGCCCGTCCCTTAGGTGCAACTATAGTCATGATCGGTATTATTGTGTTACTCATCGGTGCGTATTTCTGTCCCTTTCCGAATCCGCTTTACGAAAAACAGCCGAATAAACGTCAACGTGAAAGGTCTCTTTCGTTACTTCCGCATCCAAGCAGCACTCATTTCTGGCAAATTCCCTCCCGCACGCTTAACTATCGTGTTTATGTCCTCTGCAATTGTTTGTCTTGTTATCATCGTGTTTAGCATTTTAGTACAAGCCGCCCGTTAAAAGTCATTGTGGACAGCGGTTTTCAATACCAACCGATGCCATTATGAGGTGCTTATGCTTGACGTATGGCGTGTGTCAGAGGTCGGGTGTGGCGCCTGGATTCTTAAAGACAACGAAAAAGATCCCGCTTTTAACTTTATGGAAAAACTGTCTCCCATCCCTGGCCGCGAACCAGATGAACAGTATTGTAAGTGTATTACCGATACTTTACCTGACTGTGGTCCCGCATGATGGGACGTCCTAGATACAGAGAGTGCCGGCATCAACGCCCATACGCAATTTTCGTTTCTGATGCTAATGCACAATTACGCTTCTTTCTGGGCCCAGTGATTCTCAACGCGGACGACTCGTTTGCATGCTGTATGCGTCGCAACTGTATCTGAAAGCCTAGCGCTGCATGACTCGTACTGGAACAACGAAGCAACATCCGACGATCTTGCAGATGTGTCTGGACGTCGCTTTTCTCTGTGTAATTCTAATAGTCGCAGTTGACAAGACTTGCTCGTGCCTGTAGTCTGACTTGGCGTACCTTGTTGATCCGAAATCTCGCAATTACCACGTTAAAGATAGAACGAAGACATGCTCGAGGATCTGCGTATATGCGAATCCTGTCGCTGGCGATCATCTTAGAGTCATGGGACCAACGCTTATTCGCATGAAAATCAGGAGGCCCGGTCTCGAACATGATACTTCAGTTCCTTATCCCTCTAAGTGTCACTCATCTTGTTCTTTTGGCTCCGTACGAAGCACAAAGATGCTGCCTCCTGGACGGCAGGGCCTTGCGTTTTCAACGGATTTGTGCTAAGCAGCCCTCACTGCCGCCTTCCTAATATCGTTTGCCGTGCGACACATTCGGCACTATGAGGGGAAGCTGAGGTACTTATCCATGTGTGCTACGTGATGCAAATCATCTTTAGCCTATGGTTGGTTTTCACACTCACTAGATTCAGAAAATACACATCCTAATGCCTCTTTTGTTACATGTATCAGCAACTAACTGTCAGCTAGCTGTACGATAACCATCCTACACTTTCAACGACTGGCACTTGAAGACAAGGAACCTTGTTTTTTGGAATAGTCTACTTTCGACCCCGCACATTCTTGGTCCGCGGACCCGACCATGGTTTAGTGCAGTTTACCGCAGGAGGCGGATCAAGCAGACCAGGTTGCCTGTACATAGCCTGCCATTCAATCATCTTCCGCTTTGGTCAGTAGATGTGAACGCAATTCGTCCTGAAATGGTTGATGAGTTTTAACAATTGCCACTTACTTCAGGTATAAAAGCACGACCAGTTAACTGCTAATTCTTCAGCTTCAGAGTCATACTCCAGAGCTACTAAGAGTCGTTCTTACTCTCGCTACCAGTACATTAAGATGTCTCCGGCAAATCTCAACTTCACCTCTCTTGCTGCTAACGCTGTTATTCCGAGCAGCGGCAACAACTACGTTGTTGAGAACCTTGCATTCGCTCACGTCCTCGACAACTCGAACTCATTGCCCGTTGACGGTAATCCCGTTCTTGCTTGGTCGCAGAACAGTCCCCAGACTTCGAACCAAGTCGTAAGTTTTCTTTTTCTACAGCTTTTATTTAAAAAATTCAGTAATTAATGGGGTAATTTCTAGTGGACCTACCTTACCTATCCGTCGAGCAGCGGAGACAGTGTGTTTACCCTCCAGGCGCTGTCCACTGTTCAGAGCGGAAATTCTGTCGATGTAATCGGCGGTCGAGGAGGCTACTTGCGTCTTGACCCATCCGTGAGCTATCCGATTTATCTCCCCGATTCTTTAAGAACATAGCTGACTTATTCGCTTTAGACGAACAAGGTTGTACACGGAGGCCAGCCGCAAGCTTGGAAGCTCGTCGAGATAGCGCCGACTATCTACAAGTAAGTCAAAGCCGGTCATGCCTGTGCATTATTGGGTGTCCTGATGACATTGCATATAGGATTTCTCCTTTCGAAGACATCATGTCTAACAGTGGAAAGCTTGTCGCGACCGACATCAACCCAGTGAGTCTTGCACCATCGAAAATTGTTCAATAATTAATTACGAGAAAAAAATTTGCAGACGACTCAGAGCATCTCACAGAACCAGTTGGTTATTCAACAAGATGTTTCGTCCCTCCAGCAGCTCTGGACCTTCAACTAAGCGGTGCAAAATACTTGTAACTGCTAGCAGGTAAAGGGGAGGATGTTTATCTGGGTATAGAGTCGAGTATATTGTCGGTCGTTACTATTTGCTTGGAATTTTTTTGTTCCCTATTCGATCTGCAGAGTATTATTGACGTTGCTGTGCTTCTTATAAGTCTTTTCAACGTGGACTGTTAAATTTGACAGTAGAACACAAAACCCAATAATCGAAACAGCTCAAAATCTTCGAAATGAACCAGGGAATTAAACTAGAGATTTCATTAACTATGAATATATTCAAGAGCAAAAAGATTGAAATATTACCCCTGAGGTCCAACAGGACAAGCCTTTCATTTGACTGGTGTGGTACTCCAGCATTTGGAACTCAGATTTAGAATCCGTTCCAGACGCGTTATGGTGTCAAGATCACGTGAAACCAGTCCTGTCCACGCCCAGTTAAACCAAACTCCGGAAATGCATATATGGTTCAAAGCTTTCCCGGATTTTCTGTACTCAGCACCATGCGAAGAAGGAGATCTCATATTCCTAATCCAAGTAATTGTATTGCAGAGAACCCTGGAACTCAGCCAAGCCGTGAGGTATGCTTGTATGCTTGGCTAGCATCAAGCATGTGCAATGTTCTCATCTGTGGATGGAAAAGCACTTCGGGCGGGATTGGCTCTCGGAGAACGCCGTTCCTCGTTCATCCGCTTCATTAGTGTTTGGGGTTAACTCGTAAATAAGCAAGACAGCCGTCTACATCCGAAGGCCCTCCCTACTTTGCCTTGCGACGCTTTGCTGTATCCATCTTGTTGGTGCACTATGCGACTCCAGTTTTGGACCTTTTGCGTCGGCACCGAAGTGCATTTCTTCCAATCCAGCTACGTAATGCCGTTATTGCAAAGCGGCGAGTCCAGAAATCTTTCAGCACTATCCCCACCAGCTCCCACCCTTCATTTCGAAGCCTTCTAGTCCATGCCGTGTAAACTAAAGTGGATTTTTCCGGTGGCCCGCCAGTCCAATTTTCATACGCGACCAGCGAACATAATGCGTCTCGCGTAACTCCACGCTTTTAATATTGCGAGACCTGTTCTACTGTACAGAAGTTTCTTCGCTTGAACTTTATAACTTCCTATCTACGCTTAATGCTTGGTTGACCATTTCTGTCATGCTTCGAACTCTCGCTGCGGTGCTAATAATCCTCGAGTCAACCCCACTTTCACCCATCACTTCGCATTCACCACGGTATTCCGAACCATCACATCTTGACCAATGAAAATAATTGGATGCATACAAACGAGGCTAGCATCAGCATCTAGAATCTAGAACAAGCTGTCTCTGGGTTATAATTTAATACACACTCCCACCACAAGCCTGGTCATGAGTTCACATTGCCCACACGATGATGCCATCCAGAAAAAATTATGTCTCATTCTCCATACTCGTCATACCTACCGACAGACTCACGAATGCAAGACATCCATAATTTCATTATCAGCTCGTCTGAAAGTAGTGGACAATGCCGATTTTGCCTGTCTTTAATTTCAATTTAATGTTTATAATTAATAAACGTTTATCCAGCCATGCGGTGATTAACTTTCACCACACCAAATACACGCCCCTTCACATAAAGATTACATGAATAGCTTCCGTCTAGACTTAGGTGAAAATTTATTGAATTAGGTGCCATGATGGAAGCGTACCTGATTGGCGTGTGGGGAGAAATGTAAAAACTCTATACGCGGATGATCGGTTTGCTGCGCGGCTTGTGGAGATCTGCTGCTAAGCGTTGAAAAAGAAAATATCGCTAAGTAATCCTGTGAGACAAAATGCTGAGCCATGAATTTGCTTTCTCATCAACTGCTGAATGATGTTTGTGCATGCTCGCCAGATGCCACAACGTATGCATGCAAGTTGACTGAATCAGGCTGTTGCAAGCACAATCTTTAAGCACTTTTCATTCGTAATTCTAATATATTAAATGCTATGCTGTTTATTAATTCGGAATGAGAGGGGATGGTGATGACGATGACTGATGCAATGCAAGGAAGATGAAAAATGCGAATGCCTACGTATCATACTCGTGACGTTATTGATCGTTGCAGTGGTGCAAAAGATGGTAAAAGAAAGTGAGGAAGAATACAAGTGAACAACGAAAATTTCCTGAGATTTTGACGCCATTTTTTGTCGGATGCAGCATAGGGATGCGAATAAACGACACAAACAGGATAGGGTGGAAAGGGAGTAGGACGAGGAAGATACCACCATGACAGGGAAGCAGCAGACAGAGAGTAATAAGGTGCTAGCGGAAGCGTAGACGGAAGCTGAGCCTGTACACCGTGAGTACGGTATATTTTTGTCATGGGAAACACAACAAATTGAATCTCCGTTTTTGGGTGTAGCAATGGCGTATGGTCTGGGTGGACTGGGTCGTGGCGTAGATGCAACAGACAGGCGAGCACGAATAAACGTGGCACCTGATAGTCGTCGACACCGGGGTTGGACGTATCGGAATTTGTGATCCAACGAACAGCAAAGACCAAAACGAGAAAAAGATGTGAGAATAGAAGTGGGAAAAGGAGTACCTCTACAAAGAGAATTATTTTTATGCGCGGAGTTCCGAAAGCGAAATATGTAACATGATCCTCGTAAGACCGTGGCGTGAAGTTGCTAGCAAAGATGCGGAGACGAGGACTGAATTTTGTTATGCCCAGTAAAGAAATGCCGAATTGAATAAGATGGGGGAAATGCACAAGGAGGATGCAGAATTGAATAGAACACATCGTGGCGACGAGGAGCATATGACCCAAGAAGCAGACAAAATCACGAGTCTCGTGTAACAAGCACATTGAGCACTTGTCAATGGTCGGCTAAGCGACCTTTTTTGAATTGGTAAATGGCACCAGATTTACTAATTTTGATGAGAAGAATCCGCGAACCACCAATGGAGTCCTAGCGTGGGCTTGCCCTTGCCGCACTGGCTGGGTCCTGGACCTCCTCACCAGTGCGTCGTGCGGGAGCAGGAGTGCGACCTCGTCCCCGTCGGTAGCCACCGGCACATCCAGTCGTTGCTTGCTTCGTCTCGGAGCTAGCACGTCGGGATGCGCGTCCTCGCGTCACCATTGCAATCGCACTTGCCTCGGGATTCATCTCGGTTGGACTGGCACGACGAGAAGGCTGTCGAGAACTCGAGTTGGAATGAGTCTGAGAGCGTGAAGACGGACGGACTGGGAAAGAAGCGAGGAGGGAACTCGAGAGGGGATTGTTCTGATTGAGACTCGCAGCATCCGTCACTGAGGATGATGAGACCGAGGATGAACGCTGAGAGGAAGAGTAGGCATCGTCAAATTCCCTATCTTCATCTGCACCTAAGCCATTGTCCTTCTCAGGATCGAGGGAGGCAGATTGAAAAGCATGCGAGATGAAGTTTGCATCGTCCATGTCCTCAGATAAAGATTCGCCACTTTGGATACGCAATTTCCGCGCGCGGATCGGTCCGAGGCGCTGAGAATAATCGTTGTCCATCTCAACATCTAAGGAGCTGTCATTGCCGCAAGAAATCCGATCCATTTCCGAATCTCCAGTCAGGAACTCGCCATTCATGGAACGCTTGCTGGCTTGACGTCGTGCACGAGCCTCCCGGGCCTTCACGAGCGGGCTAGACTCGAAGCTTGGGAAGCTATACATGAATGGTTCCGCGGGAGGGGGAGATGTCGGAGTAGGTGGGGCATGTAGCACCGAAGAAAAATCGAGCAACGCTTTCGCATTTTGTACATGTCGATGTTCGCTACGGCGCTCACGACGCCCTAGCACACTCGCATGAGTGTCAGAAAAGCCCCGCTGATGTTGCGTGACCGTATCTGCACGGGTGCGTTTTGCAGGAGTTCGCGGTACATGTGTATGAGAGGCTGCGGAGGTTATGTTGTTCTTATGTTTCTCCCACAAGGCTGACAGTGACTGCATTGTGGCCTGCTTTGCACTATTTGATTCAATATGTGCCTCGTGAGCAACAGCACTAAAGCTCAACAATGTCGGAGACTGAGTCTGAATGGGTGACATTTGAAAAATAAGGTCCTCATCGCTGGCGGTAGTTCCGGCTTCACTGAGCGGGGGTGGCGGTGAACAGCACGGCGGTAAGGCAAGTGATAGGTGCGGACGAATATGGTTGGTATTCAAAGTGAGTCCATTACGAACGACACGGGAACGAGTGCGGCCGCGGGACGGAGATGAGCTTAGCTCCTTGCGAGCACGTATTGCCATGGTGGAACCTTCGCTGGGTCGAATACTCGCGGTGTGGCTGCATCTATTCTCGTCCGAAATAGTTCGGGTGCGAGGGCGATGGCGGACTCGTAGGACACGACGAGAGGGCGGTGGTGTGAGAGGCTGTTCCATCGCTGTCCTTCAGACTGCCGGAGAACGGCTCTTATATACAAGTAGCACGGGAGATGCGCGAAGGTCGCAGGAGGGGGTCACCTGGGCTACAAGCTGCCATTAGAGAGCCAGTTGACATGATCAAGCACGTAAAGATCGCACCTTCGTGATCGCACCTTTACGGACTCGGACTGTTTCGCCACTAATGGAGATGTCGCAGCAGTGCACGGTGCGACGACTAAAGGCGGAATGCAGTACGCCACTAACACGGAGCCGCAGGGTGGCAGACTACGAAGGTATTTTAGAAAGTAGATGTCTTTGGGACAGCTGGGAGATTGGGCTGACGACGGGTAGAGGGAGGCGGGTGGGGAGGCTGTGAACGAGGAAGATTTAGAGACAGGAGGGAGAATAGAGCGCTGTAGTTATAGGTGGGACAAAGAGTCTGAAACGGATGTAGTTCCCAAAGCAGTATCAAGCGACCGACCAGGACGGTGATTGTTGTAGGCCGAAAACAACACACGCCGTCACCGCGCAGCCGGTGTGACCTACTTAGTTGCCCCTGCTCCTGCAGACGACGAACAAGCGCGATACACGCAAAGAAAGTGCTTGGGAGGGCACAGAGACAAGATGGCAGACAAAGGGCAAAGAGTGTGAGCAAGCACGTCCTTTTATTACAATTTCCCGTGAGTCACACATTGCGCGATTTCGTGCACCCGAAGAAGGCAGGTAGACCCGTGCGACGGCTTGACGTCACGCATGCGTCCGACTGAGGACCCTTTCGGTGTCAGGTTGTCAACCGAAACCCGTCCGAATACGGAAGGCATCGAGATTAAAATTTATGGATCGGAAGCAACATTTTTCTCATTTCAGCAGCTCTCGCGGATGGCCGACCCACGTTCGTCTTCTCATGTGTCCTCTCATGCATGTGTATTTACCACTCCGAGCCAGTCCTACGTCAGTCTGCGACGGCTCGGGGCGTGTACGGGATGCTTGCTTTCGGGCCTGCAAACGTGACTTGCCGGCGAGCAGTAATTGGGGTTCGTCCATACTTAGCTGGCGCTTGACGGATGGGGACCGCGTCGGACAAGGGTGTCGACGGGTTCTTTCACATACGCTTTCCAGTCATCCTGGTGCAACTAGCGCTACTACTGCTCGCATGGCGAGACGTCCACGGCCACTATTCGAAGATCCAGAAGCACACGACCATTTTAGTGCGCTGGCACCCCTCACGTCCTTACCCAGTTGTCACTGGTTCATACACACTGCCCACAGGTCGTTGTCAATCGCGTGCTCGTTCTGATCTGGTGCACCATAATCAAGTATATTACACAATACGCTGAGCCGCAGTGCGTCAAGAAATATTCGTCATTGATGATGGAAAGACGTCAAGTGACACTATTATTTGTACTGCGGGATGACAGACGGGGTCTTCACTAGCAGGATCTTCTCGGACCAAGTACAGTGTTCCGATGTCTTGTCCACAAGAGGGTTATAAGATAAATGCAACGCAGCGTGCTGGCACTCCCTTCACTTTCGCCGATTCTCCGAAGTCTGATCTGTGTGCTATTCGATTCACTCTTCACTGAGGTGGTTCTTGATGCGGTCTACTTGGGCAACCACCGTCTTCTGTGGTCAAACACCGGTGGATCGCCATATGCACTTCTTCCTCATTTTCTCCGCTCAAATCTTTCCTAATCGCACCGCCGCCGCTCATCAGAATTGTCAGAATCTCTTCGCTGCGGTTATCCCGCGTTGGCGCCGCGACTCACAAGATCGCGTCAAGACCCGGTTAATGCCAGACATCACATCCGCCTTCACCCATCATTCACTTTCGCAGAATCACATTGATTTTCGACATGGATCATCCTTCTTCTTGCAATTGTCCAGACACTCAACTACCGCAATGCGCCGCTGTGCATCAACACTAATCTTCATTATCATAGTTTATCCTTGATGAATGATCTTGTGCTCCTCTTCACAAAAATTTTGGGTTGAGGATCATCCTGTTTCGAAGCTTCGTATTCACGCCCTGCCTTCTTTTGCTCTCATCCCGAAATTGTCCACTTCACAAATCGAGTCGAATACCCTCATTTATGTAAGAGCTTCTTTACATTTCCGGTTGCGAGGTCTGGAGCTTTCGAGAGACATACTCAAGAACCCCTGAATCTATTTGTGGAAGGCTTCCCCAATACATGGTGTTATATTGTGGACCATTACTGTTGCTACGAACGCCGTCACCTCAATATCGCTTCTCTTGTTCTGTCAATATGGCTGTAAATGAGTCACCATTTTATCAATGGGCTTAAATCGGACTTCCGCTCGCGGGCCAAGCCGGGTATTCTCGTCTTCCCGCTCGTCTAGACTGAAACTTACAGTACAGCTCTCATAATCATAACATTTTAAGACTGTCACGTTCCACAACCGGTGGAGTCGCGCGTTTGTTTGCGTGCGCGTGCGTACCATCAATTGTCCGTCATGACACGCAAGTATTGCAATATAACACGTTAGTCCGGCTAACCGTAGGCAATTTACCGATGTCGGTAGGTCGTCCGAACACAGATCATATGTCTATCCTTCTTCATGTGATCACTACCATGTCAAGCTTGACGATTCCAAAATTAATTGTCCCTTCGCTGAGGATGATCCCAGTCCCGAATGCACAAGCAAGCACCGTGTAACCGGACCACAATCCATTTTATCGTGTATATCCGATGGCGTGGAAACCGGTATATTCCAATAAACTAAATTAATACGATTTTCTTTCTCTTTGGTAATGTGGTTGTCTCGGTATGCTCAACGGGTTCGCCGGCAAGGGTCGCTCACACCCCAAATCCATTTTCTTGTCAAGGCATCATTAGACGTACTCACTGTCTCAATATGGCGTCTCACTTAACCAACAATAGTTGTGGGTCAATTCGCTTATTTCGATTGTGTAGCAAGCCGAGCTCAGTTGATCTCGTTTCACTCCTTCTGGCAGTCCTTACCGGAACATGTTGGATTTGTGCATGTAGATGTAAAATGTCAAGTTATACCGCCGCCGAAAAGCCCGGGAAAAGGAGATATCAATTCTACTATCTAGTGGCGCACGAATTATGATTTGTGCTCGAAAGCGGAGCTTGCTTTATCATCCTCTTTTCGTGATAGTGATAGAGCGATGTCCTTGTTGACCTGGGCCTTCCTAAGAAGCGTCTACTCGCTACGTTAAAGTCAGGGATCATCGATGCTATGCGAACAGCTGTGGTGATCGGCACTAAACCAAGTACACAAGAATGGCCTATTATTCCATTGTGTTCCTCGCCCTACACGACCAAACGTTCTGTGATCAAGTCTACCAGGTCCTTGTTCTTTCCTGACATTAATCCCATCGCCTATGAAACTAGTTTACAGTTTCGCCACGGATGTACCTGTGGTCCTGTGAATTAAAATTCAAATCAATTGGTCAGCAGAATATACCGATTATCAGAGTTGTCGCTAAGACACTTTCGGGCGTTCAAATCTCAGTATCTCAGCAGATAGTAGTTCGTCGGGTGTTATAAAGCAGATACTGCACTTACTACCTTATACTAATACGTTGAGACGATAGCGCTCTCTCCCTTCAAGCTAGATTTGTCTTAGTTAGACTTTGGTGGGACCAGGCGCAGCTCAAACTTTCTATCGAAACTTTATAACTTGTCTGAGATATATTGATTTTTTGATCGGAATCTCGACCAGTCTCGTTTCGCCTCGTCATGTGTAGGTGACTGCGCATGCGGGAGCTTGAGCCACACATCATCATTGAAGGCGTGAATAACGGTCAGATGGCATATTTGATTACATTATGTGGCGTAAAAGTAAATGATGCCGGAGCGTCAGGTCAGCATAATCAAACGCATATAGTATGATATACTCAGCATTTAGTCAAGGTCGAGATCTAGGGGTACGTACTTTATCCTTCCTTGCGCAATCATCACGACAAATTCGTTAGCCCCTGATAATTTTATTGATTGCTGTGCGGGAATTTTTACAGATTTTAACGGAGACCTGTGCGGTATATTCAGTAGACATCCTTGGGTCTGAGACAATGGTCGGGTAGCCAATTTGGGGACCACATCAATATGTATCGGTCAGGACAGGATATAGGTATCTAGTGACGGGGTTACGGTGGTTTTTAAGGAATAATGGGAGGAAATTGTGTTGAAGGGGACCCTGACAGTGAGATAACACTCTGCCGAAGGTGAGCTTTTATTGTCCGAAGAGCATGTCGTTCCTGGTGTGTGGTATTAGGTTTGCACAGTCTAAAAATTCGTCGAGAATTTACGTATACCGCATCGCATGGAAACTAGGGTCAATCGATATGACCGCCGACAGAGCGCCAGCAACAGCATCCAACTGGGCGTGCAAATTGAGCTTCAAGTAGAAGTGGATATTTCCTCACCTGCCTGCGAAATGAAAGTGAAGGATCAGTTACGTAACCCATCAAACGCGAGCACGTGATGTTACAAAGTGACGCGTTTGTTTGTCTTCGCTGGGTCTGAAATCTGAAAGTCAATGAGACACGCTGCAGAGTCTCTCAAAAGGCATCAACGCCATGACCTCTCAAGGCATCGCCGTACCCGCTTGGCAAACCGATGATCTAGCTGATGAATGGGTCGAGGAGGAAGACGATGAGGACGAGGCAGCTGATGGAGAGCCACATGGGCCGGAGCAGCCGCCAACACAAACTATGCAATCTACCTTTAACGCTCCGGGAACATGTAACTTCGGTACAACTAATATCGACGCACGGAATACGAGTCAAGAATCCGAACCAACGGCTGGCGTAGGGACTTTCCTTGTTCATTCAGATATGCCAGCTGCGGACTTGCCTCAAACGCCAGGAGTTCGAAAGAAGAAGGGCGGAATCAAGGACATTTTCAGTCCGTTGCAGCTAGAACGAATGTTTGATCCACCGTCACCTCCGAAATCGACGTCACCACATACGTCGACCCCACAGCAACGACTATTAGGCTCACCAAGCCGACATCGATCGACAAGTCGTCCCGTAAAACCATCGAAGCTTTCCCAGGTCTTTGGCGCATCTGCTTTAGCTGAAGAGTCTGAAGCAGGACATGGTGCAGCGCACCAGGATGAAATATTGGAGACGGATATGCCAAACATTGCTGCATTTGGTGAAGCAAGGCCAAGTCCTACATGTCGTTTCACGTTTTCCGTCCCGTATTCCGTGCCTCGATTTCCGGCTCGCGTGAACTTCGGTACACCCGATGTAACATCTCCCATTCCTAATGACAACGACAAACATAGTCTACCAGTACAAAAGACGCCATTCCCTTCTTCACGATCACAACGACTTGCGGACCAGCAACACACTCCTAATGACTCACGATTACGCCTATTCCAGTTCCAGTATGACACCTATACGCGAGAGCATCTCTCGGCCATCGTCGACTCCTTTGGCATTAGCTCTCCTTCCAATATCAGCAGTAGCAAACAGAGTATGGGCACCATCCTTCACGATTTACCTGCGGAACAACAAGATGAACCGAACCACGAGTTTCCGCTTGAGCGTGCTGCAAAGAGGCTTAAACTCACTCCTCCATCGGAATTCACGCCTGATGGTCCACACCGGGACGTACAGGGGCCGGTTCAGCATCAGATCACGAAGAGGGACTACATTGGAGAATCTCAATCGTTCATGCAACAAATTAGACGAGCACGGGATCTTTCGTTCATGTCTGCTACAGAAGGTCCTGAGCAAGACGCTGGATGTCCCTTGGTAATGTCCGACCGTGAGTAGTTTTAACAACTCTTCAGGTGATAATATAAAATAATATAGGGAAATCTTCACCATTCTTAGGCACAAACACTCATGCGCAGGCTCAAGAAACCCATCCAGAGAACGTCGCCTCTTCATCCTCTCCTTCGACAGGGAGTAAAGCTAATGCTTTCGGAAGCAAATATACTGCTATGGCTTATCGAAAGCAAGCCGCGGAACTAATGGCAAAAATAAAGGGCGACCCTAGGCTTGTCTCCGGAAAAGGTGATAACTCCATTCTCAGCCAAAGGAGTGAAGAAGACGTCCCCAATGTCCGAGATCGCTCTTGCGGCCCATCTCCCGAGAGCAGGCCGAGATCCCCAGTCAAGAGACGTCTTGAAGACAAGGAAAATCAGTCTGACATGGACCCAGACCCGGATCCTCCTTCGTATGCCGCGAGCATAGCTTTGAACAGAAGGCAATTCAATGAGGAATTCAACACGAAAGTACAACCTCCTCAACGTCATTTTCCCGCAGCAAATCAAAATGCACGAGGAGTCGTCATCATGCCAGTTGCGATACCTGAAATAGTGTCGCCTATCGCAGATCGTGTTCGTTCACCTAATCCAACATTTCTCGCACCACCGCCAACTGCGTTTGGCAGTATGCGGTTCGCCGCTCAGATGCGAACTACGAGCACGAATGAGGACCTTAACCGTCTCGTTTCGTCGGGCAGCACCGTGACTACTGCAACAACGCTCACTGCTGGCAGCGCTGGTTCAGGTGTGAAGCATGCTGGTCCAGCACAGATGGTACGGATTGCACCTGGTGATTTGCCGTCAATACCAGAACGTGTCGGTAGTATGGTCTTCGATCGCACACTCGGGAGATGGGTAAAAGAGCGAGGTAGCTCTGACAGAACTATCGTGCGGTCCTCTAGTCAGGGAACAACGGCTCTGGGATCGCCCATTGGACCTGAAGGATTCACTGAAAGTGAAGATCCTTTTCGAGACATCGAGAGCCTCCGTGATGGAGAATCGGGACATTCACCTCCTGCTGGGGATGCCGCAGACATCATACTGGGACCAATCGACTATAATCAAGATGGGACTGATGGAACGGATGAGATGCACGTCGTCAGCTCGGACACCGATTCAGATTTCGACGACGAAGAGGACGCTCAGATATCGATGTTCTCATTTGACCAACCTCCTCCAGGCACGGTACAGGCTATGGCTGGCGATGACGATGACGTGACTGACAGCGACGTGGACAATGCGATCTCTGATACGGAAACTGAAGGTGAACCAGAGCTTGTCGACCATGAATTTGAAGGGAAGGAGAACGAGGACTTTAGCAAGGAATTGGCTTCCATGTCAATTCATGACGATCAACCACAGTTTGTTGAGGAGGGTATCTCGACGTTTGCTGCACCGGGAGCAGGGGCTGGGCCTATACGAAAGGGCCTTGTGAATTTCAGCCCAGATCCCATCGTCGTAGCTACGCCCTGCAAAGTTCCGAGGCCAACCATGCAACCACCCCGGTCTGCATTGAAGAGCGCAAGTGTCACACCCATTAGCAAGACAGCTACAGGACGTGGACGCTCCGTGAGCTTCTCGGACGGCCGCAAAGATGGAAAGATCGTTGGCTTGCATGCTGATCGGGTCCGAGAAGAGGTGGTGCTTCGAACGCCTGGCGTACCAATCTCAGATTCTCTTCAGTCTGTCCCTTCTGTGCGCTCGAAACGCATCATGGAGATGTTGGAAGATATGGAAGAATCATGTAAGTTGCAAGTACCATATCTCGAAACTGAGGCAATGACGTTATCCCTTCGCAGTGCTGGACGATGAAGATCAAAGTATTGGACACCAACACAGGCAGACGGTGCCCTGCAATAACGGGCAGGGAAGCGCGGAATTGAGCGTTGCGTCTCCGCGCTCCTTTATGCGTTCTCCAACGATCCGACGACAAGGTCAATCCAGTCCACGACGCGTAAACACACCTTCTCGAGTGAACGCAACATTCCTTACCGAATGTTCGTTTGGGGTCGCGCATGATCGTCTCGTCGAAGTGATTACCGACGTGCAACCATTTGAGCCGTATTGGGAATCATTGAGCTCAGTGAATTTAGCTGGGCGTAAACTCGACAGTGTCGCCCGACTCAAAGAGTTCCTTCCGAAGTTGGATTCATTAAATCTGTATGTTTAATCTCCATTCATTGGACTTGTTGTCTTGCCTGACCGACGAATTTATATTTTTTACCTTTACATTACTTTTCTTCAAGAAACAACAATTTATTGTCTTGGTTGAGCGGCATTCCGAGTACTGTGCGCACATTGTCGGTAGCTTCAAATACGTACGTATTTCCCCTCGTTATCCTCTGTTGCTCCACCAACGTTCGTATTGCAGGCTTACAAGATTGACCTCGTTTGGACATTTGTCGAACCTGGAAAACCTTGATATTAGCTATAATGATATTAATTCCTTGCAGCGTAAGAAATCCATTGACTAATTATTGCCTGAATGTCTGACAGTCTGTATACAGAGCTGGAGTGTTTGCGCCATCTTCGTGAACTCCGTGCGGACGGCAACAAGGTCTCGAGTCTTGATGGACTTGAGCTTTTTGATGGTCTCTTGAAGCTCAGTCTAGAAGGCAACCAGCTCCACGAAATTGACTTGACGGGCATTCGATGGTAGACTTCTTGTCTTATACAGGCTTCTTGGAACTGATCTTGTTTAATTCCCCTACAAGGTCTCGGCTGGAGCTCCTCAATCTCAGTAATAATCGCCTTGAGAGTGTTCGTGGCCTTCATGAAGCTCCTTCACTCATTTCAATTAACCTGGGTATGGAGTTTTTTTTGGTCCATATACTGCTTGGAATACAGTCCTAATTCTCAAGGAAATTCAGACAATAACTTGCTGGCAGCGCTTGACCAGCTAGAGTATTCCTCGGAGCAAGATCGTGGTTCTGCGGCCAATGCTTCGTTTATGCAGAAGCTCCGGATACTTCGATTGAGTGGGAATAGGTTAAAGCGACTCGACGTGACACGTTTCCCCAATCTTCGTACCTTGTATGTCGACAATAATTGTTTAGCTGATGGGAGGGCTTGTCAACGCGGACAGGCGCAGAAGACAACCCGACAGAGATTGATCGGCCTTCGACGTCTCTGCAAGCTCGAAAATTTCAGCGCACGGAACCAAAGCGTTCCTGGCATGCGAGATTTGGGTTTGTAAGTGTTTAGGAACACCAGCTTCACGTCGAACCCATTCTCTAAATTTTTGTGTTATTAATAGGCAGCTTCAAAGCAATGATGTGCGAGATGTCAAGCGATTGTATCTCTCCGGTAAACGCACTTTTCTTTTCAACTTACGAAAAATGAGCGACGTTTTGACATTTCGGATCTTCGTTTTCAGGGAACCCGTCTCCAATACCACTCGGAATAGATGCTCAAGCATGCTATAACCTTGTTTATCTGGAACTCGCAGCGTGCCGACTTACGACTCTGCCACCCAACTTCTCCTCTATTATGCCGAATATCCGAGCCCTGAACCTCAATTATAACTTCCTCGAGACGGATGAGATTGCTCGTGGGCTAGTCGGATTGAGGCGTCTACGAAAATTGACGATCGTTGGCAACCGAATGACGGGAACGAAGGCACTTGTGAAGGTGCTGAACACAATGGGACAAAATATTGAGATGCTTGACTTCAGGTACGTATCAGACACTATTTTTCTTGTAAATATCTTCGCACTTCGAAGACGGCATATGATTCGGCAACATGCCAATCGGAACATCTCTTCATTCCGCTGAATACCGCACGTTCGATCTTGCCGACCTGACCATGTGCTGTCAGCCGGGTGCAGTCCTGATGTGAATTTTCCGAAGTTTCCCTTAGTTAGGCATTTATTGTGATCTTTTTCATTTTCCTAAGCTTCTTCAGGAACGACCTCGAATCATACTAACATAAATTTACTGGTTAGGATGAACCCGTGTACACTTGTTTGGTACTTGCCTCTAATTGTGCAAGACAAGGACAATGGTGCTCTCTTACAACCATCAGAACCACCAAGGGGCAAGCACCATTCGCCGTTTGCCATTGTACAACCAACGACCTCGAAAAATCCTGAAGAAGGCAATGACTTTAGAGGGACACAGAACGAAGGGATAACCACTGTGCCGTCATCGAGACCCCGCACCGGAGGATCGGGGACACGGACCTCCGATAGTTATGCAAATGGTTCAGCAAAGAATAGGGAGAGACACAATCCGTCACATTGGGAAGCTTTGGATGCGCAATTCCGTCGAGGGCTTCCAGACAAAGCATATGCAGGGCGTTTAGCGTATCGAGGTTTGATCATGCGCGCGTGTCCCCAAATCAAAATCTTGGATGGTGTCCGAACAACTGAAAAGGAGCGAAGAAAGGCTGAGGCTCTACTGAAGCGTGTTCTGAAAGAAGCGGGAGTGAAAGGTACAATACCTCGTGTCCTCGAGGATCGATAACGAGTATTCTGTTCGGCTCACCGAAGGGAGATACAGAGTCGCGCTTTCATCTAATTGCTGTGATATCGAGGCGACTCGAGTCGCGCTCAAAGTGATGCTATTGCGATGATACGAACCGGAGAAGCCATCAATTAGTGGGGTCACTCTTATCTGTTCGCTTCACTGCTAGTACCACCAGGAAAAGGGTCTCTATATTCAACGCTTACGCGTTTCGGGAAAAGATGCTGAATGCAGCCGTCAGTTGTGATGCAGTACAGCGTCTTCTTTCCTATACCTAGGATTTTTTTTCGTCAAATTTGTTTCAGTCATTTGCATCTTTCGTCCTGCTATCTCATTTCTTCAAAATTCCTTCTCAAGAACCTGTGTAACGCCGTCAACTTCAATTTGATTTGTACGTTATTCCACTTCAATGATCTCATTATCATATGCAATTCAGGATATAATAGGCTACATTCACTATCATGTTTTTCACGAATTTGCATTCATTGGCTTTTGCTTATGTCTCTTGTTTATCCGGCGCATTATTGTAGAAGCTTGTTCTTCACTTTGTACGGCATATGAGTTGTCCGTGACCAAGTAATGGGATGCAGGCAATGCCCCTTGATTCCTTTGCTTTGAGGAGGGGGGGGATAAAGTTTGCACACTCATCTTCAATAGAAGCTCGGAGGGACCATTGAACCGATGGCGAGTGCCCTGTGGAGAAGCTCGAGCAAGCACTCGGGATATGGGGAGTCCATGAAGTCCATTCACCATTCGGCATACCGACCAGAAAACGTGTAGAACGACATTGACCAAAAATTATTGATGAGGATAAGTACTTCACCGAGAATCCCAGGCCAGGAAGTAATCTAGCAACCTAACTAGAACCTTTCCAACCAATCGTGCTCGTTCAAGTTTCTCTCTCGGATGCAGAATATTTACTAAATCTGATGTTTAAAAAATAATCTGGCCTCTCCTTTCCTTCGAGCAAAATCTGAGGATTAGCCGTACACGCACATACGATATTTGTAAATCTACAAAGAGACGCTGAAAGCTTCTAGTTTATCCGCCGGCTTCATCTTGCATGGAACATGATGCATACTACGTCATTAATACCGGCCTGAAATTGGATAATTTTTGGATGTGTTTCAATTAATTTACGAGGATGACCTTTTGGTCTTAATTACACTAGTATGTTTTCGGGGCTATGAAATGTATACAATGAGCCCGGGTTGTCCCCCATGCGTAGGCATGAAGAATCGAGGCGGGAAACGAGGTCATACATGATAAATCCGTATGTACCTTCGCGCGTCATCAGATCACGGATGTCGCTAGCTCCTATATACTCGAGTCAAGCCAATGTAGATGAGCAACATTACTCCTTCAGGTCATCTGCAATGTGGGATCAGACGAACATAGCGCTCTGAAGATCCGGAAAGTGTGGATTTGTGAATATTACCGCCTGGTTTCTCACACTCCTAGCCTGGATAGATGGATTTGGCCTGGTTCAATTGGCAAGTGCATGTGCTTGAAAGAGTCCAGACTCACCGTCTCTCTCGATTTCATTCAAGGCTATTGAGGCATTGTACGGGAATAAGTTAGCCGGAGGTCCGTCAAGAACTAGGGATCATGATCGAGGTCTCTGACCTGTTTCCTCTAAAACATATATAGCTTAAGCTGCTTCCCTTGCATAGTACCTCTTGCAGCACTTGAGTAAGCCTTCAGACTAATCCCAAACGCCGCAAATTTTCACCACCGATGGCTAGCGTCGGATATGTGATTTCGAAATTTGTATCACTTTAACGTGAACCTGATACGTGTTGATGGATACTCCTATGGTCTCGGGGATGCAGCAGCTCCGCAGTATTCCTACTTACCAAGAATACAGCTCCCAATATGAACGAGGGGAAAGATTAGTAGACTGGGTTTACTCAAGAGGCTCGGGACTAGCCCTGATACGACGCCACCAAGGATCGCGCAGTTCCGTTTTCTTCGACATCAAGTTCGCAGAGCGGCGCCCAAAGCTCAGCTCAGATCCGTTCCCGTAGGTGTTTTGTCCAATTCATATTAATCGACAGTGGGAAAGACTTTTGCGGAATGGCCATTTTGTAAATCCAAAGGCAATGTCTGCGGAGCAGTAGATAGGATTAGTCCAAATATGGTCATGGGTCCATCCTTCCTAATTTGGAGATCTTCGCGAATTGAAGTGTGCAAGGTTCCCTTCACTCACTCTAGGACCATCAGACTCCTCCGGCTCAAGCAAAGCACATAGCCTAAGTGTAGAGCCGCTGGTTTTGCACATGTAGATGATAGACCAATCGGTAAGGTCAGAGAACCAGTTTGTTTCTAAAGCTGGTACATCTGGGAACGGTACGCGGATGAATTCCCTGCGGTCGCAGGGCCACATTGAACATCGGAACGAAAACCGCAACAAAATGAACCGATATAGAAAAGGTAGTATTATCGACGTCAGCTTAATGGTATCTCTCTTGACCGCTATTTTGTCCACCCGGGTACCTTCCAGCTGGCAGGAGAACATAATTGGGTGAGAACTTGCCACTTCTGCTGCATATGACATTCCTTCGCGTACACATTTTTAACCGGAAAACTGAAGCAACGCCGAAAAGCCCGGGGCGAGAGTTGACTGCGATTTGTACTATGCGCTTCTGTTCTCTCGACTACCTGAATCTGCTTTGACAAAATGTGTCCATCTGGACAGATTGTGCTCCGGAACCACGGTACCGGTCAACCAGGCAGGCCGAGACAGTCATTAAGTGCTTCTGCGGGAAACACAACTGGGTCGCGAGTATGATCTTGCCTTCAGACTGGGTTTTGCGAAGCAAAAATGGTACTCGACTAGCGAATAGCAAGTAAGATGTTGGTCGAAAATAAGCTATTGGTTTTTGCTGCATTTCGGAACAAGAATGCATTCCAGCCGGTATAACGAGATCCCGAGGCCCGGCTTGCTTTTCGACTCCTTACCAGACGGTAGCCGTCAATATTCGCCTCGTCATCGAGCGTCGTCACATTTTGGTTACGTTGGATCCTCTTCCTGAGCAAGAGTGTTAATGAATCTGAGCAGCTGAGAAATCTAGCTGCGTCGCAGCATTGATCAATATCAGTTCTTCATCAAGGGTGCCGACATGCATCAGCTTGGCTCCTCCACAAGTTTCGGGATACACAGCACACAACTATAGATTTTGACTCGCTCTGGAGTTGGAACGAAATAACAGTAGTGTGCCTAGCTACGGACAGGCAAAGTGGCGGGTCGTGGGGCGGCCTCCTATCACCATTGCGACGCACTGCCTCTCGGGCCTCGAGGTTGATATGAGCGGCAAACTGTTCCAGATCATGCGTCATTCTGATCAATAAACCGCGGAGTCAAGATCGTCGTCCCGCTCGCTGTCTTCGATTTACGCGGCTATGGGTGTCGCCCATCACAACGAGCTGTGCGGGATTGACAGAGGCTGTGCGTAACTTCGTACCTATCTTTCTCCCGCAGAGTAATTGTTCTGCATAATCTTACAAGCTCCTGTAGTAATGCACGAGAGTGAGTAAGTGCAATGCCGGCTTGCGCAGACTTCATGAAATGCGGTATTACACGAGGCGCAGGATCACTGCGTCGAAAAAAATACATTTTCTATTGACAAATTCTTTATTCCCTCTGGGCAAAGCGTGTTTGGGGACGAAACGAATTACCAAAGCGACCAGGGAAGAAATAATGGAAGGATTTCAATTCAGGTGAAATTTGTGAATATTTCTGAGACCGGGGCGGCCTTTCGAGAAGGCGCATCAACCCCCGAACTCTGGTTAGTACGATCGGTTTAGATGCATTATTCCGGAAAACTATCGCCTTTCACCGCCTATTGCATTTGATGCAGCTGTATTGACATCAAATCTTCTTTGAGAGTAAGTTCACCACAAATAACGGATAATCTTGTGAATAGTCATGTGCATGTAGAGAGCCACACTGAGGATGCAGACGGCCAGTAAATGCCGATCAGGGCGCATTTAACCTGTGACCAGGCCTGAGTTGAGTCATTATCGTCCTTGACCAGTCAGGGGTCTACATTGAAAGTAGTCTACGACCCTACCGACGGTGTACATATATGTTCTAGTTACCTCGTACGAGATCACGGACGGGTCGTCTCGGGTTGGCGCGCGGTCTTCTAAACACCGCTTGCTATTCATTTATTATTCATTGCGCGCCTACAAGTGTATGTGAAGAGGCGGTAATGTCCACAGAGGGTAAGGCAATATCGAAAGTCTAATGAATGGCAGATAAAGAAACACAGCACCATCAAACATGCGCTTCCTGAAGTCCGCCGACGTGCCCCGACGACCCTCCAAATACGGAAGCTGATACTGATGTAGAGTAATAGTATGTTCGTGTTTATTGGCGCATTCATTTCATCAATGATCTACCCAGGCTATCTCACTGCATCACACAGCTTTTCGTTGCGATCAGCGCACCCTGGTGGTGGCCGTGGGAAGGAGGATGTACAGGCACCTGTCCCAAAGCGGGAGCGAGATGCAGGGCAGTCTGCGGGAATCGGACGCAATACTTTGGACCCTCCCATCACTCTCTCGGCAACGTCAGGGACCAAAGGATCACCTGGTTAAACTCTGTGTAAAGGCGTGTTGATCATTGATGCTACTCAAATTCGCACATAAGAAGAAAGAAGTAAGATGGCGATGAAGCACTTTGCCAGTGTCAGTATGCGAAGACTACTTCTTGCTGCTACTTTTACACCGAGGACCTTGATGCATATGTGATGAGGACTTTGAGAAGACGGGTTTAATTGTGATAGGAATGGACATTCATTCGCTTAAAAGGAAACCATATATGTTGAGTGTCGTTCTCAACTCCCACAGAATATAAACAGTTCATTTGAGTTGAAGATCAAAGTCCGAGGACTAGAACCGTCATGATAACTATGCCGCATACAAAGCTGCGCCGCATTTGCTTTCGGGTGCAGACCCTATATTGTCATAAATCAATGTAGGTCCCTGACAATACATGGTGATGGTCCACATGAGATGGAAATCAGGGCTGTCTTCTATCCAACATTCGTCTTTGAATCACATTGTTGAGACAAAAGATGGTCATATGAAATATGTACCTCCACCAGGAGGAATCAAGCTAAGGGGGAAAGATTTGAAAGAATTCATGATCTACGGAGCCGCCCTCGCACCAGAAGCCAGAAGCCATATTGTTATATCATCGATAGGTACTAAGGTAAATCGACATCATCGTGACTTCCAAGAAAATCAATCCATCAATTGGAAGAATTGGAAGCGAACCGTCCGCGGAAGATAACATGTCGAGGAGCTTGTTTGTCGCGGAGCTAGATAGGCGGTTGCACCACCCAACTCCCATTATCATCGCAAGAATAAGAAGCAAAGGAAGGAAGGCGCGAATGAATATCCCCAAGCTCCTCGAAGATCAAAGACAAAAGATCGAAAACCAAACAACCTGGAGATGTGGAGCTGATGTCCGCCGACGAAGAGAAGGTTAAATTACATCCCATTGAATCGTTACGAAAGTCATGCTGTTGAGGCCAAAAAGTGATGGGAAACCTAGAGGATGCATTTCATTTGAATTGTGTAAATGGGCGGTTAGAGCGGCCGATCACAGGAAGTTCCCGCGAGAAGCTGCGCCGATAGATACGAGTACATCGCTTCGCCAGGCGACTGATCATGTTCTTGCTTTCTATACAGCCAGTGCGAAGAAGTATAGATATGGTATTATGCCACACAGGAATCAGATAACGCAAGGCGCAAGTAGAAAAATGTACATGGCGAGTTGCAGAAAGTAAGTTTGTCATTTCAGTTGAGGTACGTGGTCCGAGGGCGAGAGCGAGGGCCATCAGAGGCTCGCGATCCTATACGTACGGAACTGGCACAAAAAACAATGATCATCCGCCCTTCTCCTGGAGTAATTACAAGAAACTAAGGGACGTGTTTACCACAAAGGAGAGTCGGATCCAGAATTCTTCCATCTCGTTCATTTGAATTTTTCTTTCGCGCCGCCCAATTGTATAGTCTAGTCAAGACTCAATTGAGGTTTCGTGGAGGAATATGAAATTGCGGCACAGAGACAAAGCAGTTAGGCAAAGATTTCCTGATGTTGGTGATGGATCGGAAACAGGAAGGCCCAAGGGTAAACCTTGTGCATAATAGGGCGTCTAAGAGGGTGGGGGTAGAGAGGGCAAAGCGGAGGTGGTGAATTTCCAGTGGTGAGGGCGGACACCATGGCTATCGTCCTTGCTTGAGTAAACTCCCAGGAGCTACGTTACTTTTCTCCTGAATTTGAGGGCCACGAAGGCCAGAATCCATTGCTAGCTCCAGGTCCGCCTTCGAAGCCCAGCCAGGAAGTGAATGTGGGAGCGGCGCGGGAGAACCGTGAGCCGGCTGTCTCCCCTCATCTATCCATTTACCGTTCAAAGTTCCTTTTTCTCTCGGAAAAAATTCCTGAAAAACGACCGGAATCGATGGCCTCGTGGCTCCGCTAAAGCTCATGATCAAGACAAAAAGAAAAGTGAATGAAATGAAAAGGGCCCAAACTTTAGCTCAGAGTCCGAACGAATCGAGCACTTCAAGACGCAGCGCAAGGGTGAGATAGCATGAAAAGGGTATGTTCTAAAGTTCATCTGACTTTCCCTGTTAGATGCAGAAGGAGTCTGAGTTTGAATTTATGGAATCGGAGAAGCAAACGCCACTCAGCCTGAGACAAACGGTGGAGATCAAGTGCACACTGGCATTAAAATGTCTACACGATAGCTGTAATCTGCTAGTAATTAAGGGGCTCGTCGCCAAGCCGCTACATCTAGGTGCATATAGAACTAACAAATGCGGGATAACATATCCGCGGGAAACATATCTCGGGGAAAGAGACATGGTACTGCTGGGAATGAGGGTGGATAGAAGCGTAGGAAGCGAAATGCCAGCAGTACAATGTCCGGAGGCAGAGGTTAACGTTAATACCAACTGACGGCTGTCGTAATCAGTAAGAGGTGTTAACGAAAAAGAAGCATAGATAATATTAATAGGGCTAAACGTAAGCACAACAACAGTAACGGCCTCGAGGCGTTGGTGCACAAATATTTCGACGAGCGGGAACTCGCCCACAAATGATCGAGAGGCGATCGCTTTGTAGCCAATGCGCATAATGCTAGACGATACCACCGGTTAAAAATATTCGGGCAGTAAAGCCCTTCCGAATCGGAGAGAAACAGGAAAAGAAGAAATTAGAATGTGCGCCAAGATCAGAAACGGAGGTCAGACTAATTTAAGAGTAGTCGATACTGCGCTACTCAACATGAGGGGAACCCCGAATCGTGGTCAGAATGAAGGAAAGAGAAATGGGGAAATGCTGCCTGAACCAAGTTCGAATATAGAACACAGAATAGCTTGGGAAGGGTTCTGCATAAATCACGTAAAGCGACGATAAACTCACAGAAAGCATAGAAACGGACAGCTGCAAAGACAGCGTTACTGAGACGTACCGTGGACGTCAGTGGCAGTGTTGAGTTTGTCTGTGCAATCACAGAGGCTTCAGGACGGACTTGAGCTTTCATCTCGCAACTCAAGAGCATTGCGCGTCTCATATCGGAACGAGGTTTAGAACAGTGGGATAACTTCGTGGAGAATACTTGCCTGGCCGATATCCGATGATGACGCTCAGTGTAATAATTAAAATTGGATTTCATCGAAAGGGTCATTGGACGCACCGAAGCTGGCACTCGAGGAGTATACTTGTTACACTGAGCGCTGAGCGTAGTCCGCGCGATGCGAGGCAGAAAAGACCTCTCGGATTGTGCTGGATAAAGACACCATTTGAGTCCTTTTCCTGCGAGAGATCAAGAAGCTAGACAGGGTCGAGACAGAACCTTGTGCTGGAGAGTTTGCAAGCCTGATTCTCGGACGTGGCGGCTGGCTTGTTGGGCTGTGAGCTGTGTGAGATAGCAAGTGTATTCGAGGTTGAATGAGGATAGATATGCGAGGATCAGGTCGTTACGGTAAATGGAGAAAATGATCCTCATGTTCAAAAGTAAGGGTACTAAACGGAGTTGAGGAGCATTCGGGGCATTCGGGAAGGCTGAGACTAGCACGACAACGCGCTTCCTGCATTCAGTATGTTTTTCATATGTTGTTATTCCTTGCATATGCGTCACTGCTCTTCCATGAGCAGGGAGTAACAGGCGAAGAGTGTTTCCGAGCGAGTAGCAACGCTGGGGGACGCGATTATCGTTCAAGTTGGTTCGGCGAACCGGATCGTGCGGATCACGCAATCGGCCGAAGGCTCTTCTTAATTAAATTAGTCGAGTTACGTCTTCGAGCAGGCCGTGCGAACAAAGTTTAGTTGTGCTGTTTCGGACCGCGAGTCCATCGCGTCGGTCATCGGTGTGAGCCCTCCCAGAGGCAATTTGAGTCTCGGCGTCACTTTCCATATCTGGGCTCCATTCGCGATCTTGGACCAATCAATGTTCGCAGCACCTTTTAATCTAACCTTTCTGGACGGATGATCTGGTCAAATGTGCGGGTGCGCGCTCGCTGTTCTTCCTCGGTTCGCCCTTCTGTATGGGATTGTTGCTGCAAAAATATGATTGTGGGTATGGGTGTGGGCCAGTGTCGGTCGGCGATTTACCCCGTTGCTCATCAAGGCGCGTTGCTCCAACCTGAACACGGGCGGCCAGTGAAGCACGACATGCAGACAGGGCACGCGCTCGCTGCAACCCCTCTTAGGCTTGGCTACGCGCCCGAGCTAGAGACGAATCTGGGTTGTGATCTACGAGCAAAAGTGAAGGCAGTGCAAGCTTGCTGGCTGGGTTCTTGATTATTGCCGACCTGGTCGGAGGTTGTCGATCCCCCACTCTGAGTCTGAGAGAGCAGCAAGGTTCAGATTTGAGTCTGAGGGTGTGGAGGGGGCGGGCGCACAAATGATAATGCATGAGGCACACTGCGGGAGGGAAACTACCAGTGATTAATTACGCCTCGAGCCGCGCAGCCGCTGCGCCCCTTGGAGGGCTTAAAGTCGTTCCTCTGCATCCTTCCATCTCCAAAATCGACCTCCTTTTCCTGGACCAGCCTTGGAGGAGCCCCTCTCTTTGGCGCTTCGCCGTCTTCCTCGCTTCGCAACTTCGATCTGTGTGTCTGCGGCTTCTCATTCGAGCATACCAGCTTGATTCCGTCAGCCGGCAGAACCATCATACTCCGAGGTCTCTCGCCGTCCCGTCCGTATCGTATACGCGTTTCTTCCCTGCCCTCTGTTCCCTGTTCCAGATAGTTGTGCCCTCCTCCGCGCGCAACGCCAACAAAAGTTGGTATCATCATCATCCATCTCATCACACCACCAGCCCCAGCCAATCCCGAGACTAATAAATTTGGTCGTCGGGAGAAGAGCGTCCCTGTAGCATCTCGTTTCACATATATTTGCTGCTGTGGAAGCGGATTTCTTTAGCCTCCCCGCTACTACATATAGAGCAGCGGTACGGACGTTCATAACCTATTTTATTATTCCTTTCTGCATTTATTGGTCCCCACTACAAAACCGAGCTAGCGAGTGCTGTCTCATATAACGCTGCCTCCCCTCCCCCCCTCTTTATACGCGTCAGCCCACTCGAGCAGTGACGCTTCCGACACACATATCCTCATCGGGTTTCTCAGCTTCTTACAGCCGCAGAGCCATTTCTGAATATTAGCGTCTATTACAGTATATTGGATTGGCAATCGACGCTTGGAGAGATAGACACGAGGCCGAGTGGATACAGCCAGACAAGTATCGCCGACTTCTCGACAACAAGCGGAGACTCCTACCTTGTGCCCCCAGTGGCCCTTCTTCCGCTGCAGCTTCGACGTAGTGGTTCGATATAGGGACATCGACGAACGCTTGACGAGCTAGCCGAGCTCCCAGTGCACCGTCATCGACGCACATTCTCGACGAGCGACGATCCCTGTGCAGATTCTTTCGCTTATCTCTCCAGCCGTGCTTTTTTAATCCAAAATCCCCCGCGTCCCGCTACTCCGCCGGTAGGGAAGAGGGAATCGTCGACGAATTGGAATTTTGGAAGTGGTGTTGCATCTGTTTTGGACCTGCTTGGTGTTGTTGTTGCGCTTCTTCTCCCTTTGGATCTCCCACCCACGACCGGCATCAAAAGCTAGGCACGCGCTTCGAGCATCCGACTAGCAATAAAACGGCATACGGTCCTCGGTGCTGTAGATCTCGCTATCCTTTGCATCCGCACACTCCTCCTCTCATCCCCTCTCTACTAGTCTAGTGCTGCACAGCACGACTCGTTTCCGCACCACTACACTACTACTACCCGCCTCGCTTCAAGCGCCCTAGCTTGCTAGTGCGCCATGCTCTCGCTCGAACCGGCGTTCTGCACCACGACGAGTATCTGCCTCTCCCCAAGTCTGAGCCCGGACGCGACACTGCTGTCTGACGTAGTGCCGGGCACGAACTCGAAGAGCGAGACGGAGTTGAACGACTTCAACATTGCACAGCTGCAGCTGCAGTACGAGAGGTGAGTGATTGCGTGTTTCAATATAACCATAAACGAGCACTGTTCGGCAGCGGGATGGATATATGCGCTGGCGGGGAGTGCGCGACCGAGCCGTTGGGCTGCGGCGGTGATGGAGAAGCACGGGTGATGATCAGCGTCGGGGAGCTGATTGAGAGCGGAGGGCTGCTGACTTGTGACAGGCGAGGGGCCTTCCGTTCTTGTCGACGTCGTCCACTGGGGGGCAGATCCATGCGTGCTGTGCTGTCAGTGTGCTCCGGACTTGCTGCTCCCGTGGAGGGCGTCTGAATTTCCTGATGTGTGCGGAGAGCAGCGGGCTATTTGAAATGGTCGGGTGGATCGAGAACGGTCTTCTGTCTGCCTCTGCCCATCGCCATCGCCCAGTTCCCTTTCTTGTGCCCTCGTCTTCTCTCTCATACACCCGCACTCCCTTTCTTTCTCACTACGCTCCTTAAGCCTGTCTTCTTCTCTTTCTCCTCCCTATCACTCCCCTCCTCCGCTTCTCGTCTCGCCCCTTCCCTTGCCCCTGCCCTCCCCTCGGCCCCGGCCCCGTCGCCGAGTAGTGCTCTCGCTCCTTCGTTTTCCCGACTCCCCGCGTCTATCCGCATCTGCTAAACGTCACTCTTTTAGCTCCATGGACAGCTCCCTCAACCCAATGCACCATCTCGAATCAATCGACCTTCTCCACCCGCACAATCAGGGTGACCTCGAGCGTGAGCAAGACCTCGACGAGGACTATGCCGCTCGTCGCATGTCCTCGTCCGCAATTTCCTCCGCATCGGTGCAATCCGCACACTCAGTCCATACTAGTACAACCGCAGCATCCTCCCACTCTGGTTTTAGTGCCCAAGGGCAGAGCCTCAAGCGCACGCAAAGCCCAGGCGAATATGATTCATATGGGACCTATGACGAGTCCCCAAGAAACAAGCGCCCTCGCCCGAGTCTTAGTCTCGAACCAGGAGCGATGCGCACAGACAGTGCAAGTCCTGCTCCGACAAATACTACTGCTAGCGCAGGGTCCGGAAACAGCGGCGGAGACGCAACTGGCTCTGGCCGAGTACAGCTTCCTCCCATCTTCTCTGCTCTGGAAAATACGTCGAGCAGTGCCCCGCCAACATCACACGGCACAAATACGCCATTCACTCTTCCCTCGGGCCAGACGCAGCCCTCGTATTCTCAGTCCCCACATTCTCATTCGCTGAGCCAGAGCCAAGGTCAGAATCTGAGCCAAAGTCCCTTCCCAACAAGCAATTTCGCATTCAACGTTAGTGGGGCTTCTGGCCTGGATTTGCGACGTGGTTCGCTACCTTCCCTCTACAGCGATTCTCTTGCCGCACGCTCTATGCAACGTGTCTCAAGCCAGGGTCAATATCCTCAGCAAAATTCCCGTGGGACATATAGGTTTACTTCGGGCATGAGCCCAGGACCCAGTCCTCTATCCTCGCTGTCCGCCCCAGACTCGAACGACACCTCGGGACTTGCGGGGTATCAGTTTCCCGGACCCATCGGCATGGACAACGGGAATGGCAGTAACGGAAGCAACGGCAGTGGAAACACGCCCACTCCGACGCCAGCTACAGGACCTGGCGCCTCCCCGTTTGGCTCGGGTATGACGCCGACGAGCAGCCTAAGTTCAGCACCGAGCAGCGGATTCCCGCATACTCCGCTCGAATACGCGCATCAAAACCAGTCTTCTTATCAGGCCGCATATAGCCAACAAAACCAGAGCCAAAAGGAATACGATCGATTCGCGAAGGACTACCTGAATAGCGGCGCTGAGTGGTCTTCTTCTATCGCACGACCTTCATCGACTCCTTCATCCGCCTCTGCGGGAAACACGCCAGCCTCTGCATCCACATCCGGAGCGTTCGGGTTTAACACCTCTGGCGGTCTTGGTGGCTTGCCCCGCATTTCTGGTCACGGGAAGTGTTCTGACCAACAGCAAGAATGGTTCCCTTCGAACGGAAACCTTGTCCTCCCTTCACCCAATGCAAGCTCAGGAGCCGGTCCGTCGGATCAGCAGCAGCAACAGCACCCGCAAACCGCATCACTCTCACCTTCACCGAGGATTCATTCATCCTCCGCCTCCTCGTCTACCACAGCTGCAGCTGCAGCTGCGGCGGCGGCTCTGAATGTTTCTCCCGCTGCTGCAGTTCAGGCAGCGCAGGTTGCCGCACAAGTCGCCGCAAGACCTGCCCGAAGACGCGGGAAATTGCCGAAGCCGACGACAGATTTCTTGAAGGATTGGTTGCATCGCCACAGCGACCATCCTTACCCGAGCGAGGAGGAAAAGAAACAACTCTGTCATGCGACAGGGTTGAGCATGAGCCAGGTCTCCAACTGGATGATCAATGTAGGTTTTCTTCGCTTGTTTAGAATTTCTTCTAACAGAAATATTGACTAAATGCACTTTATTAGGCTCGAAGGCGCATCCTCGCCCCTGCGCAACGCACCCCTCAAGGGCCGACAACAACTGTTCCATCTTTTCCTCTCGGCAGCACCCATTCGAGTGTGAACCGTACTCCACTTGGACTTTCTCCAGCTCACGGACATGGACTCTCGTCGTCACACCTTTCTCAAAGTCAATACAGCATGGGTATGAACTCGGGTCTTAGCGGCATGGGTCTCGGGCTCATGGGTGGAATGAACGGTGGAATGAACGGCATGGGTGGTATGGGTTATCAGCAAGAGCATCAGTTGCACGCGGCTCAGGGTATGGGGATGAGCTCCGGTGGAGGAATGTATCAACAGCAACAATATCGCCAGCAGCAACAGCAAGCGCTAGGTCACCCAGGGCTATACGACCTTAACTTGCAACGACGTGCAAGCATGCCTGCACTCGCTCTACATTCCCAGGCGCACTTGTCACCTCTGAGTGGAGGCAACAGCGGCAACGGAAGCCTACACCTGTACCCACCATCGAGTGGATCGGCACGCAGTTCACTGCCTGGTTCACTTCCTCAAGTCGGCTATGGTCAACAACAGTCGTACTCTCCACAGCCGGGCCAGCTCAGTAGCCCTGCGCCTCAACGCGGCTACGTTTTCCCTCCTCCATCCGGTAATCCTGGCGGCGGAAACTCTGGTGACGATGGAAGATGACCTTCGTCAAGACGCAGTTCTTGGGTCATTCGTATTTTATTCTTTGTCATTCGCTCGTATTCATCGTCGTTTTCTCGCCCTTGTTTGCCTCTCTCCTTTTTTGTCCTTTGTTTGCTGCTCAACGGACCTTGCTCGTCGATCTTCTTGTTCTTGCTCCTCCTCTTCGTTCTATTTGCTCAACCAGGTGTTTATTTCTTCTATCCGACATGAACATCCCTCCTCAGTTCTTGGAACTCCCTACTACTCTGCTGGCTCAACGCTTGTCTTATTCCCTGCTTGTCATTTTTTTCTTCTATTTCGCGTAAATATCTTATTAACTTTGTATAATTGTTTCGTTCTTCTTTCCTCTTTCTTCTTTCTATCCTCTTGAACCGATTGTTACTAAGAAAGTCGTACTGTAGTGTATATATACTTATCAATCCAATATCGTCGTATATATTTTTCTCTCCTTTCCTAACTTTTTACTCTCGCTCTGCTCTCGTTTCTCATCTCTTCGTTTTTTGTCATAGTATGTTTCTCTCACTATCTTGACAATAAAGGAAATCGCTATTCCTGTGTATGAAAAATTTTGTCATGTGGTATGTTCGAAGTGTCACATGGATACTCAAAATAGTCTTTACGATTCATTACGACTACAGCAAGAAGCTCATAATAGTGATCAATCAATTTCATTTTCGAGCGCCGTGCAAATTGAACTAAAATATTAACAAGCCAAAGACTCATATGCTACATACTATACACACTGACTAACTGCCGGTAAGAGATCAAACGATGGCCGATGTATTGCAATGCATAGTTTTTGACAGGTCAAAGACCTAAAAGATGCTTGGCTTGCGTAGCGCCTAGCTTGAGATCTAAAGGGAGGAAGGAGAGTCTATCTGACAGGTTTTGGACGTGTGTAATTATGTATGTGTTTGTATGCAATGTATTGGCACATGGAATTAAATTAAATGATGTAGGGATGGGTGGGATGTAAGGGAGACATAGACGCCATACTAGACTTGTCGTTGCTTGACAGGATCAGGATCCGCGCTGTCATTCCTCTGCTCTTTGCTTTTCTTTCCTTTACTAGCTTGTTTAGCCTTATTTATTTCCTATTTTGAGAAATTTGACTCTGATTTTTTTTTCGCGTAAGGATGTGATTGCGATGGTGATGCGTAGTTGTGCGCTTGTGAGGAAGGGAGAGTCGGGGACTTCGGTCGCTTTGGCTTGTGATTTATGAGCACGTACACAATAGTAATCATGGTATAGCCTGTTGTTATTGATGAGATTGATGGACTTGATGGTAGACAATAACAGTAGACGGATTGCTCCCGTTGTTAATATAGGTGTGGATGGTGCTGTGAAGAGATCTTTGTAGAGACTCAATTGATTTCCTCATGGAAACAGGTGGAGGATGATCATGACGATCATGAACCATGGTGATGAGAGACAAAGTAGATGCACTGATTCGTTGCAAAGTAAGTGATATATTAGCGGAACAGGCTGGAGGAGTACTTCAATAAAGAAAGCGGAAGCATCTTTCCAAGTCCACATCATAATCACTACTATTGCGAATAGAATAAAAGAGCCGTAAAAGGTTAACGCACTGGTTAGTTATAGATAAGCGCTGTACTGACGGAGAGGGCGAAGACAGAATATCATCCTTCCAAGTTCACATCATAGTCAGTAGTATTGTAAATAGAGTAGAAGAATTGTGTGTGTGTTCCGAGCTGAGCTGAGCCCTCCATCGAAAAGTAAAGAAGATCACAATTTTAATGTAGCGGGTATTGCTTTTTCTATTTCAGTATAGTCAAGATCCTATCACCGACTGTGGCCTTTGATTTCGAATTCGTTATACCAAGATGCATTGATTTATGATGCTTTCTGAGATCCTTTCCTATTCAGGGCAGCCACGAGGTAAACAAAGATGTGCAAGAGCGGTTCTGGCTGGTTATGAGATAGCCGGGTTTGTTCAAACGTTACTCCGCAGCGCGAAGTTTACCTTCCATCGTGTATCCAATAACAAGACTTTGTTTTCGAGTGATTACGCCTGTAGTGTAATCGCATCTAAGATATTTCTCTTTCCAATATTTCGAAGGACTCTACTCCACGGCTCTTCACTTCACTTCACTCACACCTTTCCTACTTTTGAGCATCCTTCTGCCTTTTTGACCTATAAATGTATATTTAGTTACGAATCAGCTTATGGAGCAAAGAGGTGCGATTGGATTGGACGATTCAAAAATACAAATACACAAGTATCCTGCATTCTTGTATACGTAAACGATAAGTAAAAATAAAATATCTTTTCAAATCAATTGCGAATTTGAGAACTCGCGAAGTAGTCTACTCCTATATACTCCCAGGACTTCCAAACATCTGAAGAAGGATGTTAAAAACTTCGAGGGAGAAGCTCCAACCGAAGGGTCCTACTACTGAGCCCATCACGTCTTGTTCTTCGGCGTCCTTAACCATATCCCTTGTCCCGCTTTACCTTGCCATTGCGTGCTCCGCGAAATGTCTTCGTTCCGACATGGTCTATGTCTCATGATCATCAAAACTCTAAGCACTTGATATTGATATCGTGAACTCCTGCAGGGTCTCATCAGAGAGAAGCTGACTCAGTCAAATACCAGTAATAGTGCGCCGCATTGGCGGCAATGGCTTCCCCGCAGGTCCAGTTATAACTGTAATATGTACGGTATCCCGACATCACTCCTGCGCAGATCATTAGTGCACCCTACTCCTTGCCTCCCGCAGGGCGGAAAAAGAGGGGAGTGGAAGGAAGGAAGGAAGGACAAAGGAATAAAGAAAAAGAGAAGACTGCAGATCACTCTGAATATGGTTGCTCAAGAAAGGAAGGGCCTCCCATTTCTTGATTTAGGTATATAAAGTTTGAGCGCCGCGCTCGGAGTTGGCTGGGTCGAAACGAAGGATGAAAAAAGATTTATAAATGCGCGATGTTCTCGACACATCATCATTTGAGAATGCTCATATGCTCTCCAGATCTCTCTTTGTATGAACTTTATTATTTCATTTCACCCACGAAGTGAGTTCTCGGGTGAATGGATAGTCCGATGGTGTGCGTATATACGCGTGCCAGCTGGAATGCCCTACAATCACGGATCTTGACTGTACTGAGAGTAAATAGATGTTAGGAAGGGAGGGTCAATAAGAACGTAGCTTTGTGGCGTAATCCGTCTTCGACTTCGGTATGAACTTGTGCACGCCCCTTGGGTATTCGTGAACTCGTCATCTAGATGCGGGTGACGGAAAGGATGTAACGATCGCTTGGCGAGAGTGCACGTTGCGACGGAACAATGACTGTCTGCTGCTCATTGACGTGTAAACAGAGGTCCAGGAACTTTCAGACTCCGAGTCTAGGCGTCATACGAAATACCAATTGCGGTATGTCCTGCCATCGATGCTGAGCTGTTGGATTCGCAGCTGTTATCATATTATCGCAAGCCCAGCCTCAAGTTTCCCAGTACCTCACCAATACATAGAGCTCGCGCAGGGGCAAAGCACGCGGACGAAGCGAAGCCCACACAAGCCGCGTTTCTTCCGCATACTGGCGACTCAGGCCAGGTACATTTTTCGAGATCCCCGAAATTTCATGAGCGTGTATTGTACTTGAAACGTATTAGAACTTGCTATGCATGCATCTTTTACGGATTCTCGATCTTCTTGCCTTTGCTTGTTTCTGTTACGCGCTCGCAAGCATATGTCTACTTACTAACGCCAATGTGCCTCATCTGAGCCTGGACTGGAGTCTTGGCTATCATAGCATCAAGCGGAAGTCGGATCGTCTGCTTCACCTCCCCGGCGGATTCGCAGGTCTCAAATCGTGGTATTTGTTTTTCCTTTTCTTCTTGTCCTTCCTCTCACAAAGATTCATCAATAGACTGTGGCATTTGTGAGGTACATCATTACAGTAATACGAAAATGATTCAAAAATCCGCCGGATCCTCGTAATCCCGAAGATGCGATTTGGGATTTGGATGGAACAGCGATTATTCGGCTTCGGCTGTTCCACCTCATCGCCCGATTTATTGCTTCACCACTCCTTTCATATGCTTCTCTAGCCAAAGTGGATGCGCTCGAAAAGCGCTAGTATGAATGGAAATCGTACGACTATAACGACGATACTCGTCCGCAGCAACCCTGCCTTCTTTGCACGGAAGTGGCATTTACACGCACTGAATTGATTCGTGTTCTGGTTCTACGCACTGGTACATCACCAAAACGTGCAGAGTCTGACAAGGCAATATATTTACATGTAGACTTTATAAGCGAATATAAGGATCCACAATATGTAAAAAATATATGTCTTAGCAGTAAATTCCAATACATTTTCGTGTTCGATTTGGTGATGGCCTAGGAGCTGACGACAACGGCCATCCTATTCGGAGCCGCCCAAGCAACCGGCCAAAATGTCTCTCGTTAATTACACTCTACTCATATTTCCGGGAAGACATCTACCCCTTCCGCCATGACACGACACACTGTTGCTTAAAGGATGATGGTAAAACGAAAGTCAAATTTAATGCTAGTCGCGTGCATATGAATATTCGCCGGCCGCAATCCTTACTGTCTCACAAACAGAAGAAGAAAAATGTCGGGCTTTCTGGAGAACCGATTAATAACATAAATATAACAACACTATTAATCTTTGGCCAATTTGTGGCAAATTGCAATAAATACTTATCCACGTATATTCGTAAATTTTGGGTATCTTACAACAATGATGAGTTAAACAAGGCTCTTTCCGAAAGAATCCTTCCCAGATATGACCTCTTCTTTTCGCTAAAAGCGTGCAAAGAAGTCCGGCAGGTGACATTCGTTAATTTCGATAAATTCGGCCAGGCAGAACTTGTACGGATCCTGGATCGATCATGTAAATCTAGTTCCAGTGATGGTATATAATACAAGATGCGCACAAACATGCGAATATTAAGTGGGACAAAAATGACAGAGCAATAGAAGTGCATAAAGGAATTGCAGTAGAGAAAAGGACGAGATTGAGAAATTGAGCGGTCGAAAGAGGAAAGAAGGATACTATAGTGATGTATCAAACGATGCTGCTGTATGCAAACTGTGGACATAAGCAGGAAGAATAAATGAAGACATGCGTACATGAGGCTGAGTAGGAGGATGCAGGTGGAATGAAATGGGATGAGTTGATAGTATACAGGTGTCGCATAGACCGACACTAAGACAGAGTTTTGATAGTGGTGCAGATGCAGCAAAGGCAAAGCGCCGCATGGGAGGGAAGTGCTCGACATCGTGTTCAATGACACTAGCAGAGGCACGTCCAAGTGCTGATAGCCCGCAATGACATACCACACAGGGTATGCAGCTGTAGCAGAAGTCAACCTTACGGCATCACGCTAGTTGTCCCACTATGACTATACCAGGACCTCACAGGCGGTTACCCGGTCCGCGATATGCTGCAAAACGTTCATCGTCGTCGGCGCGGAGCGCTCTCCCCGAAGCCCGTTGGATTTGACAACACTGCAGAAGGCAGCGGAGACGCATCTTGCACACGTCGAACTAGCAGTGGCATCTGATTTCCCTTCTCGGGCTCAGACTTGACACACGGACGAGTCACAACACTAAGAATGCAGAATCGGTCAATATGCATGTTTAGTAATAAGAGAGAAGTGTGTCAGAAGAAGATAAAAAATGACATAGAAGCATGATGACCATAGTGGTTAACCAACAGAAGCAAGCCACCTAATCGGCAAGAATCTTCCGATTTATTCATATGCCAGAATAGTACTCACTTGACTTTGCGTTCAATGACTAAAGCAGGGTCTATGCTGAAATCAAGGTCGCGCAGCAAGACATATAAAAAGACCTTGATTCTAGAGTAAAGAATGTTCAGTTAGTTTAATATTGGTAAATCGGAACAAGGTAGAAGAATAATTCGCAGAAACTAAAGCAAGTTAGCCAGAAACGTCGAGACGGCGGAATGCGACAGGAGAAGAGAGAACTCTTGTGCAGACGAGATCTGTGCATAAGCTGAAATGTCAGGTCCATACAACAGGCTCTAACGCCTAACGTTGGACTGATAATTTTGTCTAATTCTGCAATAGCGTACGCCTTGATAATATCTCGCAACTCGTTGTGATACACATCGGAATCCAAGAAAACGACGATGACAACCATATGCTACACAACGAGGCCTACCATGCCAGGAACAACGGAAGAAGCGGCACGACATGACGGTGAAGTGACGGCAGATTACACTTGGAAGCAAGCCAGACGCCGCAATTAACAGGTGTACCGAGCGACTTCGGAATTTCGTTGATGGGATGTGTTGAGAGCAAGAGCAGAAGCATCGAGACATGGAACGAAAGGGAAAGAGAATGTACAAAATAGGGGATGATTGACTTACTCGGCAATTGCAAACTTATAACCGATACATGAACGATTTCCATTGACAGGGTTGCCGTTCAAGAACGTCAATATGTTTGACCATAGGCCTGGTATCGTATTCGTGGACGATGGTAGGTTACCCCAGCGCTCCGGTCTAGCCAATAACATGAGTGTTGATCAGCATGGTACCCCAGTCTGATATACATTTGAAGGAAATCAACGCACTTGAACTCCATTGCATCTTCCCCCCACACCTCTTTCCGTCGATTCACAGCTGCAAGTGGAATGCTCACAATGTCCCCACGTCGTATGCGAACAGTCCTACTCTCACGACCATACCGGTCCGTGACGCTGCCTGATAGGGGTATCTCATCCCATCCGCTGGGTGAATCACACACACGCATTGTACTTGATACCGGAGCGTATAGACGCAATGCCTCTCGCACGACCCAATCCAAATACTCATGGCGTTGTAAGTTGTCATCGAGTGTCACTGACGAAGGAGAGAGCTCCTGCAAGGACATTCGCAAAAGTTTCTGAATGTCTCGATGTTGTGACAGAGCGTACAGAATCCAAACAAGAGCAGAAGCTGTTGTTTCATGACCCGCAGCCATAAACGTCGAAATCTGGCAGAGAATCTCCTGGGTTGACATCTGCTGTGAGGGCATTGTCGCCAAATTTGAACGAACTGATCCCGGTGTGAATTAATATAACTTCGACTGTCTGTTTAAATACCATACTCAACACGCTGAGCAAGTCATTGCCAAGGTCTTTTGGGTCTTCCTTCGAACCGGTAAGAGCAGACTCTGCAAGGATTGCTTCTTTTCGTTCTGCAATTAAACCTAACCCGATATCTCGGATTTTAGTTCGAGTACGAGCCTCCGTCTCATTTTCTTCACGCTAGAATTTTATAAATATCGCTTCGAATTTTCAGAAATTGTGAATGAAGAGAACGTACGAAGATGCGCAATATAGGAAACCAAGCTTGTAAAATTGTCATGACCCGAAATTTACGAGCTGTAGTGAACACAGCCGCGAACGCGAGCGCAAGTTCGTTGTATTCATCCGTGAGAGAGTTGAAGGTATATCCAAACCCTAGTATCAGTTGCCATGTTAGGCTGTACACTTTGGAAAAAGGATTTCAGAGCTTCTTCGGAAACAGTACCTGCTAAACCAATAACATCCAAGGTAGCACGACCAAGCCATGCCAACGCATCAATTCGCGTACCGCCTTGCTCCGCAGTCAAATTCAACCGCGTGGACAAATCAACACCCTCGTCGTCGTCATCAATGATTCGAAGCCAGATGTCGCGAAGCTATTGGTCAACAAAATGCGAAAAAATAGTAGTATAAACCAAAAATAAATGAGAAATGACTGAAGTACAACGAGACAATGCAGGGAAAATTCGTACCTCGCCAGCTTTCTCCCAGAAGATGGGTAGGACTGCTCTGATGCTCCCGGCGGAGAATGCAGGAGAGATTATTTTACGCTGCCGCTTGTGCTGCTCGCCTTCCGAAGTGAGCAAACCTACAGGAGTCGGGATATGTGCGTTCGAGGGATCCACATGCAATAATGCAATGAAACTCACCATCGTGACCAGCAGCCATGCTCGCCAGACTGTCTCTCACGAAATCGGGCTTTGGATAATCATACGCGTTGCCAAGGACGTGAGCAACAGCTCGGGGGTCAGTAATCATCAGCCTAGCACCTCCAAACAAGCCATGGTAAATGAACGCTGGGCCATGGTCCGCCTCCCAAGTTGCAATGAGGTTATTGTTCTCCTGGTCATGCATGGCCGCAAGGTTTCCCATGAAGAAGGATGGGGATGGAGGACCGCGAAGGCGGCGAAGCGGTGAGATCTGTTGGCGCACGATTATACGGACAAGACCAGAAGCAGCACATAGGAAGAGCAGTAAAGGTACAAATATGTACGTCAACGTCCTAGAGGATGGCAAGAACGCAGTGAGCCAGGTAAGGAGAGCGAGCGCGTCACTGTAGAGGAGAACATTGCTCATTGGACCAGCAACGTCGGAGACGTCCAGCATATTACAGAAGGAGGGTATTTACTGCTGGCCGGCAGCGGACATTGGACAGGAGGCGGGCGTGCGGAAAGAGACCAGCTCTGATCTAAGTGAGGAGGTATAAGTGGCAGTTGGTCGAGAAGAGACGGAGGCTCAAGCATAGTGAGAACGGGCCATGACGCCGAATCACTTTCGGCGATCCCGGCCCACTATGCATGAGAATGTCTTCTCTCTGCGATCGGCACTCCCGGACTTTTCCGCCCCGACAATGGTCAATGTTTTTGTTTTATTACCCTTTTTTGAGTCTTTCACACTCGCATATTCTACCTTATTCTGGCAAACACATGTACAATCCGCCGTCTCATATGGTACAAGGGGGAAAATACTTTCGAAATCAGATGGCTCTTGCCCAACATGAGGCTTGGTCGCCTGTATTCGCCATCAAAGCTCTCCGAGAACGCCGTACAGGACTTCCCAGTTTGCTACGATCGTCATTCTCTGATTCCTCTCCTCCGCATGCACAACGCACTGTCCTTCGGCCTCGCCGGGCAGATTGCACGCAAAGAACTCCAGAACCATTCATCTTGTCTTATCGAGGAGCCATGCATTGATTTATCAGTATCTAACATGCATATTGTGTTTCCTTATGCTCCCGCGCACGCGTCAGTGTTTATTTGCATAACAGGTCTATTCAGTATTTTGCCTCCGTTTCGGAATCAATGGCTGTGCAAGTCGCATCGGCGGCCTATGTCCCCTCAACAAATGAAGGTCAAATACAATATTTTTATTTCGATACACATGGGAATGCCGCCAAACAGTCCGTACACAATGTAGTTGACTAAAGCAGGACAAGAAAGGACAAAAACGTGTAGCCTCTAACGAGCCTACATGGTTGAAGAACCCCGAGGACGCCGAAGGAACCAGCCAAGACTTGTACAACAACAAAGCCAGTCACCGCATATACCTTATTGGCGCTGTGGTCAACTGCCTATAGGGGAGTATTGTCGGCGAATAGATTGGACACGACTTGAGTGACGAATTTAGTTTTGATATTTGGACATGTGCCTCATCTTGTATGACCTCGAATGTCAGATATTCATCTACAAAGAACGTTTACAAAACATTGGATCAAACGCGTGTTCAATGTTGCAACGATTGAGTGTGAATCATAGGATACCTGCCTCTTGCCCGTGTAATTTCATCTGTGGCTCCATTATATGGACAATGTTTCGTCACAGTCTATGAGTAAATTAGATCTTTTGCATGTGCTGACTGACAACCACAGATGAGGTCCCAGTGTTACAGTGATCTTCTCACCTAGTACGACTACAGGCACTCCCTCAGCAAGCTCTATGCTAGGTACTATCCCCACCCGATAATTTGTCCCTTCGTTGACACCGATCTCGCGTGCTTCCCCGAGATTGAACAGCAAGTGACTTCCGTGTAGGCAGAGAAAGCTTGTACTTCCAGCAACCGTGAATACCACAAGTAGAGGAAGACTATCTACTATCCAGCATTTATATATATTTATAATGCTGCGTGCTATCACCCTAGGAAAAGGGATTCTATATGTTATGTTTGTATCTCATGAGAAGGTAAGGTGCAAGACTTACATTGCAAAATATGTAAACTGGTCTACAAGAAGGACTCGGAACAGATCAAATCTCCTGAAACCTGATGACAATATCCAGTACTCTGCAGCCTTATAAATTGCAAGGATGGACAAGGTGATTTGGTAAATAAGGGGTATAATCCTACTAAATTCAAGTATTATCTGCCAAACTATTGTGAATAAGTATTTCTTACCAATAGAGTGTCTCGAACAAGGGCTGAGTACAATCGCCCTGCACAACGCATATAGTCATTATTAGTGTTGAGGCCTCTGCTAAATGCATTAAAATCCAAATAGAAAACTACATGAGCTTGAGCCTACTTTGACTGGGAACCTTAGTTTGAGCTGACATGACCATGAAAGCAAGTCTCAAAGAGGATTCTAGGACAAGAAATAAATTGAGTAGTGCTAAAAGTCTCCTGCCTAAGGTATGAATATAATTAGCCGAAACTAATGCCAGCAACATAGAAGTTAATGACACACTTTGACTGTAAAGTGCAGCAACACGAATTAGGAGTATGTCTATAAATTCTCTATCAAATTAAAATATTAAATTCAGATATGAAGTGAAAACTTTACAATTGATCAATAGGACGATTGCCCAATCTACCATAGAACTTCTTATCAATCGGCTACATGGCAATAACTATAGTGACCTACCTGCAATATTGTGGATCCATGTTATTGTGCCACCTAGAAGTTATAGTCATTACAAACCAGACACAATACAGTATTTCCATGCTCACAACTGTAACAGTCTTTAGTTAGTACAGATATATCTGGTAGAGGCTTGTTAGAGTACTCACAGTTCCTTCGAAATGTTCAGAACATGCACTACAGTGGAAATTTCAAGTTTGTCATAACAGCAACGGAGAAAAGGAGATAAATTTACATTGTAGGCTGATAAAGGCTGACAGGAGCCCGCCATATCGATTCTGCAGAGTTTATTTATTTTAGTCAATACCAAATTCAGGAATTACAAATGTACGAACCAGGAAGTAAACAACAGAAATACGATTTAACGGACGAGACTTTTGGCGCGTTGCATTGATGTCTAAATGAGCTCTGGTATCCAAACGGCAAAATCAACCATATTCACCCAGTAGTAGTTCACCTTAAAAGAGTAGTTTTTTTAATCAAAGTTGGGCCCAAATAATTCTAGAATATAATTAAACAACTCACTTCCTTGTCCATGGTTGTGACTGAATCAATTAGACGAGAAGCACGATACATAGAAGGATTATACACTCAACTGGTATAATACAGCAAGAGCGACGCAAGCGCAACCTCGCAGTACAACGCAGTTTCAGCCTTATTAACGACCAAGCTAAAGTCACTGGGTGCGTCGTAGGCTAGCGCACGCTGGTGAAGATCAGCGATGCCCATGGTTTGTTTAGAAGTACTACGTTGAAAAGTGAAGATCGGGATGAATGTCGTCGCTCGAACGGGACTCCAGTTAAATATCATGACTGGAGGCTGATGGCGATAATCATCAATGTACAACTTTCGGAGTCGGTTTAGGAACAAGGATAAAGCAGACGATTCACCTCATTATCTTTCCACCCGCAAGGTCGATTGAAGTGTTGCGAACCAGCATCGAACAACGACCCAGCGCTCGAGAAGCGTCCTCGCCGAGCAAATAAACCAAGTCGAGACGCATTTAACGACATCGAAGTGCCATTCCAGCGTCACGCATTGTTCGCATCTGATTGGTTGCTGAGGAATGTAATAGTATCTGGCGAAGGTTCGACGAAACCAATCGAAGATAATTAGTACACGCTTACGGAAATGGAAAGTCGACAAAACAAATACGAAAGTGCATACGGTTTCGGCGCTTCGGAACATCGAATTCTCTTGAACAACACAGGGCTTCGCTGAATTAGGGAGAAGTGCTCGAATGAGTCACATTCTGAGATACAACATGGATAACGGACAAGTATCAGGCTGGCATGGGTTGGATGGCACGGCTTATACAAAGTATAATAATAGGAAGATGGCAAAAAATACATAGGAAGTCATAATGTCGTAATCATTGGAATCCTGAGTTGTTGCACTAATGAGGATGCAATCAGTACCCAGGTGCCGGTTTGATGGTGCCATGAAGCCATTGACATCACCTGTGTCAAGCTTCCGTAGGCTTTGATCCATGTCGCTCTAGAATAGGTCCCATTTCTCTTTTCCGCCGTTAGTTCTTTTCGCTCCTCTACCACGACGGGTTATCCGGCTGTACGATCGCATGTTTCCACAATCGTGATTTAATCCTGTCGGGCACGGGATGCGTTCTTTTGAACATGTTCCAAGTCGGGTGTATCATCCGTGCTTATATGCGCCCCATATGCTTCAACTTGCGCTTTCGCTATCCTACCAAGAATATAAACGAGAGAAGGAATCATGGAGACAGCTAGCGGTGTTGCTCGTTCAGATGCATCTAATGATGCTTGCTTAAGGAATTCAGGTTTCCATCCTGGCCACTTCGAGGTTAACAACATTTCGGGCATCAGCAGCAGCAGTGCTTACCATCAATGTATGAGAGTGTCTGTTGAGTCTCCTGCCCAGGCGACAACTGGGTGGATGACTGCTTACCTGCCTACAACGGTAAGGTAAAATGCGGAATGGTAAAAGTAGGAAATTAGTAAGCACATACATTATGAATTTCAATATGAATAAAACAGGAAATCTTGATTCAACGCCTGAAAAATTTCTCAGACTAGAGCTACTAATATATATATGTACATATGTCTAGAGTGCTGTCGGAGCTCGTAGAGCTGCCTGTAATGCACAATTCTAGTGTATTTAATATAAGCCAGCTAAAATATGTATCTCTCTTACATAGAATTGATAAATTTCCACATGTGTAAGACGCACATCTAGGTATACCCAGTCTCCACCAGTAGTTATTGAACAGTACCTATTACAACTCTTTGAGAATGCTATAAGTACAGACCTCCCGGTTTACTACGATCGTTGTTTTCGCATCATGGATTCATGTTGTCTTTGGCATGCGCGACACGCGGCCGTTTGGCGTCACCGGTGACCGGGAAGACTGCACGCAAAGACCATCAGGGCCGTTCATAATGTCTTATACCGGGAGTCCTGCATTAATCTATCAGTATCCATCATGCGCATTATAGTCCTTGCTCTCCCGTGTAGCGGTAATGTTTATTTCTTCAACTAGCCTTCTTAGTACTTTGTCTCCATTTCCGTATCAGCAGCTGTGCATGTCGCATCGGTAGCCTATGTCCTCTCAACAAGTGAAGGTCAACTTCAACATTTTCAATTTGAAACGTGTTATAATACATGGGGACACCGTCAAACAGCCCATACATAATTCAGACGATAAAAATAAGACAAGAAGGGATAGAAGCGTGTGGCCTCTAACAAGCATGCGCGATTGAAGAATCCAAAGGAGAGTGAAAAGCCCAGAAAGCTTGCAAGACTTGTACAAATGATGTCACAGTGTATATTCTATAGGTACGATGGTAAGCTGACTGTAGAAGAATGTTATCAGTACATGTCTTGAGCGTGTCTTGAGCCAACAGAATACGATTTAACTAACAGGTAAGTTCTTCATCTTGGTTGTTGTTGTTGTATGTCCAACGTCTGCCTCAAACGAATGGTACTGAAAAATAAGATCGGACGGGTGCTTGATACAACAGTTGTGCAAATGATAGGATACCTGTCTCAGCTTGCATGTCACCATTATATGGCGGAGGTGCGCCTACAAATTCTATGAGCAAGTCAGACGGTTTTTCTTGCAATTACTTGTTGACGATTATCATGTCAAGGCGAGAGTAAGCTTCTCACCTGTCGCTACCACAGCCGGATCTTCAAACTGTATGTCAGATACTGTCCTGGACCGATAATTTGTCCCTTCGTTGACACCTCTCTCGCCTGCTTCCTTGAGATTTGACAGCAAATGACTTCCGAGTAGGCAGAGAAGTGTTGTACTTCCGAAAACCGTGAATACTACAATTAGAAGAAGATCACCTGTTATCCTGCATTTAACAATATTCATAGTGCTGCATGCTATCACCCTTGAAGAGGGACTCCATCAGTTATCTTTCTGCCTCAGCCGGGAAGACCATATACAAGACTTACATCCCATAATATATAACCTGGTCTTCAATTAGTACCCTAACCAGATAGAAGCCCTTAAAGCCATATGAAACGCTCCAGTACTCTCTGGCTTTAAAAATCGCTAGGACGGCCAATGTGCTTTGGTAAACAAGGGGCATCACCCTACTGGATGCAACCATTATCTGCTGACCTGCCTTGATGAAAAGGTATCCCCTACCAGTAGAGTGTCTCCAACAACGGCTGAGCACACTTGCTTTGTTCTATACATGCAGTCATCGCTAGCATTGAAGTCCCTATTTGAAATATTTAATGACAGATACCGAGCCATATAAGCATCGGCGTACTTTGCCAGGAAACCTCAGTTTGAACAGATATGATCATGAAGGCGAGCCTCAAAGAAGATTCCAGGGCAAGCAATGAGTATAGGATTATAGAAAGGCTTCTGTCTAACAAGGCAATAAAAATAAGTCGAAGTTAGTGTTAGTAACACAGAAGTTAATGGCACACTTTGACAGTAAAGCGCAAGGACACGAATAAGGAGTACATCTAGACATTCTGCGTTAGCAAAAAGTATTATAACAAGTATAAAAGGAAAGGTCTACAATCAATCATCAGGACAGTTGCCCAATCTATTTAAGTTGTGCCATTTATTACTCATTAATTGGCTAGGTAGAAATATTTATAATTGCTCACCAGCAAGATGGTGTATCCATGTCACTGTGGTACCTAGAAGTTATGTCTCAACCACCAGACATCCATGCAGTGTTCCGTGCTCACAACTACACAGTTCAGTTAGTACAGGATTATTAATAGTGGCCTGTTAGTGGCTCACAGTTCCTTTGAAACATTTAGAACATGATCTATAGAGAAAGCTCAGTCATACAAAAATGGAGAAAGTGTATATTAACCTACGCTGTATGCTGATAAAGATCGACAAGAGTCCGCCATATCGATTCTGGCATTGTATATCTATTTAGTCGATACCGAATCCGGGGATTACAAAGGTGCATACCAGGCAGTATATAATAGAAAAAGGATTTCGAGACTTTTGACATATTATATTGAAGCCAAATTGAGGTCCTGGTGTCCAAACAGTACAGTAAAGCATTGCTCACCCAGAAATATTTCACCTTGAGAAGCATAATTAGTATGTCAAAGTCCGATCTAATCGTTGTGTAGTACAGGAAAGCCACCTACTTCTTTGTCCATGGTTGTGACTAAATCAAAATTAAACGAAAAGATAGCACAAGGAAGTACTATACACCCAACTGGTATAATACAGCAAGAGCGACGCCAGCGCAACCTTGCAGTACGACTCGGTTTCAGCTTTATGAATGACTAGGCTGAAGTCGCTGGATGTGTCATAGGCCAGTGAAAGCTGGTGGATGTCAATCATTGTTTGACTTGGCGTGGAAGTACTACGTTGAGGCACTGAAGGACGAGGTGAATGCCGCTGCACGAAGGCGAGCCCGGTTAAATACCATGACTGGAAGCTAGTGGCGATAATAATCAATGTTTAACTTTCGGACTCGGTTTAGGGGGAAGGATAAAGTAGACGATTCACCCCATTATCTTTCCACCTGGCAAGTTTCTTGAATAGTCACGGATAAGCATCGAGCAACCACACAGCGCACGAACAGCCCTCGCCGAACGAAATAAATCAGATAGAGACGCGTTAAATGATGGCGGAGTGCCATTCCATCGTTAAACAATGTTCGCATCTGATTGGTTGCGGAGGAAGGTCATAGTATCTGGAGAAGTTGGAAAATATCACTTGAAAATGATTGGCGCACACTTACGGAAACGGAAAGTCGACAAAACAAGCATGAAAGTGTATGCGCATTTCGTCGCTTCGGAACAGCGGGACTTCTTTTGAACAACATAAGACTTCACTGATTTAGGGTGGAGGCTACGAATGACTCATGTCCTGAGGCGATGCAGCATGGATATTGGACTACTGTCAGACTGGTGCAAACTACGAAAAGCCGATACAATGTGTATTAATAACAAAATGGCAAGAAAAAATACATCGTAAGTCATGAGGTCGTGATCATTATAATCGTGACTCGTTGCAATAGTAAGAAATTCGAGGCGCAGCGCCCAGGTGCCGATGTAGTGATGAAGTTCGTAGGCATCATCTGTGTCAAGCTTCCGTAGCCTTCGCTTGAATGTCACTCCAGAATGAGTCCCATTTCTGTCTTCCGCCGTCACTTCTTTTCTGTCCATCCTCTATGACAGGCAATCCGGCTATGTGATCGCGCGCTTCCATCGCAATCGTGATATGATCCCGTCGAGCACCGGATGGGTTCTTCTGAACATGTTCCAAGTCGGGTGTATCATCCTTGCTTATATGCGGGCCATACGCGTCAGCTTGCGCTTTCGCTATCCTACCAAGAGCATTAACGAGAGAAGGAGTCATGGGGACAGCTCCAACCGGCGGTGATGATCGTTCAGAAGCGCTTAATGATGCTTGCTTAAGAAATTCAGGTTTCCATCCTGGAGTTGTGTTGCGGGGCTGAATCTCATTTCGGACGTAATCGGCAGTGACGTCTTCCTCAACATCTGAATACTCGGGAACGCTCCTGATGGGTCTCGCGGGTCCTACGATTCCCCCGAACGTAGCCTTCATGTTCTTCAGACGGGCCTTTTCTGAATCAACGTCTAGCACATCGGGTGTGATGACATTGTTACTGTCATGTCCAGAACTTGACGACGGATGAACAGTCGTTCCGGAAAGAGTTGTCGCACTGGAGTTCATGCGTTCTAACGGAAATACTCGCACAGTCGTGTCCTTCTGGGGTGTACCAAACGGCGTCTTTAATTCATCATCATCGGTAGAGCTTTCGGCGTCCGAATCAGAGGAAAATCCATCTTTGGGACGAAACTCGACTGGTGCACGACGCCTTCCTTCAGTGAGGTGCTTCCACCGACGCTTAGTCCTCGCGTTTTTCACCTTTTGCAGAATGGTCGGCTTACGAGCGACATCATACGCCTTGAACTCCGCTTCTGCGTCTGGTGGGTCAGTATCTAGGACAAGCCTAAAACCGCCTTCGCTCCGAGACTTCCCTCTACGTAAGACTCCAGCAGCCTTCGTACTAGCTGGTGCGTCCCAAGCGTATGCTTCAGGAGAAAGAGACCTCCTTAGGTCTTCGCGAGACAGTAGGCGTGCAGGTTTTCCTTCTAGCAATGCTCCGGGAACAGATACATAATCGGCCTTCCCAGAGGAATCTCCGTCATTTGGGAAAAGTATCTCACGTGGGCGTGCTGGTGTAGTCGAAGTCAGATGGAGTCGGTCAAGCAAGCGTGTCCACCAAGAACGCAGGGGAGCGAAATTTCCTGCACGACCGTGGACGTTTGGGAGTGCTGACGAGTACTCCGCAAGGTAAGTGTCCCATTTCTACAAATTGTCAGGTTTGACTGCGTTCAGCTTCATAGAAAAGTCAATACCTCGTCCGGATCTTCCCCGATCCATCTCTTGAGCGCCCAATCACAGAGAGAGCCACTGGCCCAAAGCACACAAAATAGAGCATCGAAACCCCGTTCCCTGGACGTTCCCCATCCACTCCCGTTCGCAATCCATAGCCTATCCCAAGCGTTTGCCCAAGAGTATGACAAGGTGGATCGGGTCAATAGAGCGATGGCCACTGTCATTGAAACAGCTCCCAAGCAAGAAGATGCGAATCGTGCAGTTGAGTGTGCCAAGTTAGACTCAGAAATCGACGGAAGCGCAGAAGGGACGACGACAAGGAGCGTCACCAAGGGTGTAATCACTGAGGCAAGGACTACTCGCGAACCTAACGAAGGATGTGTAATAATGCTGATAGCAATGGTCAGAGTGATACTAGTGGCTTCAAATTAGATTATCTCATCGCACTGCCATTCATGAGACGTACCCTCCACATATGCCTATAAATGTCAACGCAGCCATTTTCCATCGACCTCCGAGGATGATAGGTGGAATGATGGAGAAAAGCCACACTATCAGAAAAGTAGTGGGCGTAAGGGAAGCCGACGAAGTCTCGTTCTGTATGAGGAGTGATAAAAAGGTTGAGGCATGGACTATGTAATATTTTGCAACATGAATAATAGCACAGCACAGGAGTCTTAACTGACACTTACGGCCGAAGAGGTAGCCTGAAGCAAGGCCTCCAACGCCACCACCCAAATGGAATGTCCAATGCCTTATTTTTTCACCCTTTTCAAAGGCTCCAGGGAGTGAAGATGTTGCGTCTGAACGTGGTGAGAAGGAACGAGTACGGTCGAGCGTAAGGAAAGTCCCAGAGAAGGTAAGTACAGCGGAGAATAGCAAGAGAGGAACAGAGTAAGCCAACAGCAGGGAAGTTGAATCTCCAAACAGCGAAGTGACTGGTGAATAGTCAACTAACTGACAGAGAAAAGAAATGTGGACTATCAGACTTACGTTGAACGACCATGTTAGACGCTTAGAAGTCGGAAGATAGGGGTTGGGATAAGATTTGAGAAATCGTCAGAAATCGTTACAATAACATAAAGTGGTATATTCAGAGTCCAGAAGACGCTGCAGGGTATTTGTAGGTGAGCTATTCCCTCTGCTATGAGACCCAGGACAGCGCCTGCTGTTGACTATGTGAAAGCGTCGAAGTAGATGATAGCAGTATTTAATTGTATGCGCGAGTGTGGGGTGATCGACGTACGATAATTATGTAATTATTGATGCCATAATCAACTTTACAAAGTGCTGCTAGAATTTGTGAGAAGTGAACGCTGCCACTTATTACCATGTCTGCGGAAGCAGGGAGTTCAAAGGCAGGGAAGATTTGGGGCTCAAGTTTTGACAGCTACAACTCTGAACTACAGAGCTCTGTGCTTCAAGCAACGAAGCTCGCCGTCGGCTTGCCTGCCGACGTAAACTTCTTTCGGACTGTCGACAACAACTTTGCTCAGGCAATCGACTCTTGTTCTAGGAAGGCACTCGCACTCACAAACAACTTATTGGAACTCGCAGAAGCACACAACTCGACCTCTTCCCGTATAAAAGGCAAAAAGAAGTTAGGGAATCAGGAGGATGTTGTGGACGGGTTTGGATCTTTGGTGGTGGATGTGCTAGACCAACTTTTCGAACGGGCCGTATGTAGCTGTTAGCTTGTGCCTTGCATCTGAAATGCGCTTACTCTTACCTCTAAGGACACAAGCTTGGATGACTACATGGGTCATACAAAGCCGGCTGCAATATCCGTTAAGCCACCTCCCGCAGCGTCGACCTTTGTACGTCCTAGAAGTTGGACTTCGGACTGGAGGCTTATTTGTTTATTACCAGACCTCAAGTACACGACAGGGTCGATTGGATCCATCACTTTTGCATGCTGCGTATCTTCCGAAGCCTCAGCTTAAGTTCAGGAGGAGAATCAATAGCGCACAATCCAGCTGGTCGCCAAATCTGAGGCATAAGTACAATGCTCAAGTGCCGTTGGGCTACGTGTTTCACGACACAGACGTCATAGAAGGGGATTCTTGCCTCGGTGAAGGGACATCCCAGTATGTGTCCTGTCATTCCCCCGATTGTGTCATATTCAAAATCCTTGCCAGAAGTTTTCACCCCTATCGTTATGAAATCAAGCACATCACATATTCTCGACAAATGTTTGAGCATAGACACCCTATTCGGCCATCCTCGTTTGAGAACACTCCATTCACATGGATAGACTCCAAAGAGCAGCTAGACCTCCTGCTGGATCAATTGCGTCATGTCCAGGAAATTGCTGTTGACCTTGAGCATCACAGCTACCGCTCGTTTTCTGGGTTTCTTTGCCTCATGCAAATCAGTACCCGCGAAGAAGACTTCATCATTGACACATTAGCGCTCAGAGAAGAACTGGAAGAACTGAATGAGATCTTCACAGATCCAAAGATCGTAAAGGTCCTCCACGGCGCTGACAGTGACGTCGTCTGGTTACAACAGGATTTTAATATCTACATTGTAAACCTCTTCGATACCTACCATGCGTCAAAGTTACTGGGTACGTTGACTCGAATGACAGAATAGTATTCCTCTGACTTCTTTGTAGACTTCCCAAAGCACGGATTAGGCGCGTTGCTCGAAATGTATTGCGACTTTGTTCCCGATAAACGATACCAGCTAGCCGACTGGCGTATCCGGTACTTCTTTTTCTTCCACTTAATTCTATTCTGCCTGTTGCTCTAACCTGCGGTATATTGCAGGCCGTTGCCAGATGAAATGATGAAATATGCACGCTCAGATACTCACTTCTTGCTGTATATCTATGATAATTTGCGTAATGCACTCTTGGACCGTGCGCGAGGACAACCGGACTTGGTTCGTTCGGCACTAAGTCGCTCGGAGGATACCGCTTTGCGCATTTATGAACCCGAATTTTATGACTTGGAAAATGGGACTGGACCTGGTGGTTGGAACACACTTTCGCTGAAATGGGGCCGTGCTTTGTCTGGCACACAACACACTGTATTTCGTGCTGCTCATGCATGGCGTGATGCCCTTGCACGAAAAGAGGATGAAAGTACGCGCTATGTGATGCCGAATCATTATCTATTCCAATTGGCGGAAAGGCCGCCGACGGATATGGCTAATTTGTTGTCTATATTTCGTCCTGTTCCACCGCTGGTTCGAACACAAGCAGCCAGCTTGCTCGAAGTCATTCGCACTGCTGTTAAAGAGGTGCCATCGATAGCAGAAACGAGAGGCGAATGCGTGAAAACTCAGAACCGCGTAGTTGATGACGCAAATTCGCAAATCAGGAGCAAACATAACACCACAGTGAACAGCGAAAATGCCTCCACGAGCTCCGCGAAGACCTGTGTTGACATATGGACAAGGAAGTCAGGAGGTGAGCAGATTCGAACCGTTTGGTCGAAAATGAATTAGAAGGTTAACATTGGACAGCAGGTCTTTCCGCATCGTCCTCGTCCTTGCTTGGTTCTACTTTAGCCAGGACGGCGTCTCAAGTCGAAGATCTGTCAGTTACGCGAAGTGCACTCTTTCCTAAGGGCTGGACTCCGACCGTGAGTTCGTTATTCATCTCGCGCCCGAGCATGTTAATCTAACTTTCCGATATTTCTTCCGTTCAATCTTTTGGCTAAAGAAGACTGCAAAGAGAGTTCTACATGGTGCTTCGATAAGATATCGAGAAGCTGTGTCTCGCATTCACAGTGCTCTGGTTGTAGCACCGATCATGCCAGCTGCCCTAATCGCTATTCCAGGGTCAGGGAACTTGAAGGCCTCTGTTAATGTAGACATCAACGTAGCATCTGTTCCAAATCAAGAACAGACCAGAGCCTCTGCCGTACCTGCAAACGAGCAACAGCCCCATACCCTTATTGCTGGGGTCGAAGCGTCTGATACAATTCTAACAACCGGACGTACTCGAGAAAGGAAAGGAAAACGTTCCAGGAACCCGACCACCGCTGATGAACAAGACAAAGCGAATCAAGTGAAGAAAGCACGAGTCCAAATGACGAGTGTGAATGGAGACAATGAAGCAATTGAGACAAAACCTGACGAGTTTGACTATGCTTCCGCGCCGAACCTTCTGGATGAGCATATCAAAGATCAGCCTGTCTTACTGAAACCTCAAAAAGGAAACACATCAAAAGGTACGTATCAATCTAGCATAAACACTTCGACGAAGATTGATTAGCTGTGCTTCTTTCCTTCCTTAGGACGTCGCGCGTTCGAGTATGGAAATTTCCCAGCACCTCCGCGAGCGTACAATGAAGTGAAGGGTGCCAATATGTCTCATACATTCAAGGGACGATAATTTTTCTACACAATGATATGTGGATCACAGATTTTTTACTCTTCTCCTGCAAGGGAAATTAAGACATCACCAAACCAGAAGACGAAGTCCGGTAGTTTTGATTGATTTCTCGTTCTCTTCTTCAAAATTTCAGCGATTGCCAGCTTGTGACCAATTGTTGTCTTCACAATTGGATAAAGCTCTAGGGTTTGTGGCCTTTGAACTGCATACGGCTTTGTCATCTCATTTCCGCCATCACAGGGTACAGAAGTCTTTCAACAAATAGCTGGATGTTCTTGACTCTGACGTTCATCTCCGATCTTCTCTTCATTTGCCAACAATTTTCATACCAATCGCGAAAATGTCGTGTTCATTGCAAGCTACACAACGTAGTATGAGAATGAATGGACCTGCCGTCGGCTGGCAAAGGGGTAAGGTGATTAACGTTGCCTCGGAATCTTTTGTTGGACATGAAAATATGTCATATTGGTGAAGTACTTCTACTCTAATACATTCACCCCCTTGCATCAGTTGGCCGCTGCGGCACTAGAAGCTCCGAGTATCACCGATGTACGGGCCGGTTACTTGGCTGTCTATCTTCTCTGCAAGAGGCTGGCCAACAGGCGTTTCCGGCATGAGTTCTACAAGTCGGAAGAAGATAACAGATGAATTTTTCAGCGAGACTATTTATTCAGCTGGTCGGACAGAGCGGACGTTCCATTCCCCCAAGACACCTCCTCCTGGCTCATCGTCGAAAAGTTCAAAGAGTCTTGTTATTTCAGCTGCTACAATGGCTTCTGTTACAACGCTAAATGAACCGGACAAAACGACTCTTGCCTCTATTAAAATTCCTGTAGTGACTAAAGTCGACATTGAGCATGTCACTGTCCAGGACGACCCACGGAAATGGTCCCGTGCACGAAAGGTACATCATACTATGACCTGAAGTTCTATAGGGTAACTGACTACAACTTCATTTTGTTGTTTTTGACAGACAATTATTCTTGTAATCATATCTCTGGCAGCATTGTTCGGGACTCTAGCGTCAAACATATACTCCCGTAAGTGTGGACCTACCACTACACTGAACGAAAACGCTGAGTCATTTATCCGTTGCAGCGGCGCTAAACCAAGTTAAAGCCGATTTGCATGCATCGGACACAGAAATTGCGACGAGCCTATCGGTATTCATTATTGTTCAAGGGGTCACTCCCTTATTTTGGAGTGCACTATCCGAAGTCAAAGGCCGAAAGGTGCGAAACTAAATTTGCTCATTGACTCATACCTCCCTTTGACAAGACGCTTCGCTTCTAGATCGTCTACATTACGTCAGAATGCGTGAGTCTTCATGAATCATAGACGAAGTAACTTACCTTATCTCGTTGCAGATATTCATAACGGGATGTATAGTAGTAGGATCGGCAAAAACTATTGCCGTAGTTATAGCTATGCGCTGCGTCCAGGCACTTGGGTAAGTGATAGTATATTTCAAAATACGTACGATGGTTCACATTACTATGCAGCTCAGCGGCAGTTTTCAGCGTTGGTGCTGGTTCACTTGCCGATATTTACGAGCCGCATGAACGTGGTACAATGATGGGTATCTATTACGCCGCGCCGCTCCTTGGCCCCTCTTTAGGTCCGATTATCGGAGGTGCACTGACCGACGCGTGGAACTGGCGTGCAACCTTCTACTTCCTGGCAGCATTTTGCTCGTTGTCCTTAGCGAGCTTTATTTTGTTTAAGGATACGTTTAGGCGAGAGCGGAGCCTTGCCTATCAGGCCGCGCTACTTCGAGCGAAGGCACATAACGAGCGGAAACAGAGACACGGGTCATCAACTCCGGTTTCACAGAGGACCAGTATTGACGGAGACGATAAGACAATAAACGGCGAAACACCGGAGAAAATCATCGAAGTGCGGGATATCGAGAAGGCTACGCCTGCAGCACATAGCGTGCAAGACGTGAGACTCTCCCTGCGCGACATCAATCCTCTCGCTCCATTACCTCAAGTCTTGAGAGTTAGAAGCAACCTCCTCATCCTCGTTGCTTCCGGTACGCAGTCTATCTCTTATCACCTGTGCTTCTTTCGCTTGTCCAGCATACACTTACCTGCAACTCACCATTTAGGCATCCTTTTTGCGTTTAGCTATTCGATTTTATACACGTGTTCCCGCACATTTTCCGACAAATATGGCTATGATGCACTCGGGGTTGGACTGGTCCTACTGTCCTACGGCGTAGGTAAGCACGTCGGACCGTCTCCCGTTTTTCTTGCGTGCTAACGGTAAATCATTCCATATAGGGAGTGTTTGCGGCAGTATTCTTGGTGGCCGCTGGTCAGACTATGCACTTCGCCGGTTGAAGGCTAAGAATAACGGAGTAGGGCATCCGGAGGTAGATATTCGGTTTGACTGAATGTGTGCACCGGAAACTAATAGGTGCGCAAATTTTCAGATGAGACTCGAAAGCACGAAATGGGCTATGGCTGTTCTTCCTCTGTCAAGCGTCGCATATGCTTGGCTGTGTCAAGAAAAGATACACGTGGCCGCCGTGTGTGCTGCACTTTTCTGCGCGGGATTCCTGTCAATGTGCGTTGTCCGCGTTGCTTAACTTTGGAGGACGCTAACAGACCAATTTTATTTCACAGCTGGGTCTACTCGTCCACTCTTGCTTATATTGTTGATGCAAATACTGGACGGTCGACGACTGCAGTCGCTTGCAACAGCTGCTTCCGAGGAACCCTTGGATTCGCTGCTGCAGAGATCGCTGTGCCTGTGCAAAATGCGATCGGTGACGGCGGGCTATATTCCATCTGGGCAGGCTTGCTGGGCATCGTCGGATTGCTCATTATGCTTCTCATTTGGAAGGGTAAGGAGTGGAGAGAACGCGACACCGCAAAATACACCCAAAAGTGAACATACATGATATTTAGAAGCAATTAGAAACTGTAGAAAAGGCTGTCTCCTGCAGGTCGGGTTCAGTTCCTTCACATGGTCTCCATAAATGCTGGGTAGAAATTCGCTCTTCGTTTACGGTCCCTTAGGGATTACGGATTTTCTTGTCCTCTTTGCTGTCGTTTTTGTTCCTTTCCTTGTTGCTTAGGGTGTAGAAGGATGTAGAAATAGATTAGTATGTACTATGTACATTAATGCAAATACCATATGCATTTCGTCAGTTTCGATTACTCGGGACTCCGGGGCGATGTATTGTCTTCTGTGCACGCAAGAGTACATGTTTTTACATAGAAGATATGCTACATATATACGCTAGAACTATAGACTTTCGCCGCCAACCAGACCCTCATCGCCGACCGGCCCTTCCTTGCCGGGGCTTCCAGCGGTTCGCCATGCGGCAAGGATAAGCTGGGCTACATCTTCCATTCCAGTTCCGTTCTTTACGGACGTGAACAAGGTCGGGCCGTCCCCGCGCATCTTTCTCGAATCGCGCTCCATGACCTCTAGTGAAGCCCCGACAAAAGGCGCAATGTCAATCTGAAATTGAACCTCTAAATGCTACGTAGTTCTTGAGATAAATTACGAGGCCCTCACCTTGTTAACGACAAGAAGATCGGATTGCGAAACGCCCGGACCGCCCTTTCGCGGAATCTTGTCCCCTCCCTGATATACACATCGATAAGCAAATTTCATCCTTTAAACGGAACGGTAATGGCCAAAACATCCGTATACTTACAGAAACATCAATGACATAAATGATATAATCGGCAAGTTCGCGAGAGTAATTCGCCGCAAGGTTGTCGCCTCCACTCTCAACGAAAAGTATCTGACAGCCAAATTTTGCTTGAAGTGTCTCTAAAGCACCCATGTTTGCGGATATGTCTTCGCGAATCGCTGCATGAGGGCAGCCTCCGGTCTCGATTGCAAGAATACGTTCTGCCGGAAGAGCTTTGTTACGGATAAGAAATTCTTGGTCCTCGCGAGTAAAGATATCATTCGTAACAGTCGCTTTCAGTTGCATAAATTTCGTCCTTAGACATCAACTCTAATCAAGTCGAAGAACTTACCAATATTGTACTCGGTGCGCAAACGTCGGCATAGTGCAAGCGTAAGTGCTGTCTTGCCTGATCCTACTGGCCTGTATGCGTGCGTGTACTCTTTAGTAAAAGTGCACCTCACAGAGGGAAAAGGAAAATAATTTAATAAAATACACACCCTCCGATGCCCACAGTGAAACCGCGCTCCTCAAAACTCCGCGACAGGAAGTTCGGCATATCACGCTCCGAGTACTTACCTTACACGCGACACAAAATTAGCAGCTAAACAATCAATAACGAAACATGACAACAAAGATCTCACCTGCGTTCTCTAGATGCTCATGAGTATGGCCATGCTCACCCGTACCGTGATCATGCGAGTGACTTGGGCCGTCCTGTTCGTGCGAATGTGCGACTGGAGCCTGTGTTGCAGAACTTCCAGAAAGGTTATCGATGAACTGCACGGTCTCGTTTTTCATGTCTTATATTACGTTTTGAAGATTCTTAAGCGTGAAGAGCTTTTGTTGAAGTTCTTAGGAACGGTGCGATATCAGGTTATGTCTCGTCTTATCTCGTGCATTATGGTGATAAGGGGAGTATATTGACTTTTTCTGAATAGAAGCATTTACTTAGTCATTGAATGACGTCATGGTCAATATTATATGTAGGCCGAAAATAGTTTTAAGTAACTATCAGTGCCTGTGCTGTGAGATGTACAAACTTGTTCGAAATCCTAGCCTAGCAATTACCAAACTCCGGGAATAAGTCTGTAGGGAACCTTCTCCTTGTATGCTTTGTATTGTGGTCCGATTTCGGCGTCTGACTCCATAAGGTTCTCCTATGCGCATATGAGTCAATGAAGCGAGAACACTGTGTTCGATGCTACGAACCTCTATTGGCACCTTTACTGCAAATGCGACACCGCAAATAGCAAGGGCATAGAGTGGTATATAATTCCAAATCAATCCTGCAAGTACCAGGTTTTGCAGCAACGCACAGCTAATGGAAAGACATGAGGGAAGTGAATGAGTCGATGCGTGAACTAGTACTCACGTGTACAGGGGATGTCTAACGACTGCGAATGGTCCTGAAGTAACGAGCTTCGGCCTCTCCCTCACCTACAACAGAGTCAACGTGAATGGTCAAGTACACTTCACGATACAAGCCAACGTACTCCAATATGATGAAAAGTGCCGCTTTTCCCTAGAAGGCTCACAGTTTGCATGAGCAACTTCCAAGTCCCAATCAAGCCTACAGTCGAAGCTACCCTCAGTAGATTTACGACATCCTCACTGAGCCGGAAATTTGGCAAGGCAAACCGAGAAATAAAGCCAGGCTGAGCGCATCCGTTCAGCGGAACTGCGACCAGATATGTTATAACCGGAAGCATCATCCCCGCAGCGTGAATGGGCGAAACAATCTTCCCCACAAGACTCGTCGGCATCGACTTTATCTGGCCCCCTTTTTCTGCAGCGACTTTCATCGAATTGCGCCCTACATGAAAGGCAGCTGCAGTATATATGAAGATCGAAGAGGTAACAAGGCCTTCAGCACCCAACGCAAGGCGTTCGCCTGGGATGTGTATACCGGTGAGATACATTCTGTGGCGAGATGGACAGCGAAGGTGAAGGTGAATGTAGGGTAGCAACTCTCGTCTGAATCCGGAGCCAAGACACATATTCAGTTCGGGATTCTCACGGTCTAAAGTTTCGAGCCAAGCAAATGCATCAGTCAACTTCTTTACTTACCACGTATGGAACGGGTGTATTAGTATCAATTATAATGATGCCCCTTATTGCGACAATACGGACCCAAGCAAAATGCCCAGTTTAAAAGGATACGCCTAAAGCAGCCTCCGGTCTCGATTGCAAGAATACGTTCTGCCGGAAGTGCTTTGTTGTGTATAAGAAAATTTGGCCCTCGCGAGTAAAGGTATCATCGTCATTAAACTTTGACTCTAATCAAGGAAAAAAAAAACTTACCAATATTGTACTCGTTACGCTTGCGAATACATAGCGCAAGCGTAGGTGTAAAACCTACTGGCGTATATACATGCGTGTACCTTTTAATTAGTTCCTCCTCACACACGGAAATGAAAAATGAAACAACACCCTCCAGTGCCTAGAGTGGAATTGCGCTGCTCAAAATTTCGCGACAAGATCGGCATCTCACGCTCTAAGCATTTATCTAAGGTGTGACACAAAATTGAAGCTGAACATTCAATTGCAAGCAAGACACGATAACGAGGGCCTCACCTGCATTCTCTAGGTGCTCATGAGTGTGTCCATGCTCACCGTTCATGATTGTGCGAGTGACTAGAACTGTCGTGCTCATGTGAAGAATGTACTACTGGTGCCTGTTTTGCAGAACTTCTAGGACTGTTAATGAACTGTATGGTCTCGTTTGTTTTCTTCACGTCTTACAACGTTTTTAAAGACTATTTAGGGCAAAAAAGGAATGGTAGGATAGCAGGCCACGTCTCATCTTATCTGAGTACTACGGTGGCATAATTTCAAAAACGTGAATTGCCTGTTCCGAATCGAAGCACATTCCTTTATTGACACTAAGTCAGTGAATGACGTCATGGACAATAATAGCGGTAGGCTTAAAATACTTTTTAACTAGCTGGTGCTTTATGCTATAAGATATAGAGATATGTTCGAAATCCAAACAATTACCAGACTCCGGGGATAAGTCTGTAGGGCACCTTCTCCTTATATACTTTGTATTGCAGACCGATTTCGGAGTCTGACTCCATAAGGCTCTCCTACATGTATATGTGAGTTAATAAAGTGAAAAAAAATTGCGTTTGATGCAACAAACTTCTATGGGAGCCTTTATCGCAAATGCGATAGTTATAATAGCAAGGGCATAGAGCGGTATATAGTTCCACGTCATCCCAGTAAGTATCAGGTTTTGCAGCAGGGCACAGCTAATGGGAAGACGTAAGAGAATGAAACGAACCGATGAGTGAACCAGAACTCACGTGTATAATGGGTGTCGGACGACTGCAAACGGCCCTGAGGTAATGAGCTTCGGCCTCTCCCTCACCTAAGCCAAAGTCAATGTGAACTGTAGATTGCGTGTTCAATACAAACCGACATACTCCAATCTGATGATAAGTGCCGCTGTTCCCCAACAAGTCAACGCATTGTCTGAACAACTTCCAAGTCCCAATCAAGCCTACAGCCGAAGCTATCCTCAACAGATATACGGAATCCTGACCGAGTCCGAAATTTGGCAAGGCAAAACGAGAAATGAAGTCAGGTTGAGCGCATCCGTTCAGCGGGACTGCGATCAGGTATGTTACAACTGGAAGCATCATTCCAATTGCATGAATAGATGTAACAAGTTTACCCAGAAAAGTCTTCGGCATCGACTTTATCTGGCCACCTTTTTCTTCAGCGACTTTCATCGAGTTGCGCCCAACATAAAAGGCGGCCGCAGTATATATGAAGATCGATGAAGTGACAGCGCTTTCCACGCCTAATGCAAGGCGTTCGCCTGGGATGTGTATACCGCCTATATACATTATTTGGCTAGATGGACAGCGAAGATGAAGGAAAAGCAGGGTGGCTAGTCCGTTTGAATGCGGAGCCAAGATATTTATTCATTCCGGGATTCTCACGGTCTAAAGTTAGATTCGAGCGCATCAGTTCATTCAGGACTTTACCGCATATGGAGACATGCATAACACTATCATTTTAATTATGACGTCCTCTTATCGATACTTTCCCACTTGGGATTGCATTAGAATCAACTTAAACGCCCATGTCGAAACGATTCGCCAATTCGGATTTCAGATAGTACGAGTACCTAAAGGCCTATCAACTTGCTTTGTAGCATTATTCTTGCACATAGTCTTGCCAAATTATGTATGAATCCGTTCTTAGCATAAGTAACATGCAAGGGCTACCCTCGGCATCATGCGGAGAGCTTGGAGAACTGTAATCAAGTATGTGGAGACAGCGCTCTCGACTAATATCAATACTGTAGGTATGCTACATATCATGCGCTGATGAGTGGTGGAGACGGAGGGCGAAACACCGGACCACCAGTTGCAGAGTATCAAGCGCTGATTGTTAATTAAGATGTCTCGATGAAGACCTAGTTAACACTGTAAAAGCAGCACCTCCCTCCTACCAAATCCCCGGTATGAGGCGGTATGGAACTCTCTTCTTGTAAGCTACATATTCGGGACCAACATTTGCGTCTGACTCCAGGAGTTCTTCCTACAGGCCGACAGTCATTCTGCATTAATTTCACAGTGAGTGCGAGAGACACGTACTTCAATTGGGATTTTCATCACAAATACGACGGCACAGATAGCAAAGGAGAGCAGTGGCGCGTAATTCCAAAACATTACTACAACTCCAAACTCGCCCAATAAAGCAGTCCTGAAACCGATGTCCACAAGAAAGTTAGCCAAGCATTTTGGGTAATATAAATCGAACTTACGCGTATGCAGGGTGTCGCACTACACTGAAGAGGCCGGTGGAGACGATTCGAGACTTTTCCCTAACCTAAGAAAACTGTTAATATTGGCTTTGTATGATTTCCCCCAACAACCTACACCGATGCCATGGAAAGAATGCCTTAACAGACTGATACTTTTGGTAACGGCCTTATAAGAAATAGCTAGACTCGCGCATGCCGACATCCGTATCAAATTAATGGTCTCTTTCTGGAGTCCGAAATCCGGCAAAGCCCAATGTGTAATAAATTCTGGCTGAACTCCCTTATTCAATGGTATTGCGATGAGATATGTCAATACGGGCAAAAAGAACGCGGATCCATGGAGGGGCGTGAGGAGTTTGCCCACGAGTGTCGTCGCATCTGATTTGAGCGGACCTCCGTTAGCGTTAGCAATCGCCCACATCTTTCGTGCGTTGCGAATCATTGCGACGGTAAATATAAAGAGCGACGAAGTAACGACGCCTTCGGTAGCGAGATCAGAAGTAGGGACATGAATACCAGCGATGTACATGGTGTCAACTGTGAGAAGGTGGTTTGGTGAGACAAAGACTGGATGTTAGTGCCTTGACTTGCATAACATACTTATTACTTTCTCTGGCACTGATTAGAGATGCAGTACGTCCCAATTTGGGCAAAACATCGGCGATTCTCACGGCTGGATAATGAGCTTGGCCATTTGCCGATGCAGAGTGACCTTGAAGCTTGATAAGCGCAAACCGCCAGCGCTCTGGTGAAACTGATCAAAGCGACTATTTCATCCCTGCAGATAAAAGGCGACAATTTCCTTGTTCTGACTGATCCCCGGTGGACTGGTTGGATTAAGACAACGCCCGAGTTTGACGAACAGGCAGCATCCTTGAATCCGCGTAAGTTAGATGCGATACGGGGGATTTAGTAACATCAAGCATGGCAAAATGCTGTAAATTGACCAAAGTAGACGAGCAACTGTTAGGCATACGACCTTCGGAAGAATTTCTTTTGTTATAAATGCAGGGCTATCTTGCATAGTGGCTAAACTTCACTTACATATTCAAGTGGATCCTTGACAATATGATTGAATATTGCTTCGGAGCTAAGCGATAACTTGTATGCAGCGTCACCGAATCCATGCACGACATGGAGGTTAGAAGAGTCCAAAAGGCAAAAATGGTCAAAACTCTAGGTTCACAAGTCACGTGCATATATTTCTGGTTTATACAGAGTCATATACCTTCTTTCACACAGGTGCTGACACTTTCACCTTGCACGACTCTGAAAGAGAACTTTACAAGCGAAGCTGCACTCACTGGAATTGACTTTACTGCTAATAAGATTATAATACCTATGGGTGGAAGGGCGTTCACCACCTTGGGCGAGCACGCGTTCCCTCGTATCCCGCCTGAGGTTTATGCGCGACTTAAGACGCGCTTTACAGAACGATTGAGGGAACTGTATGCATGCGTCGGTGTACCGGTAGAAGCACCAGAAAAGGAGGACCACGGGGATGTCGACTTTATTGTATGCGAGCCACTCAGCTCTGGCCCGTACGCTCTTGCTAGCATCAAAGCAGCGCTTGGTGCGCAGCACGCTAATCTTGCTGCGGCAAACCGGACTTCAAATTTTGCAGTCCCTGCAGACAAGGAACTTGGTTGCAAAGGCATTGGAAAGTTCTTCCAAGTCGATGTACATGTGTGTGACGACAAGCCAGAATTGGAGCGTACATTATTTTTCCAATCATATGGTGATCTTGGAATGATCCTTGGTCTTCTTGCACGCTCTCATGGATTCACGCTAGGAACAAAGGGGTTTAAGGTGTGTTAATATTCGTCATTCATCTCATCTAGACTATTTCTCAACAGAGCCGTGCTCAAGACGTACTTTGCACATCCTGACGATGGCCATATCTCATCGTTCCTTTTGTCCGAGTCGTTTCACGATATCCTTCCTTTCCTTGGGCTGTCCATGGAGGAATGGGAACAAGGATTTCCTACTCTTGCGTCTGTCTTTACTTGGGTACAAACCTCTCAGTTTTTCAAACCGTGCCGTCTTATAGACGCGGACCCATCAAAAGCAAAGAAAGCTCATCGTCAGCAACGAGCGATGTATTCTGCGTTTTTGGCGTTTTCTAATGAACGCGCCATTGCGGATTCAGCGCTATATTCCCCACGAAGTTATGATCTTCCTTCAGACGGAGCAGATTCTAAGCGAGCTACCAGTGCTTTGAAGACGGTCCCTGGAGGTCCCGAAGGTGGTAAACCGAAGTTTGAGCACCAAGGCCTTCTTGAACAAGCTCTTGTTTATTTTGGCAGGAAGGCTGAGTACGAAGCACTTGTTGCGGAGAATATACGGCGGCGGGCCTTGCGGGAGAAGCTCAATGGTACTCGTGTCATGGCATGGACTGGCCTGCAAGGAGTTGCCATAAAGTGGATCATGGATGGTATACGCGAGAGGTTGGGCGTGGATGGTATAATTGCCGCCCAGGATGACAAGATTCGCGAGTTGGCATTAGACGTGCAAACGCAGCTTGGCTTGTTTCCAAACACTGGCGTGTCGTTCGGTACAACGCCAAAAAATCTAACAATTGGTACTCTATCGTGAACACGCGCAGTCAACGTGCTACAGAGTTACCTCTTGCAAAGCCATTGCTCTTGAATCATAACTAACATATAAGATACCCACGTCTCCTGCTACGCTGCTTCTTTGTACGTGCCATGCATAAACAGCTACCTTGCACTTATCGCCGACCAATGTAATAAAATGATCTGTAAGCTTCAATTAACTGTACTTATCGTTAGGCACCACTGAAAACGATGTCGAATCTGGAATTCAAATCCACAAAGGGTTGAGTGCTGTATCTATACTATTGCTTTCGTAATGTCCATGTAGTGATTTCCTTCCCAATCTTCAGACAGACAGAATTGACTTCGAATACTCCTAGCTTGGCACTTGATAAAGTTTTTCCAAATCGTGAATTGAGGTCCGAAACCAATGATGAGGCAAGGGAAGTGACAGGCAGGGCAATTGAGAGGTCCTGTTCATCTAGCTCCGGATAAGTTGACAGGCATCCGACTGGAGGAGTACATGGGACCTTCGGCAGTGACCATGCTATGGAAGCATGGTACCGGGGTTCAATGTAGAATTGCTTTTGGTGCAAAAGCTTGAGTGTGGGCTCAATGGACTTTGATAGCACCTCTAGCTGAAACGTCACAACGGATCAGAATAATCCATATTAACAGGAATAATTCATCTTACCATTGAATGTCCAGCCCCGATATCAACGCCAAGAAAAACGCGTGTATGCTCGTCATTTTCAAAAACGGAGAAAGAAGAGAAGGAAGCTGTAAAGCTTTTATTGTGTCAATCAACCCATTACATATCACAATGTCCGAGCAAAGCAACTTACGGGTCTACAGCACGCGCCGCCATCTTCACGGCACGCCTTAATTCCTCACGCTGGTGATGCCGTAAATAAATAGGTCTTGTCAAAGAAATATGTAGCAAATATGTGGCGTTTGGACTGTCTTGCCAGTCACACACCAGAAAGGGTTCAATTTCCTTGCTTCGGCCTACAACTTCGTCCAAAAGTGAACGTAGAGGTGTGTTCGCCTTGAGGCACACAGGTACGTACACGTACGCAGCGAACTGTCCTTCCACATGTGGTATTGCGCGTATCCGTCCTTGGTGACGCGAGGGATCAGACGTTGGGGAAGGTACAGTCAACGATGGGTCAACCTTTGGCAATTTCCTGTACGTTCATCAATGTGCAATGTAACTGGATGACAGGAGTACTTACCGCTTCCCACTTGAACCAGAGCCATTATGACGTACGTCGGCTTCCTTCTCATCTTCGTCAGTGCTTTCATAGGAAACGAGGTTAACAGGCCTCTTCTGAGCCTTCATCGCCACCAACATGTCTCTATCTTCGATGCGGGCACATCTAGACTAACGATTGATTTACTCACGATCACGGGATTTGGACAAAATATCCAGATCCAGTTTGCTCACTTCCTGAACACGGACACATTTTCAGCCGCCCAATAGTCAAGGCTGGCACGGACTTACAAGGATTCTGATGGATGACGTCCCACATTCTCATGTTTTCCTCACTCATACTGTGGAGATAATTGTTAGTATAGCCGTCCAAGAGCCTTGGCCTGAGGGAACATTCAAAGGGGAACTCCGAGTGCTGTAAACACAGAACCGACTGCTGCCGTCTTCAATGCAACATCAAAGGTCACTTTGCGCCAAGACACCCTTGAAAAAAATCGATTTGCGCGCAATTATAAGAGGACTTCAACTCTCAGTCGTAGTCGAGCCACCTTGACTGGTAATTTGTCGCTACCTCCTTGGGACCCTCACGCATACTCCTGCATATGCTGCCTGATCTCATTGCTACACCTTTCTTGATATTGGCAGCTCTGCTTCCAACTGCCAACATTACAGACACCGTTCGCCTGTTCCACAAATCACATGTTTGTCTCGCCGTTAAGGTCTGCATTCGGAAGGCTGATGTTTCTCGCAGGTTACGGTTATTGGCAACTTCAACTTTAAACCAAAGACATTACTTTTTATCTCATACCCCCTTCCCGGACAAAAGTACTTAGAATCTACTTCGTTAATCTATTCCGGGACTAACAGTAACTCCAGTTCGACTGATCCTTTTCCAACCAGCTCAACAGCAAGCTTGGGTGATTCATATCCATTCGACAACACCTTAGATACTTCTACTCAAGATGAGTCTGGTGACCTCCTCGCAAAGCTACATTCACCTACACTACAAGTTGGCGTAAACATGACACTCAACCGAAGTTGTAAGACTTTATACTAGACAACCCCGGTCATAGCTCACGCGAACTTTGCAGCTATCACAGAAGCACCTATCTTTGCTCTCAATGGTACATATGACGAATCTGAGGAATTCTTCGTCGGCATCTTTCGCCTACGTAAGTCAGGCAGCAAGACGCTTTCTCAAGCATATTTTCTTGGAGGGAACTTCACAGCACAGAGCGCGTTTAATGGAACGATATCCATCTTAACCAACTCAACGCCGGCGTTGCTCGAATATTCGGCTCCTCATGTGTCTAATAAAAGTGAATATACGGACATGTAAGCGACCCTCTTTTGATGCTTAATGCAGTATTGTCATACTCGACTCCGTGTAGATTTGTGTATCTCTTGTTCAAACAGGACGACGACTTGAGCAATCGTATTAACCAGACTGCCTTCAAGTCATGGCACGGCAATGGTCTGAAAATGGAAATTTCTGATATCATGGACAAAATGGGTTTGGGATCTCCATTGGGCGGCTCTTTTGTCTGGCTGGCGTCCGGACAAAGTAACAATGATCAACCAGGTAAGAATATTCAAATAGTCTCATCTTTGGACACTCCGACGATTCCACTGCTCACTGGAATGGTGAACTTCGGGACTGACACAATATCTTGTTCGTTAGGCGCGTACATTATGACTTCTACCAACACAAACGTGCCGAGTTCCTCGCCAGATGGGTCGGAGGCTCAGACTACTAATGGCAGTTCACTTCCGCAAACCAACTCTGGTTCAGCAGGGATATTAACGGACCCAGTCCAGAGTACTAACACTGAATCGAATCCTTCACAGACGGGAAGTAATTCATTTTCGGGAAATCCCGCTGGAACAGGCACTGGACCTACCAATTCATCGCCCACAGACAGTATCCTTAATAGTTCATCAAATACTAATACAGGCCCCCCAAATCTTCACACAGGACCTGGTCCTGTAATATTGTCGACTTCGCCTTCTAATGCAAGCTTTCCGACAAACAGCAGTGGTAGTGATTCGTCGATCCCAGGTACAACGTCAGGCTCTAATACATCTGCCGGATTCCCTTCGGATACAAGTACTGGCAATCAGTCACTGCCCACTTCAAACACAGGAACTGACGGTACTCCCTTCCAGTCTGGAACAGGTGGAGCCTCTACCTTAACGCAGAGCGACCCTAACAGCTCTATGACTATAAATTCAAATAGTAACACTGGGAATCCTTCATCCAATGGTACTCAGCCGGCCACTGCCTCTGGACCGAACGCATCCTCGACTTCTATCCTGCCAGCGAATAACTCTAACGACTCTGCAGCTACGAACTCAAACAGCAACACTGGGAATCCTTCGTCCAATGGTGCTCAGCAAGGCACTGCCTATGGACCTAACGCATCCCCAGCTTCTACGCTACCAACGAATAGCTCGAATGGATCTACAACTACGAATTCGAATGGTAACACTGGGTATCCCTCGTCCAATAGTACTCAGCCAGTCACTGCCTCTGGACCTATCGCTTCCTCGACTTCCATCCTTCCAGCGAATAACTCGAATGGCTCTACAACTACGAATCCAAATAGTAATACCGGAAATCCTTCATCTAACGGCACCCAGCCAGTCACTACCTCTGAACCTAACGCTTCATCATCTTCCATCCTAACAGAGAATGACCCTAATGCCTCTACGGCTATGAACTCGAACAGTAACACTGGGGATCCTTCGTCTAATGGCACTCAGCCAGTCGCTACCTCTGGACCTAACGCTTCATTGTCTTCAGACCCCAACGACTCCACGACTGTGAATTCAAACAGTATCACTGCGTATCCTTCGTCGAACGGTACTCAGGCCGCCACAACTTCTGGACCTGTCGCTTCATCCGACTCTATCCTGACAGAAAGTGACCCCAATGACTCTACGGTTATGGATTCAAATAATAACACCGGAAATCCTTCATCTAATGGTACCCAGGCAGCCGGTACCTCTGGACCTGTCACTTCATCCGACTCTATCCTAACAGAGAGTAATCCCAATGACTCTACAGCTATGAACTCAGATAGTAACACTGGGCTTCCTTCGTCCAATGGGTCCCAGCTAACCACCACCTCTAGTCCTGACGCTTCATCGGCTCCTGCATCCGGTGGTGGTTCTAAGTCTTCCTCTGACCCTTTTGGATCATGGAGCTATTTCACACCCTCTATAACTGTCTTTCCAGAATCCTCCGGAACGAAAACATGGGGTTCAACGGGTCTACTGGTTTCAACCACTGGGACCAGCCCCTCTTCGAACAACGGCAGTCAAGGACAAACATAGTCCGACAAGCAATTTTACTATCCTCCAATTTAGTATCAATAAGCAAGTTTATACCCGCTAGCAGAATCCGTGTAAACGTTGCTCCATGTAACGTTTCCCTTGTACCCCTGTCCCTTTTTATCTTCGATTTAGTCCATCCAACACATGTAATATACAAACGCAGTTGGCTCAGGAATTTGTACCGAAAGTGGGGTTTTGCGGAAAATGTATTTTCCGGCTGATTGAGATGAAGTCAAGATATCATGATTGCAGCATTTTCCTGCATAAATCTTAAAGCTATTGTGTCCTCTACTGAATAATATCTTTTGCTGTGGAATCGTCATCTGCAACAGCCTCAAAAGCACTGTCGTGACACCCATTTGTCGTGAACTTGCAATATTCAACTTTATTTATTGATTAATACCGATACGAAACGAAGCGGAGTCATGATGAATCCCAGCTCTGAACACTTCCTGCTACTAAGTTAATCAATTTTCAGACTCTGAGTTACAACAATTAGGTTCATTTCTTTGAGCAGTAATTTTATTTGGCGTATTTCTAGTCCTTATTAAATCACCGAGAATTTTACACTCGCCCTTCGGTCTCGACTCCTTCCGATATGATTGAGAAGCTATTCTCAAAAGTATAAGGCGATGTATCGGATGGAACAAAGTGAGTGAGCTTCATTTTCGTTTGCTGACTCAAGAATGTCCCGATCCCCTCCTGTGCGCATTCATGCTCAGACGACCTCCAGGCTTCCCACACATCCCCACCTCCCCATCCTGCTACTTTTCGACTTTTAGGAGGGAGTGACGGAACCGGTAGATATGCCGTACCATTATGATGTGTCCAGATCCGCGGCGTTGTCTACTTGTTTACCACTTCACGAAGACATCAGGCGCCCGCGACCTAGATTCGAGAGGAATGCCGGCATAGCCTTGGGATAAACTGGTATCCTGGCTCCCGTGGTACTCACGCTATAATACCAGGAGAAGGGCCGAGGTAACAGTGCGGGCGCAAGCGGTATCATTGATTAACATCCCGAATGGTCCTGGATTAAGATTAGGTAGGTTGTACGAGATATTCTTAGCATCTGCTTACGAATTTGAGCTATTTTAAGCAAATTCCAGAGTCACAGAAGTTCTTCCATAAAATTTACAGCCAATATCCGGATATTATAGCCAACGGTATCCTCACGAGGCACAGCCTCGCATTGGGAAAGCTCCTATTGCAATACCTTCACGTATCTGCGCGAGACATACAACGAGCTATTCAATAAAGTCCAGAGATATGCAACCTTTCCGCACTGACGTTCGCACGATGCGAACGATACAGTCAATAGGAATCAGACGTTGCTACCAGATGCGGACGGGAGAATGCGCGAATTAGCACTATCTTCCCCGGCTTGAACTCTATCTCCAGCTTCCGCGGATGCGTATTCGCTACACGGAGGGCTAGAAACATCCTGCCGCAATCATGTGTGCAAAGAGTCTGTATTCGATAAGCCGATAATTCCTAACGGCTTGATCGAAATTAGCACGTTCCATACCGGCACTTTCAAACGGTTGAGCTCACCAGAAACAAAGACGTTCTTCCATGAACTGCAACAATCGCACGGGTGAACATACAGAAAGATATTAAAGGAGGGGAGGGGGTCGAACTTTAGGACTATACCACCTCTCTTGTTCATAGTCGCCATCATGTATATTGCAGGCATCCACGTCCCAAACGACCCCTTTGCGAGTAACGTCGAGACAGTGGTCTGTGGAACTCTTGCACTCGGGGCCCTCGCATCTCTGCGCAAGCTTGCTGCTGCATTTGCTCGTGCTGACGCTACTGGGGGCAAGCTCATCTCTCTCCCTGGTTCGTGGACCGGCAAGCTTGTTACACCAACTCACGCTGCTGCGACCTTCGTGCCCGTTTTCATTTATCTCTTTACGGTTCCATTCGAAGGGTTTCAACAACCTGATTGGATCAAAGCATACGCTCTGCCTGACTACGGTCTCGATGGTTCAACCCAGACCCTACTCAGGTTGATTGGGTGTATCGGAGCCATCGCGTCGTGGGCTCACGCAGAGTATTGCGTACGCAAGCTCGGGCAGAATTGGCACATCATCGGAGTAAGCTTTAAAATTCGCATTGAGTTCCGCATGCTGAAACCCGGTTACTTAATATCTTTGGCGTTTAGGTTCGCGAAAAGCCTAAGATCGTCAACACGGGACCATATTCCATAGTCCGCCACCCATTCTACAGGTGGGCTGATTTGCTCGATTAAGCACTGACGCTACATCACAGCTTATACAGCCATATAGCTCCGTCATTGCCCTAGAGGCTTCATTGGCCCTGATGGGTTGGAGTATCATCCCCATTTACGCACTTGGAATCTGTGCTGCGGCGTTCACAGTGAAGATTCCCATCGAGGCAAGTACCAGTCTCCCACAAAGCGCTGTGTGACTTACTTGAACTGTAATCCAGGAACGGTTGATTGAATCCGACAAGAACATCGGGCCTGATTATAGGGAATACAAGAAGGAGGTCACATCAAGGTTCATACCAGGCATCCTTTAGTAATTGTAACTCCGAACGGAGAAGTCCTTCGTTTGCCTATTTGTAGCATCGGAATTCTTGAGATATTTCTTGCCAATCGAAGTTGTCCTTTCAGGGTTGTTATACGTGTTTTACTGGCACAACTCGCACCTTACTCTTAAGAAGTACTTCTTTACAGTCAATTTCCCCATAGATGAGAAAGAGGGGAATCTTTAGTCCACGGATAACATGTCTGCAACCTACGAATGCGTCGACCTTGCCTATGGAGAACCAAGAAGACCATCAGGTCGAAGTTCGTATTTAAGAAAGGAGTTAAACATCATACAGTTCAAAGTCCGTCGGGCGCCCCCACTCCCTCCTGAGAGTCTTGTATTTTTGTTTGATGCCTTGTGGAATGGAAGAAGTTCTTTTGGGGTCATTGTGTGTACGTCTTACCAGCGAGGTCGCTCTGCCAAATCTTTAGAAGTACTTCCTTTCAGCCGACCTGACCGCAAAGCGTTGAATTTGCTTGATTCAGTCGGAATAACCAACGAAAATGGCACATCACCAAAATAGATTGTTCTATGAAAGGGAGGAACTAGAAGTTCTTCGAAAATTGCACGCACGATATGTGCCACCTACCACCGTCCACTTGGGTCTGTTGAAACGCGGGAATACGTGCGGGTATCGGCTGATCGGACGTCATTGCCATAACAAAGTTTTCGTCCGATTGATAGGACTTGCGTCTCTCAAAGAGTTAAGGAAGAAAATGACCCCCAGCACGAAGGGAGAGAACTATGACATGTCTGGCAGCAGAACGAACCACGTCTGCAGAATGAGTGTGCTTGGGTGCGTCTACAGCTAGGTCAGAAAAAATGCTCCACAATATTCTTTTTCGAGTCGACCTAGAGCTGGCAGCTTGAAGGTGCCAGAGCCAGAACGGCTCTAGCGAGCATGCCAACTTGACATGGTCTCTCGGGGTTCCAGTCACTAACAGTTGAGGAAAAGCCAGGCGAAACAGACGTGGTCTGCATGATAATTGCAATCGATTACCGTACATGCCTTTAGCTAATGGCTGTCAAGTGGGGGGACTGCACTGCGCAGCTCGGGCGGTAGGATATAGAGAACCTTACACGCGCACCCAATCAGCATGGGACAACAAAAAAAGAATGGAGGCACACCTTCCGGATGAACTCCTCTCCACCGACTTCCCAGCCAGTCACGGCAATAGGATGAATACAGTCGCGGACTAGTCTCGAGACCGCCTCCCCCACTCCAAACTTCTCGCCCGTGTATCTTCGCCACCGCATGAGATTGGCCAATAGCTTATAGCGACGAGACAGGAAACGCCGTCGAGCAGGAATAGCCTCTGGATCGAACTTCGCAGACCCGCCTCGTTCAATATACGGCTGGCTAACGGCAATATCGTTATCCACCGCCTGTCGGAAGATCGTAAAAACAGTCTTCTCCAAGAGCTCAAATTTCTCATGTGCGGCAGAGGCTTCTACTTGTTCGGCAAGATCAATGATGGCTCGGACGTGTTTTGACGAATAAGGATCGAAGGCTCCTCCCTGGACAGTCTTGCACAGACGCGGCACAATCGTGGATAACATCGCAGATGCGAGGTCGCCGTCCGGTCCTAGCTGCGGTTCCGTCTCCCTATCTTCGTCTATCGTATCGTTTAGTTGGGCAGATCGCGAGTAGTCATAGAGAGCACCGAACCAAGCGAAACTGTCTAAAGCCCGCTGATTTGAAATTGGATCCCAACCTAACATCTCGAGGCGAACCCAGAATTCCCAAGCACTGACCATTCCGAGGCCACCGAAAGCACCAGAATACGTATCTGAGTATTTATCTCTCCACATGCCAAACCAACGTCCCACACCCTTCTCAGGCTCACGGAATTCGTCCGAACGAACGTCCTGCAATATGGAACGTACTTTGTCTTGAAGACTCGACATCGCAGCCTGGAAGTCCGCTTCATCGGATGGAGAAAGTGATGAGTCAGTAGAGTATCCCTCCTCTTCTTGTGAATCCGTGTGCCGAGAGTGTCGAGCGGCTCGAGCTATGCGACGTTCTCTGAGGGCAATGGTGGAGTTGGTGCCTGGTATAACGCGTCCCAGCTCATCCAACGCATCATGTCCGTTATTGAGGTCAGATGAGGGAGACGCAAGAAAGAGGGACAAATCATCTTCATCGTCTTGACCACGTCGTTTGGAAGTCATATCGCTACGTTCTTTCAGTAGTGAGATGTATTCCTCTTCAAGCCTTTCAAGTTGCGGATACTAGAGGTAAATTAGCAATGCACAGATTAAATATTATCCATATATTCTTACCTTTTCATCCAAGAAGGTAGCTACTGTCTCGACCCATTCTCGGAATGAGCTAAACCAGCTACGCTTTGATTCGGCCTCCTCTACCATTGTCCGCATTTCCTTTTCTTTTCCCTCCAGTATTTCACGCTCGTCGGTTAAGTTAGACACGGACGTTGTACTCGATGCATGGGAATCCGTTAGCTGCGTGAGAGAAAGACTAAGTCGAGCAATGGCGGTTTCCAGAGAAGGCAAAGGCGTCGGGGGCGGGACTAGAAAAATGAATTATTCGAGAATGCAAACACAACTAGAGTAGAAATTCCCATACCCTGAGCAGGCCGATACTCTTGCTTAGGTTTTGGAGTGTTTGCGGATTCCGTATCTCGGCGTGCGCCCCTCCGGAGTTGCTCCCTCTCCCATTCTATTGTTTCTTCATCTTCCTCTTCCCTAATTGGACGCAAGGGTTAGAAAAATGATTAAAAAAAGTGAATAACCTAGTACTTACGCTTCAGCGATCATTTCTTGCATTGTTGCTCGGCGACGCTCCGCGTCTTTCTTCTTCGCCTTCTTTCCAAGCGCGATGCGTTCTTGTGCGGCAGTGTACTCCGCAAATTCTATGCGAAAGAGTGAGATTAGCAAATCCCGCACATCCGTTAGTATCTCTTCAACTTACCATCATCGCCTTCACCAAGATCATCATCCTCTCGCATCAAGCGGCTTTCGGGATGAGGTCCTTGGTATATATCTTCCTTTCGTGTAACAGACAAGGATATAAAATCTTCCTCAGTCTGTTTTGTTTTCCGGAGGACTTCTCTTCTCTGTTTTGCTGCGGCAATAGATGACTCAGATGGTATTTCAGCACCTGCTTCTGAAACGTCGTACAAGTCAGCGCTGAGTCGAAAGACTTTCAAGAAATTGACAACTACCTGTTGCAACTGTCTCGTCAACTATGACTGCGCCAGCCATCTCACTTGCATCGAGAACGATGTCAGAATCAGGAGTTGGATCTAATGTATGCACGGCCGATGGTGCAGCTTGCGTACTGGCCCTTAGTTCGGTGAGGTATTCTTTACTATATACGCCTCCGCTGGTCTGTGGAGTGGCTGTAACTTGGTCAAGGCCACTAGGCAGGGCAATGCTTGAAGAGGTATTAGGACATGTGCAACGCGCGCAGACGTAACGAAATCCTTACCCGGCAACTGCTGACGAGGCGAGTTTGAGCTTGCGACCAACACCAGATTTCTTAACCTGAAAGACTTCTCCATCTCCTTCCTCGAAAACAATTCGTAAGATAATAGCTCCGTATAACAATTATAATACTCACCTCTTCATCACCACCGAAACTCAGCCGAGCCTTCGGTTTTGTGCGCTCCCTGTGCTGCTTCTTCAGCTTCGCAGCAAGTGTACTCGGAGCCGCTGAATCTTCACCCTCTTTTTGTGCATCATCACTTGGAGACACTGCACGAGTTCGCGTTGTCCTCGCCTTTGATCTCTTGAATATTGCAGCTGGCGCGTCGTTGTCCATGCCTTTGTGCTCACGGTGGAATATCAAGCACCAACATTCGCTGAATCTGATTCAGTCAAATCTTTGTGTCTGTCACGTGCTCTATTCTCACGCCGATCATCATTACGGGCGTCGGCTGGCGCACTCTTTGGCGCCTTGGAGGTTTCCAGCTTGCCACGACTTGAACAACGAGCGCTGTGGCGGGTTCTAGTGTGTCACTTTTGAATGTCTGAATCTCATCAGAAGCCAAAGCCTCGTCCACGCCCTCGGCCTCGTAATGCAGCTTCACAAGAAACTGACACTCCAGGACCTTCTTCCAAGTCTCCAATAGAAGTCGAAGACTCGTTATTTATTCGCAATAAAAACAGGAGCGCGAATAGCTGGAGCAAGATAAACAACGCTGTAGACAGTGAGAATTATCTATTCTCGCACCTCTATGCTGCCTATATACACAATACATTACAGAGCGAGAAGCTCGACAGCGTTCGGTCGACCCTGATTCGAGCGATTCGGACTCCCCGCGTGCGAAGAAGGCCAGACGCCAACCATTCGAGCCTAGACCTAAGGAGATGCCAGCCTGGGCGAAGTCAGAAGGTCTGATAGAGTGAGTTTCTTTGCGTGTACATCGTTCAATATTGACCTTATTTATGCAAAGAATCCAGGACTCTGACTCGGAAGGGGAAAGCAACGCTTCAATACTTGACATAGATTCACACATTACGAAGAGTTCTCCAGATGCCTTGCCTACACGTATTCAACGGCGGCAGCGCAGTCGGTCAAGGTCGGAATCACCTGAGCCGGAAGTCTATATCGCAGAACAGATGGGGCGAGAACGAGCTCGGTAAGCCACGATTCGTTGTTCGTTGTTCCCCCATACTCATCACTTAGTTTCTGTAGTATGATCCTAGCTAGCAGGAAAATAGGGAGCAGATCCCCTATAATTGTTTCTGACAAGGAGGACGACGAACTGGACAACATGAAGGAACTTCCAGCTGAACTTGCAGCGATTAAAGCGGAAGCGCGAAGAAAATTGGACAGGGTCATTTCTGCAGAGAATAGATCCGCGTCAACGGCTACAGTCGAGCTCAGAATTACGCTGAGGCCGCATCCTGAGGACGCATCAGCCAAATCATTAAACTTCTCCCATACCATGAATCGGGTACGTTTGAAAGGCAATTGCAAAGTACCATGCTCAATAATTGCATCCGTGCAGAACGAAAAGTTCGAACAGCTATTCCACGAAGTCGCCGATGCTGGTGATATTCCGGTCAACAGACTCGTTGTCCTATTTAACAACCATAGGGTGTATCCATTTTCCACCCCGCAGACTTTTTCAATCTGGTCAGAAGCAGACCTAGGTAACAAACCACTTTAACTTTCTTGTTGATTAGTCTAATAAGCTTTTCTGTAGTGGCTTATGAAGAACACGTATATCAATACGTTAAGTCGCAATTACAATCCCCGCCACCCGTCAAGGATGCCAGTGTTGCGCCAACGGATAACCGCCCTGGCACAACGAGTGTACATGAGTATAACGGGGAGAGGGATGTGGCCCAGGACAAAGCCGATACATTCAAGCTACACGTCCGCTCGGGAGAAACGACAATCACCGTTGCTGTTCGCAATACGACGAAATGCAGTGCAATCGTATCGAACGTACTTAAGAAACTCGGAAAGCCCGCGTCAGCTGAGAAGAAAGCACGCATAGAGGTCGATGGTGAGAAACTGGGTCCTAACAGTGAGATTGGCGAAGTGGAGTTGGAGGATGGAGACTTGGTTGATATTGTTGGTGTATGATGAGAGTATCCGGTCCATATTGGATGCGAGGTTTTGCTGCAGCTCTATTGTACTCTAAGTAATTCTTTCCGCCTGGCTTTGTAGAAATCTGTAACGCTATTATTCTTTTGGGTATGATGCTTTCCTGTTACGTTAATGCTTCACACATATCTTGCTGTAACTGTAGCAAAGTAATCCAAGGATAATACATAGGAAATAAGAAACTTCAAAGTCCCATATGACAACATCTGCAGTGAACATGTCACAGAAACCAGTTCTGTGAAGTACTTCACCATACATTTGCAAACCTCCCAATTGCCCATGCAAACCCACCTCCCCCAACAGGAACGAGCAAAATCCAGACGCCGATGTCCCACATGACTCGCCGTCCCAGACGACGACGCTGCAACGCACGTTCTTTACGAAGAAGTAACTCTTCTGTGTCTCGATCATGCCCGGTTGGACTGAGTTCGTCGTCGTCATCGGAGACTATGCCTGACGTAGAACGCAGTAGCGGCCGTGGATCGACAATTATTGACATTGGCCGACGGAAGTTGTGTAGGATGATATGCAGGAGCGCAGGTAGAAAGTACGTTGATAGGAGGACGAGAAGCACGGTGATATCCTCTAGTATAGGTTCCACAGCTTCTGGGAGGAGGGAAAGTGCGAAGAGTAGGATTACGAGTGCATATCGTCCCAGTGGCTGATTCGTTAATCGACGTAATACAGAGGGAACAGGGAATGGAGAAGTTGCTAGCAACGGAGGTATTGCAAGGAGAAGTATGAATGCTGTGAGAGTCGCGATGAGCGCTTGCACTAGGGATGCGTCCTCCTAGATAGATGGTCACAAATCAATAATTCTATCAGTGATAGGAGGGGATACGTACACTCGATTCCTTATCTCCATGTGATTTTACTGAAGGGAATAATACAGGGAGGACTAGACTCGTTCCGACAACAGTCGCATAGAAGGATATGGATGAAACAGAAAGGTATCGTTTCTCTTTCTTGTCACTATTGGTGTACGATCCGACCGTTCCAGCAAAGATGTGCAGGTTTGATAAAGAAGTGAAGGCAAAGGCAACTGATGCTGAACCAGGAATGAGTGATCATTCTGCTGCACAAAGTATCTAAGCTTACATATATCCTGCAGAAGGCGGCCTTGCGGTACCATAACGTTGTCGGTATTGAGGGCACCCGTGGCATGCGCGTAAACGATGGCGCATAACCAGATAACGTACAATGCATTTGATACACCAGTCGTATAAACCAGCCGCCGACTTGCCAGATTCGGGGCCAGAGCAATCGGGGTGAGAAAGATTATATACACCACAGACAAGGTGAAGGATGGTGAAATCAAAGATATGTCGTCAGGCCACAGTGGTTCAATACAACTTTTCGCACCTGGAATTACTTCGAATTTAATAACAAAAAATTATCCAACAGTAAAAACCGCTCACCCTTAAAGTACACAGTTGCCAGTAGTATACGCATCACCCCGCTGCACACCTGTGCAATAGCCCTCACATACACCCGAATACCCGCTTTACGTCGTCCTCTTGCGACTGCCTCAGCTACTATATCACCCACGTCGGATCTCCGGACGTAACGCGCGAGTAAGAACCATATTTGCCGAGCGAACACAGAGAGGAAAGAAAACACAAGTAAAGCCGGAATGGAGATCTTGAGTGGTGTCTGGCTGCTCAAAATGAGCATTACTCCGAGTTTAAGGCACGGAGACAGAAAATAACCAAAGACGATCGACGGGGGAAGTACTACTTCTGGTCCAGAGTTGTTTTCTTGAAAATCATCCTCGTCCGAAAGCATGAATGCTCCATCATTGGTATCCCTGTCCTCGATACGTATGAGTGCCGAGGTTAAGCTGTTGTCTGAAGACGGTGGTGTTTCGTCGGAAGGATGAGAGCTACTAGAGTCGGTCGAGAAACGGGACGTAGGCTGGGAAGCCATGTCGGCCTCGGGAATAGAGAAGGCGAGAGTGCAAGCTAGCAAGCAAGAGTATGTACAGCGGGTCTGGCGTTGACCATGCGCGGCCAGAGAGTGTGAGCTGGTCCAAGTGAGAGTGCGCAGCAGTAACTGAATTATGCGTTGACGGTGATAATAGCCACCTCTGCGAACAAAACGTTCCTAAACTCCACATTGGGTATCAAATTCCCACTTTGCTCGTACTACTTATCAAGCCAATTCCAAGAATATAAGATTATATCAAGCTTCAGATCCTTGGCAGTGATGCATTTTAATATAATGTGCGACAAGCAGGTAGCTTCTAATTGTTTGAGAAGAAGAATTGTTGTTGTGAATTTGCAATGATGGATTTCTCATTTCACAACCAAGTAGACATGACACTTGGTATTACCGAGTAACCACTAAGTCGGATGACGTGCAGCCTTGCTGCTCATTCTGCCTTCCATGTCATTGATGGATGACGAACATGTACTGGAATTGGGTGGCGTTTGGATATATCCACACAGGTCAATTATAAGAGTACATTTGGCCTGCAAGAAGGAACATATTCAGTTATTGACTTCAAAGCAATAGTCAACGGACATTGACTTTAAAAGGCACTAGAAAAGAGATCTCACCTAGTCCATTCGAATCGAGCTTTGGCTCATTCACTTGTCTATTAGCTTCCGTATGGCAACAGTTTATGTAGTTTTGCCCTTTGAGTCGTGCTGGAGTAAGTTGTCTGAGCCAGACGATTTTTTCTACTGGGACGCTTGTGCTCGTTCAAATGTTGATGACCAGCTTGCGCCTAGAAGAAAGAGAGAAAGGAAAGGTAAACAAGCCTTTCGTTGGACACAACGTCTGGAGGGAGGGAGACAACGCACGCGTTTAAATTGGCCATTTGCTAGTGCTTTCCACCTCTTCTTTGCACCGGAATGGCTCTTCAGCTTCGGAAAGTGAGAAGCAGCGGTTGCCGAGAATGCTCTACCGGCCTGGACCAGCCGTAAGGCATTAAGAATGAACATTCCGGCTCGAAGATTTGACAACAAAACGTTCTTTCCCTGTCTTTTGAAGCCATTACTCCAGATGACGTATCACGTGAAGATTGTCGGTACGCGCGTCGAAGGCTCAGCGAACTGAAATGGACTGCATTACATTACCGTCCGAGGCGCCACGGTCAAGTGCCTTAGTATCAAACCACCATGAGCGACTCGCGCGCGCCGAATGCTGGCGATGATGCTGAACGGGTGAGATAAGTCGCGTCTGGCCCGATTAAGAAGCTAACTTTCCTCGAAATTCAGATGCGCCTAAAGAGACTTGCGAAGCTGGGAGCACCAAGTCCATCTCCTGGTGCGGCCTCGTCGTCTCAACCAAAGGCGTCTTCACCTCCTCCGAAAGTTAATCCAAAGCCCTCTTCGAAATCAACTCCATCTCCCTCGACGCCTGTGGCGCCGCCGCCGCCAGCTCCAGTCTTTGCCAGGAAAGCCACCGTTCCTGCCAGCCTTAATATTCCAGCTTGGGACAATGAAACTGTCGGTCAGGTCCTTGGAGTAACATTGGATGTGAGCAGAATCATACGTTTACGTATGCATTTTCTGACGAAGTGCAGCGAGATTATGCAGAGAGGCGTCAATGGGGTCCGGTATGGCTGAAATACTTACAGCAGGAACTGGACTCTGAACAACCAGGTATATTCATTCTTTAAGTATGGCAATTTGTACAAATACCATTTCCCTACAGATGCTCCAAAACCCTGGAAACTAACTGCGGAACTCGCTGATCGACTATTAATCTCGAGGATCGAAGTAAATCGGGAGACAATGTCGTAAGCTCGTGTTTACAACAGTCTTGGATTGGAGATCTGCTTGCTGACCGCTCTTGAAGAGATGATCTAGATTATTTACCAGTCCTTGCATCTCTTCCTGAGGATGAAACCATTTTCGAATACCTTATTGGATGTTGGAGACGACACAACAATATTAGAACCGCCCTCGCAAAGAAAGTATGTATATGTGCTCTCATTTCCCTCATAATAATACTGAGATTTTGGTTCTCAGAATCTAACTCCTCAGGATTCGCAGCACGCACATTCAGTTCTGAATAAACTCAAAGACTTGATAGTCAGTTATGCTGGCCTCGATCTGCAAGATCCCGAAATGTTCACACAAACACGAAGGTGCGGATATATGCGCCTTTAGTAGGCGATATACCCACGAAGCTGACGCTAATTATATAGCAAAGCAACAGGGCCTCCAGAGCTGGTCTCAAATTTGTTATCTCTCTCTAGCCTCACCGACCCCTTGTCCAGCAGTTTTTCTGGAACCGTCCTCACTGCTGATGAAGTTCCCCTGTTCTTGCAAGATCTGGTTGCGCGGTTTGAACCTGATGGAGAACTTGACTCGGTCTTGGGAACAACAATCAGGCAGCTTCTGTTTCATGTTTCACTTGCTCGTCCGGAAGGTATTGGTGGCGCGGATGCAGGCTGGCGGGGAGTTCTGAGTGGGTTAGAAGCACTGGTCGCAATTAAACCTATTGCTGTTATGATGACCAGGCTGCCGGAATGGAATCCATCGTCAGCTACTGCATCGAATATTGAGTTAACGAGTTTAATGGGTCCGTTGTTGCGATTAAGCGTATTTGGGAGGGAGTGGGTGAGTAACTCTGTCCTTCATGACCGTTTCATACTTAGATCGGTATTAGCCAACAATAGCCAATTCCTACTTCTCTGATCCAGAGAAGAGGTCTCATAATGACATCGAATCTTCCAACGCCAGTTTTAGAGGAACACTCAAGAGCTTGCAAGTAGGTCATCGTAGATACTTTTACCAAAATAGACGCTAAGACTTATATATTTAGTCCGCCCTATTTCAAGTCTTCAATGCAATCGTTCGTGCTTCACCGGAGTCCAGAGAAGCTGTACTGGGTTATTTTTCTAGGGTGGTTTCGTTGAACGTGAAACGAGGTGGGATGCAGGTAAATCACAACAATTATTTAAGTTGGGTCATTCAGGCTAACTTCGAATAGGTGGACTTTGCCACGGTTGCCTCTGATGGATTCATGGTCAATCTCCACGCCGTTCTACTGCGCTTTGCTGAGCCTTTTATGGATGCGCAATACTCGAAGGTGTGCATTAGGGATCTATAGACTTTGTGAATTCACTAATCACTCATTCTCAAGATCGACCGCATTGATCCTTGTTATCTGGGACGTTCTTCTCGGGTCGACGTATCCGACGAAACTCGAATCAAAGCAACAGTAGATGAAGTAAATGAATGGAACAGGGAGGTACAAGCTTCAGGAGGTTTGTCCAATGCCTTCAAACTTTCTGACCCTTGCTTACGCGACATATATAGGACCTGCTCCTAACTTCATTTCGGATATATTTTACCTGACTGCTGCAATGAACCATTATGGTCCCATTCGAACGATTCAGTCATTCGATGACCTATATAAGCAAGCTGATGAGCTGCAGAGGCATATTGATCTTCTGACGTCGAGTATGGCTCCGATGCATCCTGGTGTATGTCTGTCTTATGACTGTTGTAAATGTCTTCTCTGATTTCCTGTTCAGGATCCATTCATGCTTCGGATCCAAGCAGGAATTGAAGCAGCAAAAGTGAGAATATTTGACCAATGGAAGAGAGATTTCGCATTGACAACCACATTTTCTTCAGAAAGAACTTGCTAAAGTCCACATGGAGCGTCTCGCATATCAAGTGCAGCTCCTCGACCCGGAGTTCATCTTCCGACAAATAGGGTTCACGAATTTCCTTGAGACATGGCTTATACGTCTTGTGGACCCGAAGAAGTCCCACCCGAAGCCAACCGTAGAGTGAGGACTGTTCTATGAGAACGTTGGTAATGCAACGTGCTGACGATTCTGCAGAGTTCCGTTGCCCAAAGAAATACCGACGGTGTTCCGAATGCTTCCTGAGTATTTCTTAGAGGACGTTGTGGACTTTTTGCTTCATCTAATGAGGTGTGCACCAGAGTATCCTCTATTTTTTTTCCGATTAATTGACATGCGTACCTTTTTGTAGAAACTCACCGATGAGCTTGGACTTAACTGGGAAAAACGAGCTCGTAACTTGGGCACTTACCTTCCTTCGTTCGTCTTGGTATATCAAAAACCCCTTCCTCAAGGCAAAAATCAATGAGGTAATATCGCTTATTGTATTAATGAGGTAACCAGCTGAGAAATTTGTTAGGCCATTTTCTACGGTACTCTCAGTTATGGGAGACAAAATGGAGTACTTGTCAACATATTAAACACGGATCCATTCGCATTGAAGCATCTCATCCCAGCCCTTATGTCTTTCTACATAGGCGAGTACTCGGCCAGCTCCAATACATGTCGCGGCGTTCTGATTAAAACTGACAGAGGTCGAGCAAACTGGAGCAAGCTCGCAGTTCTATGACAAATTTAGTAAGTAGTAACGATATAATGATGCATCCTCCTTGAGCTTATCAATATATCCTTTAGACGCTCGGTAGGGCCTAGTAATTCCGTCTGCTATGTAATTCCACTTATCCGATGTGTAGGCGGAATATTGCATACATTCTGAAGGCCATTTGGAGCAACCCATCGCACCGCCAGGCTCTACATTCTGAAGCCAAGTACGTACAGAAACGTTCGATGCCTTCTTTGTTTCATCTTTGACGTTGCGTGCAGTGATACGGACAAGTTTGTTCGCTTCGTGAACCTTATGATTAATGACGTGACATATCTTATGGACGAATCGCTCAGCGAACTAACTCAGATTGCGACGATTCAAAACGAGATGGAGAGCCCTGAATGGCAAACCAAATCTCAAGAATACCGCCATGAACGAGAAGGGACTTTGCGTTCACTCGAGCGACATGCGTCGGGATACACAACTCTGGGGCGGTCAACAGTTGATATGCTGAAGATATTCACCGCAGAAACCAAAGCGCCGTTTATGGTACCAGAAATAGTTGATCGCCTTGCAGCGATGTTGGACTACAACCTCGACGCACTCGTTGGCCCTCGTTGTTCAGACTTGAAAGTCAAGGATCGCGAGAAATACCGCTTTGAGCCACGAAAGCTCCTCAGTGATATCTTGCAGATCTACTTGAACCTTTCCGATCAAGGTGAATTTGTACGTGCGGTTGCGAATGACGGACGGAGCTACAGGAAGGAGCTGTTTGAGAGTGCGGCGAGTATCGCGCGCAAACGAACACTCAAGACAGAGGATGAGATCGAGCAACTGCGCATCTTTGTTGTGAAGGTCGAAGAGATGAAGGCGACTATTGAGGTTGAAGATGATCTGGGAGAAGTACCAGACGAATTCCTGGGCATGTCCTTGTTTAACCCTCTTGTCTCACCACTTCTCACTCATACTCTTCTTCGTCCCCACAGATCCATTGATGTTCACAGTGATGCGCGATCCAGTCATCTTACCGTCTTCAAGGATCAGTATAGATCGTTCCACGATCAAATCGCACTTGCTTTCTGATGCAACGGATCCGTTCAATCGTTCACCCCTGACTTTGGAAGAGGTTACTCCCAGTACGCCACAACATTTCACTAAATGGGATCTTGCTATGTCTGACTACTTTCATGTTAGATACCGAACTGAAGGCCCGAATAGGCGCATTCCTCGCTGAGCGTCGTAAGACAGGGAATACTGCTCTCGATGTACCAGAGAAGGACGTGGTGAATATGGATGTGGACGCGGATGCTTCAGGATGAACGTGATAGATGAAAAGAACTAGCCAGCCTTGGAATGTATCATTAAAACCGGACTCTAACAGTTGATATTACGTCGGATTGCATAAATATGAACCATAAAGATTAACATTGATAAATGTCCCTGACGTTGTACAATCCAGAAGCGAGGTATATAGTGTTCACGTTGAGATATTTCACGAATGAAATTCCAGGGACCACTGAATGTCTTTTGAACCGTGTATATGCCGAAGGTGACGTGCTCACGCTTTAGGTGCTGGTGGATGGATCGGGGCCGACCAAGATAAACGTCCCACCCAACGGGTTACCAAGTCCAACGTCCAACGCAAATTGGCTGATATTGAAGTTAGCAATCGAGGTCGTCGAGTTCACCTCGGTCTGGTTGTTGAAGTCTGCAGGCTGGTCGAAGAGAAGGAACACATATCTACACGGACGAATGAAATGTCAACGACTGCAACAGTGGATCCGTAGGATTACTAACCTGTGAGGATCGGAACCGGCAGGTGGGGTAGGCTGCTGGAATTCGGACAACGCAGGAGTCGAGTTTGACAAAAGCTGGAGACCATCTGCATCCGCTGGGCCTGCTACAAAGTTGCCACCAAGGAAATGTCGAATCTGTGCGCTTGAGGGATCTTGCGGCGTCGGAGCATCGAGGTCAACCATCGCGACTACGAAAGTCTCGTTCGCAACGGTCGACGAGGCGTTGAGGATGCCAAAGACAGGGGGTATAGCAGTTTCTATGTTTAAACAGTAGTGAATAAAGCGAGTTCAAGAAACCGCCGACTATAAAGCACGGTTGTCTCAGGATACTTACGGTTCCGAGGGAGTTGAACACCTGCTGTGACGTTCACCTGCGGACCCGAGGCTTGCGGGAAGGAGACTTCCAACAAGGTCGTTGGGTCAAAGGTAATACTCGCGTTCGCGGGAATCTAAAGAGCCGATGAGCTTCAACCATTCGCAACAAGGGTGTAATAATCAGACGTACGTTCGCATCGTTAAACGCCGACACGACAGTATCGAGACTCGTATCCTGACCGAAAGTAAATAAAGCCAGAGAGGCGATACTGAGCAAGCTTGTCAGAGACTTGAAGTACTTCATGATGAAAGGACTTCAGAGGACGAGGTTTCAGAGCCAGACTTCATGCTCTTTTATAACGACCGGTTGCCATTCAACAAGTTCATAGAAACTACGAGAGCTCTCTAATTACATATGTTCCCGGCGTTGGAGGCGTGGGCAACTGACTGCGCATGCAATCTATTTCAAAGCGTGAATCGCGCGTACATTTCGGGTGCCGAAGCCAGTTCCACGAAGCAAATCTAGAATGGTGAGAGTTTCAAGAGCTCGAAGATGATCATATTATTGGCGAGGGAGCATGCGAAGCACGAGCGGGCCGAGCGCTAATTCGAGATAATTTCCTCTTTCATACAAGCGAGCTTCTTCACATTTGTCTGCGATCGCACGGTATAGTCGCAGCAAATCGGATGATATCATTGTAGCACAAACAAAATCAGTAATAACACGCCAAATTACACGAACTCCACAAAGTTTCTCATACCCTGCTCGCCATTACAAGTTCACATGGCGTTATGTGCTGGGGTCGGGACCCACCAGTATGAACGTGCCTCCTAGAGGGTTGCCAAGACCGGCATCCTGTGCAAACTGGCTGATGTTGAAGTTGGTGACCGGCGTCGAGGCGTTGACCTCCGTCTGGCTGTTAAAACCAGTGGGTTGCTGGAACAGAAGAAATACGTATCTAACGATAAACACAGTCAGTTTGCTGGGCCTCCAGACGTATCAACCAGAGCTCACCTGTGAGGGTCAGATCCCGCTGGTGGTGTCGGTTGCAGGAAATTTGACAAAGCCGGGGTGGAGTTCGTCAACGGGAACAGTTGACTTGGCTGGACGCGGCCCAGTTGGAAATTGCCCCCAAGGAAGTGTCTGATCTGCGCCTCTGTAGGATCCTGCGGCGTCGGAGGGTCCAGGTCTACCATTGCCACGACAAATGTGCCATGAGGGTCACGAAGGGAGCCAAAACGTTCAATGCCAAAGGTAGGCGGAATAGCCGTTTCTACGACAGGAGTTAATTGACTGTCAATTGCTTGGCGTGAACCTAGCAACAACAGTGACTCACGATTCCGAGGAAGCTGGATACCGGCATGAACTTTAACGTCAGGCCCCGACGCCTGAGGAAATGCGACCTCTAGCAGAAGGTTTGGATTGAATGTTATGTCTGCGTCTTGAGTTATCTACATACAATTGTTAATGATTGTTTAAGTTTATTTTGAAAGAACCGACATTAGCATCCTCGAAGGCGGTCCTGACTACCCGTAGACTCGTATCCTGACCCACGGCGAGTGCAGCTAATGAAAGGAGGGGCACGACGTTCGCGAGAAAGACCATCTTGAAGTCGAGCGATCCAGTCTCGTCGCCCTCGCGTATCCTTACTATATAATCTGAGAAACGATGGGCTATTGTTGCCTTCGGTTAGTTTAGTCATGGTCATGAGAGAGTTACGAAGAAAATACAGAGATCATGTCCAGACCAAGCATGGGAGGACCGGTCTTATTAAATCATTTATGAGAAAGTACCCGCGGGATTGGCTTCGATGAATGCGTCGTGTCTCCAAATATAGCAACGAGAGACTGAAGCATGCCGTTCCTCATCGAGTGAGCTCATTTCCACCGTCACTTGGGATCTTCTCTTCATAGACGCGCCTGGCCACGGAACACTCAAGTTCCTTCATCGTTTAGGAGTTCCGCTCTATTTTAGTATCACCTGGCATCCAGATGGTTCCCGTCCATGCACTCGACCACGCTCTTCAACTGTCTAGTCCACGTGAATGAGTACTTGGCTGGCACTATGATGTTCAACGGGCCGGTAGGAAAGTATAGATCATATAGAACAGAAGGTACCGAGAAAACATTGTATTGCATTGGCGCAGCCAACAATATTACTTTTTAACACCATTTCCTAGCCTAGATAATCATGAGTTCGTTCTTAGCCGAGAACCAAGATAAAAAAACTCACCAGAATAAAATCGTCAAATTCTAGACGCTACCCGCATTACTTGTCGATCTCGAGTACTACCCTTCCGACTATCTCTCCTCTTGACATTTCTTCGTAAACACTGTAGGCATACACCATATTGAAGTAAATCCTTTTAGACACCATTTTAGACAATGAAGATAATACACTCACGTATTCAACTCCGATAACCCTCGTAGGGTGTACTTCACTTTGACCTTGCCTGCAGCTGCAAGCTCAATAGCCTCCACTGCATGCTTCCGATTGCCGATAAACACCCCCTTTACGTTTAGACCTCGACCACCAACTAGGATTACAGGAACTTGAAGCATAGCGCCCGGCGGTAGGCCGACAACAAGCAAGGTACCTGTTGGGCGTAGGTACATGCACGCCGAATTGTATGCCGCACTGTTACCAGCAGTGACTAGAACGCCATGTGCGCCGCCGTGCGTAGCTGCGATCACATCCGCGATGAGGCTCGTCGAGGTGCGGAAATCGAAGAATGCCGAGGCACCAAGGGAGAGACAAAGGTCTTTCCTGACGGAACCAGTGTCAATGGCAATGACACAAAGTCCCATAGCGATCGCATATTGGATTGCTAAGACCGACTCGGATGAGAACGAACATATACATATTTGTAATTGCCGAAATGGAACAGACCAAGGTGTCCAAGCCCGCCTCCTGCTCCGAGGATTACAAGCCATTCACCGATAGCTAAGCCGCTCTGCCGCAGAGCGCTGTATACCGTAAAACCCTAGAAGGTTGAGAAGATGCAAGATAAGAAACATAAATTACGTATAACTCGAAATAGAAGAAACGTCCGTACCGCACACATAATTGCTGCTGCATCACTGCTATCGACTTCGTTTGGGATGGGAGTCACAAAATCGACATAAGCAACGGCGTATTCACAGAACGTGCCGTCTACATCGTTCCCATGCCCCAAGAATTCCGGACAATCTGTTTCGTACGTGTCAATTTGATATGCTTAATTTAAGAAGGAAACTAACTCACGGCCTTCAAATCCCTTCAAACACAACTCGCAGTTGCGACAAGCGGTAGCAAGGAACTTAATGCCAACACGGTCTCCAACTTTAACTTTGCTTCCGATCGTGTGAGCGCCAATTGCTACAACAGTACCTACACCTTCATGTCCACCAACGAGGTTGGCCTTTGGCAAGTTCGGAAACTCCTTGTTCTTTATTCCAAGATCGGAGTGGCAAACACCGGAATGTGTCAGACGAACAAGGCACCGCCCAGGTAACAAATCATCGGGTTGGACGACAGGATGATCAATAACAAGTGATGCTGGACCTCCGACTACAGGCAGTACGAAGGCTCGTTGTGTGCGTGCTATCGAGGTTGTCATCGTGTCATTGCATGTTGGACATGACAGCACCAGGCATTTTATACCGTAGCAACGTTAGAGACGCGATGCTCGCAGATAGCACACTAAAATGCTCACATGAGCATTAATGGTCGGTGAGGACTATTATTCTCGTTAATAAGCATAAACCAATTATCCTTATAAATGTCTAAGGACATGTATAGTTGTGTTTTCTCACGACTTCGTACTATAAAACTCTAGGCCAAATTAAAATGAATATTTTACAACGTGTCTATGCATAACTCACCTAACTTTACAATGAACCAATAGACTCTGCTCGCATTACCTGTCATCGCATTGGAATAACAAGACCACTAAAGGCACTCGGGACTGTACATTTCCAAGGCATAGTCGCTCTCCTCAATCCGTCGGTATTGAGTACCAATCCGCACTCGGAAGAGGTGATGAATGAAGAATTGTACGTCTCGAACGGAAGATCTTTTAATTCTCCAGGCAACGTCTGTCCTTGGTTGTTGATTTGAGCACTTTCGGCGTTGTCGACGATTGCCCCAAACAACGCATCTGAACCGTTTGTGTTGTGCTGTAACACATTCTCTGATAATTGGACGGGTGATGTTTTAGGGCGGTAGTAGAACTGTTGAAGATCAATATCTGAAGCTTGGTTTCGGAGTTTGGAATAGTACGAACCTCGATGGAGGTGCCAACTGGTGGTGCAGGAACATCTTCAACCGCAATTGATCCTCTTGACGGACTCCCAGCGATGATTCGACCTAACCTCGGCTTTTGAAACAATATCAGTCTCTGCAGGAACTTAGACAATGTAACAACTCACGGAAATATCGTCCACCATACCCGCGTCTCGGATACCAATATAATAGTCCACATTCTTTGCCAAATCATTTGGTAACCCGACGTCTTGTATAGCTTTCAGAAGAATACGTGCAGGTAAAGAATCTCCTAGTTCGTGAATGAGGTTTCCCTCTGCTCTTGTCATGCGCAACGTCAAAAGTGTCAGAACATCGAAACGGAAGAAAAATGATTATATCTTACCTCTTGATGGGCAAGGGCTGAGTTAGTCGTACAAGCCCATCGAAGGTTAGGACATTCTTGACTAGTCCAGTCTGCAGTGCAATCCCAACCGCTCCAGTAGATTGCATCTTCCCATTACGAAATAACGTGAATGGCTGTCCAGTAACAAAAGGGGTTGGCGAGGCCATAATGCCAAGCTGCACCAAACCCAAGTGGGTTAAATTTGAGACAAACTTGGCGACGTTACGTTCATATTTTCACGCACCTGATGGGATTGGGGGAGATGGTTATGAATTGCCGTGGCGAAATCCCACGACGAGTCATCGGAGAAGTAGACTAACGTACGCACATCGCTTCGTAATTTCAAGAAACGTTGAGTCAATGAGAGGGAACGGTAGAACAAACCCGTACCGCACATTCCTGAGTTCTTGTGGGAGAAATTGCGTTGTAGACTTGGGACTCCAGATTTCGTTCCAGTTTATTTCAGTACGCGAGTTCCAAGGATTAAGGTCACCGTTGTGCTCCCTTCGTTCTGTAGCGTATGTATGCCATCTCCCAACTCGTGTTGGACCTCCGCCAGTAATCAATGTACCGAACGGCGTACCAGCATTTTTGTCAACAACAGCAATAGAGCAAGAGAAAAATGGATTGTCGCGTTTGGCAGGTAAGGGTCCAGAAAGACAGCCAAGCGTCTCTTGCGTACATGAACTAAGCTGCTTCACAGAATGCTCTAGGTCAGGTGTGTCATGACTCAACGCGAACAACAGAAGACGGTCTTTGCAGAGGTCTCGGAATGTATCAATGAGTCGACTAAATTGAAAGGAAGAACGTAGAAGAGACGTGCTTGCATGAACAATGCCAGACATCGACGAAGGAAGCGAAACAGCGGTACAGTCCGACAGAATTTTGTTGAGTTTGAAGCTGTGTCACGTTGCGTGTCCCTATTTGTACTTATTTAGTAAGGCACCAGTTTCAGTCTCGTTTCCATAAATTCCGTCCATTCTGAATTATCGTAATTCATATGTACAACTGACACAATCGAAATCCAAATACCTCTTCATGATACTTCAGCTCCACGTTGAAGGATGAGCGCGACTTTGGGTCACCCATGTGACCTGGAGTTTATTCAAACAAGTTCCTCGGCTGGATGCTTCCCGAGAACTGAAGCCAGTTTCAGAGCATTTGATAAACCTAGAATATTCCTTGACAACTGCCAGCGCGCACAGATCCGTGTCGCATTGTATGCCAGAGGTTTTACGACTGGCAGAACAGACACGTCCCCTCGGCAGGTCAAAATTTCCGAAATTTGCCGCACCTACTTATCAGATGTGATGTGTATCATCGGCTTGGAGTTAAACACCTGATTTGCTTCTGATTGACGTTACTCCAATCGAGATAGCCTGATTAGATAGGGTATACACGGATTATACTGTGTGCCGACTAACGTTGCTCTCCGGCCGACGCTTTTAAGAAACTGCGCACGCTGTGCATTTGTGGCGGGAGGCGTCGAAAAGGGGCGGGAGGGATCAAAATTGATGCCCAGGCACGCCATTTTTCGGATTCCTGACGCGTCGTCGAGGCGAGGCGGAGGACACATCCCGACAATTGGCCCCGATAGGAAGTAGCAGAGCCGGTTAGGAGCATTTCAGCAACCCTTTTCTCCTATGTTTCTGCACTTCCGTTGACAGCGGGAAAAGAACTTAGGGCTAAATCGTGCCAAGCTTCCAGCGCAACCGCAGTGACTCTACTTGAGCAGGTTGCGCTTAAACGAGGCTCGAGTCATTCTACGGGAGCGGAAGTGGAGTCATTCAAATGCTGATTCTGCGGCGGTGCTGGGCCGAGAACTCAAAATGTGGCCAACCGGCTTTAGCAAATTTGCAAATCCGATAGTTACTTCATTTGGGATATCGAGCGGACATTCGTGCGATCTTTCTATACCCAAGTACTTGCCTGGCTCCCGTAGTCCCGACGACTTATCTCAAGTCAGTCAGCAGAATTGAACAAGGAACGGACTCTTCTTCTGCGAGAGTTGTCCGAGGAAGGGAGAAGCTTTGCCAGTCAACGGGAGGAAGTTGAGTTGAGCACGAAGGTGCGGAGAGAAATAGGAATCGTGTGGGGCGACTGCCGAGAGGAACGCGCAACCTGAGTGCGATCATCCAATTATTGGTCAGAATTATTACGCAACGGGCCGTTTCGGTCTGTCTGTCCTTGCTTTTTATATTATATATATATATATCTCCCAGGCCTGTCCAGCTCTTTCTGTCGTGTCCTCGTCTTCTCATTCACGCTAATAGCTTGCTTGCTGTCCTTCCTGTCCCTTCCCTTCGGCCGATTTTCTCTTGCTTGTTATCCCCTAGCACTCGTCCTCGACAGCCATGGCGTCGTCCCGACCAGATACGGCAGTCGCGTCGGAAGCGCCCAGCATAGTGAACAACGAGAAGTCTGACCTCGCACCCGCTCTCTTGGCAGATGGGCCGACTAAATCATCCGCGAGGCGCAGCTGGTTTTCGAGACGAAAACAAATCGAGAATCCTACGCCAGGTGAGAAGCAGGTGGACGTTGAGGACAGTGGCGGTTCCGAGAAGCCGGCGGCGGACAGTGCCACTAAGCAGATCGACTTCACGGGGTTATTCAGGTATGTGGCAGTTGTTCCCTTTATTTCCCTGATCCGTTCGCTTGCCCTTGCTCGCTTGACGAGACTGGACGGATGGCACAGGTTTCACTTCTCTTCGAGATGTTTCGTCTGGATATATGCTCTTTTATGAGCGAATTCTACCGTATCAATTATATACTGATACTTTTCATCAACAAGGTACTCGACGAAGTTTGAGATTCTCCTGGACGTCATTGGTATTATATGTTCTGGCGCCGCTGGAGCTGCTCAGGTTTGTCGAATTGATTATTCGGATTACTGTGCTGTGCAAAAAGCTAACATCAAATCACAGCCCCTAATGAGTATAATTTTCGGTAATCTTACACAAGCCTTCGTCGACTTCGGTTCTGCACTCCAGGGCTTGCAAGCCGGAACGGCCAGTCCTAGTGAAGTTGAGCAAGCAGCGTCACATTTCCGGCACGCGGCTTCCCTCGATGCCTCGTATCTCGTTTACATCGGCCTTGGAATACTGGTCTGCACTTTCGTTTTTATGTATGCATGGGTCTATACTGGAGAGGTCACTTCCAAGCGTATTCGCGAGAAGTACCTCAAGGCCGTATTGCGTCAGGACATTGCTTTCTTTGATAACGTAGGAGCAGGAGAAATCTCTACTCGCATTCAGACAGATACACGTAATAGACATTCTTTCCTCGTCTTTACCAGAATACTGATCGCCTTATCATTCTAGATCTAATTCAGCAGGGTATTTCGGAGAAAGTCGCGCTTGTTGTTCAGTTCTTAGCGGCCTTTGTTACCGGTTTCATTGTTGCCTATGTCCGATGTTGGCGACTTGCTCTTGCGCTGACTTCGATCTTACCGTGCATTGGTATTGCCGGTGCTATCATGAACAAATTTGTTTCCAGGTTCATGCAAACCTCACTCAAGCACGTCGCAGAAGGAGGCTCCGTGGCGGAGGAGGTCATTTCGACGATCCGGACTGCACACGCTTTTGGTACCCAGCATGTCCTATCGGCACTGTATAACAGTCATATCGAACAAGCTCATGTTGTAGACTTGAAGTCAGCAGTCGTTCACGGGTGTGGACTCTCAGTTTTCTTCTTTGTCATTTACTCGTCGTATGCGCTAGCGTTCTCATTTGGCACAACGTTGATTATCCAAGGACATGCTAATGTCGGCCAAATCGTGAACGTCATCATTGCAATACTGATTGGCTCATTCTCGCTAGCCATGCTAGCCCCTGAAATGCAAGGTAAGTAGGATACTCCAACCCTACTCATCGATTACTAATCCAAGTGTTTGTACGAAGCTATTTCGCACGCTCGAGGAGCTGCAGCCAAACTGTGGGCTACTATTGACCGTGTTCCCCCAATTGACATCGAGAATGAAAACGGACTTAAACCGGAGACTGTTGTAGGGAAAATTGACTTCGAGAACGTGGACTTCAATTATCCTTCCCGCCCAACCGTGCAGATCGTCAAGAACCTTAATATGACATTCACTGCTGGCAGAACGACTGCGCTTGTTGGCGCATCCGGTTCTGGGAAGTCCACCATCGTTCATCTTGTAGAACGCTTTTACGACCCACTTAGTGGTTCAGTTCGCCTGGATGGTGTCGACTTGCGTGATCTCAATCTCAAGTGGCTACGTTCGCAGATTGGGCTCGTTTCACAAGAGCCTGTACTCTTCGCTACGACGATAAGGGGTAACGTTGCTCATGGGCTGATTGGCACAAAATGGGAGCACGCCTCCGAAGAGGAGAAATTTAAGCTGATTAAAGAAGCGTGCATAAAGGCTAATGCTGACGGCTTCGTTTCCAAGCTGCCAGATGGCTATGAAACTATGGTCGGTGAACGCGGGTTTTTACTGAGTGGCGGCCAAAAGCAGCGAATTGCCATCGCTCGTGCGATCGTTTCAGATCCACGAATTCTTCTCTTGGACGAAGCAACTTCTGCTCTGGATACTCAAAGCGAAGGTGTTGTGCAGGATGCGCTCGACAAGGCAGCGGCTGGTCGGACGACAATTACAATTGCGCATCGCTTGTCGACAATCAAGAATGCAGATCAAATCTTCGTTATGGGTCAGGGAGTCGTCATCGAGCGTGGTACACATAACGACCTTCTTGCGAACCCGGATGGACATTATGCACGTCTCGTTCAAGCTCAGAAGTTACGTGAAGAGGAAGAACGTGCAGAAGACGAGGAGTCTGCCGATACCATATTAGAGGGTGGTGAAAATGCTAAAGAATCACGCCGTGACTACGCAGCGGAAGCGGAGGAGGAAATTCCACTTGGACGCAAGGCATCTGGTCGTTCTCTGGCGAGTGAATTAGTCGAAAAGAGACTGAAGGAGAAAGCAACAGAAGAAAAGGACTTCAACCTCATCTATATCTTCAGGCGTTTCGCCGCAATCCAGTCGAATGTTTGGAAGAGCTATGCAATTGGTACTGTCTTTGCTATATGTACGTACCAAGCGTTGGATTCTCTTCCGTCCAAAGTCGATAAGCTGATAAATTCACACATTATTGATAGTGACTGGTCTTGTGTATCCGGCATATGGCCTTGTTTACGGTAGGTGATACACCATACTATCGTTTCATAGTCCTAATGTTTGCACGAAGCGCTTGCCATCACCACGTTCCAGGATACAGGCGATCATCATGCCCTTCGACACAAAGGCGATCGCAATGCTTTATGGTTCGTGGGTTATCAAGCTTCGACCATTCCTACCTTCTTATTTCCTATTATTATTTATTAGGTTCTTCCTTATTGCGATTCTATCAACAATGTTTATCGGATACCAGAATTACGAATTTGGTGCGGCGGCGGCGCACTTGACCAACAGGTTGAGGATGTTGAGTTTCAAAGCAATGCTTCGGCAAGATAGTATGAGCCCTTTACTTTTGTCGTTGGACATCGCTTACTCAGAGTGAATAGTTGAATTCTTTGACGAGGAGAAGCATAATGTATGTTCATTCCCGTGTGATAATGCTTTCATGGTGCTTACCAGATGTTCAACAGAGTGGAGCTCTGACAACTAGCCTCAGTGATAACCCACAGAAGGTCAATGGGCTCGCAGGAGTCACACTTGGGGCGTGAGTAATCGATGCCACATTAGCTTGGTTTCAATACTAAATGTGAACATGAAGTATTGTTCAGAGTTTGGCGACTGTCGTCGCAGGCTCCATCTTAGGTCTTATATACCAATGGAAGCTTGCTCTTGTTGGCATTGCTTGCATGCCAATTCTGATCTCGACTGGATACATCCGCCTTGTGAGTTCAAAGGATTCTATCGCTTGCATTACTCTGACAGTGTCTGTGCAGCAAGTTGTTGTCCTAAAGGATCAACAGAACAAGAAAGCACACGAGCAATCCGCTCAGGTTGCATGCGAGGCCGCTGGGGCGATCCGTACAGTTGCATCGCTGACCCGTGAAAAGGATTGTCTCGAAATCTATAGCAAGTCTCTCGAAGAGCCACTCCGCCGTTCAAACCGCACCGCGATGTGGTCCAATCTCATTTTTGCGTCGTCACAAGGCGCTGCCTTCTTCGTCATTGCCCTAGTGTTCTGGTATGGCGCAGAGGGAGTGAGCAAATTTCAATACAGCACGAACGCCTTCTTCGTCTGTTTATTCGTAGGTGTTTTCCTCTTGTCATTGATTTGGCGATCTAAGCGTCCTTCTAGGCCGTCACATTTGGTGCAATCCAGGCAGGTAATGTGTTCTCGTTCGTCCCGGACATTTCGTCGGCGAAGGGCGCAGGCTCCGACATCATTCGTATAATGGACTCCGTCCCGGAGATTGACGCCGAGTCCAAGGAGGGCGCTGTGTTGAAAGAGGTGCAAGGGCACATTCGCTTTGAAAACGTGCACTTCCGTTACCCGACACGTCCTGGCGTACGAGTGCTTCGGGATTTGAACCTGGAGGTTAAACCTGGCACGTATATTGCGCTTGTCGGCGCTTCAGGCTGCGGTAAGAGTACCACGTACGTTATCTTCGATGTCTATAGCTAGTTCTATGCTGACGATAAATTGCAGTATCCAGCTTTGCGAGCGCTTCTATGATCCCTTGGCGGGTAAAGTCTACGTGAGTCGACCTTAAATCCACTATTTCTCATAAATTTATCTTGTCTTGTTAGCTCGACGGACAAGACATCTCGAAGCTCAACGTCCAGGAATTCAGGAAGCATCTCGCCCTTGTGTCACAAGAGCCTGTGAGTCTTTGGTTTCGCAGTACGAAAGCCAGGCTAGGACTAATTGTCACGTCCATGTAGACTTTATATGCGGGCACAGTCCGTTTCAATGTTCTGCTTGGAGCGACAAAGCCACACGAAGAAGTCACTCAAGAAGAGATTGAGGCTGCTTGCCGCGACGCCAACATTCTCGACTTCGTTAATTCTTTACCTCAGTGCGTTTGCCAATTTTTATTTTAGTATGTCATGCAAATGCTAATCAATATATACAGGGGCTTCGACACGAATGTCGGAGGCAAAGGCTCTCAACTCTCTGGTGGCCAGAAGCGTGCGTATCCTACTTATCGTCCCGTCATCGCTGTATCTAAAATGTTGCTTGCGATACAGAACGTATTGCCATTGCACGAGCTCTTCTACGCAATCCTAAAGTACTGCTGTTAGATGAGGTACGGCAAGGTTTCTAATGTCAAACTTCGTAGGGTCTTCTTATGTATGAAATTCTTAGGCAACGTCTGCACTGGACTCGAATTCCGAGAAGGTCGTGCAGGAGGCGCTTGATAAGGCCGCTAGAGGTCGAACGACTATAGCCATTGCACATCGATTATCTACCATTCAAAATGCGGACTGCATGTAAGTTGTATTTACATCCTTCACCAGTACTGTCTGACCGATTCTCTCCAGCTACTTCATCAAAGAAGGGCGAGTCAGTGAAGCGGGAACGCACGAAGAACTGGTCGCACGAAAGGGTGACTACTACGAATACGTCCAGTTACAAGCCTTATCGAAGAAGTAGTACCTGGATCCCTCCTTGTTTCCCGTGTTTTGTGAGATATTATTGTGTTCGGCTTTTATCGTATACTTTTTATGGATTTCATACCCTGCGTCTTACTAATTTCTTGACGACCTGGAAAATTCCATTTAATATTTAACGAGAATTCACGTTGCTTTGTGTTTTGCTTCCCCAAATCCCCCCACTTGATTTATCCCCTTCTTCCTCATCTTCTTCCTTCCCCCCTTTTTCGTTTTCGTTCGTGACGTCTTTCTCGATGACGATGTAGATGCTTTCATGACGGATATTACCTGCAGGATCGATCGGAGTGGATCGAATAGCAGACTATTAGAAGATTAATGTAGCGAAAAATAAATGCCAAGCATTGATCAGTGACGCGTAACATGAGTAGTGAGGTAGCTTGTACTTCGTGTGCATTGACTCGGCCTTCTCTGAATTACCATAAAACAAACCTAGTACTTATAGATGCCGACAATCAGGTTGCATAATTTGAGTTGGAAGACTGTTTTTGCAATCCACCACACCACTATCTCAGATTACTTAATTGTGCACAGACGGGCAAAATAATCATAACATTGGTGAGCAGTGATATACAGTTGAGCATGTGTTGCATGTTAAGAGGATGAAGTCCTAAAATTGCCGAAAAAAAAGCATGCGGATATATCGTGAGCAATCTGAGAGCAGCGCAAGGGAGAGTTAAGGTGAAAAAGCGTTAGTCGTCTGCTTCAAAACGAGTAGGTTCATGAAATTCATCTTCAGAGTATAAATCTGCAACCCGAGTTAGATTCGTGAACAAGGCGTAAATATACAACGCCAGATAACGTACCACTCCCCTCGCTCTGCGATGCTGAAGATTCTTCGTCTGGGTAATCGTTTTTGTAGAAATCCTCCGCTACGAAGAAACGAGACAGGTCAGTTTACAGTTTAAAAGCAGAAGAATACGAAAATTTAAGCACATACCATTCGAGTCTTCATCCGCTTCATCTTCGACCTCCGATTCCGAACCGAAGTCTTCGTCTTCGTCGAAGGCAGGAGGAAGGCCTGTTAAAGTCGCCATGTTTGCCAGGTCCGCACGCTCCGATAAGGTGGATGGACGTTGGTAGAAGATGTCGTATACATAATCGCCGGGAGTCGATGGAGTCACTTGAGTCCGTGTATTGGAAGCTCCCTCAGTGCGACGCTCTTCCGCATTGCTTGGAATGTCATCGTGAACTACGCAAAGTCAGACTGGTGTATGACTTATAAGTAATTATATGCGCTTCAAACCTTTCAGATAGTCTTGTAAGAGTGTTTGAAACTTCTCCATCTCCGGATCAACCGTAGTGCCCGCCTCGTCGGACGCTAATTCAGCATCATAGATTCGGATTTTCGATCGAGCTTTGTCTACTGCTTTGGAAGAAAGTACTTTCGGACTACAGATTCTTATTATAAGTAAAGATATGCCATATAGTTGCGCGTATCACTCACGGTGTAGGGTAAAAGCGTGAAGGGCGTTTGGGTGGTGTCTCCTGAGTGACGACACGATACTGTCGAGCCGTTCCATTCGTTTGACTGCTCGTCTGCCGGCTCAGGGCAACAGGACTTGTAGGCTCCTTACGCTTTTGGCCAGTTTTCGGACCTGATTTCGATAAGGAAGAAATACGATTCTGCAGACGTGAATATAAGTACTTGATTGAAGAAACTGCTAGAATGAGAAGAACGTACTCTCAACTCCTCTTGTTCAATCCGCCTCCATGTCGCCTCATCGACAGTCTCCGCGAATTGGAACACGTTCAAACCCGATTTTCTCCTCTTGGAGCCTTTCTTATCGACAACTGAATGATGATGATTAAGTGGCTTTGGCCAAAGTAATTTAGAAGGGTGATCAAAGGATATGGTGCTTACCAAGCACGTCCGGAACATCCTCACTTCGTTTGCGTTTGATTCTGATTATGGTGAAGTCTTCCTGTGAGCTACTTGCACTGAGGTTTTTGGAAGTCGCATCCATTGTGGCAGAATCGAAAGGGAAAGGCTGAGAGAGACGAATGAGTCTGCATTAAGTCGCGTCTATGACGCACGTGCTTAGTCCAGAAACGTCACGTGGAGAACAGAATGTAATCTTCAGCCTGCCATTGAATTGTGCAGCACTGTGATTGCGAATAGACGCTCACCCTCGTTGCGAATTGCAGTCTTGATAAGCCACTCATGTCAAAGTACGCTCCCCACAAGGCATCGGCGAGCAATCCGAGGGCGACGTCTTCAACCCTGTGTCAAAAATGTCTCAAGAGAGGTACATCGCTCACGTACTGATTGCAACTTTCATGCACCAAACTGACATTCGTTTTGGATAGGTCACTATACATACCAATGCAAGAACGAGAGACCATACGTCTCAAGACCATCGCGGACTCAGATGATGCAGAATCCAAAACTGGCTCAGAAGGCGAAGATTGAATCAGAAGTATCTCCCGAGTTCAAATCTACGTGCGTATTCAAGCTTATTCCTTACTCTCCACTTGCGTCACTAAGGAGGATTTTTCTAGATTTGGCACGGCAAATAAAATCTTAGAAGCTAAAGAGAAAGAAAGGGCAGCTCAAAATGCTTCTGGAAGTAGAAAAAGGAAGCACTCTGACGTGTATGTCAGATATATACATTTCGTTGTTGTCGTTCACTAAGGATGAATTTGATTAAGCGAACCGGATCCGCCGTCACCCAAAATCAGATCTGACCGGTCGGATGCTGAAGATGACTCGGACTCAGACTCGGAATCATCGAGTTCACGAACGTCGAGGTCTAGCTCATCAGATTCCGAGTCTAGGTCTTCGCGACGAAGTCTCTCGTCACGATCACGGTCTCACTCTCGTTCAAAGACATCGCGAGCTCGCAGGTCGCGCGGGCGCAGTTCGTCTGGTTCAAGGTCTTACAGTTCTGATGAGAGTGATGACAGACGATGAATGCACTGACGATACACGGTCGACTTGACGCACACGTGTATACCATGTTGATTTGATTAACACGTAGATACCTGTATATACACCATGTACCCTGCTGTATCTGTTTTCGTTTATGCTGTACAATTACAAAAAGTACTACAGTATCAGCCTCGTCCAACGAAAGGCATACCGGTTGCCCTATGAACGACAAGTAAGTACTACGAGACGATTCAAATAGCAAGCGCTACAACATACATAATTGTCATCTCGAGTACCGAGACCTCATTTGGGAGGCTTGCTATATGGACGATAGTATCGGCGACGTGTTTGACGTCCATCACAGCTTCGGGTTTAACTTCACCGTTTGGCTGCAGTGTTCCTTGCTCGAGCTGCGCAGCCAAGTTTGTGAGTGCGTTCCCTCAATCAATACTCGTCAAACCATCCGGATCCTCTGTTTACTGCACGGACTCACCAATGTCGATTTGAGTACAAGCAATGTTGAAGGCACGTCCATCAAGCGCAGTAGACTTTGTAAGACCCGTTATCGCGTGCTTTGATGCAGTATAGGCAATACTATGAGGTCGAGGGGTATGCGCAGATATGGATCCGTTATTGATTACACGTCCTGTATCAAAGTAAGCCATGTGCACGTCTAGACAGAACCAAGAAGCGTACCTCCCTGTGGGTCTTGGCTCTTGAACATCTTGAAAGCTTCTCGGGTACAAAGGAAGGTGCCTGTTATGTTCGTGTTGATGACATCCTGGAACTTGGATACGGGAAGTTCCTCCATTGGCACGCCGAGTGTACCTATGCCTGCATTCTTGGAGGACGAAAGATTATTTGGGGATAATCAGTGGAGTGCTGAGGTGTTGTTTTACATTGAATAGTAGATCAAGGCGTCCTAGTTCAATCAGCAGAAGTCGTCGTTTTACTCAGTCCCAAGTTTACGTGATCGAGACAGATTACATACCGTATTCTCGTTTAGCTGCTTCGAAAACCGTGACGACCGTCTGCTCGTCTGCAACATCGCCAGCAACGATGTACGGAGGAAGCCCCGTGCACAGCTTCGCCGTCTCTTCTAACCCGCTCTGAGATCGCGCAGTGAGGACAAGCCTCCAATTATGAGCAGAAAGCGCAATCGCAGTCGCTCTGCCAATTCCTATATAAATTAATACAAATTACAATTGCGACGGACGAAGAGATCTCAGATTTAGCACGGGAATAACAATAAAGAAGTCGTGGATTCGTGTTGCATAATTATCTGATTATTAGTATTACATACCACGGGATGCACCTGTGATTATAGCGACTTTCTGCTCTGCTGGGATGCCCGACAACATGGCAACGAACGACGAGTACGGAGTATTTTGGCGTGAAGTGATGGACGCTCGAATCGGAGGCCAGTCACTGCGGGGAAAAGGTAGGTCTCTCCACTCCACAAACTAAATATCTCAGGCTCGCGCATCGCACCCGCTAACTTCGCCCATAACTCTCTCACCCACTCCCATCCTCCCATAGAAAACGCAAAAATCCATCCATAATGTCGCGTACGCATTCACCGAGAGATCAATGGCAAACCTCGAGCACCAAGAAGAAAATGTATGAGCAGCCAGAAGGCTTCATCGCCAAGACCCTCTGGCGACTATGGATGAAAACGAAGGCGACGTTCGCATTCTCGATGCTAGAGGCTTGGGAAATCATCCTCATCTGTAAGCACTGCTCATTCCAGACCGTTCTCCCTCTGGTATCGTAATAAAAAATATACAAATGGTTATTTTGGTTAGTCGTGATTACGGGCATTGTCACCGTGCTGGTTACCATCGCCCTCGTACGATACTTACCATATACCATCCTCTCGGCTTCTCGGCGCGCACACTACTACCTCTCTGGACAAGACTCGGTAGTTGATTGGAGTAACCTGTTAAGTTTCGAGATGTGGAATGGGAGTCGGATCGAGATGTAGAACTGGAGGACAGGGCAGAGGAGATGAACTCGTGCGTTTTTGCTGCTTGTGAGTATTTTCCTCGCCCTTCACCTATTCGTTCTAACAAGGCGACTTCTTTTTTGCAGATAGGCTAGACATCTGTTTGTTTCCCACTATATTCTTTCACTTCGACGAACGCTCTCTTTACCTTGCTATTAATACGCGCCAGCTGGCTGGTCCTGCCAGACGACCTTCTGTCCACCATTTGAATTTTGTTATATCTATTAGCTCGACAGACATAATACTCTCCACAACTCTCGTCTCAACCATTTTGCTCTACTAATCGGCATTGAACTCTTCCTTTCTTCTTTCTTCCCGAATTTTAATCCGTCTTATGTATCTATGGATTTTTTTGGTGCTTTACAGACTCGCTTCCGTTGTCCATCCGTCAGTATATATTCATACAAGCTTTCCCTTTCCCACCAAGCTTGCTTGGCTAGATACCACATTGTAACGAGCTGCAAGAAAATCTCATACGCGATATTTACACATCCGCAGCAAAAATACTCGGTGTTCCCCAACCCGAAGATGCCTAAACAGTAATTATATTACATTCATTCAATCCTCTTGGCATCAACACGTGATCATTACCATCATTACCATTACCATAACCAGACAACGTCGATCACTGATCAGTGGTCTGTCTCCTCCCATGTACGACCCACAGTCTTCGCAAGGTCAGCCTCAGTGACTTTCTTCCCGCTCGTAAAGTACCCTGCGGCAATCTTCGCGTCTATCTCTACACGAGAGTCGGGAGGGATGAGGTACTCCGGGAGGTCGTATCGTTTGTGAATTGGGATACCGGACTGAACGATCGCGTTGTATTTCCTGTATGCACGTTTATGAGTTATGAGAGATACTTATTATGTGAAGGAGGTGCAACGACAGTGATGCAATGAAGTGAAGAGGAGAGAAGACGTACATGTCACTCATCGATACCATATTATCGATCTTCGTGATACCGAGCCAATGGAGAATATCCGGCATGAGTGCTTGGAAACGCATATCCTTCACTCCTGCAATGACCTCAGTTGATTTGAAGTATTTGTCCGCAGAGTCTCCGCCTCGCTTCCGCAGGTTGTATACTAAGTATCTAAATCACGATAGCATTAGTAAATCAGTCTATTGAAATAAAAAAAGGTCTCTTGTCTAGTCAAGAATACGTACTTCGTAACCTCTCCCAGCGCACGGCCTTCCTTGCGGAAGTAGACAACTACACCGACACCTCCGCGCTGTGCACAGCGTACACATTCCTCAATTGCAAAGATAAGATATGGCTTGCAAGTGCAGATATCCGAACCGAAGACGTCTGAGCCGTTACCTATTGGCGAGACTTGATCAGAGAGGTAAGTTTACTCGCTGATGAGACTACAACAAACATTCGTCGTGCACACGCAAAGTGAGCTCCTTTGACTCATCGCGCATATACTCGGGTGGACCGACTAGGGCATATTCGTTAGCTGGATATGTAGCGAAAGAGTGCCATACTCACAGATATAGACACTCAGGCCTCCAATCGGAGGTAGGAAGACCTTCACATCTGGCCGTGTTATAAGTTCGGGGTACATTCCTCCAGTATCCTCAAAAAGTGCACGGCGCAGGAGTGATTCAGAACTGCAGGAAAAGAATGCAGCTTAGACTCCTCGGTTTGAAACACTAAAAGCTAAAAGCATACATGCCAAATCGTTCCGCTACGCCGGGCAAATACCACACAGGTTCCACAGCAGCCTTGCTTGTAACCAGCTCAACTCCCGGATCAGCATCACTTTGAGTACCATCAGCATTCAGTAATGGTCTGCTCTTGAGAACAATTCTCCCATCAATTGGTATACTGCCCTTCCGTGCAGCCTCGTCCAATTCAGAAAGCTTAATATGCGCTTTGGTAACAGCAATACTTGGGCGAATATCCAATCCCTTGCTCTCCATTTCTTCGCGGAATACTTGTGGTGCCAGATGTCCCCAGGGATCAAACGAGACAATCTTTGATGGGTCAGACCATGCTGGGACAGGTGGGATTGGAACTGGGGGTTCCGTAAGTGCATACGCGGGTTTGTGAGTAGGAGATAGAGTGCCGAGGGCCACAGCCAAAGCGCGATAGATCGAATAGGAGCCTGAATGAGCACCAATTGCATTGCGTTGTTTGATGGAGGATGAAAGGCGAGAGCAGATGATGGGACCTCTGACCTTTGCATCTTGCGCACCCCAAGTCAGAGGGTATGGTTTTATTCCATGTTGGTCAGGATATGCTATAAATGACAAATGAAAAAGGGTTAAGGTACTGCGCATATATGTAACGAGACCAAGCACTTACTCGTTAGGATAACTCGTGAAGGGTACAAAGCACGTTCTCTTTCCTTCTCAGAAAACAGGGGCGAACCATTCTTAGGAGGTGAGGTGGAAGTTGGAGACAAGGATGACGAGAGCGCAACAATGGACGACGACGGTGAAGCAGCGTGAGTGTCGACTGACGGCAGTACCGAAGGCGTCTCTCGACCTTGGTGTGGCAAGCTTGTTGCAGGTCCACGAGGTGAACTTGCTCCGGAAGACAGAATGGAGTCTACCTATAGAATTACAAGAAAATTTAGCGGCTCCCGTAGTCTTGTTTCAGCTGTATGCAGTAGGCATACGCCACAGGACTAACCTTCGCAGCTAAGACCTGCTGAGACTTCTGCAAGTCTTGCAGCTGAACGAGTATCTGAGTGAGTACGGCGTCAGAGACGGACATGGCGTATATGCGCTTGCTCTGTTACTGAAGTTGGTGGTAAAGGGTGATGATTGAACGAGCAATGTATATACGAGACGGACTCGTGGTGAGGGTGAGGAGGACGCGATGGTCCGAAGTGTGATCGACGCGACGCGCACCGCTAATTCGTCACGTTCCGCTGTCTTTCTTTGGCTGATGTTGGCCGATTATGGCTCGTTAATTCCTTCCAAATTTTCTATGTCTGATCGTAGACTTGGCTTATATTACCAAAGGCACAACGAAAACTGACGCTCACGTAGGAAGAGAGAAGAGAAGAGAAGAAAGGGAATCAGGACGGGCTTTGGGTGTCTTTTATAGCCTGGTCTTCGATCTTGTCCGCGTGCCGATAAGAATTTACGGAACATGTAGACGGCCCGCACGACGTCGCCATTACACTCTAGTTCCGTCTCAATCGATGTTTTGGGCGTTATATGCTCTGAGCCTGATACTGATGGATTGGCGTATCTGTCAAGGAAAGGCATCTAGCTGATCCTTCGATACGAGAGATGCCAACTTTACTCTGATGAAGATAGCCTGCAGCCAGCTTGCCGTCCTGCCAACTTTCCATGCAATTTGATTCTGCTCAACCTCAAATTCGGACATCTTATAAGTACAAGACACAATTGGTATCTTCCTTTGTTATCGTGTACACAACTCGTTCAAAATGACTGAATGCTAATTTACCTGTGCATACGTCATCAAACTTCCGCCGTCAGTCTACTCCGAGGGCTCCGATAGTCATATGAACAGGTACCAAACCCACGACTACCGTACAATCCCACACTCACTGTCCTCTTATACCGTCTTATTCAGCTAGATGGCATGCTATTGAACGCATAGACACTGCTTTACTGGGGCCGCAACCATTCTCCGACAAAGGACTTTCGATTTTCTTCGGGGGATGGCAGAGACGTACGTGCTCTTAACCTGCTCACAAGAGGATAATGAATAACACAATACACCAATGTAAGGCATGTCCATGTTTTCGGCGGTTCTCCTTTGAACCGTCTGTCTTGGCTGAGGCCATCCACGGCGTTTCTCGGTGTTGTTCTTGCCAACCCTGACACTCGATGGATACTCTTCAGAGCTGGGGAACCACTCGTCCGGTCTCAAGCAGCAACTAAACGACACTGGCTTGCGCGACTATCTACTACAGAAGTGAAGCCTCTTCTCGGTGTTTTCCCAGTTTTTGGACAAGGAAAGGAACCTGGTGAAGCTGCACAGCTACTCAATGAGAATAATGAGCCGATTCCAACGCTTGAGGCTGCTCGGGTACACGGTCCGCCCGTCGTCTTCCTTGGTTTGCACGAAACAGAAGATCCGGACGGAAAGCCACGCTCAGCATTACCTTCATCGGAATTTAGTGCAAAGACGGATCCTCAGATGGCTGCTGCCAATATTTCCGGCACTGCATATTTCGGGGTGGACGTGACTGAAGTCGAGAAAGAAGTCATCAATAGCGTGCTGGAGAACAACCGAGCATCAGAGGCAGAGGACGGAATTTCTCTCGATTTTGTAGAGTCTAGGTCTGTTACGTCTGGCTTCGACGCGTTTGATGCAGCTGTGTTTGCAGAAGCAAGGAGTATGCTGGACTGGCACTCTCGTTACAAGGTTTGATAAGTTCGCTCTCTGGGTTGAAACCACCTAAGCACACTTATTGGTGATTGAAGTTCTGTCCCGGCTGTGGGTCACCTGTTTATTCCCTATGGGCTGGTTGGAAGCTAGGATGCTCGTCTCTTCTTCCATGGGCAGATAACGCTGGAAAGGATCCATGCCCTTCAGGGTATGCCGATTGATTCAATTGCGTTATTCTAATTCGGGAGTCATTCTTTGTGCTTTTAGGAAAGGACTGCATAATTATGCGCACCCTCGTACGGATCCTGTCGTTATCATGGCCGTAACCGACGAGTCTGGAGAGCGTATTCTTCTAGGCAGAAATGTTCGTGAGATGGCCCTGCATATTGTGCAATGCTGACTTCAACGTTACAGAGAAGGTTCCCAACTGGTCAGTGGCGGTTATCTCTTTTGTGCACACAAAGGGTTTATGCTATTTTATGACAGGCTTCTACTCAACTCTTGCGGGCTTTGTTGAGCCGGGTGAGTCTTTTGAAGACACCGTGAAACGCGAGATCTGGGAGGAAGTCGGTGTTCGCGTGCATGGAGTATCATACCACTCCGGACAACCATACGTGAGCCTCCGGAGATTGTCCAAAGCATTGTCAAGCCTCCTTAACCTGTGAGAATTAGCCATATCCAGCCAGCCTCATGCTTGGTTTCTATGCCGTCGCCGACGCATCCCAGCCTATTCGCGTCGACCTCGACAACGAGATTGTCGGTACGTTCGACTATCTATCTTCCATGCTTCCCTCCTCGTCTCCTCGCTTCCTTAACATCCCGAACTGCCAACTTCATTATACTCAACATCTCGCAAAATTTATACGTAGATGCCCGGTGGTTCACACGTGCAGAAGTCCAAGCCGTACTCGCACACGAACACGGTGCGAGTATGTCAAATAAAGTGTTTGATGACGATGCGGATAAAGATAAGAGCCTTGCGGTTTCTGGGCACGCTGCGACTGAGGCACCGCCGTTTAAAGTGCCGCAGGCTAGTGTTGTTGGTGGCGTGTTGATTAGGGATTGGGCGAGTGGCAAGTTCGGTGCTCGTGAGTGAACTCACAAGGGGCGGTGAGTTCAATTGTATCAGGGGGTTGCTTTCTTCGGATTGTTTGAACTAAGGATGAAGGTGGCGCATATGTATTATGTTTACACACTAGGACTGTGTCAAGCACGTCAGCTGTACATTTTCACTCGCGCGGCAGAAGTTTTCCGTGCAGGAGTGCCAGGCCATTGGTGTGCTGTCCTGAGCGTACACGTCACATCTGACTTCTATCCTCTGATGGCGACGCAACATTCAAGGCATTGCGATACCATGGAATCACATCACCTCGAATTTGTTTGTAGCGCTGCTTGTACATCTTCTTCAGATGAGCATGTTCTGACGAAAGCAGGATAATCGTTTAAAAAGTTCTGCACATGTCGCGGATAGAACTGCTACTCCGTACATGGTAAGCGATTAGTAGATCCTTGCGGGGACGTCGGATCGTATGGAATTGAGCTGTCGCACGGGTAACTCACGCGGTCAATGCTGTCCGCGAGGCGCTGAACTGGTATGATATGTCGTCTCGGCAAGAGTGTCATCACTTTTCTCCCCATTGCAAGTGCGTTTATCTTTAGCTATGAGAAGATGGAAGTGAAATTCAGTGGACTGGAATAAAGCGGAAGGGAATGGGCGTCTCTTATATAACCTGATATAAGTTTATAGTAACCTAGGAACGACGGAGCCAGGGGAGTAGAGTTCCACTGCCACCGGGCTGTGACGTCTATCAAAGGCGACGGCATCCCGATGTTTCCAAATAAGCAAAGCGATCTTGCCGAGCCGAATGAAAGCCGAGGAGCGCTGTAAATCTTGAATCCTTCACCGCCCACGTATAATCATCATGCGTCTACTCATGGGCGGGCAATTTCCTTCCCGCGCCTGTTTCCATCTCTTTCTTTCTCCTCGTCCTCGTCGTCCTTGTCGACGGTGGATCGACCCGAGCGACTTGCGTACTGTGTACTCGGAGTGAGTAACGATCACTTCTGCTGGCTTCCGCGTCCGAGGTGACGTCGCGCTGGCCATAATTGAATCCGAGCCCGGTGGAGTTGCCTTGTGGTATCAATATCTTTTTTTTATTGCTGCGCTGGAGCGGAAAGATATTATCGAAGAACGGCATTGTGGGTTGTCATCGTCACAGAAGTTAGAACTACATCACCACTTTCCTCATCGACAACTCGGCTGTCGTCCGAACAGTGTCCTCTAGCTCTTCATCCTTCTCCGCCTGGAACGGCCGTACCTCTCGACCATCTCAGCCTACTTCAGTCGAGCACATTTGCTATTCCAGAGGACATACACAAATTTTGATCCCGGACAGCTGTTATGAGGCGTGTCGCGCGACAGGCCAGCAGTCAGGTCGCTGCGGGTCCTTCTACAGGTGTGTATACTTTGCATAACCGGTCACATTCTATTCCGTCTTAAGCTTACCCCGTTTCCCGACGTTCCTAGACTCAACAAATATAGACTCCACAGTCACTGACAATGCAGGTATGTCATATGCATGCGCTTTCCCCATGTATATCCAGCGCTTTATCTAACGGCATCCCTTCCGCCCCTCTCGCCTCTCGCCACGCGCCACTCGCCGCCTTTGACACGCCGTTCCATCGGGCGCTCCCTCCTTCGCTCAATCACTTGGCTACGCGGATACGGCAACATCTGGTGTAACAGCACTTGGTACTACGGACGGTGCCGCCAGCGGGCCAAGCACAGTTGGTACCGCTGGCCTCGCGGATACCTCTACAGCCGTGGCGACCGACGCTGCAGCACCAACGACCTCCGCCCAGCCGGCCAGTGATGGTGCCGATCAATCGGTGACGGGCGGCGGGGCTAGCGGGACCAGCGACACTACGAGACTAGCTACGGACCCGGTGGGCGGCGTTACCAGCACTTCGGGTGCGCCAGCCGTACAATCAGCACTCAGCAGTGTGACGAGCTTGATTTCGTCAATATCTACATCACTGGAGCAGGCTTCTTCGTCTACTTCATCGTAAGTTTGCCTTAACGGTTCTAGGAAACTACCTCTCATAGTGTATCTCAGAGTCACGTCCGATTCCCTATCTTCAACGGATTCTCTCCTTTCCAGTACCACCGATTCTACTCTATCTACTCAACCTTCAAGTACTACTGAGCCTACTTCAAGTGGTTCAAGTATACAATCTGCCACTGACTCTTCGTCAATAACAAACTCTGCAAGCTCTGCCAGCAATAGTAATCTAGCCAATCCTTCTCTCACGACGAGCTTCACCGACATTGTTACGACTCTCAATGGACAAGTTACGACAGTTAGTCTTTCTTCTACTGCATACTCCTATCTGCCTATTCATTTTTCTGTGAATTAGATTGTCAGCCCTGTTGCCACGCTCAACGCAGATACGTCAAGTACCCTCAGCACGAGTCATCGGAATGCTATAATTGCCGGTGGGGCCGTCGCAGGAACTGTCTTCATCTTGTTATGTCTTGCCGTGGTATTCGTTTGTCGACGGCGCCAGAAGCGAGCTGTAGCACTCTCACACCGATATCTACCCACACCCCGGTCCGTAATGTTGGCAGGCGAAGACGATTTTGACTTAGCAGGTCCGAAGCAGCCTCAGAGAGCATTCGGTATTTTCGGATCACGCAGGAAAAAGAACACTGCGCATGAGTATCGGGATATTTCATCGGAGTCCGGAAGAGACTTGAATTCGTCAGTTATGCGCGAGCTTCCCAGTGAACCGCCTCCTCGGCTACTTCGCCCTGTTGCAAGTAAGACAGGCAGTTATTTCCAGGAAGGCGTGTGGCCGCCTCCGGATGAAGGTAGTCAGCTAAGCGACCCGCTTATGGCTGCTAGCAATGTCGACCTGCATAGCATTGTGGACGAAGTTATGGGTCCGCACAGCGCGCCAGGTCAATCGAGTGGTGCTGCGTCTTCGACAAGCTCGCTTCCACGACCGTCAAGGCTTCGTGGGGGAGCGGCGGAGAGCGCCAGTCTCTTCAGTGAGACGTCCGGAGATTTTATGCCTCCAGTCCCACGACACGGTGAATCCCCTACAATGTCTTCCGTAGGTAGCAGCTTCGGCGACTCACCTCGACATCTGCGTGACTGGAGTACGGATTCAGCGACGGGTTTGTTGGCGGGTATGGACGGGGGCCTGAGAGCAGCAAGGCGGAGTAGTAGTGGTAGTGGACCTTGGCTTCCTCCGGGAGCAGCACACGTGCGCACGGCAAGCCCGACTTCTCCACTACGTATAGTTACAGAACCTCAGCAATCTATACATGCTGCCGCTGTTGCCGCTTCTTCCTCCTCACCATCCACCCGTGCCCGCGAGAAGGCGAAGGAAGCGGCTCAAGAACGCCGTACCTCTCTCATAATTGCGAATCCAGCACCAGAAACTGAGAACGACCAAGCATCGCGGCAAAGTACGTTACAAGACGACACGGCATCGTACTCCGTCTCGCCATCGTCGACGCAGCAATTACGACGGTTTACGAGTACAATGGAAAGTGGTGGCATGCCATATCCTGATGAATCACCGATCGATAGGCGTTCGGTACCTGCATCGCTTGCTCATGGTTGGTTACTAGATATTGACGAGGACGCACCAATGCCTGTCCCAGACCCAGAGGTAACAGTCCCTGGGAATGTTAGGAATGTACGCGAGGAGATACCACCTAGATATGATATGATTCGAAGGGATACGAGTTCAAGTGAGGTTGGTGAGCCTAGCGGGAGTGGACTTTCACGTACCAGGACTTCATGACAAGACGCTTAGTACTAATATCTGATGTTTTCTCTCTTTTTACGTTTCATCTGGTTTCTTTCCTCTTATCTTGTTCAGCTATAGGACTTACGGACCTTTATTGGATTTTTAATGATTTCTTGCTTTTTGTTTTGATTGTTTAGGTACTTGTACCGTTGTTCACGATCCCGCCCATGACTTCATTCCTTTCATCACGACGAGTCAAGTTATACCGGATGGACGTCTTGAAACTAATACGTAGTACCAATAGGCGAAAGTACTTATAACCCTCACCCTCACCCTTTATCCTTACCTGCTCTGCTCGTTTGCTTTACCCCTCGCAGTCCTTTGTCTTATCATTCGCCATTCTTTGGTTCACCATCAGTAGTCATACCTGATGTATTTCGATTTGCTTCTGTCGGTCTTTTCGTCCCTTTGACAGAAACTGCCTTCGAATGCTATCATACATTGAATCTAAAGCAATCAACCAACATTGAGTTAGTATATTATACTATATACAATAAATGAATTTTGATTCATTAATCCAGCAAGTCTGTATGGTGAAAGTTGGCCCTGCCTTGAGTTGAAAATGAATGAATGTATGCTAGTCAGTAAAATGGCATTAATCTTGGTTCCTGATGTGCCTCTGAGTCAAATCATTTTATTAGGAAGACTTACTAAAAGGGGTAGTATGTGCTGTCAGGTTAATTACATAATACAATTTCATTTCATTTTGTCTTGCTGAATTTGAATAAGCTTTCAACCTCAAACCATTATACAGTTGAAAATACCTTATTGTATCACATTATAATGCATAAATTGAATATTGCATAGCTTTCTGCCTAATCCCAGCTCGGGATAAGGGAATTATGCACAAAAATAGTCTATTGCATATTGCATCAAGATTTGTGAGAAAATTATGCAAAATTCTGAGCATTTTGGGAAATTAGACTGCTTACTGTAGTGATTTTTGTACCCAGAAGCCTCACATATTGTTCTCTGACATACTTCAATACAAAAAGAATGTTTCTGATTGACATTTCATTGCTTACAATGTCTTCAATACTGCCACAAGACCAAGATAGGGCAGCAAAGATCTCTTCATAATATGTGGGGGAAAGTTATTTGCATTGACTAGCTTTTTCTATCTTTTTGTTTCTACAGATTCTGACTGTATTTCCTTGTATTACAAACTATTTCTTGAGTTTTACAGTGATATACACATTTACTGTACTTGTCATTGTCTTGGTTGTCTTTCTCAATGCTCTAAATATGTGCTTATTTTCTTGTCATAGTGTATATGTCTTCAAATAAATTGAAAAGTAATATCGAATTTTGCGTTCCTAATTAAGTAATGTTTTCGCACGGTTACCATAATGCATATTGCTCATATTGCATAGGTCTGAGGCCTCTCCCAACATTATGCAATAAGATATTTTCAACTGTAGTAGTATTGACAGTTTCTAATGTTTCCTATGGTTGGTACAATGTACAGGCATGCATTTTCTACTCTCAACCTAATTGTTACACCTGAGGCTCTAGCTGAGGTACTATATCCTATTAGATAGTACACTACACTGTTGTCCATTTCTTGTAGAGTTGTCAGCAACAGTGTAGAGGGGACCTGAAGGCTCAGTAAGGGGACCCAGGCTACAACTATCCTACACAACAGAAATACAGGATGCAAGCACCAGAACATAGTCAGAACTTGCAGAACAGGCAGAGAGAGAGAGTGAGAC